GGTGTATTATTCATATTTCAATATGTGGGGATTTCATACTTCGTTGGCCGGATCCGTGTACGGAGATTACACGCCTTGAGGGTTCTCACGCAAAGAAGCCAAAATCTTTGCATCCATTTGTAGCGGAGCTCGTCAAGCTGAGTATCGCCTGGCTTTCTTATAATCACTTCTGTCTGCAGGAAGGAGCGAATAATCACCCTTGACTTAATCCCATGCCAGGCATGAGTGATGTCACGGCATAAATCGGTCAACTTTTTGAACCTGGAACACTGACCAAGGAACATATGTCAGTAATCTTTTGTCTGATGGAGAAGATAAAACAGCCTTCAAAACAATAAACAGGCAAGTTCACGAAAAATATGCCTCCTCTGAAATTCTATGCCAATTATCGCCACAAAGGCTGTTTAGGTTTCCATGGCAAACATGTGTACAGCTCTTATCAGGCACAGACCTTCCATTCCTTGTAACCATGGAAACCAACTGTAAATTTACGGTCCACGTGTCCATTTATGCATCGCATTAAGACTGAACTCTGTGACAGCCACAGTTCTTCATGTTACTGGCAAAGTCAATTTGAGATCACCCTCCTGGAATGTAATTATCATCACCTTTTTTCTCGCTGGATTTCCTGGATGCACCAAAAACCATTTTCAAGTACAAGAAATGGCTGTGCTAATTTTTCCCAAGAGTCAGAAGTTCAGAGTGCTTTGGATATCAATTTCATCGCCAGAGCACTCCCTTTGTTTCTTGAGTCAAACAAACTGCAGTCCAACGAGGCCAAAAGTACAATGTACTATGACCAATCAGAACTGACAACATTTCAAAATGCTGCAAAACCTTTTAAAAAAAAAAAAAATTATCAAGAGACTATGAAAGTCTCAGTTGAAAATCAATATCTTGATAGATGAGGTGACTTGTGCCACAGAGTGTGCTGCTAGAGAAGGGGAAATATTTTCAGGCAAACATTTCTGGTGAGATCGACCATTTCAGAGAAGACGACAAGTTTCTTTACTACCCCAGAAAAAATCTGGACGTTTTCAAGAGGGCACGTGAACTCTGTAGATGTCGTAATCAAACTTTGGAACCTTCTACATGAGTAACAAGATTCAGCACATCAGCAAGAAGAAACTCCTGTTAACATCCTCACATGTAAGGTACAACTTTACTGCTTCTTACTTTTCCGAAAATGGGACAAATCACAAGGAAAATTATTACTGGTAAGCTAATCCCTTGGTGGTGGTCACGGCGACAAGGCGGTTGATGAATCCCCGGAGATATAGCTCCGAAACTTCCATCAAGGAATCGTCGTCAACACCGAGATATTTTCGGCACTTCAGCTGTTTATTTGTCTGGGCTTGCATCCATAAATACTTTCAGTCTTGGTGCGCACAGTAAGGATGAACATGTCAGCTGGCTGCAAGGTACAAGAATGTCCTATGTACCCTCGGCTTAAAAATTAGATCACTGGATCACATCCTCAGACGGGAATCTGCCCTCTAATTTAATTTTGTCGGTAATGTTCTGGGGACTCCTCTCTTCAACCGATGAGAAATGTTGTAAAGTCACGAAGAAACTCCAAAACTTCTGCTAGGGCAATCGGGTCGTGCCGTTCGTCAGGGAAAGAAGATGTCGGGCATCTTGGATGATGAAGCGCGGCTGTTCTCAATCAAAGCGTCTTCACAATAGAACAACAGCTGATTAACAAATGGTTTCTGATGCCACGCTGGTGCAGTACCCTTGTAGGTGATAACGCTATGTGCAGTACGTGCTCGTGTCTGAGGATCACAGCACTGTCGGTCCGCGGTCGGGGAGGAATGCTAGCAATAAACAGTCATCGGTGCCCGGTGCCCGCTACCACGTACACCAGTCATCCGTCGGATCTGTCAGTCTCAGGGGATCAGGTATTCCAAGGCTGCAGGGGCCGTGTTTGTGTACGCGCACGGTGCGGGCCAGATCACTACACGGGGGTTTTCATTAAGGTGACTATCTCTAGCAAGCATGCCCAGTAATGTCACACAGGACACATGATATCGCTCGGGGGCAGAAGTTTAAAAAAGCAAACATTCAGCCTGCCCAAACAGAACAGCTTGTCAAGTTTTGCCCAACTCCGGGATACAACCAGAAATCTTCGTATTAAAAAAACAAGCTTACAGGGGACAGATCTTTCAATGTACATATGTACGTGTACAAATTGTACGGTGCATCATTCCCTTGTATCTTTCTTTCGTTTTTCTTCCTTTTTTTAATTGAGGGAGTGGCAAGTATTATAACTTGACATTTCAATGTGGCAGGTCACTCATACTGAAACTCAACTCTGCAAGTTCCCAAGTTACATACCCCCAGACAGTTACTGTTTCAACCTCGCTGCATCTACGCAGGAATCAATAATCTAAGCTGACAGAAATATGACAACTTGGCGGATCGAATGAACGGCTACAGACACATCTTTTAAACAGTAGTGCAGGATTAATTATCTTGCTGGTCTGGATAACAAACAAAAATCACAGCGTGAGATCAGGGCATTTTGTTAAAGCCATTAGTCAACTGTACCACCCCAAAGCGCCCTGCTGACTCCTTCCTGTACTGCCCAAAACTGCCCCACCACTGTAGATTCATCACGGAATATAAATACAATGTAGCAGTACTGTAGTACAGTGTAATGTAACAGCTAAATTGTTAATTGTTAGTCAAAAGAAAATCCTCTCCCTTGCCATGCCTTTTACACAGGCTAGTCACCAACAGTCAGATCATATTTCAAGCAAGCACTGTGACTAGTCAAATTCAGTCAAGAGACAAAAGCAGGCAACTGGTAGGCACAGCTGGCTTACATACATGTAAATCTCCCGCAGTCAAAGCACACCTACAGTCAGAGCAAAACATTGACAGTCACAGCCAGTCAATCCTGCTTTTATGTAAGCTGGGAGATCTTAACTGTTAAAAAAAGTCGCTTGACTGATTTTGACTGAAAGAACAACTTGGCACAGAATGTACTTTGGCATTGGAGGGTTTTAATGTGCCATTGAAAATATTTTTTATAGACTTTCCATCGTTCTTGCCCTACAATGTAGGATTCGAGACAACTTGAACCATACTTCACGCACTACCTCGCTACAAACCACAGATGTTTACAATGTATGTAGATTTATGTCCCTGTCAGTTCATTGCACGGATTCCAATCATTGCTAGTCGGGCCATCATCTCTCAAAGGTCAGTAATTAGGTTGGTAATCACTAGGGAGAGTCTGGTCACCAGACAAGACAACCCCCCCCCCCCCCATGAGGTCAATGGCATGGCATCTTTATATCACATGTGTGGGATTACATGTATAGGCCTACATGAAAGTCAAAATATGAGCAAAAATGTTTCAAAATCGCACAAAATCCCATTAACGTTCTCAGCGCAGAATAAAATACCATCAAGTAGGCCCTAACTACTATAATTTATAATTTTCTTGACTTCTCACCTTGAAAAAGTTCCTTTGAACTTCATGAACATTTCCTCCACACAAACATTTCCGTCAATTGAAGTTCATGCACAATGTAGTAGAGAGAGAGAAAAAGCCACCATGCCATCATCTGTGTGGTCTAATTTATTTACAGGGTCTTCCTATTTGTCGATTAACTACCGGTATAACAGGAAGGAATGCACAGGCCTACCGGTGTAGCATCGCAATGATTCCTCTGATGTCTTCAAAACAAACATAACGCAAGCAGCTGACTTTTTTCAAAGCATACATGTACAAGGGAAACATTAATGTTCAATTTGGGGAGCACAACATGAAGGGAGATTTTATCCGGGTTTTCTCAGCATGGGCCGGTGAGACAGGAAGAAGCAGCTGAGAAGATGTGAGATGTGAGAAGAAAAGGGAAGGGGGACATCGGGAGGAAAACGGAAGAAAATAGATTGACGGGGCAGGAGGCAAGGAATGGAATTGATTACATCAGCTGGAGTGGTAACTTAGATCCAGCTTATAATACATCCCCCCCCCCAAAAAAACCTGACTGACAGACAGACAGACAGACAGACAGACAGACAGACTGATTAACATTGTTATTTTACAACCCTGGAATAAACACACAGCTACTTCATTTCTGCCAAATCTTCTCAAAGATTGAACCGATATATATATTTTTTAATGTTCTACAAAAATGAACTGTTAAGTGAAAGACCAGATGGCCAAGTTTGATGGGATAGATACGAAGAAGATTCATCTCATGAGTAGCGACTGACCTTTCAGAGCTGTTAGAGACATTATTCGCACAGCTGGATGTGCCATTTACACATGTACACAGCATGTACATGTACATCACACAGATATTCTTAATGATGACACTTGAACTACGGTACATGTAATAGACCGATTCGTTAAGCCCCGCCTCCTGGTGTTTGAACCAATCACAGCCATGATAGTTATCTGACATGTATCAAGAAAAAAGTCTGACATACACGTACGATCGGAACTTATTGAATACTGAGGGGAAAAATATACATCTGCATTTAATTCCTATTTATGTTTGCTGCATGATGACCAAGAGAGGGCGCCATTCATTCTTGACAGCACCATGCTTCATGCTGGCTCCATTTATATTTTTTTTTCAGATGAAAATACTAGAGGACTACAGATGTTATACGCGATACAAGGGCTGTTCTGGGCTGTAACAATATTTTAAAACAAAACAGCTGACTTTTTCATTCATTTGAAATTACCACAAAGGTTTTCTGCCCATTCTTTATATGTTTTCCCTAAAAATTACAATGTTCAAAGAAATTCCTTTTAGGATCAAAACGTCTTGCCCTCGTACTTTTACAATTTTGTATTATTTCAGGTCAATCCAGTCAGTGAGCAGTTTATGAGAGCTCTTTGTGTTTACTTTTCATTAAAAAAAATGCTTTGGCAACAACAAAATCTCAAAACTTGATTCGTCTGAGTGCGGCTATACCCTCATGCTGAGATGTTTAATAATGTCTGCAAAAAAATAAAATCAAAGTTATGTACTTACCGGCGAGTTGTCGATGGGCATTCGTGCCGGCGTCGTGTACGTCTGCTGCTCCCATTTCGACGCAACCTCCAGCGTTTCCATGGTCTTCTGGTTGATGCTCTTGCTGCCGTCCATGAGTGTGGCCTCGTAGAACTCCTGGATGTCTGATGGGTGAAGCGGCACGGGGAAAAGAACAAAATCTGGGTTGTTGGTGTCAAGTTGTATTCAGACCAGAAAAATATACTACCGTTTCAAGAGTCAAATAACACAATGCAAAATGTGCTAATATGCTGTCGGCTCGACTTGCACATTCCTGTCGTCTGAAATTTCAGGCAGACAATGTGCAACTTGGGTAAATGTACTGTATGTATGTAAATGTACCTTTTTTAATGATATTCTGGTAGTTTTGTGAGTGAATACAAATGTTTTGCTGGTACTCATTGAGCCTATAGAGCCTGTTCATTATTTTAGTTCACTAACAACATAAACAATGAGTTTACTCTTTCCTATCCAAGCAACACAGAACCACTGCCCTCTGAATCGGCCTCAATGCAAAAGGTCTATGAGCAACTGTCAATGCTCTGTAGGTCACCGCATCCGGGATAAAACAACTAAAATGTCATTCCAAACTTGCAAAATTACAAGTCTGGACTCTTTCCAGGTATAGAACTTCACTCACGGGCGAGGAATAAGACAAACTGTTCAGTTTTAAGATGATCTCATGAGAAAAGAATAATTATATACTCTTTATATTTTTGCAATTCTTAATTCCCATCTTGCAAAATTACTCGTCTGGGATCTTTCGAATTAAAACTTCACTCAAATCATGGGCTGAGATTATTACAAACTTTTCAATTTTAAAATGATTTCATGTGAAAAGAATACCGGTAAGTATACGGGGCCTACTTCTTTTTATTTTTTAAATTCTTAAAAGACATTTTCTTAAATTGTTTCCTTTTGGAGATGTCAATTTCAGTGCCGTCTGAAGACAATAAATGGATAATATTAAAAAGAACTTCACGAACATGTAAACCTTAAACCATGTATTTAAATGACAAATGAAATATGTACATCTACATGTACATAGTGTACACCAAAGATGTATACAATGTAACACTGTATGTAAAAAAAATCAAGGTGCAGCAAGCAACATGTAACATTTGCAAACTAAAGCAATACATTGCACATCTGCAAAACAGGACTACACAGTACACAGCATGACAAAGCAGGAGAACCTGAACAGCGCCCTCTTGTGACACACACTGACAACTCATGAATAATGCATCTATAGGCATGGTAGGGCATAGTGATCACCAGAGCATCGTATATATTTGCTTGAAGTTGCAGGATAACTCAATCGAAACGGAGTTAAAGCGATAAAAGAAATGGATGCCTTGCGGGTACAGAATGGGGCGCAGAGAAGATGCATTTAGGGTGCATGCAACAGCCGATGACGCACTGTGTCTTGTGGCAATCAAAAACATAATAAAAACCAAAGAATACTGGGCAAAAGGAATTTAAAATAAAATACATGAAATCTACACGATGTTTGAAGGGATAAGTTGACTACATTTTGAAAAAGAACATTGTGATCTTTTCAAAATCTCTCCAGAAACTAATCTCAAACAATTTGGTATAAACTATAATTTGTTTCTCTTTACTGTCTACAACTCAATTTATTTCACAAATAAACAGGGGCATTCCATTCATGCTTTGTGTGTTTATACAACTTGCACATGCTTATCCATCAAAAAATTAATATATTCACCATACAATACATATGTAATTTGAATGAAATGACTTTTTTTTTTAATTCTTTGGTCTTTTACAACAAAAAAGAAGGATTTTTTACGGGGCTTACTTTGGTCAACCGGTAACAAGACACAGGCGTCCTGAATATCTGCAAAACATTTGAAGAAAAATAAATAAGAACAAAACACAGGGAATAGACATTGGTCGCAATCAACTACCATGTGCAGCTGTAATAAGCATTAATAATTTAAGTAAAGGCATACATTTGTAAACTTTTGATTTTCAAAATGAAAAAGGCAGTAAGACAGAACACAGAAAAAGAAAAAAATTTGAAGAATTTTTAACTTTTGAAAAATTTTCCCAGGTTGTGTTTTGTCTTCAAAAGAAAACAAAATCCAACCTGTAACCACACATGTTTAAGTAAGGGACTATGAAATATCATTTTTCAAATATTTCATTTTTTTTGCAAATCCTAATAATATTTAAAAAGCAATTTTAGCAACAGATGTTAAGCAAGGGCCAACAGACCGATCATTAACCCCGCCCACTACGCAGAGTAGGCGGTAAGACGTGCGCCTTTTCAATGCCTCGCTGCACATTCCATCCGCGCATGCCGTACGCACGGGCATGGATGTCAGACTTTTAAGCACGCTTGTCAAGAGATTTCATATGCATGTCGCATGCACGTGCACGCTTGTCGGACTTTTGTGTATGCATGTCAGCTATTAATCACCATGATCACGGATGTGATTGGTCAAAACTTCATGGGCGGAGCTAAATGAATCGGTCTAACTCTATGGAGTACCTAAGTGAATACGTCACGCGCACAAAATGTGTGTGAAAGACATAAGCGCGTGATTCAGCCCGTGAACCAACACGCGCGCGTACTCCATTCGTTTGCACTACACTTTCTGGTTCTAAATGACGTCCTACTTCGGTACTCCATTCTGTTGAGCAGCTTAGCTGAAAAATGTTTCTAAGCAAGTTTAACTGGCTGCAAGGCAGTCATACTCCCACAATACGGCATGACCATTGACTGGTAGCCATTTTGATAAGCAAGACTGCCTGGTACTTAGCAATAACAGTGTGCAGAACAGCTCAGTGAAAGCGGCCAAGTCCGTCATTTTGTCTGTTCGTTAGTAAATATGGACTGGGGGGGGGGGTGTATGGAAGGAATTACAGTGAGTGAAAGGATGGTGTGAAAGAGTGAATCATAACTTTGTAACAACATTTATTAAAGCCGATACTTGCAGGCCTGCATGCAGGTTTTCAAGTGTGGGGTGCATACATACATGTACTTAGGCTCAAGACATCAGATCATCTTCATTAGAACTTGTAGTTGTACACAAAGCTTTCATGATTTGTACACAAACCAACACATACTCATTTAACAAGTTTCATTGTGTACATGTACCGGTATGTATTTGTTAATTACAATATTGTGTCGAGAGAAAACGTAATCTTTTAACCCTCCCTCTCTGGCTGGCAATTTCAACAAGGCCAGCCCAGCGGTCAAAATAAATCAAGTGACTGTTTTTAACAGGTGAGTGATCCCTGCCTTCGTAAAGCAGGATTGACTGGCTGTGATTGTTATGAAACCTGATAAACTGGGTAACTAGCTTTGACTGTAGGAGATGGAGAAGCCAGTTGTGCCTATCAGTCACCTGCTTCTGTGTCTGTGGATGGAATTTGACTGTCACAGTGCCTACAAGAAATATGATCTGACTGTTGGTGACTAGCCTGTGTGAAAGGCATGGCAGGGAAACAGGATTGAATTTTTGACTGTCTTTGACTGATCAGACAAAAGGAGTGTTAACAGGCAGTTGTGAAGGTATTGTACCTCATAGCAATTGCTTCATACATGTACAAACAAAAAGAATGCTTTAATTATGTTGACTTTTTTAATTTGGTGAGCAGTGCATACACTCCCTGTCTAACCACCTCCCCCAACCCACCCGAAACCCCCTCCCCTATCTCCACCCCCCCCCCCCCAGCCTCTTCAATAATGTAATGAGTAAAGAAACGCTATGGTCTTCATTTCCACAGATAAACTGTTCTCCATTTTTATTTCTTTCTTCAATACCTTATCAATAATTTAATCACAGAAAACTGACAGGTTTGCTACAGAAATGATGAAGGACAAAGATAAAAAGGGATACTCATCAAGTCATTTACATGGAAAGCCATGCCCAATATTACACGCAGTGCATCCATTATAACGATCCATATATCACAAAAATAGCTTTCTGAGGGAGGGAGGGGGGTGAGTGTGGCAGAGAATAGCTCATGCATTCCAATAAGGAAGCCAGCCCTGTGGCGATTCAACGGCCAGTTTTTGCTGTCATCCCACACAATAGGCAGGGCAGATTTCCTGATTTGATTTCAAGGGTTTATCGGTAGCTTCGGCTTGGCAGTATTATTAGCGACCCAAACATACACTCTTAGAATTGTCATTTTATGCATCATTAGAGTCAGAATTGCCTATTTTATAAACACCAACACCCCCCCCCCAAAAAAAAAAACCTTCTTCTAGACGAACACAAATTTTACAATGTGTAGTTACATGTACATGTACATGTACATTGTGTAATATCAACCCTCCAATGTAAACATGCATTCTGTGCCAAGCTGTCCTTTCACTTTCAGTCAAAATCAGTCAAGTGACTATTTTCAACAGTTCCCAGCCCACATAAAGCAGGACTGACTGGCCGACATGGTTGTGTGACTGTTTATGACTGATCAGCCAACCACAAATTTGCCTACAAAAAAGTACATGTACATTTGTACCACTTGCCTGTTTTTGTCTGTTGACTGAATTTGACTAGTCACATCACAGTGCTTGCTTGAAATATGATCTGACTGTTGGTGAGTAGCCTGTGTAAAAGGCATGGCACGCCTGGCCACTGATCAGTAAAACAGATTGAGGACGAAAGGGTTCTCAGTTTTAAGATCTTGTTATTAAATTATCAGGAAAAAAACTCACAATCATGACAATGGAGGTTGCTATTTCATGGAATGTTTACGGGTTAGTGGCTATATTTAGAATCATTCTCCAGTGATGCGATTCCCTTTAACGTTAGCAAACCATTGGGGGACATCATTCCTGTGCAATATCACTTTGCCATCCGTCAAGGAAACTAATGGATTTTTCATAACGGTACATCGGTAAACACACAAGTTTAAATTATGAACGGTGTACAATAAACATGGTGGACTTGCCTAATATATTTTACATGTACATGTACCGGTACATGTGTACACATGTAGGTTAAATTACAGTACATGTACTCTAGTAAGTAATGTTTTAAAATTATATTTTTTATTTCATAATAATATTCCTCTTGTATGTATACCCCACTCTGCAAAGAAACAGTTTTCCTTCAATTTTGTAAAATGTGCGTGTACACTGCATACGTACTTATTGTACACATTAATGTTGGCCTCCATATGTGCATATCACAGTATTTATGTTCCCACATGTATGGGTACACGTACATAATGCTGACATTGATTGATCCTGACGTAGGCCGCCGCGTCTTGTTGTTTTAGCACGGTGTCAGACTAGCGAACACAAACTTGTGTCAATGCCACGTACTCATTCCAACTCTTGTTTAAAACAATCACCGCCGCAAACCCCCTGATAATCCCCCTCATCTCTCCGCTACACATCTCCTCACACCCTATCATACGTCCGACCATCTATGACAAATTCTGTGACAAATCCCCTGACAATACCCATGATATCCCCCCCCCCCGACCCCACACACCCACACACCAGCTTCACACCTTTTTTCAGATTCTGAGCAGTACATGTGGCATTCTTACCCCCCCCCCCACCTCACAGCCCTCACCTCCCCCCTCCCCCCCCCCCCCCCCCCCCCCCCCCCCCCGTGCATTACGGCCTACCGAATGACACGCCAACTGTTTTTTCGAACCTCCGTGTGCAGCCGCGTGTCTCCGTGTTGACACGAGAGAGACGAACACACCAAAGCGTGACATTACATGGAGGTCCATCACTGTGGAATTTGATGACGTTTGGTAAATGGACTCACGAAGCATGAAGAGCAATTTCAATTTTTTTTTTTATTTTTAGGGTCCGATACCGGATGATAGCTGCTTTAAATCGTGACGGGAATCTCGCTGACGTACATGTGAAGATGAGCTTACTGACTGATAGATGTACACGTACATGTACTGTATACATTGTATTACCCCGTATTACTGTGTATACACACACAATGTATTATTATTATTACATGCACAAACATGTACGCATTTGTACTGTACATATTACATTACCGGTACTTGTATGCACATGTTCACCAATATTTTCTTTTTTAAGTTTAGAACACAAAATCCTGTATATTGTTTACTTGGACGTTTCTAGAATAAGGCCAAATCCCGACACGTTACCTACATTGTATCACGAAGGCCCCCTTCAATGGCGAAAGCATTGTGCTAGCTATTGTTCAGTTAATCTAACAGGCAGTTGCCTTAGACAATACATAAATTTACAAAATGTACATGTATACATGTAAGCAACGCACAACGGTTTTTCCATTGAAGGGGGCCTTGTGACATAACTACCACCAAAAAAAAAGAAACAACAACAACAGAAACTGGGTTTTGAAGAATTTGGAGTACCGGTACATATTTACCGGAACCTTTTTTTAAAACAAACTTGAGCAGAATGATGTACATATATGTACGAAATGAACTACACTGTATTGCAATGATTACTACATACATGTCTAAATCAAGTATCAGTCAAATGATGAAAATTACACAATGCCGTATCCTTGACCACTATGACTCCAGCTCCCAACTCCAACCAACAAGTCAATAACAAATATCGGTATTGCACCGAACCGCGCGTCAAATTAAGTCCCGCATGACGGCACAACAAGCACCATCATGCGTGGTGAAATGTCTTCTTGCATTTTTCATGCTGAAATCGTGGGCATATTACAAACATGAACTTGTACATGTGCCGGTATGTGTACGTGTACATGTGCACGTCGTACAAATGTACATGTACAGTACGTATATCCTGTCATAGTTTGAGTGTAACACAGTTTATGGTAAGGTCAAGTAAAAAACAAAATAGGTAGTTTCTCATACAACTGTACGGCTTTTTTTTTTTAAAGGAGGATTGAAATTTTTTTTTCTCCAAAGATGAGGGATTTTCCAAGATGGCGGATAGTTCTTTAATTTTCTCGACTACGGTATGTGGCTGATACAAAATTGTGTCCAAGGGAGCCATTACCCTTTCTACATTACTAGTACATGCTCTACAATTTTGTTGCAAACAAATAAAAAGACAAAAAATGCAATATATGCAAAATTAATTTTGAAAAATGAAAAAAAAAAAATTGTTAAAGGAGGCGGCGGGGAAAAAAAGGAAGTGGGCAGGGACGATAAACTGGTTTATTTTTTTTACTTGGCCTAATATGTTCCAGCCAGAGGTAACATACAATTTACAAACAAACAAAAACTTGAGCCATAGGCCTACTTCTTTTAAAACAACATTCTGAACTGAGAAAACCTGCGTGGGTGTTTTGGGAAAAAGGTGATATATGTTGATGTCATTTTATACTGCTGTCTGGCACAAGTGGCGGTGTTCCAAATTCCTCAGGTTTTATGTGAGGTCGATATTGGTGACCTGTAGCTTTTAAGTTAGACAACTTGTTTCCCAAGATAATACATACATGTACACATGTACCATACGTAGTAAATACATGTAGAACAGCTCAGACAATAAACGTGCAGATATTCAGAAGTAAACATAAAATGTGTACAGTACATGTACACACAACGTACAAGCGGCATTCACCGTTAATAAGTCTATTCTACATGTACATGTTGGAAAAAATGAGAAAAAATGTCCATACACCTGAAATACCTGTGCATGTATACACGTACATGTACAGGTACATCACATGTACTGTACATGTGTACATGTATGTAAGGCCCCAAAATTTATTCTGCTTCTGATTACAATGGCATTTGAAAATGGTACCTAGGTACCGTTCATGTGTAGGTTGGAATTTTTCTTTTGGGGGGGGGGGGGGCATTTTTTTGTGTGTTGATCATGTATCGGTAGGTATCTGCGTGTACATGTAGTCATTTTGAAAGTACCGGTACCTGTACAGGTACATGTACATGTATGTAATTGATGGGGTTTTTTGGGGGGGGGGGGGTCCTCACTTTTCCCCAAAAAAATTAGGGTAGGGGCTGTCAAAATAGGTATCGGTAGGTACATGGTAACCGGAAGCAGAACTATTATGTTTTTTTAGGCCTAAATTACATTGTATGGAATAATGCACTGAAATTCAAGACAAAACATATTCATGTACATGATGTACATGTACACACATGTAACTCATCATACATGATGTGTACATGTGTATGATTGATGCCATGTATCGGGACATGTTAAAACTATGAATACCCATGTCCATGTCCATGGCCATGTCCATGTCCATGTCCATGTCCATGTCCATGTCCATGTCCATGTCCATGTCCATGTCCATGTCCATGTCCATGTGTTACCTGCCTGCATAGTACTGAAGACAACATAAACAGAGCCATACAGTACATGTACAGTACATGAGCGTACTATGTATCTTAACAGAAGCACTCTGATTACACAGCAGGCAGAAAGTGAAATGACTAACAGTGCCCTGCAGTGAATCAGCAATACCGATATCGTTTGGTGTCGCTGACTGGCCGCTGATGAGGCAGTTCCTACAAAACGGCAACACAATACCCGCAATCCGCATGAGGATGTCATCGAAGGATCTAATTAAGTGTCGTGGTTCGCAGACGTCATACGCACAATGCCTACAGTACTCATGTATCGGGTACATTGTACATGTTTCAGTGCATGTTGCATGCAGCATGTTCACACGAACTGACACGAACCAAATGTAATTTCTTGGGTCCTATACACATGTACTCACATGTCATTTATATGATGTACATGCACATGTAGAAAATTTGTACAATGATGATTCTCCACTGTGAATAGAGCACAATTTACACCCTTTCAAGCTACACAGTCCATCATTTGCAGCTATCCAAAAAGTAACTGACGCAGTTATTGTTGAAAAACATACTTGATCGGAAGATAGTAAGGGGACTAAACTCCCTGTGAAATTATTCTTTCTGGCAAGCTGTCATTTTGAAGAAGTCAATGAAAGAAGGCCTTTCCAACGGTGAGTCATTTCGTTGGAAAATTCCGTTTAGTAGTTGTTTTTTTTAATTTGGTGAAGCACGTGCAAGCTTTGGCACGACGCACACGCAACTGAGGGCGCTTTTGCTGTGATGTCATTTCAGGAAGACACTGTTCAGTTTAGGGGTTTTCTGTTCAAATTGTGAACCCAAACATTTGCTCACTGAAAACATTTGTGAGAAAGGTTTGCTCATTGGTTTACTGCCATGTACATGCACTGACACACCAAAGAATCACCAAAGAAAAGAAAATTTACAACAGCAAAATATCCAAAATTTTAGCAACTTTTTGTGCTGAAATAGCTGTAACATTGCGGTTTCTGCCTGAAATGTCATCACACTTTTGCTCATGAATATGGACATTTGCATTAGCATAAAAACAAAAAAAACGGCACCAAAATACCCTTGAAGTTGGCAAAACGAAAATTTGAAAATAAGGTTAAATGGGACACAAAGGTGCATTTTCAAGGATTGCATTTTTAAAAATTACATTGCGTGGATCCCTTTTTAAGTCATGCTATTTTTAGTTTCAAAAAAGAGCAGCTGAACTGATTGAAGACATTGTAAATGTAGACAGGTCTGTTTGCCCCAATGCTGGTCTACCGTCATTGAATGTGCAGTAAAATAAAAAAATCATTACAATAAAATATTATAAAGCATTAGAATAAAAGTCTCCAGTGATCCATGTCACCAGACCCAGGGACCTGTACTAACAACAAAAAGGGACCCTGCAAAAATGACATGAAAAAAACAACTTTGTCTCTATTGTTGAAAGTTGAAGATTTATCACTCCCACTCCCAGACAAGGCCTTGGCACAGCATTCACAAAACTATTGGCACAGAAGTGGAACAGACAAATGTTTGAGCCAAGGCGCACTGGTTCCCATGGTTGACAACTTTTAATAAAAATGTAGTGAGGGGAACGATCTCACATGAACCTCCAGAAAAACATTCATTGTGGTTGGTGGCATGGTAAAAAAATACAGGAAGAGATTTAAATGTGAGACAAGATGTTCAAAGACATCTACACTGTCAGCAGCAAGGTTTTATTTAGCCCTAACTCCCGAGAGTGTGTGATTAATCATACAATCTCTTTTTTTCTTTTTCATACATTTGTATTTTATTAAAGGAAACCCGAATTTGAGAATTCAGGACTATGGGCCTTAATGCACAAGTCAGCCATATTGAATCAAAAGTGCGGTAAAATGATAAATCCACATTTTTGGATTTTGCAAAGAGAAAGGAAAGCAAGTAAATTACTAATTAATTCAAGTCTGCTTTAATGAATAATTTAAAACTTGTAATTAAACATTCCCAAATGTTTTAAGCCAGATAAAAAAAAAATGACAGTAAAGTATGGCTGCATGGATAGTCTGGCGCCATCCCTTTCAACAGTTAAAAATTTATGAAATACATTCAGGGAACTGGACAAAAAATGGCCAACTCATGCGTAAGGCCCATTAGAGGTAAAATAAAAAAACAAATTAGAAAGTCTGAAATAAGCCTCCACAATACATGTATTTTCATCAAAGGAAACGTATACATTTTTCTGAGAGAAATTGTTCCACCAACTTTTTGCATTGTAAACTTTAGTGTGAGCAAAAGTTCATGCGCTCATCGTTCTGAGTTGCAGATATTTTTTTCAAGGGAAACTTCAAGTTTTTGGACATCCTGAGTTATACCTGAATTATGATTTTTTGTTGGGAGGGGATTTTGAGGGGGGAAGGATGCATGGAGAGGAAATGATTTAATGGATGAGGCTTTTTTTTTTGGCAAAAGAAATTGAAATGATGAAGGGTAGCAGGCTAACTTGAAATGAGTGAAGTGACGTGAAATATGATGTGTGCGCAAAGACATCGGTTCAATTTCACGAAGCTGCAAGCAGAAAGCAGTCAGTTCACCTACATTGTACCAAGCAACTTTTAGTCATGAACGGGCCAACATTTATATGCAAAAATCCATACCTCATGTTATCCTGGCTATTTGTATGCAAGGAAAACTTTGCTTGGGTGCAAACTGTTGCTGTACGGAGTCTGCAATTTTGAGCAACTTTGATTTTTTTTTCTCATACCCTTGCAATATAGACCTAAAATATGATTGCATCAGGACCAGAGCACAATTTTATGGCTTTGCTTATAACCTTAAGCAAAACAATCTCTGCTTACTGTCAGCAGAGAAATTTGTGCTTTCGCTTAGCATATTCCGCAGGTTGCAAAGAATTTTGGCTAATGTGCATTTTTAAAGCACAAACCGTAACTAAGGATTCTATGCATACAGGGTTAGCACTGTATCTTTTTGCTAGCGCTGTTAGCACAGAACGGTGATTGTAAGCGTGGAATTCTGTGGTTAGCAGAGCCATGAAGTTGGGCCAAGAACAAACTCTGGCGAAATAGATTAAGACCTTTTTGGTCTTTCAGAACACGACAGAATTAAGTTCTGTGCAGAAACGATGAAAGTCCAAAAAGACAGATGTGATCGGAACTTACCAAGCAGAGCCTGAAAAAGCCGGCTCTTGAAGATGCGAATGACCCTCTCGATGGCATTACGTAGGGGACGGTCACCGGGCTTGGTCAACTTGGAGTGGTAATCTTCCAACAGTTCCAAGGCCCTGTGGGCCTCTGCGAAAAGAACACAACACAATTGGAGATTTTATTAATTATTCACTGTTACATTTGTACAGTAATGCTACTGGTCTCCACATTGATTCCGTACATGGATTCAGGAATGGCGTCCGTAAAAACCTCCTCAGCAGAAAGAAAGAAAACGATAACACCCCCCCCCACTCCTCCTCGAACACCCCAGCTTGTGTGTCCCTTTAAAGTTACTGATCATGAACATCTGTGAGATGTCCAGATTATCAAGGGTTAGATGATAGATGGGCCAAGAGGGGAAAGCGTTAACACTTGCGGTTACGCTTGGCAGGTTGACTGGGCAAGATGATTACACCATACACAGAACGTAATTAATGAGCGTCTCAGGGTTCAGATTGGTCTGCACTTTTATTCTTATTAATGGGCCCCGCAGAGAGTTGAAGTGTTGTAATTATTAATAACTCTAATTACACGCAGACATACATGAACATGTACATGGTGGAGTGAGAAACCTACCCACCCCAATAGTGGGGGGGGGGGGTGTTTCATCGGTTAGGCCGTCCATTTTCAAATAATTTAGTACTCGATTATTTGAAACTGCATCTATCGAGGGTGCATTTACGGGTAGTATGGAAACTGGTTACCCGATTGAAAACAAAAATGGGTACCCAGGTACCCGTTAAAGAAGCCCAACCCAAAATTCAAATCTCGGAAGTTGCTGTTCAGATTTTTCATAAAGGTCCGCACAATAATACTGCCATATTTGTGTGTCAATGCAGCAAGATACAAGTTTGGACAGTAAGCTATGCTTTATGGTGAAAACTGCAACTTTACGCGAGCGCCATAAACATGAAGTATGTGTTGTTTTCCCATGTAGCCTGGTTTTCATTTTGAAAATGACATTCAAAAGCTTTCTTTTACATTGTCTGAGAAGTTGCTAAGTTATTTGTCAAGTTGGTTACGGGTACCCAATCCCATAATCTGGAACCGGTTCCTGACATCAACGGTACCCGGTTCCGATACACAGCCCTTAAAATCTGCATTTGACCGAATTTTCGAATAAAACTCGCCAATCAAATTTTACACAAGCCAGCTGCAACTGTACTTCTCACTGGCCCAAAGTTGCATGCAAAGTGCGCCGGTTAAAATTTGCACGCGGCAATCAATATTATGGTCCGCTGGTGTATTTTACAGTGAGTATAACTATCAAGGACTTTACCCAGAGAATGGATACAACTAACCAACGTTTGACAATTAAAACAAAGCACACAACTTTACGATTAAAATAACACAGTCGTGTGTGCACTCGCATGCTTTTCTTTTCTTTAAAAAAAAATTCAAACTGGCAAAAAGTTATTCGAATATTCAGTTGGTGATCGAATATTCCAATGTTCCGTTTATTCGGGACAGCCCTATCATCCCTTGGGCCAAAAAACAAAAGTCTCCGGTTTCTGGTATGGAGCTTGCCCAAAAAGTGGTGCGGTGACGCGGCTTTTTTTTTTACCTGTCTTTTTTGCTTCAAATGTCGGCTGATGACTGCAAATGGTGCCCGACTAAACTTAGTGCAAATATATGGGAGTCCGGAGAGGCCACACAAAGCTTATTCTCGATCATAACCCCATCTAAAAACACGTTAAAATTGTGCAGCAGCAGGATTCCAGTCAAACCAGTGAGTTTGGCAGTTTTGAGACATCATCTTTTATTGAAAAAAACTTTTTCATTTTGCCGACGCGCATGGCTACGGTGACGCGCGCGCATACCAGAAACCGGAGACTTTTTTTGGCCTTGTGGTTTTTAGTTTCATTAGTTCATATCGAATCAACTGCCTGGTTTGAAGCTTTCATTACCAAGAAAGCGACCGAGAGACTTATGAAATTATGCGTTGGTATAATTCAGTGTTATGAGATTTTTTTCAATCTTGTTACTGGGATTTAGAGGTGCACCATACTGGGTCAATTTGATGCTAAACCCTCACTTAATCCCACTTGATAAGTCCGTGGGGAAATCCCATTAGTTTTGCTCCTCTTTCAATGGAAGGGTGTTTAATTTATTCAGCCTCTGCAACATTAACAGGCTGGACCAGTTACATGTTAATGTACTTGTTGTTGGGTGTGAAATACATGCACATGTTTACATGAATCTTTGCACACAATTCGGCTCTATAGTGTACACTTTTGTTTGTACATGTACAAATCCATGGTGCATTTTCTTATTCAGAAAAATAAATAACGAAAAAAAAATTGTTCAGCCACAAAAACATCTCACAATCTTTCTTTAGGGGTAGGGGGGGGGAAATCTTTAGAAGTTTGTCCACTTTTTGACTTGTTAATGGATTTTTTTTTACAATGGGGATAAATAGTGTGGTGAAGCAGTTACATGTTTAAAACTGTTTACAGACCTGGTCGCTGATAATTACTTTAGCCTTCAGCTCCAGCCATTATCGGCCACCAGGCCCCTAACTGCTTTAGCACACTAGTACTATCCCCTTAATCAAGGCATTGAGGTTGGAATTACTCAACCATGAATTGCAGGACTCCACACCCATGCTCCTTTTAAGGTAAATCCATTGCACAGCTGATGTTTTGACCACAGTTGACAGAGCACTGTTATTGTTCAACAACCCAGGATTGACTTTATGCATACATGTACTTTGTTTACATAGGTCACAGGCATGTTAACAATGTATTTTATCATTATAAACCCATACAGCACAGCACTGACATAAGACAGCCATGGATGTTACTGTAGAACTACATGGTAGAAGCTGATCTTGTTCAAACGAAAATTCCTCCAAAACAATTTGAAATACTCAATACAATTAGAAGAAAAAGAAACATCAACAAGACAATTGAACTCTTTTCTCCATCAAAAAAGGTATCGTTGTTCACACTTACAGTCATAAATACATGGACATTGTCTTAACATCCCCCCCCTACATGTATCCCCCTCCCCCCCCCCTCCAAAAAAAAGGACAACAAAATGAGTCACAGTCAAAAACAAATCAAACAATGTTATGATTCATTGAAGACGTTCTGCAGCGTCATAACACCAGAGCCCCCTCTGTGCATACTGTGCATTTACTCAGCACTGAATTCAGTTATAAATGGTACTTCCTCTGACCACATGTGTGGTTATGTAACTGATGTCTGCTGCAAACTAGTGCGAAGTGGTCTTAGGCAATGAATTTCCACCCTGAAATTCATGCCTGTGATAATTATAGTGAAACCGTCCATAGACCTACAAAGAGTATGCAAAGGTACCATGTACCGGGTACATGTACACGATGTGAAAAAAAGGGGAATGTTTTATTCTAATGTATGTTCTGACACCCATATGTTCCAACTGCTCATATTCCTATTCCTATCCCTAACCCTAACCGGAAGTAACACAATTTTAAGTGCTGGTTGTCGAAACATATGTAGGGGTGTCGGAACATAGAGCAGTCACTATCTTATTCTTTCCAAGTAGGGCCTGTGGTCATTTCGTAAGAATGTTTTTAAAACCCGAAAGGATTCCATTAAAAACCTTCAATACAAGTACTAGTATTACCGGTACTAGCACAACACACAAATTAGTTTGAGGCCCCAAACAGTCTTGTTTACAAACAAACAAACAAAAATTAAACCAATCTGGGCAATAATAACTTTTTATATTACACTCGACTAACTAGTTAACGATGTTTACAACAAATACAGGAATGTTGTGGATAGAGGGCAGGATTTTTTTAGGGAGTTTTGGGGTAAAATGACCATCAAAAATAGAGATGGCAATCACCCGCAAATCCCGCGATGCACTGTGAATGCACGAAACCACATTGATTTGCAAATGCAAGGCAACACAAATGCATGAGAAAATAACATTTTGCGAAAGATACAATTCACAATTACAAAAATAGGGATGGCTACTGAAGTAAGTCAGGAAAGAAAGCAGTAAACTAGTAGTAGATCCTGACGCCACTAATGTGGTTGTGTTCAAAGTCTATGAAGAGTTGAGTGCATTTTCAAAGTATTTTCTAACAAAATTGAAAATGTTTTTCAGTCCAAGATTATCATGTTCATGTCTTTTCAACATTTCTGCAATGACTGACCTTTATTGACATTGATTGAGATATTATATGATGAAAAAATTGGCGTCAGGATTCAACTTCTTCCATTGTATAAGGCATTTTGAAATGATAAAAACAAACATGACAAACTAAAACAGGTAACAAAAAGGGGCCAACAAAAATGACTTAAATTTTTACTTTTTTTTTTTGGTTGTACATTTTCTTCCAATTTTCCATAGTTTGAGAGTAAAATTACAATTTTTACAAACCTTGCTTCCGAACTGGCATATTTTCCGAGGTACAAACACAGCGTAAATCCGGTAACGTGGGCTATTTCCGGTTAGCTTGCGCTTGTCAACAGTTGCGATGCACACAGCGGCGCGAGCGAGCACAGCATGCGGCCCGTCAGCACTCCACACGGTACCGTTGACTGCACCGTACACGCGGGACTCGACTTGACTGTCGACCAACAAACTTTCCCGTAAACGCCCAACTTGTCCCAAAAATCCTCTCCCACGGGCAATCACAAGCACAAGCAGTCCGCTAAACGTCAGGTCTAGTAGGCTAGGTGACAGACCAGGGCTGTGCACCTCAACACAGTCCCATTAAACCAAATTTCGGCGAGCTAGGGCGAAGTTTTCCCCGTGTTTTCGAAGCAGTTAAATCTCCACACGGCAAAATGGCGACCTCGATTGACCGCGCGTCGCACACTTGGTCACGTGACTCTGATGACCTACTAACCTTTGACCTATATGCCATGTGCACAAAGTACATGTACTTTTCTAAATTCTATTCGACAACAGTCATGACAGTGGCATTTTGGGAAAGAGTAAGTTCTTTTATTGATTGCAATTTGGCTTGAGTAAAACTAAAAGAAAAACAACTTGAACGTCGTGTATAAAGAGAGCAAGGTTGTGCTTATCTCAAATTTTGAGGAATGTTTTGGGCGACCAGCTAGTAAAACAAGTCCAACAGATGACAGAACTTGATAGTTGAAGCATGGAGGAATCTAGTCCGAAAATTTGGGACTCTCAATACTGCGTTTACTCCTTGGCACACTTTGGTTTACTCATTATTAAGCTAAAAGTGCATGGAGGTAGGAAACATGGTCATGTAAGGTTAAAATTAAAGTTTCCGTACGAATAGTTGAGCCATATTTTACTAAATAATACTTGTGCCTACCAACAGTAACTGGTCTCCATTTGTTCTTGACTTAAGTTAATTTGAGTTGAATTGCATTTATTATAGGCCTAACTTGAGTGCAGATTTTGCCACATCCGAGAAACCATGGCAATATCACGCAAAGATGTAGTTTCCGTGGTAACTGAGCAATCATCAACCCAATCCAAGGAGCAGGTTGGCACGGGCGAGTATTTGTCAGCTTCCGAGGCGCTGGAAAAACAGCTGCAGCTTGTGAAGAAACTACCAGATAGCAAAAGGTAAATCAACTTTTTGGTCATCGCGTAGTTTAGGACACCTCTTATGTTTTACAAGTTCCGTTCGTAAATCAAAACCCTGCCCTCTTTCCACAACATTCTAGCTGGGAAAGATTTCCATATACGAAGTTCACTCAACACCCTGTGTACAAACCCTATGAGATTGGACTGAAAAATTCTAAGTGTTTTCTAAGAAAATGCTTGTATTTTCTCATGGCTCAAATTGACTTTGATGACATGAAATTGCTATCTGAGGGCTTGTTAGTCAATACAGAGGAAAATTAGTGAACTTCGCATATGGTAATCTTGCCTTCTTCTAGCTGATATGCAATATGGTATCTTAGCAAAACTATCTAGATGATTTTCCAAACACATAAAGTGACTTTTCCTGCTTGTATTATACTAAGCCAATTGTTTAGGTACTGGTACTAGGGCCTAAGTCCCAAAACATAAAAGTGTCTTTCATTTTCTTACATGGAACGGGGTCCTAAACTACACGATCACCGACTTTTCATTGCCCATGAATGACAGTCAGCAATGTGTACATGCACACTCAATTTAGCACTCTGTCTGCAACGAGAAGACTTTGATATGTATTCCAAATATTGTGGTCTGCAGATCAGCTAATTTTTTATAAAATTACAAAGCACCTTTTTCAGAGGATGTGAATTGGTCCTTATTCGTTAGGTCATTGTCCCAAATTTTGTTGAAAAAACTTCCTAATAAAAACAAGTAATCAAAGTTATGTCATTTTTATATAATTAATTGAAGATATAATTTTGATTTGTTCTGTCCATGCAGCTGGCCGTTTGGTTACGGACCACTTGTTCTCTCCATCAATGCGGGTCTCGTCGGCGTGATCGGAAACTCCTTCTTTCGTCGGATGTTGATGGTCCGGAGAGGTCTGTTTCTGACCAGTATACCAAGCACCTTGATGCCTGCCCTTTTGATTGCTCCAGCTTACATGAAGTTTGTTACGCACCCAATACTCCTGAACGACTTGGATTGCGCGGTGTGTGCGGAAATACGGGGCGGATTGATCAACTTTCTACTTGGTAAGAGCGTGGGATAAGGGGTGGGTGGGGGTAAGGCTACATAATGGAAGTCTGAAAACACTAGATCCTTAGAATAATTGACTGGGGGAAAAAAGAGGGCAATTGTGTAGGGCCCTGTCGCCTATAAGGAAACAAAAATCCACTTTTAGGTTATTGGACGTTTACCAAATTAGTTAGTGACATTACAAACCAACAAGTACATGTATAGAGGGCAGGGTTTTTATTTGTTGAGGGAAATTTTGAGGTAAGCGACGATGATTACGACACAACGCAACACGAAAATAAAGATGGCGATCACTGCGATGCACAGTAACACCCAACATCGCGTTGATTCTCATGGCACCAACTGTAAAACGTGTAAAGAAAATCACGTTTTCTACCGCAAGAAACTGTTCAAATTTACTAAAACTGGTGTCATTAGAATTAAGCGAAGTTTGCTTCAGGTTGAAAAAGTTATTTTTGAATGATAAAAACACCCTTGACTCTAATTTGATCAAAACTAAACACTACACAATCGCCAAAATGAGAACCCCCTGTTCTTAATTGGAACACCTGCTTTCCCTTCTTGGAGCACCCTGGGAACGCACCTTGAGTCCCTAGTATCTGCAGCGGAGCCTGTTTTACAATCTGGCAGGAAGCACAGGGTACTCTGTGCATGTTCTCTTTAGTAGCTCTCAGGAATCCAAAGGCAGCATTTCAAAAGATAAAACATGATGTCAAGCTTTAAGACTCTCGCTAAGACATCCTTGACATAAAACATGGGGGATTTTCAAAACTTTTCTAACATAGTGAATATCGCAAGAAAGAAAACCATTGTCTGGCTTCCTCTCAGTAATGATGGGAGGCCTGGGGAGGGTAACTTAGCTGAAAATGCTTGAATTTGTCAACAGTCATCGTCGAGTTTACTTGTTCTCTTTCTCTTGCATTTGCCGCATTGTCAGGGGCTATGTATCCTGTCTTACTGGCAGCTCCTCTCAACGCAGCGTTGGCCAGACGCTACGACACGGTCAAGGTACCCTCCATGTCCTTCAAGAACTTCGACCGGAGCCACTTTGTCAAATTCTGGAGGAGCAAGATCCGGTACTTCAAGGGGCAGTTCGTCACCATCGCAATTTTCCAGACCATTTTCGGGATGTTTATCGCCGGATCTCAGATGCGGGTCGCCAAGGAGGACCTCGGTCAGAAACTTGTCAAAGTAGAACCTTGACAGGAGTGGGTTTTGTGGCATCGTTGTCAGCAATACATCGCACGCTCTTCCTTGTAACAGCCAAGGATGTTGGTTCTTTTTTCCAGAGAATGTTTTGCATGCATTGTGACCAGATGCTAAGGAGACATCTCCAGGAAAAGTTGCGGACAGTTTATCCTTGAAAGGCCAACTGTATCGGGTCAAAGTTACAGAATTTGAAGAGTTTCTCCAGAGTCTTCCTGCAGTGAAGCTAGCAGGATTGCTTACAAATGATAATTTCAGTGCAAGAAGATTTTAGTTTCAATCTGGAGTGACAATTGAAGTTGCAATTTTTCTATTTTTTTTTTAATCTAGGTATCACACAATTATGATGGCTTAGTAGTGAATGTGTGTGTGAATAATGTGACATGCTGGATACATGGTTATGCTCAGACTTACCTTTAAAAATCCTACCTTAATTTGATAAGAGGAAATAGAAAAGACGGAAGCATCAAAAGTTTTTGCTTAAAAAAAAGGAAAATTGAAATCTCATCGTTGCACTTGTTTAGAACTGCCAGTAAAAACAAATCCAACTATTCCATCAATTGTTCTAGCATTAAAATATCTTAGCCTGTAGCAATTGTATTTTATTCGGTATAATTCAGAAAACATTTTGGGTTTTTTTGCGTACTGCTTTGTTTCCAGTTGGCTCAAGATTTTTCATCACAAATTATTTGTTTTAAGACATTTCTTAAGGCTGGCAGTTTTAATACCCACCCAATTTTTCAACATCTTGTTTTAACAGCCCTGCAACTGTTTTGTTCCCACAAAACTTGATAAAAAAAATCAATGAGAAATTAATTGATTCTGATTTCGTTTGATTATTACATTTTTACTTTGGTAAATAACAGAACAGAGACGGATTTGTATTCTCTTCAATAATTACTCATCCAAAGTTTGAAATGATTCTTGTACATAAATGTTGCATTCCTTATCCCGTTGAGGGCGCCAGACAAGCTATTTCGTGCAAAAACGTGGAAACCGAGAGGGCGCTATACAGCTTTCAGAGGTCCCAAAAGCACATGCAGTTGAATTTACAAGAATACATATTTCTCAGTTTCTTCTTTTGTTTACCTCCAAGAAATGATGTTCATGCAACATTTGTATAACGTCGTTCTTGAATGACGACCAGCACAGTGTATTCCTTCATTTTAAAGATTTTATTCAAATTCCACAGAAATTACCGAAAAGATTTTCCAAATTAAGCTGACAACCAGATCCAGAAAAAAAGTAACACTCGTGTAACGTTCGAGGCGATGCCCCATTTTCAACTTTCCGTAAAATTTTCAGCCCAGATTTTTCAAGTGTTGTTTTAACTAAATATTTCGCCGCCATTGTTTATCAGTACTTGGTTCGGATTTCGGAACATATCGTGCCTTCATGGTCTCCCTTTTCCACAATAATTGTGCCCTTTATGTCATTCTGTTAAATTTTATTTCGCCAATCTAAACCCCGAACTTAGAATCACAAAATGACGTTTAGTTGTGAATGACCTCGCGAAGTACTGTGCGTGTGTCCTTCAGGTGAGTGGAGTGACCTATTTCACACGTATCCTTTAAAGCCAAAATTGTTGGTCGCCATCGACAAGGACAAACCGTGGAATGGAAAAGAAAACAGGATTCAATTCTTTTGATGTCACATAAAATCCCTTAAAAATCTTTACGAGAAGTAAAAGACACACATTTATACACAAATTCGCTCTCAATAAAATGTTCTCAAGCGACTGTGAACTCAGTTCATTTTTATTAATTGCAAACAATACTGAACACTAAACTATGCAGTGGCATGCAAATGAGATGGTGGTGGCATGCCGTGCCACGATGTTATGCTAATTTTTGGTCGGCAGGTTTGGTTATGAATAAATTATGGCCAATCAAAAACATTTTTGTTTGGGTGCCGCCCCTCTCCCCCTGTCGTTGGACCTCATTGGTCGAAAGTAACACGCGCTACTGGCGTTGGAAATTCGTCTGGCCAATCACGTGCACCGCAGTGACATCAAATCTTCCTAAAGTCCGGGATAACACATTTGAAATTTGGTTATCGATAGGAACATTTGAAATTAACACTAGCAATGTGAACGGGAAACGTCACCGTGAAAGCACAATTACACTGTTCTCTTTCGTTTCCTGGTATACTGGATCACTGCCTACCTTGACCCAAAATAAGTCATACAATGCCGTGCGTGAACTACAGTTTCCTCGTCTAGTGGTCTATGGGATCGGGTGAACAATCATTATTTGTTGACATTGCTTGTTTGTACCAGTACAATTGTGAAAAAGGAAGGAATTGTAGTTCGCGTAGGTCGATCAGGCAGTGGTGAATTGTCGGTTTTGCTTTCGCTGTCAAAACAGTGATGCTCTGTAAATGCTTAGGCGATCCCAGCACATTAGTGATTACACCAGTGCTTGATGGCAGCCTTTTCTGCTTTCTGAGATACATGTCATAGTTTGCACGCTGTGACATTATAACTTAAAGCAAGAGATCTTTACATCACGCCATGAATGATTACTGAAGTTAGAGATTGAATAACCGTATCAAGCAAATAAACAATGAGTAGTTTGGTGTTGCACTCATTGTCCGTCCTAGCGGACTCGTCTGATGTCCGTGCGTTGCTCGTCTTCACCGTCGTTCTCCTGGCCGTGCGATGGCTGCTTCGCACCCCGGACAACCTCCCTCCAGGCCCGGTGGGCTGGCCAGTCATCGGCTCGGCGCTGCAGCTCAAGGGTAAACCCTGCCACCAGGAATTCACAAATTTGGCCCGGCAGTACGGGAAGATCTTCAGCCTGTATCTTGGTACCTCGTTGGTGGTGGTGCTCAACGATGCCGCGTCTATCCAAGAGGCTCTCATCAAACAGGCGGACCGGTTCTCGGGGAGGAAAGTGCCCGAGTCGGTCAGACTATGTTTTCCGATGAAAGGTAAGTTTTACCGCCATCTGTAGGGACGAAAACAGCAAGGACATAATGTCCCCAACATGAAATTTGCTTTTTACGTATAAGTACATTTTGTTTACTAGTTTTTTCCAATGATAATGAAGAAAAAGTATTGGAAAAAATATCGAGCGTTGTTTCTGAATTGTCTGTTCCACGCCCACTTTGTGTCATGTCTTTGCACAAAATGGCAAAAATGCTTTCTATTTTGACAGGTGGTAAATCGCAACTGATATAGGTCTATATTTTGTCGTTTTGACTCTTTCTCATGGCAGGAATATTCCCAGTTTGGTTTCAGATTCCAACCATGAACAGTTAACAAGGAAATAGGGCGCTACTAACTTGACTAATGTTCAATCATATCAAAAGTACGTGCGTCATTGAGCTTTGTATTATAGTCAATGCCAAAATATGCATGCGCAGAAACGTTTGTTGTTGAAGGATAATGCGCCGCATTGTCATAGCTTGGTGCTTTGTCCAGATTCGACCCGCCATCCGCCCTAGCCTTCACAAAGAGAAAATTTCTGCATTAAAATGTTATTGTTCAGTCGTATAAATTCTTGGCATATTAGGCCTATTCCGCAAGGGCGGATGTGTGTGTGTGTGGTGGGGGGGGGGGGGGGGGGAGCAAAGGGGGCCATGCCCCCCCCCCCAAAAAAAAAGAACACATTTTTTGTTGGGGGGGGGGGGTAAGTGACGTCACAATAAAGACAGGCAATGAGTACACCACCATCTTTTTCTGAAAAAAAAGCATTGGTTACAGTGGTCAGAAAATGCCTTAGATCGCACCACAGACCATCTAGAATCCCAAAACATTTCAGGGCCCTTAAGCGGGCCCCTACGCCGTAATTTTTTTACCGACTTTTGGGGGACCAAAATTGTCCCCCCCCCCCCAAGAAAAAAAGAAATTGTGTTCTGGATCCACCCACCGTGACAATAAATGTAGGTCTACCAACTCATTTTTACAAATTCTTTTCCCCATATTACTGTAATTGTTTATTTTATTAAGTAATATATTATTTATTTCTAATTATTACGAATTTGTATTCATTTATTACGAATTAAAAGCATAGACATAAATTTCTACTACACACTCCATTTTGCCATTTTGTTAATTGTATTGGGTTCTTTCGTCTTGATCATTAGCCTATTGTACGTCACAATTTCGCATCATTATGTAAGGAATTACTACAAGTTGTTCAATAATTATATATTTTCCCACCAGGCAGCATTTTGTTCGGGACTGGCGAACCGTGGCAAGCGGTGCGTCGCTTCACCGTCGGTGCCATGCGGAACCTTGGCGTCGGCAAAAACAGCATCGCGCTCCGTATTAACGAAGAAGCACGCATCCTTTGCGATAGCTTTGAGGAACACGGAGGCAAACCATTTAACCCACTGACACTGGTAATAACACTGAGAGTTGTTTTTAAAAAGTCACAAATCGTGAAAAAGACAAGAATCAATCCTAGGATCCGGGTTGGGGGGGGGGGGGGAGGAGGGGCAACGGGGGCCATTCCACCACGATTTTGTTAATCTGTAGGAGTATATAAAACTTAATTACATTCATGTGTATCTCCCTCGCAAGGCATCAGCTACACATACCTTTCAGTTTTAACATTACAATGTGGAAATAGCGCGCGAAAGCTAGGCCTACTATAATCCCCAGTTCCCTTTTTGAAAATAATATTCGAGCCCTCTTGCTCCCCGCACCGATCCCCCCCCCCCCGAAAATTTGGTTTTGGATCCGCCCTTGTGAGGCACAAGGGAATTTGACTCGCGATTTGACTTTTGATTTGGCTCGTTATTTGGCTTGTGATCTGGCTTGTGATTTGGCTTGTGATTTGGCTTGTGATTTAATTTGTGATTTGGCTTGTAGGTTTCGAGTGCCGTCTCCAATGTCATCTGTCAGATGTCCTTCGGTCACCGCTACGACTACGACAATGCGACCTTTGTCCGCATCCAGGACAACCTCAGGAAGCGCATGGCCTTCGGTCGGACGTCCTTAGTCAATTACCTCCCCTTGCTTTTCTACACGCCTCTCTATAAGGAACTCAGGGAACTAGATGAGGAACGGAGGAGAGATATGCAGGTGGGTACAAGCAAAATGGTGTGGCAACAAGTTCTGAAAAGTGGACAAATTAACTAAAGATTAGTCAAGTATTACTAGCCTAGTCATGGCCCATCAGGCCGGCGTTTATCTCCGGTTCCTTGGCGTGAAATTTACGACTGAGAATATTTTCTATTCCCCCTGGATGGGATGCCAGTCCATCACAGGTTACTCTACATGATAGCTGATGCCAGTGCCAATTAGTACTCCTGGGTGGAGAAAGGCAAGTGGAGATGAAGTAGCTTGAACACAACATGGTCACCAACTGGATTCGAACCCCTGACCCTCTTATCATGAGTCACAAACCCTAACCACTATAGGCCAAACTCCCCGCCCTGTAAACCAGGGATTGGCACGGGGTTAGCTGAAGGCCATGACGACTGTTATCTAAAGTGATCTTTTCCCCAACTTTAGGCCGTGGTTTACGAGCACCTGGCGACCTTTGACCCGAAACACATCCGGGACATGATTGACCTCTTCTTTTGTGAAGTCCAGCAAAGGGACGGCTGCACTAAGGCCAAGTTTCCGTTCACCGAGACGGATGTTGAGAGGTTGATCCACGACTTGTTCGGAGCCGGCACCGACACCTCAGCCAACATGCTCATGTGGGTGATCTTGACGATGACAAAGTACCCGGAAGTGCAAGAGAAGGTAGGCGTGGTTTGAGAAAAGGGGTGTGGTTAACAAGTGATGATAGCCAAGCCTGAAATTAAGTGATTAATGTTTGGGACGAATCAGGAAAAGTTTATTTGCTTAAAACTGTAGAAACCGAAGTGTCATTATGGGTGCAAATATGGTTTGAGAAAAGGGGCGTGGTTAGAAAATCATGATGACAACCACGCCCTCGAAATAATAATGAATCTGATGTTAAGAGACCAGACTGTGATGGCGAAGTGACCCGGAGCGCGTATAAAGTAGGCGTGGCTTAACAAGTTGAGAAAGTGAGTGCCTTGGAAAAGGGGTGTGGTCGTGAAACTGCTTAACATGCGATACGTTATGCGTATATAGACGATTTGCGCATTATTGTTAATAAATTAACATAGCAAAACACACCTCAAAGATGGCCACTGAATGCAGTCAATCTATCCTTTTTTTGGCTCCCCAATTTAGATGCACGAGGAACTTGATCGGGTCGTTGGTTGTGGTCGCCAGCCGGCCTGGGCTGATCGACCCAACCTCCCGTACTGCGAGGCCGTGCTGCTGGAGCTACTCCGCTACAGACCCACGGGCGCGCTCGCCGTCCCACACACGGCAGCACACCGCACCGATCTTATGGGGTTCAATATCCCTAAGGACACCATGGTGTTGGTGAATATCTTCGCCGCCCACCACGATCCGGCTTACTGGGAGAACCCGGGTCAGTTCCGTCCGGAAAGATTCCTGTCTGCTGACGGGAAGGAGGTTGTGAAACCCACGCATTCCTCGTACCTGCCATTCGGCATAGGTAAAGGCTCTTCTGCTATCCTATTTAGTGTGACGTCACTATATGTATACACGCCCACCTATGGTTTCATTCTACATTCATAAATAAGACAGTTTACCCATTCCAATTGGTCGATAGCCCGTCACGTGACAGGTTCTAAACGGACAAAGACATGGCTGGCCGGTCTTAAACACTTTTCCAGTGTCACATGAAATGTCGACAATCCGGTGTCTTCTACTCGGGCAATCAGCATCCAAACTCCTACCGGTCTAAACAAAGTGTTTAAAACCGGCCAAACACACATTAAGCTCCCTTAATTAAAACAATTGAGTTGTTATTATTTATCTTATTTGTTCTTCGTGTGATTTTAATTGCTTTGTGGTCTTGGCGACCGAAATATGAATTTTCAAAATGCTTTCTGGCTTAGTCACCTGGGAGTTTCGTTATTTTTTTTTATTTACACAGGTCGACGGGTGTGTGCAGGTGAACAGCTAGCTAGAATGGAGTTCTTTCTCTTCACGGTAACCTTGTTACAGCGGTTCACTTTTACCGTGCCGGAGACCGATCCACCGCCGAGCATGGACGGCGTGTTCGAGATAACGCTGTCGCCCGCCCCTTTCCGTGTCTGTGCCACGCCTAGGCATGCGTGATAGACCATCACGATTCCATCCACGCAACTAACTATAGAGAGTGGCTTAGCAAGGTCATTCATATTGGGGAAGGGGGGGGGGGGTAGACGTGAAAAAGGGCACTCGCCTCATAAGGTGCTGAAAAGGTGGACAGGCCATCCGGCCTCCGTAAAATAAAAAAAGAGGGAAAGGGAAGGGGTAGGGGTAGGGGACACCATCTTTCCATGGGGGCGCTGTTCAAATTGGACGATATATTGGGCACCATCAGACAATAGGTGACGTTGGTGCCAGCTCTTTAAAAAAGGGCGCTCGTGAAAAAAGAGTGTACCCTCTGAAAAAAGGGCCCTCTTGTAAAATATGCAGCTTCCGAGATAACAGTATATATTTTTGTCCATGTTTGTTATAGAAATTTTAGGTTTTTCTTTAACGTATTGTCAATTTGTAAGATTTATTTTAACAATAAAAATGTATTATGCTGAGCGTCTGCAATCCCTGCAATTTTACATCAGACTTTAAAGTAAGTAGTTAAAATGTACAGCTGTCGAAAATGTTCTTTTAAATAAATATTAAAGCACTCTTGTCAAAGTATTGATTCTCCTCGTGTGTTTAATGTGAAGGGGGGAACCATGTTAAAAGGTGAATTCGTTCTCTCGGGATAAATGATAAATTGCTTCTGAATAGAGTTAGATAGAAAGCTGCGACTACAAGACATTGAACATCATGTGTGACGAAAATATTGGGGCTACAATAAAAAAAAAAACATTCATTTTTCTCCGATGTGTTTTGTCATTCATACAAAAAAAATAATGTCCGGGAATTTCTCATGACGACAAGGGGACTCAAACACAACCATGTGATCGCTGGCCGAGGGCCCGCTGATAAATGAACTTATATATTAATCCTGCACATCAATCAACTCAGCCACACCATGGATGCGTGACCGGCCCTAATGTCTAAATATCTCCAATAATTATTTGGTCCGCGGACTTCAAACTCAAAAGTAGAATTGCCACGCCCCCATAAAACTATCGTACCGTTAATTGTGAATACCGCCCTCTACTGGTGATAGAGGTCATACATGTATAACCAGTGTTTTGGGGTGGCGAGAAAAGGTGCATTTCCCATCACAAATAATCCTAGTTTTTGCGTTCAGTGGACATTGAGAAGGGAGCCACTTATGTGTACCATGTCATAGACGATATTGATTGTATTACATCTTTGGTAAGTGGGTTTTCAGAGGGAGGAAAGAAGTATCTAGACGCCATTTTGGTTGTGTACAAAGTGTATGGGGGAGTATGGAGACTTGGAGAGCTGAGAGTCAACTCAAGGGGCCTAACGTAAAGGCTAAAACTAAATAAAAAAAAAAATTAGTACTCAGGGCCTAGTGAGTATAGGCCCTATTTCCTAACAAAATTGGAAAGTTTCTCAATCTCAGTCCATGTGTTTTCCACATTTTTGCGATGACTGACCTTAGGCTTTATTGAGATGAAAGGGGCTACAACTTTTTACAAGGCCTATGGCTATGCTATGATTTATGAACATGATGAAGCAAAAAGCAACGTCGGGTTGCAACATTCTTCGTTCCGCCACATGCACCTTTTTATCATTTTGATCATTCCATGGAGGTGTTTTAATTATATCGCTCCATTTTTCACGTTTTGTTTGGACATCACGTAGGCCTGTATTTCATACATTTCATAGATAAAATTAAAAACCTAAGTTTCAAACTGTTGCTAAACTAGCTCTACTGAGTGGAGTGCTAGAATTGTGGTGCCCTCCGTTACTCCGTACTAAATGTAGCAAGGGCACCGCAGTCTAGCGCTCCAGTCAGTAGAGCTGTTGCTTAACATATTCTAAAGAAAAGTATATACACCTGTTCACCCATACTTGTTCCTGTGGGGACAGCAGAAAGTCCCCATAACTCGGTGCTATAAATTTGCCAAAGAAACTTCCCCACAAACGCAGTGACGGCCTCCCACGTACACTGGGTAGATCCAGCTATTCTGACCATTGACCCAATTTTGAATTTCTGCCAAACACAGATTTAAGAATGACCATCTACAATCTTTACATCTTTGACCGCAACGGCGTGTGTCTGTTCTACCAAGAATGGACACGGGAAAAACATCCAGGAATGTCGCAAGAAGAGGTCAGTATATCACCAAACATTGCTCTACCTTTAGTTTTCTAGCAACCTGCTTAACCAACAGCATTTAATTAATTTCTATTATCCATCCTTTTTCCCTTCACATCGTTTTTTGTACATTTTAAGTCCACATTTTGTCATGCTTCAATGTATATATATTTTTAAAAATCTGTTTGGCTTCTTGATGTCAATCCATAATGACAGTTTCCTTTCCTTATTTTCAGGAATTCAAGCTGATGTATGGCATGATCTTCTCAATCAAGTCGTTTGTTAGTCGGATGGCACCCGTTGATTTGTATCCTTTAGAAAAGACATTCCAAACAAAATAAGGAAAACAAGCATATCCAGATGCTGTATCCAGCTACCAACAACACTATTGTTTTCCTTGATGGATTTTTCAATTTCAGTAAGGATGGTTTCTCCAGTTTCTGTACCAGTTCTTACAAGCTACACTTCCACGAGACTGCCAGCGGTTTGAAATTTGTGATGAACACGAGCCTCAACGTGGGGTCAATCCATGACGAGCTGCAACACATCTACAGTGCAGTAAGTTAAATCTTGTTTAATCTCCGACATAAGTTGCTAAAAAAATAATTATCTAGGCGCATTCTATCAGGTATAAATTGCAGGTTTCAGTACATCTTCAACATTTTTTCTTCCCGCAATGAAATTATCAGCTTTGTTTACAAACTGATCATTTTATGTGTTAAGATGTAGGAGAATGCTGCAGCAAAGCCCAATGTAATGGGCCTATTGCAGATAACACTTTCTAAAACTTATCTTGAATATTCGATGATATGGCTTCTAAGTTTATACAAATCTCATTTCAAATTTACATTAACATCTTTGACAAGTTGTCCAGTCAAAAAAATAAATAAATAAAATTGTTCACACACCACAATTTGGCAGTCAAAACTAGTAAAGATTTTACATTTTCTTTTGAAGTATATGTAGTGAATTGATAACTGAAAAATTAAATACTCACTTTCCTGCTCATAAATATGCATGAGATCTCATGATAATGTCCACTTGTAGAGAAACAACTTCAGCCTTGTTGGCAATAAACAATATTAAAACTCACAATAATTTTGAAATTGTTTTTCCTTAGAGAAAAGTAGTCTTGAACGGTATTCCCAGAAATGGCTGTTTGAAACCCCATTCCTTGCTTTAATTGTTGCCATCGGAATTGCTGATTCTGTGGTCTTTCTTTCCATATTTCTGTAGATATTTGTCGAACATGTCGTGAGGAACCCTCTAAGTAAACTGGGCCAGGCCATCGACAGTCAACTCTTTAAAACCAAACTGGACAGCTACGTCAGGGGGTTGCCGTTCTTCACTAAAGTGAACTGAATGAACTAACTGTGTCCCCCTCCCCCTGCACAAATGGCAGACTGGGAGGTCGGAACCAGACATCTCTGATATATCGAAGTATGTATACTTGCATGTGGCATTCCCAGACTAACTTTGATCGCCGTGAACAATGTGCGCTGGAGCTATGAAGAGACTGAGTTCTGCCTTTTTCACGGATGAGCGAGATATTATGCATGTATACATCATATAACTCTTAGTGTGTTTTTTTAGCTTACAATATTAACGTGTAAGTGTTGTAAGCATAAAATGATGACCATAAGCTCAGAGTTCCATGTTTAGCAAAGTCATGAAATTGGGACAAATCTGGACTAAGAAGTAAGAACAGTGAGTTTGTAAGAAGGTCTAGCTAAAAATTAACATGCACTGTATATTCTCCCACTAGTTCCCAATACCCTTCGTCTAGCCCCACTTAATTTTAAATAAGAATTATTGTCAATATCTTTGAAACGAATACTAGGTTCATGTACTATTGCAAGGGCAGTTCGGGGGGGGGGGGGGGGGGGGGGGGGGGGGTTGGAATGGCCTACCCCATCACCCCTGACCAGTGTTAAGTGTTAAGATACAAAAATCCCAAAGTTACTTGAGTTTCTTGAATAATTTCATTATCATCACTGAATATCTGGATGTGTGGCTTCAGACATTGACTGCAATACCCCCCTCCCCCTTGAAGAATCTTGGGCTGTGACACCCCAGCCAACACCCCCCCCCCTTGAAAATGTCAGATCTGCCGCTGTATTTTATTGTAAATCATCAAATTGCAATCCACACAATAAATCAATCATTAACACTGAATGCTGACTTGCATCCTGACTGAGAAATGTTTATTTTCTTCCTTATTATTCAAGGTGCTCCCTTCCCCTAATCCCCATCCCACCCATGCATGTTCACATGTAGTTCTAACCCCCTCCCCCCCCCCCCAAAAAAACCCCAAAATAACGAAATCTGTCTAGCTTTCATCCATTTGTTAATTTTGAACATTTTTAAGGCCCAGCTTGAAAAGAAAAACAGATTTTAATTTCATAGGTATGCTGCAGTTCCTCGCACATTAAGCTAAAAATAGAAGTTGCAAAAACAGTCAAGTCAAAGAACCTATTCAAAATTAAGAACCACCATGGGGAAAAAATTACTTCACCTTTAAAAAGATGAATCAACAGAGGGCGCCCTGTTATTGCGCGCACGGCTGGGAACACGTGTTTTCAGAAAATGTTGACTCCGTTTTTATCATGATAGTGCAGGGATGATGGTGCATGCAAATTAACGCCTTTTTTAAGGCAAGCAAGATCGAAGAAGTTACTACAATATTCTTTAATTTCAAAGCAGCTTTTGGGTTGAAATTGTGTAGACACAAGCCTATATACGGATCTGAACTCTATTGATCATATTTTTTTATAATCCGATAGCGCCGTTATTGATCAATTATTCACATAATGAAACGACCTTTGATATGGTAGCCAGGTGTGTCACCATCTGCATAATTGGCGCGTTTGTACATCGTAAATTGTCTCGTGCACTGTCCGTGGATTAGCGGCAAAAGTAGGTCGGTATTGTTTTTGATTGAGATGACATTTTATGACTGGACTGCGATTTGAAGCAGTTGTGTCAAAACTTTGGTTGAGCAAGGAGAATTTTGTGGTCTTTTTATTTTGCTACGAGAAATGAGTTCAGTTACGCACTAAACGGTTTCCAGACGTATTACTATTAGTAGAGAAGGAATTTCGTCATCATCGGCTAGCAAGGATTATTTATAATGTTTAGGCTTACCACTACCAGAAGCCGTGTTTGATTTGTCAGATTACTTCACGACAATTTCTGTAGGACAGTATCATAATCATTCCCATGCCTTATCGATTCAGATGTTACCGAACTTTAAACTTGGGCGAGCGCTGGTGTAGCGCGCGGTAGCATTCCAAATTGGATTAGATAGTTCTGCTTCCAACCAACGTAGGCCTATATTTTTCGGAGTGAGAAATAAGGATTTATAAAACTGACAAAGTCATGGAGAATTCAGCCGAGGATAAACCCAAGCCTGCCGTGTCCCAGCGATGGGTGCAAATCCAGGAGAAGACCTTTATAAACTGGTGCAACGAGCAGCTGAAACCCACGGGGAAGAAACTGGAGAATCTCCGCACGGACTTGGAGGACGGCTTGATCCTGATCGCCTTGATGGATCAGATGATGGCGTCGCGGGGCGGGGCCCTCTACAAGAGGCAGAGTCGGTACAGCAAGAACCCCAAGATGAGGGCCCAGAAGTTGGAGAACATCACTCACGCCTTGCAGATGATGGAACGGGAAGGCATCAAGTTAGTCAACATCGGTGAGTACATTGGGTAGTGTAGTGCATGTAGAGTCCATCACAATTCCTCAAAAAGATCTCTCACAAGTGTGTAGTTAAAAGAATTTTGAGGCTGTGGGGCGGGGGGCTTAGGCTGGGCCGGGGGATGGGAGGGGCGGCAGAAGGGCTCTCACAAGTGATAGATGGCATTATTTGAAGAAAGATCAGTCACAAAAGGTGGGGGGGGGGGGGTAGGTGGGCTCCACACCCCTTGGATCCACCAGTGAATATCACAACATTCTTCTCAAGTGTAACTTGCCACTGCGCCCATGATATTCCTAACAGAGGTAGGTATATTGCAGGCCCTAATTTAAATTTGAGTTTTTTTGTTGTGGTATTTGTTTGTTCGTATCAATTGTTTTTTAATGGATGATGAAGTGCTGAAAAATAAAAAAGTACCATTTTCAACTTGCTGTGGTGTTAAAGGGACTTTCAGATAAATATTAATAGTATTGGGAATGTGAGGGAAATATTTTACCTGTGTGCATGATAAAGGTTTTAGGAGTGTATTGATTGAAAAATGCTTTTGATTACCTATGGATGGTAAAATATTTTAGCAGATCTTATTTCACACTGTTGTTGACATCTTATGATTGAAAATAAAAAAGATAATCTAAGCAGTTGTGAAGTTCATATAAAAGTTTGACCTCTTAGGTTATAATATGCAAGATACTATTTTATTTTTTTTAAAAAGGGTTTCAGCAGGGCTATAGAAAGTAGACGTGATGCCTAGTATAGGTTATTATTTTTTATTTTTTATTTTGGTTTCAACCAAAATTAATACCAATGTCCCCTTTTATTGTCAGCTTAGAAATATCTTAACTTTTCCAAGGCTGTTTCCATTCTCGGGATCCGGTTTTTATCACATATTGCTTCATTTTTGTTTGCATACCCATAAAGCCCAGTGAACTTTGGAACGCGTGTACATATTACAGCAGGCACTTGTGGACATTGATGCCATCTTAATGTGTTTACTTTACAGAATTAGATCCGGAATAGCTCCTGTCACCAACAGAACAAATATTTTGTTCAACGAAAGAGACAAATGAAATTAAAATGAAAGAAATTTGATTGTGAGAGATAATCTTCGTGACCTCATTTTATGCTGATTTCATGTATTGTCTGCAGTTCTGCCAGAGAGCAGCACATTGGCGATTAAAATGACAAAAAAAAAGCAATTTAATGTTCAGCCCAGTTTTTAACTTTGATTTCGAGCAGAAGTTTAAATTGCACCTGTTTTGGTCTCAATTGAAGGTGGCAAATACATGTACATTGCAGCATACAATGTTATATGAAATAAACCAGATGCTTTCGTGTACATATTTTATTTTTTAACCCTAACTCCCTAGGGGGTGTGCAAAATTATATTCAAATTGGAGGATTCAGGACTGTTAGCGATAATGTGTTTATTGTGAATTTTACAGTGTATACAAGCAATGTGTGCATATTTTAAATGTTTCAAAATGTGAGTTGTTCGTCTGCTTGTTAGCAAACTGTAAAATTGGTGCTCAGAAAATTAACATAATTATCCATTATCCTTCATCCGACACACCCCGGCGCACAAGCATCCAGTCACACGCCACTGCACACTCACAGCCATAAAACCTCCAGCATCATCCACATGTCATCACCCATCCTCCTGAGGACGGACAGAGCACACTGTGCGAAACGTCGAGTTCTACACTCAGCCAACCGCTTCTTTTCATAACCACATTTCTTCCAAGAAGAGATTTTTTTTTTCCACTTTGTGTTACCCACAAAGTTTCTGTTTTTATCTCATCCACCATGCAAAGCTTCAAGTCATACAAATTAACATAAATTATTCTCTATCTCCTGGGTTAAATTGGATGAGTTCCATAATACAATCGATTCATCGTTTGTCTTTCAAAACATTCTGCCTATATTTCTGAGCCATCTGGTATGAAAGGATAAACCACATGACACATGCAGCTATATTGATCTGTGTGTTAATTCCCCCAACAAAGCCTTTGTGTTTAATATGACCTTGCGTAGTGCGGTGTGTTTTTAAAGATTCATCATTGCATTAAAAAGTAAACATGCACTTGAAATGAAAGAGAGAGTTTTTAGAGCAGGCTTACATGGTGTTCTTCAATTGATAAATATTTAATTTTAAAATGGATTTTAAAATTTAATTTCAGATGTAAATAGCATATTATAAATAGGTCTTCATTTGTAATGGTATATATATGCCATTTCATTTGCCACCTTTACTGTATTATATATTTTTTGTCTAAGTTATCTGTTTTTAAATAATATTCCATGTAGAAATAATTTTCCAAATGCAGTGCAATAGTTGATGGTGCATTTGTTTGTTTGTTGTTTGTTGGTAGATTTTTTGTTTGTTTGTTTGTTGGTTGGTTGGTTGGTTTATCATTTGAATGATTATTGTGTTGATTGGTTGTTCAGTTGGTCAGTCATCGGCTAGTGAGCCAGTTAGCTTTTTGTTGGTTGATTTAATTTGTTTACACCCCACAATAAAAGTAGCTAACCTTTGAGCATAAGTATGCATGTGACCTGTGCTACCGCCCGATTGGTTGCTGGTACCTGAAGGTAGTGACCAAAAATTTGCTCCTACACTCCTATGCAACATTTACAATTGAAAGTTGCTGGTGGTACCACGCTGAATTCTTTACGATAGTCGAACGATTATGGATTTATTGCAGATTTTATTTCCTTTCTGAAAATGAAACCTTTGAGGTGCAATAAAAAATAAACATATTTTTGTTAGGGGGGCGGGGTGGGGGAGAAATGCAAAATTACTCGTCTCTTGGTTTATAATTTCGCTATACTTTCCCTCAAACCATGTTGAATTTGTTTTTTTTCTTATTAAAAATTCTTATCCATACGACTTGTTTTCCTTTTTCAGGGACGGAAGACATCATAGATGGTAATGTCAAGCTGATTCTAGGTATCATGTGGCGACTGATTCAGAAGTACCAGATCAGCACGGGATCCTCCAAGCAAGCGAAGGTGCCCAGCAAGAAGTCCATGTTGGATTGGATGGACGCTGTCTTACCAGACAGACGTATCACAAACTTCACCACGGATTGGAATGACGGAACAGCACTCAGGTGTGTTGCCTAAGCATTGTCGATATCAGAATTTTCAATAATTCAGGGGTGTGAAATCTCAGCTTTAAAGCTGATTTCAGCTTTTGTGTGTGTTGGATTTCAGTTTTTTTCAGCTTTTTCCCTCACTTGCTGTGTACAGAAGTATAGGAGATTTCCAAAGTTCAGCTTTTTTACACCTTTTTCAGCTGTTTTCAGCTATTTTTATCAGTGGCCACTCGCATATCGGAAATTCATTATCGAGAATATTTGATATAAATTTTCCAATGTAAAACTTACAGACCATATAAAGATGACACTTTGATTAAAAAAAAAATATTAAGTCCCAATTTTGATATGATTTAAAAATTGCTATCGGCGATATCGATATCAAAATAATATTGAATAATTAAGTAATATCGATACATTGACTTTTGTTTTACCCTGTCTCTGTTATTACATCTGAAATGTATGATTTTATAACTTTGATGCACTCTTTAATACAGTCACCCTCCAAGAGTGAAATAGCAAACTAGCTACCCAATAATTAAAACAATTATTTGAAGTAATTCTTCATGATACTTGAAGGGCAAATTACAAAGTACGAAGATAACAAGGACAGGAAAAACATCTCGTCATCAAGTCATTGTCTTTATTTTTAACACAGCGCCTTGATCAATTACTGTGACCCTACGCTGATGACCGACTTCAAATCTATGAGCCCGACCAACGCCCACGACAACTGCATCCGGGCCATGCAGCTGGCTAAAGAGAAATTTGAAATCCCGATGATCGTCTCCCCAGAGGACATGTGCAACCCTCACATTGATGAACTGAGTGGGATGACGTACCTGTCTTATTTTCTGCGGACTGAGGGGCCGGGATGGTACGCCACCCTGAACTGGGTCCGTAAGAAAGTCCCAGAAATGAACGTGCAAAATTTTCAGGTAATTCCAGCATATTTGTTTGAGATTGAATTTTGTTCATCCTCAAAATGAAATGTTAAACAAATTCCAATGTTTTTCTGGTACTGTGGGCTGAAGAGTTTTTATTGGGGGGGGGCAATAACTGGGAATTACAAAATGAACATAGGAGTTCTGGAAAACAATTGTGTCCACTCTATTTCAGAAGAATTGGAAAGTAAGTAACAAATTTCTATTCTTCAGAAAATAAGATGAATATTGGTTCAGTTTTGGTCAGTGCCCTAAATGTAATTTCACTATGAATAAAGGAAAAATCTCAGATAATTTCTAAAACTCAGTATCATAAACATTGTGGTTTTGAGTTATAAAATGGTAATTTGAATGTTTTTCATTTAGGTTTATGCTTCCTACTATTTTACTGTTACCCGGATTAAATTGTATAAATAAAAATCCGCATTAATTAGTATTTTACTGGCTTACTGTGAAATGAATTATCATCAGATAAATCATTTCTAGTTTAAAAAAAATTGAATGAGGGACAAAACTTAATGATGTTAGTTTAGTTTGGCAGGGTTTAAACAATAAATCAATGCATGATACTGGATGTGCCTTGAATTTACCAGCAGAAAAAAAATGTGCTGTATTTCTGAGGGTGTGACAACTGAAGCTTGTTCAAACTTCAAAGTCCTGTGACATTTAGATATTGCAGTCACTGTGAGCAAAACAAGGTGTTTCTAACGTTAGTTTACTCTGCGTTAATCGTTAACAGGGATCACAATCGTACTAAATCTAATAATGAAACATATGGTATAGAAATAATGAGATTTTTTTCAGCTGTTTTAAAAATAAAACAAGCAGATAGAACAAATCACAATTTTTACAATTTTCCCCTGGCTTTTTGTGCTTAGTTTGTTGAGAATTCCGTTGATGTGTCAATTATTAACTTGATCTATTAGATATTTTCACACCATATGTACATTGGGGAATCATTTAGATAATTTATTACGTTTTAAGTGCATCAGTGATTAGTTTTTTGGCAAGACTAGGGTACAGGACGTAAAACTGTATATGTTTGCATTATTGGTGTTAAGGATTTAATTGTGTCGTTACTTTTGCGTGATTCAGTGAAGTAGCCAGATTTTGAGCCAATGAATGGAGTCAAAATTGAAAAAAAATTCTGAAAAAGTGGCCATATGTTTGTGTAGTTTCTTACAAATTATTGTTAGCAGGAGGAGTTGCTATTAGTAGGGCCTCATTTTATTGTACAAGAAAATTGCTAATATAAGTAACATTTTTTTAATGAGCAAATTTGGTCCAGTTGTGCAGCCTGACTTAATAGGCAGTACAACATTTGCAAATATCAAAAACCTAAGTACCAAATTATTATGAAATACCTTACTGGGCTGTTGGTGAATAATAGTGTCAAGCATCCTGTCAAATCATGGCATGGTGTGCTGTCATTTTCAAGAAAGTGGAATTTTTGTATAATTTCCAACGATGGTCGGCTGACCATCGTTGGAAATATCTAACTTTTTGTTAATACTGCCCCCAATTCACCAAATTTAGTTTGCAGTTGGTTACACATGCATGAACTGGTGCAAGCCTTCTAGTCTGGTTCTCTGACCTGACAATATATAAAGTGCTCCGCTTCGTTTGAAAAAAGTGCTGTATTTGTAGTCTGGTTCCCTGACCCTACGTCAGGGAACCAGACTACAAATACAGCACTTTTTTCTTAGTTTTCCCAGCATTTACGAACACATAACTGCAGTGTATAAACATTTGCTATGAAATACTTACCCCCCAATTCCATCCATTTCTGGAAATTATAGCAAAAGCAAATGTTGTATATTACTACCTTTAATTAATAAAATTATTCATCCTTTTATATTTGGAATTATCAAGAGTGATTGGAATGATGGGCGTGTCTTGTGCGCACTGGCGGAGGCTGTAGCGGAGGGGGCCTGCCCCGAATGGAAGGAGCTCAATAAGGACGACAAGCTGGCCAACTGCCAAAAAGGTAATAGTTGCTGATTGGTTGAAAGTCGAACATTGTAATGCAAATAGCGCCCTCTTTTGGCAGCCTCTGTATTTTTTGAGTTTGCTGTCAGGAAGTGCTGGCATTAATTTTTTTCACTAAGATCAACATTTTGTTATTAAATATAAATTTACTGTTATGCAAAGTGTAAGAAAGTTATTTTGATAGCCCAGTAAGTGAATTAAAATATGTACCCAATTGAAACAAATTAGTATTTCTTCATAGAAAATATCTTGAGTTTTCTGTGGTTTGATGTCTTCTTTGGAATATAATTGTAGTTATGTGGTCGAGGCCTTGACATTGTTACAGGCAGCCAACGCAAACCACAAGAACCTTGGAAGGTGTTGACCATGCATAGTTGCCGAACAATTCCCCCGTTTCTTCAGCAACAGAAAGTTACAACTCTGTCGCTGGTATAACTGTGTGTCTTTGGCAGTGACCGCAATTCATGGACTTGCACATGCTCCCACAGTGATAGGGATATGCTGCTTGAAACATTTTGGCAAAATCATTCATAATAAAAGTGCTTCATAAACACATATTATTATTCAGTGCCCCCCCCCCCAAGTTTATTTACGCCACTAGTGGATGTCTAATAGTTTTCATACACTCGAGGAATAAATATTTGCACAAAAGTTTACTCCAGTTTAAAATTCATGTCATGGTCTATAGCTCTTTAGGTTTAACCATGGTTGAACAACCTCACAACTTTCTGAGTGTTAATTACTTCCCTGGCCCAGAAATAATCAATAGACCATAATCTTCTGAACACTGTTCGCCAGTGGCTGCCATGGGTAACGCATGAGCGAGTCTCTGGAATGGAACCCAATTGCAAGGACAGGATTGTATTGCTCACCAGCGCCTCACCCCTATAGGGTATAGAGAATCACTGAAGCATGACCACTTTCTAGCTGTATCCATTCCCATGCAGTAAACACTCCTGGTTATGTACTGGAAGGCCATGTTTGACAGCAGAGTGTGAGGGCTATAGTACCGTGACCAACTACTTTTTGTAATGTAGCTTGTCCAGGGAGTTGTACGCCTAGTGCGAAGAAGTATCAGTCAAGCTGATTCTAAACTTGCCTTGTGAAAGGACTGAAATCAGTTTTGGATTTAAGGATATATTTCCTATTTTGCTGTGTTGTGTGCCCGGCTGTTGTCTTACTTGTGGAGCTGCACGGAGTGGTGCCATGAAAACTTTACTCCATTGGAATTGGTGAATTCTTTGGAATCCGTGGTTGGTATACAAGGTTGCAGGTGTTAGTCTGTGCACGGATGTATAAAGTGGAAGTTTATTTGCTGGTGTTGACAGGTTTTATCAGTGCTTGAGTTTTTCTTCATTCGCAGAATATGAAGTATGAAAAGTAGTGTGGTGTCTGGTTCGCAGTACTTACAGAAAAGAAAAAAATTCAACTTAGAATCATTGCATTAAGAGCGGTTGTGTTGGTTAAAACAGTAGTGCGACTGTCTTGACCATTCTAACGTCTTAAAACTTGATCTGCATAATTACCTCAGTATTTCTTCAAATATTTCCATGTATATGTGATGACCTTCAAAAGTTCAAAGCTAGTTGTCTCCAATTTCGGGAGTAATAAAAGGCAAAGAATAAATTCCTTACAAAATTACAAATTAATTTTTTGGTGGACTTTTTGTACTTTTTTTTTGTCTCTTTAAAGGCAAGATACAACATTTGCAAACATCAAAAAACGAAATGATCTAGTAATCATGAAAAAACTCACTGGATTGCTAGGGAATGACAGTCTAAAGCATCCTGTAAAATCATGGCTGCCATGGTGTGCTCACATTTTCTAGAAAAATTGTATTTTTCCAACGCTGGTCGGCCGACCAGCGTTGGAGAAAACTGGCTTTTTTCAAAAAGTGCTTCTAAATGTTCATATTTAGTTATTTGGCATTTTCTTTGCAATTGATTATACACATGTGAAAAGGGTACAAGCCTGCTAGACTAATTATCTGAACTTACAATTCCCCAAAGTCTATAAATTGCTTCGTTTCATCTTAAGTGGGGTCAGGAACCAGACTATTAGAATATGATTGGTTTTCTTGGTTTTTGCAGCATCTACAAGCCCAAAACGTGAAACAAGTCAGTTTAACAATATTTTCTATCACATACTAATCCTCCAAATCCATTCATGTCGGAAATTTTCAGCAAAAGCAAATGTTGTACATTCCCTTTAAAGTTAAGAAACTTCAGCCTAAAAAAATTGTAGGTCCCAACCTACATGTACCTATACCCTCTAAAAGTGGATAAGATAGTAAATTTCAATGAAAAATTTGGGCGTACAATTTTAAAGGTTAATATACAACATTTGCAAACATCAAAAAACAAAACTACCAAATTTTTATGACATACATGTACCTTGCTTGACTGTAAACTGTGAAATCATGGCACCTGGTTGGCCAATAGAGATACATGTAGCCAAGTACATGTACATGTAATTAGAGTGGCTTGATTTAGCAAAACAAATCCAACAAGTGTCGTTGGAAAAAACCTGACTTTTTTCAAATACTGCCCACAATTGCCAAATTTAGTTTATATCATAGTCCACGTTTTGTTTGCAATCAGTTAAGCTAGTCTGGTTCCCTAACCTGACAATTCCTCTGATGTCTATACAATCCAGGGGCTCCAGTATCTTAACAGAAAACTTTAAACAGGTCATTGTTACAATATTTGCTATAAAATACTAATCCACAGATCCATCCATTTCTGAAAATTACAGCAAAAGCAAATGGTGTATATTAGGCGAAGTAAAAAAAAAAACATGTTTAGCGTCCCCGCCCGCTTCCTTTTTAGAGGCCGCCTCCTTTTTTTTTTTTTTTTTTTTTTTTTTTTAAAAGATACAAATTGATAAATTTTAACGATCTCTTTTGGTCTAACGATCATTTTGGTCTCATTTTCTGTTGCATCTTGCCCATAAGAAGCCAATATGTCATTTCCTGAGTCCAAGTGGCAGCCATTTTTAAAAAAGCTGGTAACCATCTTGAAAAATAGCCCGGCCGCGTTGTCTTGAAAAATGTGTCGGGCGGCCATTTTGAAAAAAAAAAAAAAAAAAAAAGGGCCTCCTCCTTCCTTTTTGTCAAAGAGGTAGGACGCTAAACATGTTTTTTTTTTTTATTTTGCCTTAGCTTTAAAGCTGAAACTGGGTCTATAATTTTAATTTGATTTGTAATCAAGGATTTTTAATGGTTTCAATTTCAAAAAAAATGTTCAAATGTCTTCTTTTTTTTTTAAACCGTTGTTCTTTGAAAATTACCACTTTTTGAGTCTATTCTTCTTCTTTTTTTTGTATTTACCGTAAAATCTAAATCATTTTTAAGTTCCCATGGTAGAAGTTCCTTATTCACAGTTATATACTTGTGGTTTTGGAAAGTGTAGGAATTGGTTAGTCAACACCTTCATATACCCATGCTCGCAGCCTTGATTTGGACAAATGGTTGGATGGGATCAAAATGGCTGCCATGGGAACTATTCCCCCAGGTTAAGGCCACAGCGCATCGCTCCCAGTCGCTCCCGTTTTGTCTGTCACCAGTCAAGTTTTGGTCGATTCAAGGATGAGCAAGTATTGTGTGGGAAAATAGAAGCGTCGTTGTCTGTCCAAGGATAAATGTGTGACTGTATGCTTCATTCTTTCTTTTCCTTTTTTTTTTTTAAATAGCTGTATTTCTTCTGCTTCGTTGGGTTGCCTTCGTTGCCATTCTGGCTAAAATTGGTCCAGGGATGTCATGTCAATATTGTTTCTGTCCTTTGACTTTTTTTGTGACACAAACACCTTTTTAAAAATGCTCTAAATAGTCTATTCTCATGAAGTGAAAGTTACAGTCACTGATATTACAACTGGAGCTGTGGGAACTGTCTGATATTTGAGGGTTTTTTGTTTGTTCACTTAATCAACAGAAACTATAATGAGTCAACACAGTAATTATTAACAAATAACTTTGTCAGTTCATCTGCTGTTGAAGGATTTATAAATGCAACAAGATTTTATTAAGAAGAGTTAATAAAATCATGTATATGACGGTTTCAGAAGAACGCAATTCTTTTTCAGTATCAAAATGTTTTCAATTATGACCTGAAACAACTTCCATTAAAATCTTTTTAAATGCCCCAAGATTCACTCTAATTTTTGGAGTTGCATGTAGCTCACCCTGTTAATTGGTAAATACTTCAGATTTAGCCATCAATTTCATCTTTATCAACTGAAACCAACATGTACATGTAGGCCCCTATGGTCTTGTTTTGACATTTTCGTTGTTTTAATTTCAAAGTCCTCTTGTGAATGATATGAATCTTGCTTTTTTTCGTTTATTGTGCTATATGCAGTTTTTTTTTATTCTTTGGACAGATAATTTGTCACTCCTCATTGCACCAGAAATACAAGTGGTAATTTCAAAATTGTTTAATTGCCTGTGGGGTGCATTGCAGTGGTTTGAAAATTCAGAAATCAATTGATGCCATCAATACTACAATTAATAGTGTGGTTTTCCAAATGTGTGTGTGAGCCTCAATATAATCTGCAAAGTTTCCAAGTTTTCTGTTTCGGTTTTTTTCTTCAAATTTTTACACAACTTCTTATATCAGATTACACCACTAATCCTACACAAAGATCCGGCTGTTCTTTGGGCAACTTTAGAAATTGTATATTCATGAAATGGGTGGCTCAATTACATGTACATGAGGAGCTCACAAGAAAATGTCTTTAATTTCAAACATCAAATAAAAAAAATGAACAATTTTCCCTCCTAACCCTAGGACTTTTATCCTGAATCTTCAAATCGAAAACAAAAATCCTTTTTGAGCCGTTGAGGCTTTTGTGGTGAAGCAGCCTGTGAGGAAATGCCAGCATAATGTCGTCGTCCACGTTTGCCTCTTCGTCCACCTCCTCGACCGCCCAGCGGAAAAAATACAAGTATGGCTCCTCCTCGCACGTCCAACACGGAGCGCAGCGGGCACAGAGCGTGCCCGTACATCACGTCAATGGGGGCGTGGCTGCGCATCACGTTAATCGCAGCACATCCCAGCAGTACAGCCACATGAATGGTACGTCGTTCTACGTCGTCTTAAGGAATCTCCGCTTCCCCTGGCAGGTCATGGAAACTAACAAATGTTGCTCTAATCTGCATGCCGCTAACTTTCTTCAAAATTTTGAGAGCTCAGGACCCACTAATATCTTGAAAAACAACTTGATCTTTTTCAGGAAACCCCAAGAGCATTGACAACATTTCAATACTAAAAAAAAAAAACTAATACGCTACACATGTCTAGAACTTCCCTTTTATTTATTTTTCCATTTAGATATCTTCTAATCTGATGTACTTTTTTTCCTTTCTTTGCTTTTTATTTTACAATCATATTTATCTATGTACGCACCTGTGTGCCACACTCCTTATTTGTTTTGCCTTTTTACCAAACTTTGCTGGTATTCTAGCTACTAATCATCAACAGAATTAAACTTAATGTGTTTTATTTACTAATCCAAATACAACATGCATGGGAATACTGTATGATTGAATTGTAACTATTTTGTGAAATGAAAGGGTCTCCAGGTTTTTCTTAACCAAAAACAAAACAAAAAAAACATATTGAGCATCACCACTAAAATGTTGTGAAGTCGTCCACTAAAAAACTTATCCAAATGGAATGCGGGGAATTTTGGGACGTACCCAACGATTTGTCAACGGCGTAAAACCCATTTACAATAGAACTCACAGGCTTGTGCTACAGGGTCACCAAGTTTGTATTCATGTGAACAAAAGGGGCATTTATTCCGGTTTGGCACAGATGTAAAGAAAAATCGAAATATGAGTTATTAGTTGCGAATTCCTACAACGCACCATTTGTTCGCATTGTCATTTCTAGGTTTTTTTCCTCATGCAACTTGACAGTACTGCTCTGTTACAGCATCGAATGTTCGTATTTGGAAATAAAAATCTGAGGTCACTTCCAAAGAACGCAAAATTCTTTTGGAAAAGTGTAAAGAACTATTTTTGGACAAAATGGTGCTTATAGTACTTGAGTTGGTGATAAAAGTTCAAGTCCTTTTCGACCAAGTTATGGACTTGAGGATATTTTGACTATTTGCTGAAAGTTTCAAGTTAGTTTACTTAAGTTTAAAATGTCATGTCAAATTTGAACCAAACTTCAGAGTTCTAAGTTACTTTTGAGAAAAGCCTAAACCTGAATTCATTTGTTGACCATAAATACCGTGTTAAGTTCAGTACTAATCGGGTCAAAGTGTTTAGTCACTTAAGCAGAAGTAACTGCTTGCAACAACAACGGCCTTGACAGGGTTTTGCAACATATATTTCTAATCACTTGTAACTTTCCACATAAACTCCCACCTACATCCAGGTGATAGTTCTTTCCTGCATGCCGTGATTCCATTGGGCTTTTGTACCCTCTGAACGAAATAAAATTGTTGACGCTCGACCTGCTGCATTCACTCGTGAATTTAGCAAGCCTTGACGCTAAAACCCTCATTGTGCCCAAAAGGCGAATGCTTTATTTTGCTGAATGGAGCAGCAAAAGCTGAGTATCTAAAGAAGGTGGGGCTATTTCAAAAGTTGAATAATACCTTCTTTAAATGCATTGCCAAGAGGCTTACATGTCAGTTCGTACCCATTACATGTAAGTGGTCGTCCATAGAAAAGGAGGGGCACTGTACTGTCGCTTGTATTTTGGTCTCAATTTGAAGTTGGTTTACTTCCACTAACCACCTCACTGAAAGTAGCTGCTCTGTATATTTCCGGGATAAAAAAACAGGTAAACAGTAGTGGTGCTCATATGTATAAATAGCTTCTATTTAACATTATAGATGTACATTAGATATTCTTTTAATTCTAGATTTGTTTTCAGTTGTATGTATCCCACAATGTATGTGGTGTTGTAGCACATTTTTAATTTTGCGTTCTGATGACTAACTTGTATAGTCGGACTAACCGTGTTCCTTTTTTGTCATAACAGAGCAGAGAAGACTTGCTATAATCTACAAAGTCTTTTGCAAACGATGCAAGCTAGCACTTGTATTTTACCATAGAATTGCTACAAGCAGCTTTTATAACTATACACATGGTTGCATATAAATGCAACATGAACTGCATGCACAATTTTGTTTGGTGTGTTTATTTACTAATCTGTGTTTGATTAACAAATTTTGCAGTTTTGTAGTCGTTCATTACTCTAACTCTAACTTTCTACACTGTCAAAACAATAACATGAACACCTTGTGGTGCTCAGTAACATATCCAAATTTTGGGGTCCAGGAGGTGCGAAATTGGTCATTTGGTTGGTTTTTTTTATAAAAATTATTAACACTACATGTAATTAATGCCAAGAAAACTAAAATTACACCCATGCTTTCTAAGCCTACTTAAGAAATCGTACTCCTTAAAACTTTCACGATTTGTGGATTAGAGTTTTTGAATTTTCTTTCAAATTCTAGGTATTGAAGCAGGGAAGAAGCTGGGCATCAAACACACCCTGAGCGCTCGGGAGTTCACGAGCCCAGACGTGGATGAGCTAGGGGTGATGTCATATGCCGCTCGCTTCCAGCATACGCCCCCATGGCCAAAGGAAGCGTCCTATGTGGTGCATAGTGAACCACCACCTCCCAAGGTATAAACAGACTCTAAACAATCAAATGCTTATCCATTGGAAGTGTTCCTGTCTGTTGTTCTAGAGGTCTTGAGTTCGTCTTCCGACAGTTTCCTTGTCGCTAAGGATAGGCTTTCTTAAAACATTTCTGTCTTCATAAAGTTATTTTTTCCTTACTTTGGTGGCAGGTAAACTGGGGCGAGTGCATACAGCTGACCAGCGTAAGAGTGCAAGACCGCGTGACATCTGGACACAACGCCCTGAAAACAACTCTGCAAGGAACCGTCAATGTTCCGGTGAGTTCCGACAAATTGATGCTTGCCTTACTACTGCCGTGCCAAAAGATTTTGCGCAGTCATTGTCTGAAAGAAGTAAAATACATAGCTGATGGAGTTACCAAATGAAATTCTGCTCTTATTTTTGTCTTTTTGTTATTTTAATATTGAATAGAAGAAGGCTCTTAATCTCCCCCCCCCCCTCAATCTGTCGGACCATAAAACCTGAATACGTTGCTGACTGTCTGATTTATCTTGTTACAGGTCATCCTAAGACTGAACGTGATCAACAGCAAGGCGACTCTGAAGGACATACGGGCCGATCTTCAAGCCCCCGGCCAACCCATCGCTATCGCCCTCAAGGCCCTGTCTGAAGACCAAGTGGAGACCACCTTCACGCCCCTGCAGGAGGGACTTCACAAGGTAAGGGTTAAGAAGGAACACAGTCATAAACGCAAAAGTGTTTTGGCAGATCAGGGTAGCCAAAATCATTGGGAAGATGCCAAGTAATTGACAGCCTGATTTCCAAGATCTACTCGTCATAGATTAGTCTAATAGAAAGACGATTTCTGATGGATGGTTGAATACATTACTGTTTTATTTGAGTACTATTTCAAGGTATATTTGTATGTAAACTTGGTTTTCCCTTTTTAGAGAGAGTTTCCAGTTATGTATATATAGGGTTGATTTTAAAAAGTTGGGTTGATATTCAAAAGTATTGAAAGTAAAAAGCAGGTATGCTATTTTCCTTCACTTCAGGCTGTCCTCTCTAAAATTTCTGACCAAGCCACGTGAAACTGAAGAAAAATGCAACTTTGAATTTACTTCCCCCTCCCCCGACTTTTGAGCTGCATGTGTGAAACATGTTTGCCAGGTGATGATCCATGTTTGACTCAAGAGGGCGTTTATCTATTAGGTGGGGGGGGGGGGGCAGACAAGACACATGCTTTTGTTTGGTCTTAAATTTCAAATTGGAATTAACAGTTCTCGTTTCTTGGGTTTTTTTGTAGTTGACAATATGGTGTAAGGATGAGAATGTGGATGGCTTTCCCATCGACTTTCTGATAGAGCCGGACAAGACATCGTATCCTAGGAACATCCGTATCGGCACCATGTCTTCAGCTGCCGTCGGGGAGCAGTTACAGTTCCAGGGTAAGTCCTGGCACCTAGGATTGTGGGATTGAGCCCCGCTCACCAATGTCTGCAGAATGGTTCTTAGAGTACAGTACATACAATGTACATCACTGACTATTAGTCAAAATTTGTCCAACCTTTTCAAAGTCTTCACAAAATTCTGAAAATAAGGAAATCCTCAGAAATAACCTTGAACTTGACAGTACTTTGGAGTGCCTCATTCTCACACGAGTCCCACAATTTTTTTCAGTTGATGTTGCGGAAGCAGGGCACGGGGAGCTGTCGGTTGAGATCAGCAATGGATTCACCCAGCTGCCGGTCCGCATCGTGCGACAGGGAAAGGTGTACACGGTCCACACGATGGCCAAGGAGTGCGGCACGTACAGCGTCTACATCAAGTGGAATGGAGAGGATATCACAGGTATGAGACCAATCCAACAGTCCCCCTTATGGCTAGTGGGCAAACAGCCTGCATGATGAAACTGATGAAACAACCCTTATGAAGTTTTGTCAGCGACGGATGAAGCCCAAACCCATTTTTAATTGATATTTGTTGTTGTGACTTTGTAGATAATCCGATGCAGATTGAGGTCCACGACGCGTCGCAGTGTATCGCTACCGGTGAGGGTCTTTCCAAAGCTAGGGAAGACCAGCCAACTGTCTTCAATGTAGACACGCGCAAAGCCGGCAAGGGAGAGCTAAGGGTAGTTGTAGAAGGTCAGCCACATGCTTTCTTTCCCTTATCGACAAAACTTCTTTCTCTCGTAACTAAAGATACTGATCTGATGTATCCAGACGTTTATGACTCAAGGCCAGGACTGGAACTCGAGTCTTTACCGCATCATGAGACACATATTGACAAAAGACTCGGGGTGAGACAAGTGCCTGCATGAGATTGAGACTCTGACTTGAACCAATTATGTGACCCGTGATTTATCGACTTGAACCAAGTTATTTTGGACTTGAACTCGGACTGGGACTCAGACTTATCCAATGTGCATCGACTACAACTATCTGTACATATCCTCTTGATATGGTGCTCATATGAAAGACGTTTTAACATTTGCTACAGAGACTTACAGATTTCAGTTAGACTTCGGCTTCATTTTTTTTTTATCAAATGCTTTCTGCAGTAATGCTAACAGTTAGAAGACCAGGCTAACAAAAAAGTTTTGCTTCTTAACTCTCAGCCTCTAAAAGGAATTCAAATTTTGCAGAAACTTCTCTCTGTACTCACATACATTTTAATGGAAGAAATCATTAAAGATTTCAAATTCAAGCTTTTATTGTCTGCTTTCTATCTCTATTATACGCCTTTCATATTCTCTTTTCATAGTCAGTGGTACATTGTGACATTTTAGCTATTAGTTTTTGAAGCTTGGCAAATTTTGAAGCTGGACAATTAAAAAAAAAAAAACGATGTCAGTTTTAATGATTATCTCTTATTTGCACAGTAATAACATTGAATTGCCTTTTCAGAATATGTAACAGGAAAAAAAAGTGAATCCCAAAAACTCTCATCTCGAGAAAAAAATTGAATCCCAAAAAAACTCTCATCTGGAGTAATTAACTTGTGAATGCATTTCGCATTGTCTTGTGTGTTATTGTCCTTGAAATTCCTTGGTTTTACACGAATATTTTTCTTTCATTGTAGGTCCCCACTCTATTGCCAAATGCAGCATTGACAGAAATAGCAACGGCACGTACACCGTGACCTATGTGCCTGTAGAGGTCGGCCTGTTTAGCATAAAGGTCACGTGGAACGGCAAAGACATCTATGGTATGTGATTACTTCAAGTTTTTTTAAGTGATGAAAAAATCTCCATGTACAAATTTGATCGATGCACGTTACTTTTAGAGTCTAGTTTTTCATGCAATTTAACCTGAGTTTATAACAGAAAGCCAATAAAGTGGCATGTCTTTGTTTTTTTATTTCTCATGTTTTGAAAATTTGCCTCCCCCAATTCGGAAGTTTTTTAAGCTGTTTACTCCTTGGACCCTAAATGGAAGCCAAAAATTAAAACAATGTTTGCCTTGTTTTCTTCACGCTGATGGCTACTTTATCTCAGGGATGTAGATTTTTCTCATAAAGTTTGGTCTCTCCAAAAAAACAAGATGATTTGTGTAAAGGCTAATCAAAACGTGACTTTTCTCCTGATTTCACAGGGAGCCCGTTTCACCCTAAGGTCACTGACTCGCGTAAGGTGCGTGTTATGGGGGGTCACGTGCCCGGCATGGGGGACAACGGAATGATCCACATGATGGCGAGCAAGGCCTACATACTGGAACTGGGCACCGCAGAGGCTGGGCCGGGTAAGCATCAATCATAAAATAAATTTATAAAACCTTCTTTTTGTCTTTATTTGAAGTCTTAAATCTTTTGAGAGCAAACAGTGAAGTTCCTTGCATATTTTCGGTCTCCCGTAGGCAAGATGGTTGCTGAGTTACAGACGCCTAGCAACCGGAGAACGCAGCTGCCAATTGATGTGGAGGCGGACGGGACAGTCACGATCAGATTTGTACCGGACGAGGAAGGTAGGACAAACGTTTTACTTTGGTATGTTTTCCCCACTTTTGAGAGACTAATTGTCATGAACAGAATTTTGTTATTAGGAGCATGCACATCCACCTACGCACCCCTCAACTCACCTTTTTTTTTTCTTTTTTTTTTTGGCAGGAGACTACATGCTACGGATCCTGTGGTCAGGCAACCCCATCAAGGGTTCCCCGTACAGGATGACATGCAGGAGGCAGCGGGTACCAATCGACCACACCCAGGTCAAATGTCACGGCGTTGGCCTGCAACAGAGTAAAGTCTTGCAGCAGAGTGAATTCATCTTGGACGGATCGCTGGCCGGACCGGGTATGTGTATCTATAGCACTTTGTTTCTCAAAGCACCTCACAGTTATTACCCCTATTCATGAGGCCATGAAACCAATTTTTTACAACAGCTGCAATCTGGTCTTTTAATATTCCACAGGTACCCATATATACTCCCTGATGGAGAGAGGCAGTTGCTGCAAAGTGTCTTGCCCAAGAACACAAGCACATGTGTTCCTTGTCAGGGCTTGAACTGCGTATCATTACACATGAGTTAATTGGGCACATTAACCAGTAGACTGTTACGCTTTTCTTCACATAGATTTTTTTTTTTTTTTTTTTTTTTTTTTGTATTTTGTTCAAGTCATAATTTCCCATTTTTGTTATGATGTGCCACTGGCTCCCCTGCTCACTGGTACCCCTTCCATTCTAGGTTCCCCGGGTGTGCGGATGAGCGGAGTCAAATCTGATGTTGTTGTGACTCTCATACCGCAAGGAGGCAATGTCTACAAGGCTATCTACACACCTGAGGTCTCAGGTAAAAAACAAAATCCAACAGAAAACAAATTCCCAAAAGAATTTTTCAGAGGATATTTAAAGTATACATTTGGTGGAGCATGTTTTTTCCTTTGCATTTTCTTGTAAAAGACTAATAAAGTTATTTTTTTGTGAGCCGGGCAGTGCTATTGTATAGGGTTACCCTGTAATGCTAATGAATGTGCTAAAGCCAACTCATTATGTATATTAGATGCATGAAAAGACTTGCAGTGAATAGCCATTCTGAATCAAATGAATAGAATTTTGTGCACTCTTGGTCCAGCTTTACTATGTGTGCTTTGTCTTGTGTTACAGGTGCATATCTTCTTCACTTGACGTGGTCCGACAGACAGGTGCCTGGATCTCCGTTCAAAGTGACCGTCGGAGAGAGTGCCCGGGCTAGTCGAGTGACCGCTAGCGGGGCGGCACTCAAGACCATCGTGGCTAACCAGACCTCCCGACTGGTCATCGATAGCAGAGAGGCTGGCTCCGGTAGGTTGAGACAATTAAACAGTGGGGGGGGGGGGGGGGGGGGGAACGTGCCCCTCCCCAACCCCACAAATTCCCAGTGGCCCCCTGGTGGTCCCCTACCACAAAAAGAATTATTCTATAGACCCCCTCTTCCCCACGCCCCTTCCTTAAAAAAGAAAGTATTGTTATAATAACTTTATTATTTTTGTCTGGATTCATGCCATAATAATTGCTGATGCTCCACCCCCCACCCCCGCCCCCACACTAAAAAACTACTAGCTCTGTAATAATTCTAAATAATTATATGTCACTGAAGCTGAAGTACTTAACTTTTGTGTTCAGTCAATCACAGCGCCGCTAACACAAATCCGACTGACTTTCTGATCTAACAGGTGAATTGACGGCGCGCTGTATCGGTCCCAGCTCAATGGCAGAGGTGCACATTGGAGACAATCGTAACGGCACCTACTCACTGCTAATCAGTCCCTCGGAGCACGGTAGGCACACGCTGGAGGTGAAATATGGAGAGGAACACATCCAAGGTAAGAAAAGGCGGTCATTTCAGTAGAAAGTTTTGAGAAAAAAAACCTAGTGTTGCAATTGAACATTATAATCAGTTATAATCATGTTTACGTCTCATATTTTTTCTCAGTAGTTGCTTAAGCCTTGTAATTGCCGACTAAGATGCAACATCTTGTTTCTTTAAATTTTCATCATGTCTCTCCCCCCCCCCCCCCCCCCCTTCCCCAGGGAGTCCGTTCTCACTCCGTGTTGCAGCGGCTCCAGACGCCAGTAAGGTTCGTTGCTTTGGACCGGGGTTGAACCACGGCGTGCTGTCCACGTTCAACGGCAGGTTTATCTGTGAAACGAAGGGAGCCGGGGCCGGACAGCTGAAAGTCAGGGTGCACGGACCCAAAGGTAGGTGGTCATGTCAAAAGAAGTTTGGTTTTTCTTGTCTTTTGCGAAAAAAGCTGTAGGTTGTTCTGATTTTGGCTCTTTTATCCTGTTGGTCTTCTATCCAAACCCCAAAGACTTTATCTGTTACTTTGTTTTTGCGTTTGGTTCTCTGGTCACTTTGGAAGCTTGTATCTTGATTAAACGTAATTGTCCCGATGAACAATGACGTCATGATGACATCACCATGGGTCACGTGAATCATCTTTAATTTTCACCTTTTGTTTTCGGTTCAGGAGCTTTCAAGGTAGAGATGCGACGGAGTGACACCAAGGACCGCACCATCGACGTCCGCTACAACCCCGAGGAGAGTGGGGAGTTCGCCATCCAGGTCAAGTGGTCTGACAAGCACGTGCCCGGTTCCCCGTTCCTCATCAAGGTAGTGGATACCAGGGAAGAACTGGAAGCGCTCATGAGAGAGATGTCGTCCTTCAACGAGAGACCGGTTAAGCAGAACGGCTGGTCCGAGGAGATATGAAGTTGCGGACAACAGTGCCATCTTTCCATGTCTGCGTATAAGGGTGGTAAAATGAAAAAAGTGAGAATTTCCACCCATGATGAAAAATAGTACACTACTCTTAAGAACTATGTGCCACATGGAAAATAAAAATCGTCTTAACTTCCCCCTTACTTACTTTGTCAAGTAATACATATGATGGAAACAATTTTTTTGGTAATACAAGAATTGTAATACTCAGGAGTTTTCCGACTGATGTGTGATGGTATTTGGATTTTGTCGTGGCAGAAAAATCCCTTTTAACAGAAACAGCTTTGTGGAAATGATCATGTGTATATAGTGTATACTTAAAAAATCGGGTATATTTAGACTCAAATTAGGCGAGCAACATAGTTTTAGTGAACAAAATTGAGCTGCGTTCTTGCTTAAAATCCTTGCCGTTTGGACAATTAATCTCAGAGCTAATTGGGAGCTTGTAAAAGATTGCAAAAATCATATTATGAAGTATGGGGCACCTAATTTACAAAATTGCAGGATTATATTTTTTGACATTGTAAAGTAAATGGACCAACAGGTGATAGTTTTCAATTGTGATCTTAATTGTAAATATCGCTGATTTTCAGTTTATCCGTAATTGAGTTTGGGTTCAGTCATTCAAACAGTTTGATGGTGTTAATAAAAGGCATGTACATAGCAACAGAACTACCTAAGATTGAAGTTTTTTTTGTACGTGATGTTACCCTGAAATCTCAGCCTGTACTGTATTCCTAAAAACTTAGAAATCCACTGATGTCTCCAATTTTTTTAATTTTTTATTTTAAGAAGTATTAAAATGGTTCAGTCCCTGCACAGTAGTCATGCAAACACTGGTCAAAAGTTGTAGTGATTTACTTTCATATTACAATATTATAAAAATTATATAGCATTTACCTCTTATTTAATTGTACCTGTTAAATTATAATTGTTAATTGAAGTTTTTTCATGTTAATTTAGTCTTCCTTGTACATACATAATGTTCGTTTTTGTGTGATAGTATTCATTTTGAAATGTGTTCAGCATAGTTATTAAATATTCATTATGTTTGTGTGATTGTGGCACTTTCGAGCTTTGTGTATAGAATTGTAATTATAAGTAATAAAATTAATACTCTGGGCTAATTTAGGTCATATTTCTTTTAGAAAAATGGTTCTGTTTGTAATACAAATATCTTAAGGAATAGTTCACACACATAATGGCAAATTTAAAGTGATTTTAACAAAACTGGCACCTTTTTATATTACAAATCACGATTTAAAAAAAAAATGTATTTTAAGGCTACATACATTGGTCTTATTGAACTTTGATTTGAGGGTAATTTGTTTGTAAAAATGTTAATTAAGACATCATTTAGCCTTTAAGTAATCACTAGTATGAATCTGTTTGATGGAATTTGGATAGTTAAGGTGACAATTTGGAAGAATTACCTTTGAAAATGATAAAACAAGTTTCACAGATACATACTGATCCATTAACTCCCCGCACTAAATAAGTGTTCTTTTTTGTGTAGTTCTTTATAGTTTATACAGCTAAGCCTGAACTTGAATATCCTAAATGTATGTCTATGGTTAAACTGAAAGCTTGATTTTAAAATTAATTTTGAACCAAAGTGCATTTAATCAGCATATACTATTAATACAACACAAATTAGGCCTACTCAAAGTCAATTCAAGTTTCATGCAAGTCTCTACCAACTTTGGTAGTGAAAATTAGGTTTGGTTCATCACTATTGAGTCTTTGCAACATCTATGATAATTGAACCACGCCCATTTTTTAAATTTTTTTTTTTTTGGAAATCGCTTCTGACGCTTTTTTTTTTTATATTTGACGAAGTATTTTGCAACATGTCCACTTTAAGCGTCTTATCTAAACTTTGATTTATCCATGATCTAACCAACCTGGCTTTTTTAATTTTGCTTTCCGCTTTTCCAATTCATAATTTTTGGTTCGTTCTTTTTTCTGATAGCATGTTTTCAAGTGAATCTTATAAAAAAAAGGAGAATTTTAAAAACACTGGCAAATTTACCCTGATTTTTTTTATTGCTTGTTTCTTTTCGTTTTTGTTTATGTTTTGTTTTTATTTACTGAGCCATAACTTCAGTACTGTTACTAATAACACTGAATTAAGCTTATGCATTTATATGTATATTCGTAATTTGTATGGAAGCCTTAAGAATAATAAAATTTGGTCAGATTTCGAGACAATTTTGCTCCCGGCTTAAAACTTTTATTCCAATAATAAGCGCGCTCCCGCCCGGGACGAAGCGGCTTGCCAGGTATGTATCAAGAAGTGAGATTTCCAGAAAGATTTTATATGGACAGCTGGATAGTAGGGCAACATTGTGCAACAATTAACCTCTAAGTTTCTAGACCAAAACGTTTTGGAAATACAGTGATATATAAATTAATATATAATTTCTTGGCCATTATGTCCCTGTTGTGTGTTCAAGAAGTCCCGTGTGTAGGATATAAGCGCGCTCCCGCAAGGAACATGCACAGCGCAGCGGCCGCTATTAGGTTGATTATAAATGTAACTAGAAATAGGACTTTCTGAAAACATTTTGCATGGACTGAAAGCTTCAACGATAGTAGGGTGATAACATGCAACAATCCCTACGTTAGACCAAAACGTTTTGGAAATACAGTGAGTTATAAATTAATAATCCTCCATTGGCCAATTTCATCAGTTGCGTGTTCAAAAATTCCGTGTGTGAGACCCGTTATATAGTGATGCTTGATTATAATTGCTAGAGGTGGGACTCTTTTCTAAAAACATGTACATTGATAGAAAACTGGATAGTAGGGGAAGTATGTGCATAATCTCCAAGTTTCTAGACAAAATAGTTTTAGAGATACGGCGACATATAAATACATTTCTTGGCCGTTAAAGGGAATATACAACATTTGCAAACATCGAAAAATAAAACTACCAAGTTTTTACAAAATACCTTACTAGGATGTTGGTAAATGACAGTCTAAAATTATCCTGTAAAATTATGGCACCTGGTTTCAAGTCATTTTCAAGAAAATGGTATTTTTGTATACATTTCCAACGGTGGTCGGCCGACCACCGTTGGAAAAGCCTAACTACTTTATCAACTACTGCTCCAAATTTTATTTTTTTTTTCAGTCCAAATTTTGTTTGCTCTTGGTTACATGTTCATGAACGGGTGCAGGCCAGCTAGACTGGTTCCTTTACCTTACAATTTTCCACCATCTATAAATTGATCTTTTTTATCTGTAGTGGAGTCAGGGTGCCAGACTACCTAAACATTTTTGTTTTTCTTAGTTTTTCAAGCATTTTCCAACACCAAACTTCAAACATGCCAGTTAAACAATATTTGATCTATTATACTAACCCCTCAAATAGTTCATTTTCTGAAAATTACAGCAAAAGCCAATGATGTACATTCCCTTTAACACCTACACGTGAAACACTGCGCCTGGTTATGACAGTGGGAGCGTACTGCTCGACACTCTGGGACGAAGTTGCTTTTACGATTAATGCATTGGCTTCGGGGACGAGGTTGCATTTGAATCAAAATGGCGCACTCCAGTCTCAATCAGTACTTGCAACAGGTTCGTGGGTTTTTCGTTCGTTAAGTTTCTCGTTAGCGATTTACAAAGTATTTCATGGTCACTATTAATACTATTATATTAACAATATCCTATAAGGACACTCTTTAGGAAGTCACAATGGCATGAATACAAGGAATTCAATGAAATAAAGTGATTAAATCTTGGGTCCAGTTTCCGGACAATGTTAATGAAATGCAAATTGCAATGCAATGTCACTTGGTTACATTGATAATGAATGGTAGTCGAGATGTTTTCTGCACAATGTTATTTTTTTATGGGTGCCAATGGCAAAGAAAATAATTCAGAGGTCAGAACTCTGAACAAATACTAATTTTAAAACACAAGTGGTTAACATTAACTCAAAATTTTAGAAAAATCTTAATTATGGAACTTGGAGTCCATGTTGGACAATGTTGGAAGTGTATTTTTATTTTAGCCAGTTTTTTTTCCAGTTAGGCCTTTATGTATTAATATTAATATCAGCATTATTTTCTTTCCAGCTTGAAAATGCCTTGAACAGGAGAGATGGCCCAACAGCAGCGGTAGGATTATTTTTTGCTTGTGCTTGAAATATTCAGAAAGACTGCTGAGAATCCCTGTAAACAAATTTTATTTCATTTCAGAATGATAGGTGGCCTACTTCGGCTTTTAACAATCTAGGAAATACTGATAAATCATAGTATAAACTTTGTTGCGAGTATAACTGGCTTACTTTTTGAAGCATTTTTTAATACACTGTATTCCATTATATTTCAGCCAAATAAAAGTTTTGTTTTCGAAATCTCAGAAAATTTGTTTTGAGTGTCAAAATTTATACTGTAGTGTAAATTTTGAAGAAGTCATTTGTTAATTTTCTGTCGTTTTACTGATGCTCATTGCGTGTAAAACTTGAGCAGTTATGAGTGGATTGCTTTTTTGATTTCACTTTTAATTGAATGAGACCACATTATGAACACTGAGCTATTAAATGGATCTTTATTTAGTTTCGATCGTGTACAAGTGTGTCTGTTCGTAATTGAGGAGTTTTGCTTTCTTTCTGTGCAGGAACTGTTGTCGTTTAAGCATCCACACATTGCCAACCCAAAGCTGCAGAGACTCGATAATCCAGAGGGCCAATGTGAGCAGTGGTTTGATCAGCCCTATGACGAGATGATAGCAGCACATTTGAAGTGAGTAGGGAGGACAAACATTTCTGTTGTTGACGGGGAGGAGCCACAGTGATGATCCCCCCCCCCCCATACCCCCAGATGCACTTATAAAAGACTTTAAAATGATATGTAAAATTCATTCAAACAAATAAAAACCATAACAAATGTATCATTAAAATTTCATTAAAATTCTTGAAACATTTATGGTCGCTGGTGTTGCACAAAAGTCTTAGCATCGGGAAGAGGTGGGATTTAAGTTGCCTCTTAAAACAGGACAACGAGATGTAGCCTCTTGTATGGTTGTAGACAACTTGATCCTTTCCCTTGAAGCAAATTCATTGTAAGGTCTATCTCCTGCTGTTTTGTGTTTGTTCTTGGGGCAAACAGAAGTTGAATTCTGATTAGACACTTGCGAAGTTTTGGTTAACAGTTAAACGACAAATATAAATTATTTCAATTTTTTCCATTTTTTTTTTTTTTTTTAAAGTTGCCTCTTTATTCTCGTGCAGGTGCATCCAGTGTGTGGCCAATCATGACTTTGTGGAAGCCTACGCTTACCAGTCTGTAGTTGTGCAGTATCCTTAACAGATCAACTCAATACTTTGCATCTTCCTTGAAAAAGATTAAACGGGCCATGTGTTACAAAACTTTGGGTTATTTCACAAAGTATTACGATCCCTCTTGACGTAAATTGTTATTTACCTTGCCTTTTTAAGTGATTTACCTTGAAAAACGGAGTTCAGTTATGAACTAGATTACTGTCTGACGCAAAGCTTTTTCCAATACACATCTGCTTAATTTTCTTTCATGAATTTAAAAATTGTTTCAAGAGAAATTTCAAAACTGAAAAATCTGATTTTCTGAAGATTTGATGATCATTGTTTACAATGTACATGCATGAAATAATCACTGTATCTATTTTGTTGAAAATACACTCTCGATGCAGTAAACGTAGTGGAATACTCATTGTCATAACTGATTGTAGCAGATATTCAGTGCTCTACCGTGGATGGGTTGGTTCGTTATAAAAATTCAGCCCCCTTTTAGTTTAATAAAAATTGTGTTACCTTAAACCCAAACCCACAGATCTTTCAATAAAATATTTCAGAGCCACAAAGATGATAACTGGTAAGTTCTTGAAATTTTGTTTTCTTCCTCCTGAATTATACAATAATCTTCACACACACCGAAGGGTTGAATGTGTCCTTAACGGTTAAGGCATGTTGATATTGATGCAAAGGTTAATTAGGTTATGTTTCTATTCAGTATTCAATTTGCACGTGCTCATTTGAAACAGTTGATTATGATATGCAAATCACATCCTGAATATTCATCAGGTCGTGTTGAATATGCATATTTTGCAGGGCCCTGCCTATCATGTATGGAGTTACCTTGGACCTGAGGTTGTTTGCCAACAGTGTAAGTTTGCCTGAAACATATTTACAGGAGATTGTTTTTATATTGAAACTAAACTTACAGTGTGTTATATAAAAACTATTGACTGCTTCAAAATGGTATAGGAAAACAGCCCCTTCGGGCGATCCATTGAGTTCATAAGTATGCAACTTCCATTGCACAATGTAGTATAAAAGTAAAAAGTCATGCATGACTTCATTGAAATACTGATGTTTACGTTATCAAAGTGAGAAGCTCGCCCATTGTAACAATATCCAACAAATATCTCAAGGCCAAACTGCCTCAGAGTCTGTGGTCACCAACTGCAGCAGGATACAACTGTGGCATTGATCAATGGCACTAGCTCTCATTGTCTCTGAAATGGCGGTTTATGCACTGGAGTTGCTGGCCCAATGCAGCAAGGTCCCACATACTTTTTGACACCTGTTGCGCCGTGTTGCACCTGCCAGGTATTCATCCTTTGTTAATTGTTTACTGCAGGCCGATACGCAGCTAGCCAAGCGAGGCAAGTGTAAGCCTGGGGAGAAGCTGGAGAAAGCAGCTGATACGCTGATGGGCTGCTTCAGAATATGTGCTGCCGACAGGTAATGCAACAAATCCCTAAAACTTTCAAAAAGTAAATATCCTTGTGTGGCGATATTTTGAGAAAAAAAATTGATAAGATTATTGATATAAACAAAATTGCTGCTGTTAATATCCGATAATATTGCCATATCGAGCAAGATAGTGAAGTATGTTACAGAATTTGATTACACTGTATGTGTACAATGAATGAACACTGGAAATTGACAGTTTTTGTTTTTGTTCTGTTCTTTAGTCGAGCATCAGTAGAAGAATCTAAAAAGTGGGGGATGCTTTACCTAGTGAACCAACTCTTCAAGATTTACTTCAAGGTATGTCAGTCTTTAATAAGCAGTAAATTAGCAGATACGTCAAGCAAAAGTAAATTTCAAGTCAGGTCAAATGTCGGGTCACACTGGACGACTTTTGATTGACTTGTGATTAACTTGTAATTTTCTTGTGATTAACTTGTGATTAACTTGAATGAGTTGTGATTGACTTGCAATGATTTGTGATGTCTTGTGATTTACTTATGATTGACTTGTGATGAACTTGCGATTGCTTTCGATTGTCTTGTGATGATTTGAGATGAACTAGTGATTGACTTGTGATGGACTGGTAATTGACTAGTGATTGACTTACGATTGCTTGTGATTGCTTTCGATTGTCTTGTGATGATTTGTGATGAACTAGAGATTGACTTGTGACTGAAACTTCATTCCTCCCTTCTCCTTAATACTCAGACCAACAATCTCCAGCTCTGTAAGCCCCTCATCCGAGCCATCGACAGCTCCAGTTTCAAGGACCAGTTCAGCATCTCCCAACGAGTCACATACAGGTACTATGTCGGCAGGAAGGCCATGTTTGACAGTGACTTCAAGAGCGGTGAGTTGACGGGTTCTCAACAAAGTCCAGTTTTTAAATGGACTGATCCACTTGTCTCAACTAAGACTGATGTTACAGGCTAATTCAAATCAACTGCAGATTTCAGATTTGCCGAAAGTCTTACACATTTAGGATTTGTTTTCTACACAGCTGAAGAGTTCTTGACCTTTGCTTTCCAGCGATGTCATCGAGCAAGCAGACAGAACAAGAGACTGATTCTGATCTACCTTCTACCTGTCAAAATGCTTCTGGTGAGAAACGAAGAATGTCCTACACTGCCCAAACCACTCTGTCTGTTACACCTTGAACCACCAAAGGCCAGCACAGTGGAACAATCTTTTGTGTACCACATTTTGTTTCCTTATCGTGGTGTTCTACTATACTTGTTAGTTTTGTTCAGAGAAATCCTAACTTAAAACTTAAACAAATCTGAACTGTTCAGCGTTGGCATTAGGGTAGTGTACTTTATCACAATGCTTCAATACAGGCAGTGCATTCTTATTATGAAGATTTATTGGTTTCGTTTTTCTCGTTCTCCACACTCACTCATCAGGGTCAAATGCCAAAGGTCAAGCTCCTCCAGAAGTACGACCTGATGCAGTTTGCAAACGTGGCCCGGGCCGTCATCGAGGGAAATCTAAAACTCCTCAATTCAGCCATCGAGACACATGAAGCGTTCTTTGCCAAGTGCGGCGTGTACCTCATAGTGGACAAGCTGAAAATCATCACCTACCGCAACTTGTTCAAGAAAGTGTAAGTAACAAGTTTTTCATCATACTTAAAAATTGAGAGTTTTGTCTGTACAAATTTTCACCAAAGTGATGTCTCCTTAACTTGAGTCTTGATGTTTACACTTCATACACAATGTAGCAACTTGATCACCATAATGGTGGATATGTTCGCTTTATAAAAAAAGCATTATCCTTTACTGAGAAGTTTGTGTCTGTACATTTGTATTTATACATTTTTCTTTCGATTTGTGCCAATTCTTTCCCGTTTCAGGTACATGATTACCAAGTCATTCCAGCTGAGCATTGACAAGTTTATGGTGGTCCTGACCTACCTGGAGCTGGAGGACGTGGACTCGGCAGAAGTGGAGTGCATTCTGGCTAATCTCATATACCAGGTGGGTACACAGATGACAAGTTGTAGCACATTTTCTGTCTGCATGGTTGCTGATGAGTCAATCACAAGTCAGTCACAAATCAGGTGGCAAGTAACAGGATGAACAAATGAAAAGGAATGCCTTTAGAGCACAGTATATTTGAATAACCTGTGACTTGACTTGGGACTGTAAGACTTGTGATGGACTTGTGATGGACTTGTGATGGACTTGTGATGGACTTGTGATAGACTTGTGATAGACTTGTGATGGACTTGTGATGGACTTGTGATGGACTTGTGATGGACTTGTGATGACTTGTGATGACTTGTGATGACTTGTGATGACCTGTGATTAACTTGTTATGACTTGTAATGGCTTGTTATGACTTGTTATGACTTGTGATGACTTGTGATGACTTGTGATGACTTGTGATTGACTTGTGATTGACTTAGGACTTGTAATGACTTGTGATTGACTTGTGATGCCTTGTGATGACTTGTGATGACTTGTGATGACTTGTGATGACTTGTGATGACTTGTGATGACTCCTGATTGACTTATGATGACTTGTGATTGACTTACGATAACTAATATTGAGGTGACTTCAGATGACTTTTGATTAATATTTGGGAAGTCACTGGGTCGTTGGTGAAGCAAAAAGTGCATAATTTCTTTCAAATCTTTGTGCTTATTTGTGTGATAAATCTTGTGTTTTCAGGGTTACATCAAGGGTTACATCTCCCATCAGCACCAGAAGTTGGTCGTCAGTAAACAGAATCCATTCCCACCGCTGGCCTCATTTCTCTGCTGACGGATCTTGGTCGAAAAAGACAAAATCTCTCTCATTGCCATGGTTACATCGACGGTGACATCACCAATCAGGACAAGAAGTTGGTCATCGGTGAACAGAAAGTCGTTTCCTCCGTTGCCTTTTTCTTTGCCGACAAAATATGCTGATGGGGAGTGTTTAGTTTTGAGATTGTCCCTCATAGCAGGGAAAACTTTAAGGGCCGCACAACCAGCGCGGATCCTGATTCCATTGAGCTGCTAAGCTGAAAACATGAGCAGATTTCAGTGTGAAGCAAAAATCAGGGTAAAACCAGATATATTGAATGTCTGTTTGTCTGGTCATCTGATTTTTGCTTACTCGTGACTGGACGTGTGATGGACTGGACTACATCACTGCTCGTTGTCGGCTTACTTGTACATGGCGTCACATAGTCCATAATCACATCTGTACAACTTTTTTTGTGTGGTAACAATTCACAATTGAAACTACTTAAATCATTGATTGTATCATTTTCATTCTGGGAAAAACTCGGTGATATTTGCTCTTGTAAACTTGTACAGTTTGTAAAGTTTGAATACAAAAATCATTGCTTCAAATGCCTCGTTGTATTTTTACTTTTATTTGTCAGGTTTTTTTAATAAATTGTGTATAGACACGCAGTGTGTAGAGTTTGTTTCTGCATTCAATAGAAGACATTGAACAATAGAGGACAACAGGTCCCCAATTTGGCGATGTGTACAAAACATATGGGAGGTCTTCCTAAAGAGTCAGTGTGCAGTAAAGTGTCCACCAGCTGTTGTCAACTTTCCATAGACACTAATTGTGCTCCATGGTACTCCATGTTGTGTCCAGAATGTTTGAAACCCTCCATGTCGCAACATTGTTCTATGCAGATATTTTGAATTGATAAAGAGAAAACCCAGGGTACATGAAAAATCAAACGCATTTTAAGTCTAATTTGCATAACATTTAATGCTGAACAAGTGATAAATATTCCTAACACATTTATATTCACCATACATAAAGGCTGTTTCCTCACAATTATGGGTGCTTCATTTGTACTCGTGAAAAACGTACGCCAAACAATGATATATTTGCATAAATGTATACAAAAAACTTTCAAATAAACATTTAGTACGTCTGACATGCTTCAGACATAGCTCCGTGATAATATTGAAATGTCTTGATATAAAATGATTTCGTGAAAAAAAGTTCCAGAATAAATAGGGGATGCATCTCTAATAGTACCTCATTAATTTTGTTTCAGATGAACTGAATATCAGGTGTGAAGTGCACAAAAACAGAATTAAAATTTCAAAAAAAACTTTAAAAGTAATAATTATTTATTTATTTATATATATGTTTTTGCTTTCATTTTTCACACAATGCTATGTAGCTTTTAAAGATCAGAATAGACGTTCGGGAACAAATTTAAAAAAAGAAGACTTTTGGGGTTGAGGAATAAAAATGTCCCTTTGAATTATTTCAGTCAATGATTTAATTTAATAGAAAATAGGAGCCACAAAATTAAAATTCTGATATGGATAAGAAAACATACAACAACATATTGACAGTGATTCCTGGAGGATTTTGCTGGATTGAGGCAGTGGTCACCCCTCCAAGGACCACATAAGGATCACATCAAGAAATAATGGAGGATTTTGCAGGATTGAGGCTGTATGCAATTTTTACATGGAAAGAGTCGGAGGATTTTGCAGGATTGAGGTGACATCCTAGCAAAATGCCCAGGGAGTTGAGGTTAATTAACCCATTACCACTTACATTACATTGTAATACATTGTATTACATAGTATAACAATGTATTTACCCCATGATAAATCCAGAAAACCATAGAGAGCAGGGGGGGTATAAGAAGTAAAAGGCAGGGCGCTTTTGGGCATTGCAGGGCCTAACAGGTTAAACTCCACTCACGATTTAAGAAGCATTGCTACATTCACACAGCTACACATACATGTACACCACAATACATTGTTAATACTTTACCATTTCAACTACTTGTCACCATACAAATAGAAAACAGTTCAGTCAAGTGTAGCAAGGGGCTTTCATAGGCTCTTCCTATGATTACGAATTTTGATATTTTCTACAAGTACATGTTTTTGTAAATGCATCCACACACGTATGTGTAAAAAAAACAAGGTGTATGACTACTTAGCCCGATACAATACTTCATCTACATCTCACTGCACAGGTAAATTAGCATTAGCAGTATTTGATTTACTTGCTTCATCTTGTTTACTGTTTTAAAAGTACTTGTGTTCTTACTTACACATTAAAGCAATCAGACCCGAGCACCATACACAGACTTGTACTTCTACTCAATTTGAAGACTTTATGTTCAAATCTCAGGACTCGACATGATTTCAACTCCTTCAGCACTGGCCTTGTACTTTAGTCAAAAGAAGTAGTCAAGGACAAAACTTTACACAAAGATTCCTTCTGCTTTTCTAGCTCAGCTGTAAACATATAGCAGTCCACTTGATACGCAGTATGGCTTTTCTGCACAACACACTCTTGCAGGGAACAAATGTAGTTTTCGTGAGGCTCAAGTCGGTGTACATCATGCAGTCATTTGACTTATAATAGCTGCGTAAATTCTCAGCCAAGTTGCGTTTCTCGGAGAGTTGTTGTAGCGAGAGACAAACCGCAGTGGGGGAGCACACGGCCAGTAGCCTTTGCCCAGTTCACAATAGGTGGAAAAGAATGTCATAATAACGACTGCTCAAACATGACTTTGTCGAAGCCGGCCGGTGGCGTGTGGTAGAACTCGCTGAATTGCACGTCAAGAATTGCACCCTCATCAACTGTGGGAGTTGATAAAAGAAAAACAATGTTGGAAAAACACCACGATGCATTTTTTGTTCAGAAGACTCTCAGGTCCAAGTTTCTGCTGTTCTACAGTTTCACCAGCTTGGCACCTTCTCTAGGGCCACAACTCATTTCACACGTCCAGTCACAACTCAATGACAACACTACAAATTAGACAGAGTTTATACACTGCCTTAAATGTTGAAAACAGGTTGTCAATTTTGAATTGTGTACTCGGTGAGAACTGAGCTTACCATACGTGGCTGGGTAGACGGTCCCACGGATCCCGGTGACCGGCAGGTTAAGGGGCGTGCCGTTCTTGTAAAAGTTTAACTCGATGTGATCATACGTGATCCCCTAGAAAAATATAAATTGACAGAAACTAACTATATAGTTTGAAATGTAAATATTTTTTTTGTGTCTAAATAACTTTTTAACTTGAGAAATTATTGTTGGGTAAGCTACATGCACGATCCATCCTCTCGGCTGCAAAATCTCGGCAATAAACAAAGAAATAAATGAAATGTTCCGCTTTCTTTTATTTGAAGTGAAAGTAATCTTAAGTTTGTTTCAATGGACTGAATCATCATGGCTATTTGATACAGCCATATTTGAATTTTGTATTGTATTCCCTATGACCAGTACATACAAAGGATCAATTGAAAATTGGTCAAGTACGCTTGCAACTTGATTATTTAACTGAAAAAAATACCCAGAAAAGATGGTGATTTCAATTTTTTTTTTTTTACGTACAATGATGTCCCCCTCAGCGATTTCAGCCTCCAGTTTGTGCAGGCACTCCCCGTTGTGGGAAATGGTACCGTCCGACCTCAGCATCCAACTCTCTGATTTGCTGCCCAGAGGAAGGACGTTCAAATTGCATTTGCGGGTGGCGATCCCAAAACCCCAGTTCCCTGCAGAAAGAAAGGACAGTCCACACATCTAAACAATTTGAAATATTCGCATGGAGAAAAAAACAAATATTTGTGGTAAACTTAGCAAACTTGCGTTCTTATAAAAAAAGAATGAGCTAGATCATGACCCATTTAGGCTCGTGACATGTTTTTACTCGGCACACCTACTCTTGGCTAAAGTCAAATAACTTTTTTCAAATCATTTTTTTTTTTAATTTACTCATTATTGATAACACTGGTGATGTATTTTATATGCGAGTAGATATGCAGAATGAAGTTGAGTCACCAGAATCAAGGCATTTACTGTTGTCGTTGAAATAAATGGCTACACAAATGTTACTGAAACTTGATGAAGTAGTGTCCACATATTTAGGCCTAAATTTTTTGTATATCTTTCAAAAGATTTTATTTGCTGCACTTCCAAATGATAAGGCCGCAATACGTTATTATTATTTTTTTTTAAATGTAATTTACCAGTTGACTGAAGCTTCATTTCAAAGTAGGCTTTGTCTTGGACTAGTGGTGCATTGCCAAGGGCTCCCCCGGTTCCACAAATTCTTCGTCCCGATTTTACAATGACTACATCGCCACCTGCAGAAAAAAGGGAGAAATCTTTCAGATTATATCTAGGGAAGGAAGGCTAATACATTTTTCGATTAAATTTTCTACATTTGTTTCGGATGGGGTTTTGTAGAGAAATTCATAGGATACATTTCAATTATGTTTCCATCGGATTCTGCAAAGCAAAGAAAAATTGATTTAAACTTAACTGGGATATTTTTGTCCCTGAAATGTGTATGTTTAATGCAGAGTTAAACGTGATTATTTGGCACACAAATCGTAGAGCAGATTATGACTGAAATGCTTACTCCCACATTCACTCTTATCATCACTGATAATCATTTTATCAGGCATTTTTGTCTGACCTTTGTTGCTTTAGTTCAATGAGATGATGAAGAAAATAGTGGTGGCAGGTTGCAACATTCTTTCCTCAAATTTTAATCACAATTTCCTTAGGAAAATGTGTCACCAACTGAACAGCGCCCTTATACATTTATTAATATCCCTATCTAGGGTAACCGTACTTCTGTATGCAACTTGGCATGAATCTCCTCTTGTGCATTACCAATACCAGGCATGCCAGGTTATGTCTATCACATTCACAAATGTGGTGCAATGGCATGCAATGCAAAGTTAGCTTGAGTGACTCCAGCTGACATGCTCATATTCATTCACATGTAGCGCTGGAGGAAGGCCTGTGCGTTTCCATGTGGTAGCAAGAGACCCTAAAAAAATGGCCTCTCCAAAAATTGTTCATTTTCACCTCTAATATCCCACCCCAGAGTTCACCCACATACCTCATAATTTCAGCAGTCATTTACGAAGCCTAATGATCGATTTGAAACAAGACCAACAAAAAAAAAGTGAAAAATCTTGACGATTTCGGTGGCTTGTCCGTAAAAATACGCCTGTTCCAACGGCTGTATTCCATTTTGTTTTGCTAATTATATTAATGAATGCATCACGTGATGATGACATCAAAAAATCGGCGCGCGCGATGTATGTGGGTACCACACCGCTTTCAGGCGCCGCAAGTGAGTTCAATTTTCGTCTGGTGCGTTGTCGCGGAAAGCAAGACAACGAGAATGCTCTCCACGGCAACGCACCAGACGAAAATTGAACTCACTTGCGGCGCCTGAAAGCGGTGTGGTACCCAAATACATCGTGCGCGCCGATTTTTTTTATGTCATCACGTGATGCATACTTTAATATAATTAGCAAAACAAAATGGAAGACAGCCGTTGGAACAGGCGTATTTTTACGGACAAGCCACCGAAATCGTCAAGATTTTTCACTTTTTTTTTGTTGGTCTTGTTTCAAATCGATCATTAGGCTTCGTAAATAACTGCTGAATGTATGAGGTATGTGGGTGAACTCTTGGGTGGGATATTAGAGGTAAAAATGAACAATTTTTGGGAGAGGCCATTTTTTTAGGGTCTCTTGCTACCACATGGAAACGCACAGGCCTTCCTCCAGCGCTACATGTGAATGAATATGAGCATGTCAGCTGGAGTCACTCAAGCTAATGCAAAGTAATTTAGTAAACCAGCACCAACAGGATCTTGCTTGATGACCTTTTTCCCTTTGAAAGAACTCTCATTGAGACAATCAATTGTACGCAAAACGATTCAGCATAGTCTTACCCATATGTGACATGTCCAATGTGACAGTCGGGATTTCTTTCAGTGGTACATGACCCGTACGAAAACCACCACCCGGCCAGCACCGAAAACAACAAAAACATGCAGCCATTTTGCCTGGCACAATCTGGCCGCTGGGTGGCGCTATTGAGAAACCACTGCCGGGCCGCGTCGCCGTTGGACCCCCCTCCCCCCCCCCCCCCCCCCTCCCTTCAATCGTGCCGCGTGCGACATTAGAAAAAACACTTCATTTCGTCAGAAATATATGGACTTTCTCTATTTAAAGCATATTGTACGAACACGGAAATTGGAATAATGCAGATGGGCTGACTTTGTGTTTTTGTCAAATATCACCTACAATCTTTCGGGTCAAGTGCGGCCTTATAAAGTTGCGGTATAAATGCGCTTGACGAATAACCTGCTATTAATTATCTCCAGGGGTAAAAACGCCGCACGTGCCCAAGGGGATGCCTGCTGTCCTTCCAAAATAATCGTGGGGTGGTACATTGTTCTGTCACCATTTGACACAAATTCCATCACCATTTCAGCCCTCCACTTACGCCCCCCCCCCCCCCCCCCGGGCACTTGTCCTAATTCCATACCAAATCCGTTGAGGACCATAGCTTTGTAGTGTAGCAAGTGTAATCAGTTCGCCACTTGTTTTTGCTGTCAACGAGTGACTTAAAAGCCACGCGTGCGGCAGTCTGCCCAATATGCTCGGCGGATCATCCAGCCAAGTAACTGAGGATCACCCGCGCCGATCATAGGCTAGGCTTTCCACCGCCACAGCCGCCTCTGAATTTGACTGAGTTTTGGCAAACGTTCAAAGCCGGTGAAGAGGGACCACTGAAAATGCCATCAATCCATCGGTATCCAGTTGTCTTGAGAGTTTCCCGGCCACGCGTCAGCCCAGCCTTGGGTTGCGTGGCACTAGCACTGGCTGCCGCACTGTTGCAAATAAGCAATGCACGTGCTGCTGTGGGACTCCGAGACACGGTCCGGGACTCACCGGGCGGGCCGGGGTATAGCGTGGGGGAAATCGCGGTTCATGGTCGGCGCCTTCGGGAGGGGAGCGCCGGTGAACTGCTCGGTGATGACGAAGACAACGTGTGGTTGGCGTCTGGGAATTCATGCTACGATGAAGGTAGGGCTGTTGCCGGTTTTTTCTGGCTCGTCAGCTGTTTTACGTTCGTCAAGTTATGTGCAGACTTTGTTTTATTGCTCAGCTGTGGTATGGAAAAAGGAAAACACGCCTCTATAACTAAAGTATAACAACACCACTAAACGGCAGGCCTAATGTAACTTTTTTTTTGGAACAGACCAACAGCACGCAACTTAGGGCGACGGAATTTCTTACAATGTTCATTTCTTAAACTTGCAAATGAATAGATGTTACATGTGAAGTTTTCTGAAAAATTCTAAATGACAGCTATGTTTGGTATAATGTTTTTTATAGTAAGGAGTAGGCCTAAAATCATTCACAATTCAAAGCGGTTAAAATCTTGCCATAGTACATTTTAATAGCGAAGGATTGGACGGTTTACACAACGGAGCATATTGAGCCACCACCATACATGCTTGGGTTGCACTTGCAAGGTTGTAATTAAATTGTTCACTCACATCTGGAACGAATCAGACCACATTTCCCAAGTTGATTAAATATTTCGTTCCTTGAAGTGAAAAGGTCGCTCCTCCTTATGCGAACAGGCTGTTGCCCAGAGGGAGTTTTGATACAAGTTATTTTTGTTCTTCTGATTTCAAGTCGGTCGTATCGAATTGTTTCCCTAAATAAGTCTTACCATAAGTACAAACCCGCTTTATCGACGAAAAAAAAAATCAGTTTTTATGATTTAAGAGAAATTAAGAAAACCTTGAAAAGGGGTCTTTGAATAAGTTAAGCGAGTTTGGTAAGCATGGAATGTTTTTAGTTCCAGAACTACAATAAATGTCAGTTGAGAACTTATTAGTTATTCCAAGGTACATTCTTATGGTTTTAATTAAAAGCGAGATGACATTATCATCAAGCCAGGCCTTATAGAGTTTGAACTGTTGAAATTAATTTGGACGCAATGTATTGCTCGAGCAAACGGAATAGTCAGTACGCATATTCCATTTCAATTTCAACTTCGGTTTACTGACAAGCTTCATCAGTCAAAATTAAGATTTGCGGCACTAATAAAAACCGACCGTATACGAATGTTGCTTCGACTTACTGGTCATTTTGTTTTGATACAACTTGTTAGAGGACACGGAACTTTCATTAGGGTTCAATCTCTTCAAGGTCTGGCTAAGACGTCAAAACTCATGAAACCAATCTGCTGCAATTGTTTCCAGACGTCTACCAGAAAGACATAATAATGGACAGCTGGTCACACAGTGTGCAGGATGCGTTCATAGATAGTGAGAGAACATCCAGCACAATGCATCCCGACCCAGAGGACCAACATGAAAACCGAGAGAGACGACACTACAGAACCAAGAAGGCGTGGAGGGTGGAGACCGAACGGCGCGTGCGCCGTGACCTGGAGGCGAGGTCGCGCATGCGCCGTGGAGCCACAGCTCAGGAGGAGAGGTTGTGGCCTGATGGTGTGGTACCCTATGAAATCGATTCAGACTGCGATGGTAATTATTGTTATAAAATGTTGTGTTTGGTATTTAAACATTATCAATTTTCCATTAAAAAATGTGCTGCATTTGCGACTTTGCCATTGCTGTGGATGACGAACTTTCGAGCTAGACACTTTAACTTTTTGACAATTAACTGATATTTAAGTTTGTATTGTTTTTATTATTTCTTTGCAGAGGATACCAAGAATCTGGTTTTGCGGAGCATGCGCCATTGGGAGGAGCACACTTGCATCCGATTCGTGCCGCGAAATAACGAGACTGCCTACGTGCACATCATCTTCGCTGGCGGGTGCGTACCGTCCAATGGACTCAAGGAAACGAAAAATGGTCAATGGTTTGCGAACAAAATTAAAACCCAGCAGGTGGTACCACGCTCGCGCACAAAGTCGAACGCGTTCTTGAAGTTGAGGCGCGCGCGCCTTTGAAATTGGTAACCCTATTGGCTGAACGAGCATTAAGTGCGTGCGTACCACCTGAGAAAGGAATCTGATTGTTTCACTATAGTATGGTTTCTGATAGGTCAGTTTTGGTACTAGGTACAGCACTTGACTTCCGATTAGTGGTCTTGCGTTCGATTCCAACCTATGAATATTAAACACGTTTAATATTCCTCGTACTGAACAGATGCTGCTCTCTGGTTGGTCGAACGGGCGCGAGGCAGGTGGTCTCGCTGGGTCCCGGATGTGATAAGTTCAGCACCATCATTCACGAGTTGGGCCACGTGATCGGTTTCTGGCACGAGCAGAGCCGGCCGGACCGGGATGAGTACGTCACTATCTACGAAGCTAACATCTCGCCCGGGGATCACTACAACTTCAGGCGGTTCGACCATAGCGTGGTAATAACATAAATGTTTCTGACATGCCTTTCCATTAATTTTGTGGTCATGATGGTTTATGTATTCGTTGCCTGCATCGGTTGAACGCGCTGTATAAAGACGCCATTTCGGGTTACGGACAGATGTGAATTCAAAGTTATCAAAAAAAAATGTACATGTTGCTATTTGAAACATTACAGATGCCGTAATATTTCAGATTGAAGTATAGGTGCCTCAACGAACACTCTGTACACCAAAAGTAACCACATTCGCTCAAACTATATGGCCTATTCGGATTCGTCCATAGAAATTGAAATACTTAATGACCTTTTTTTAATTGTCAGATCAACTCCTTAGACCAGCCGTACGACTACGACTCTGCCATGCATTACGGACCGCGGACCTTCAGTCGTAACCGGGAGCGAACGATCATCCCGAAGAAGGAGTGGGCGATAGGGCAGCGGGGAGGGCTGAGCGTGGGGGACATACTGCAGGCTAACCTTCTGTACCGATGCACGAGGGTTGGAGGTGAGCATGGGTGACGTAGGCCTACTTGCACAATTTCATTTAGTAAAACCATGAAAATGTCACTGTGTGGTCCTTAACTGGGCCCATATTGAGGCGAATGTCGGTGCCGAACCCGAAGCGAATGTGTTTAAGGTAGCGGCAGAAAGTGTTGCTCAAATTAATGTGCTCATCTAAAACAACTAAAAACCAGTCATCCGTTGCGTCTGTAATTTCTTAGCGAATATTGACAATGATTAGCAAATGTTTCTCCTCGGCAGAGCCATGAAATTGGCTTCTAATTCGCACAATATTTTTTTGTACACAGCATGTGGTGGTACCATCTTCAAGGCCAGCGGGCAGCTGACGTCACCGCATTACCCAGAACCCTTTGCGCCCAACACGACTTGTGATTGGGCGATTTCCGTGGGCGGAGACCTCGCTCTGAAGCTGATCTTCGTGGACATTGACCTACCGAGTAAGTTGTGATCACAATTTTCTCGGTTTTTTATGTTTTGGTTCACGCGGCCTTCATGACATAGGTCTAGGTTTGGTGTAGACCTTGATGTAGGTCTAGTTGAATCTTTGAATTTTGTACTCAAAACTTCATTTTTCCCTCAAATTCGACGATACCCTTTAGCTTTGTGGTCTTTCACGCTTTTGGCCGGTTGTTTACCATAAAAGGAAAATCAGCATATCCTGATGAGCCGATAAGGCGGAGGGGAAATCGGAATAAGCTGATCGATTTTTTTTTTCAAATAAAAAAAACAAGGAAACTCTATAGTGTTTAGGAATGATCGTTTTATGGCATGGCACGTACGCTACTGAGAAGAATGTAGCATTACTTGCAGCAGTCACAACATCACACTTCATCAACCTTGGCTTCCTTAAAGGGAAAATACAACATTTGTAAACATCAAAAAATAAAACTACCAAATCATTTTGAAATACCTTGCTGGACTGTTAGTGAATGACAGTGTAAAGCATCGTGTAAAATCATGGCACCTGGTATACTGTCATTTTCAAGAAAAGTGGTATTTTTGTATCAATTTCCAACGCTGATCGGCCGACCAAAAACTGGCTTTTTTTCAAATACTGGCCCCAGTTGACCATCGCACTTGTTTGCAATCGATTACACACCTATGAACGGGTACAAGCCAGCTAGACTGGTTCCCTGACCTTACAATTCCCCAATGTATGTAAACTGCTCTGTTTTCTTCTTAACTGGAGTCGGGGAACCAGACTACAGGAAAATGATTGTTTTTCTTGGTTTTTATAACATTTTCGAACCCAAAACCTCAAAAAAGTCAGTGTAACTATATTTGCTATATATTTCCAACCCCCCAATTCCCTCCATTTCTGAAAATTACAGCAAAAGCAAATGATGTATATTCCCTTTAAGTAGGTCTGGCATCCCAAGGGGACTATAATGTGCCTCGTTTCCTCCCCTGTGTATCGAGTCCATCTTACAAACACTGGTTGTTTTGGAATTTGATCGAATTTCCCTGAGGATAGGTAGCGCGAATAAGCCGCTGAAACCCGAGAAGGTAATGACAGATTTATCCCTGATCTGGGGTTGACCTTACAATGGGGTCAGACGGCGGGGCACGGAACTATATTTGGTAATAGCTGGGTCACGCTGGGGTCATGTTTAGATTTGGCTCAAGTAGGATTCTGCGCTTGGAATTCTATTGACAGTATCTTAAGATTTTTGTTAAAGACTTATTCTTAAGTGGAGACTGAAAAAAATGTGGAAAAAAAATTAATGGGAGACTTTTGAGACGCTTGGTGTCAGCAAAGTGGTCTTTTTTTATTGTTACGTCATGTCGTATAGCTATGATCAAAATGACGCAAACAAAAGAAAAGGACCAGTGGGTTTACTGCCACCAAAACCTCACAAAAGTTTCAAACTCAATACATTACAGGCTTATATGTAAAATAATATTAAATTTTAAACTCGACAGTTGACGAGAACGGAGAATGTTCCTCGGCCCACGTGGAGCTGCGGGCTGGCCAGGGTGAGCTGGGCCGTCTGATCGGCCGTTTCTGCGGTAACACCTTACCGGCGCCCGTCACGCTGGCCTCGGGGAGGGCTTGGCTGCGTTTCCGGGCAGGCACCAGCGCCGAGTTCCAGTCGAGGGCCGGCTTCGCCGCCAAGTTTGAATCGGTGTGTAAGTATGACGAGTTTCGTACGTGTGTGGATACCAAAAATAATATATGATTTGTTTACACTTCTGTCTGCTTCTTACCGGAATATAAATCATTAGTTTCTGTTAGGCCGGCTATTTCCTACAAAACTTTCAAACTGTAAGGCATTATTTTCTTCACTTTTTAAATTTTTAGTTAAAGAAGGATTATGTTTTGACAATAATTAAGCACGTCGTGTTCAATGTATTGTTTTTGCAAATCCCAAGTGTCTCTAAAAGGCTGTTTTAAGTTCAGTCGTAACATTTTCATTTTAGAAAATGAAAAGTTAATTATTGCCTTTAACTTGCAGTTATTTACCCAAGGACGTCTTGGTACCTATTACATTATCATTATTTTTGGTTTCTTTTACCAGATAGTCATTTTCAGTTTCTTCTGGCGGTCTTTTTTTATAAGTAAAGTTTGGCACGTTATCTTGTGTAGCTATAGAAAATCGTCTTACGGCGAGCAGCGGCATCTTGAAGAGCGAGAACTACCCCGGCTCCTTCCCACCGAATACCGAGAGCGTCTGGCAGATCACCGTCGATGAAGGATTTATCGTCACCCTCCGGATACTAGAATTACTCATACCGGGTTAGTCTGAAGAAAAAAACCTTAAAATCATGGAGGATGGTGGTTTTTGTCCATTTAATAAACATGGGAACATGCTGACAATAAACGTAGCCTTAGTTCTGGCCTGGAGGCACGTTTTGGATTTTGAATAATTATCTACGCGCGTACGAATAGGGTGCTGCGTTCCGCGTGACGCGTGGGTGTGCTGGAAAAGTGGCCAATCAGAGTACAGGAGAGACGGTACAGCCAGTGCGCATAGCAACCAATAATATTTCAGAATCACTGTGGGCGTTGCCTGTCCTCACATACACGTGATTCATGACTAAAAAGATTCAATAACTAAAACGAGTCATTGACTAAAAGGGGACTTCATAGAACGAAAAAATTCAAGAATGATTTTAACTTTGTTTCGTCACTAGGTTAATGAACTTTAAAAGCAATCTTTTTTTTTCTGTTCAAGTGTCTTCAGCGACTGGTTGCTACGGCGACTTTCTCAAGATAACTGACGGGGAGACCAGCCAATCGCCGCTCATCACCAAGATATGCCAGACGCAGATCAACGTGGGCGTGGCTTCCAGCGGTCGGAGTCTGCGCATTGAAATGCACTCGGGTCACCCGGATAGGCGGGGCAACGAGAGCCGGCCAACCAGATTCCACGCGCAGTATTTGCAACGAGGTGAGTACGATCTTGACCAATCAACATTCCGCCTAGTCTGTATTTATGTTATATGAAACGCTAGGGTAACTTATACATGTACCTTATACTTGCAACTTGGTATAGTTTCCGAATAAGGTAAAAAGAGAAAGTTTAAATTAATGGGAAAAATTCGAAAATAATGTTATGGAGCAAGGTTTTGCTAACGACTAACGTACATTTTCCCTCGATTTTTTGTGTTCTTAATATAATTGGGTTATTTAACAATCAGTCAGTGTAGCTGCTAAAATTGCTGTCTCGTTTTTTTTTATATATTTTTTTTATAGATGTGAACGAGTGTCGCAAGAACAACGGTAACTGCGAGCAAGCATGCCTGAACATGATTGGTACCTACGTGTGTGGGTGTCAATACGGGTACACGTTGGCCGATAACTACCGTAATTGTACAGGTGCGTAGATGGAATCAAACCTCAGTTTCCCCCGACTGAAAATGTGATAAATTTCTCAAAAATTACCAATGTCTAAACTGATACATTAGGAAACGAAATTCATGGAATTGTAGAAACTATCTATATTGATAATGATCATGGAATAGAAACTGGTATACCCCGACTTCTGAATTTAACAAATGTGACGAAAGTTTTTAAATAATGGATTTTGGATTTTGCAGACATTGATGAATGCCTGGACAACAATGGCGGCTGCTCTGACCTATGTGTGAACACTGAGGGCGCCTTCCACTGCGCATGCCCAGAAGGCCTCTACCTATCTCCAAACAACAAAACTCACTGCCTTGGTAAATAAAACAACATAGTTTGTACTCAAATTAAATTTCGCCATCGTGTATTCGATAACACATTCACAAAAATCGCAGAATTGTTTTTAACCACTTATTGACTTAATTACCATGGCACTATAGAAATGAAAAATTTCCATTTGTTGCGGTCTTGAGTATAAATTATTGATTTATTATTGTAGGTAGCCGCTGTTTCTTCTAGATTGTTGTAAGATTATTGATTCATGTGAATTGAAAGATCTTCGTTGTTGTCTTATAAAGTTTTTACAAACTTTGACCCCATAGGACCGTTGATAATAACACTCAGTATTTTTGCATTCGTCACAAGTTCATGGCCACCTACCCCCTTCAAAATGTTCCTTACCATCAGGCAGATTGTTTTTGGTGATTTATTGTCGTACGGTCTTTTGCCTCAAAATGCTCACCCCCATGAGGAACATTTTACATATTTGTTTACATCCACATAAAAAAAACTGTAGACATCTAGTCCACGTGGTGCATTTGGGCATGCACCGTTGCTATGGCAATCCTGAACGCACAGTCGTTGTCATGGAGGTGGTTGTTCATAGCGTGCCAGCTCATTCCCATGGTAACCAACAACCGGTGGATTTCGTCATCGGTGACGTGGGCTGGATCTACCTGTGTGCGATGCTCCGACCCGATCTGGTGATGGTGGTCAAACTCCGTTAAGACTTCAAGCATGGGTATCGTCAGGCCCAGCCGGCCGAATACAGCGTCACGTGCACGGCTGATGTCAGCGTCCGTCACGCGGCCCCTGTTGCTTCCGCCCTGGTGCCTGACCTTTTGCTTGACCTTTGACTGCTTCTTGACCTCTTGGGTCACGCGAGAGTGCAGGAGCTGCAGGAACTGGCGGACGTAGGTGGCGAGCACGTCGCGAAGGCAGCAACCGCATGGATTGGTTTCGACACTCGATGATAATTGCTCGCACAGGCGCTCTAAACACCCCTGTCTTGGTCTAGATTCCGTCGCTTGGTGGCAGCATTCACCCTCAGACGTGGAGGAATTTGAATTGGTTGCTTCGGTCTCCTGACACGTGACGTTTGCTCCGTGCTCGCACACACACGGGGAGTCCCCTTCGTCACATGTGGTGTATCCCTCCGCGGTCGATGATGAAGTTAGATCCTTTTCGTTTAATTTTGTCTCCGGCAGTTGCGTTGTGTCTGAAGGAGAATCGGTCTCATCAGATACCCCTTCAGCTGACAACATGGACTTTTCTTGTTCCAATGGCTCGACATGCTTCAATTCACGTCTCTTCTCTTCTTCGTTGCACTTGACTTTGATTGTCTGCTCTGACTCGTCAAAGTTTTGGCTTGTTTCTCTTGAATGCCGTTTGATTATCTCCTCCACATATCTATCGAATTCTGCGTATCTGCTCCCTCGATTTTCAACGGAAATATTTCGGGTGCTCTGGATTGACGGATGTTCCAATTCGTTGACGTTTATCACGGCTGTTTGATGAGTACCCGTCGCTCCTTGACCGATTTCTGTATGCTGTGCAGTTGCTACTGCACCTCCTTCGTTTCGTGAACTCGGGGACTCCGCCAAACAGTCGTCGGATTTCATTTTGGAATTGCTTACAGAGATTGTTCTCCTGAAGTCGTTGAGTTCGCGAGCCAAATCGACAAGCTGCTGTTCCGCACGTGACAGATCCCTTGAGTGTCCTTCAATCGATCGAGCGCGCGACGCCATGTTTGGTCGAGCTGGCCCATTCGCAGTTGGGTCATTGATGTTACAGACGACTCCGATCGACACTGCGTTATTGTCTTGGTGAATAGAAATGCCTCCATTGTCTCTATTGCGTGACTGGTGTCGATTCCTTGATTGCTGATTGCAAGAATCGATACCGTGATGTGTTTCATCAGAATCGCTATCCTGCACGCCAGTTGACTGCGACGAATTCGTAAAGCGGCTGTGTGCAACTTGATGACCACTTTGGGTAGGGATAGAGTTACTCGACTTACTGACTGTCGTTTTCTGATGCTTCCCCGCTCGCGTTGTCGTTCCATCCCCATTGGTAACATTCGTTACTGAACCATGTTCCAGTGTTTCCCTTGTTCGGACCAATTCTGTAGAACTATTTGTTCCGAGTTCGGAAGTAACATGTACTCGTCCGGCCCCTGAATCCGCCGCAGACGACCGACTCACTTGTATGTTGCAGTCTACTGAGGTATCGGCGCCCTGCAACTCTCCATCCATATTGTCTTCACTCGCATCTTGCCTGTCATCTTCCTCGGCCTCCAAGTTGGAGCCAAGCTCGGCTGACATCTCCGAGATCTCGCGGTCCATTCGCGAGAAGTCATCCCGCAGCGATCGGACCCGACCCTCAGCCGACTCGCAGCGGCGTATCTGTCCGTCCAACACACCGTCGAAGTCGCGGACCCGGCGGCGGAGCGCGTCGATGCCCGAGTCAACCCGGCCAAGACGGGCCTCTACGTCCGTGTAAAGACCTCGGAGAAATACCCTCTCCCTAGGAGGAAGGTCGGAGGAGAAAGACGGGCCAGAGAGGCCCGCAGGCATGGCGTCTTGACCCATGGTTGAATTTCGGCAGTCCAGTTTCCACAGAATAAGATAAAGCGTAGGTCTACTCACAGTTCAGCTTAGACAATTTGTTAAACTCGACTTTTAAAGATGATTTGTTTGTCAATGATATGTTGGCGTGTTGTTGCGATTAGTTCGAAGAGCGTGTTTCGGTTTCCATGGCAATGCTTTAGCACCAGTTCTGCGTCACTTTAGTGCGTTCAATACCACGTACACCAAAGACGAAAAACGCCCATCTGAGCAGCAGTTTCGATTCACCGTCGATGAAGCTCAGAAGATGAAGCTTTCAATAAGGTGTGGAATAAGTCTAGTGCAGAAACGTAATTCTTTCTCCCACACGCAAAATGCACATATTAATCTCCACTGCACTAGTGTGCCAATGTTATTTTGCCAGTGTGATCATGCGTGTGAAGTGTACATTCTTGAAAATGCATCAAGCTCTGCCGTGGAACATCTCCATCACGACCGTCAACCCTCGGCGTTGAGTACTGCATTACTGATCTGTAATGCACGGCAACATCGGAGTCACCTCACCGGAAGCCGCAGCCCAAGCTGCCCGGGAAATGCAGCGCTGCGCACGGCGGCGTTGGCGTCGCCTCACCGCTAAAGTGTTACATCTTTTCCGGTCGTTGTATTGTCTGCCTGACAGTGAAACACCTGTCTTTTTCTATTTTCTGACGAATTATGTTAATGTTCCAATGAGCTACTGAAGGTATTTTGACACCTTTCCAGACATGCAAGTTAATACTTTGAACACAAGTCTTTATTAAATTATACCATTGTCTCTCTTGCATAATAATCCCGCTGTAGAATTAATGCCAGATTGTACTAACCAATTATCAAAGTGGCAGTTTTGAGTTTTACAACAGCTTTTACAGCAAAAATTAAATTCATTTTGTGATTGACTAAATTTTCAAATATAGCACATAATCACAGGGCCAAGGTTAACAGCATAATTGCGCCCTTTCACGGAGCAGTTTTGGTTGTTCACTAGTTCTTCACCGAAGACGAATTGTACATCGGCAGCCAAACCGAGGCTGCCAGTGCTTAGCATATTTATGACGTTGAGATTCATTTTTGAGTTATAAATCCTCACAAGAAAGAGAGCAATGGGAGCCTCGGTTTCGAAGCTTATTTTGAAATTGTCTTTTGAACACCCGTGTGCAGAGATCACCAGGAGCTTCTTAAGGGTCCAAACTGCTGAGAGAGTCGCTTCTCAAACTCCAACGCATGTGCCTCCTCCTCCTCTGTCCTTTGTCTAAAAAATAAGAATTAAAATAAAGACGCATTGTCATGGCGTCTCTGGAAAATTATGTTCTTTTACTGAGCTAAGAACCTCAACCAGTTTTTGAGTGTTTCGGGTTTTGCCAAGTTACCCGAGTGATTCGAGATTTGCCGAGTTGCCCGAGTGATTCAGGTTTTGATAAGTTATATACCCGAGTGATTGGAAGTTGGCCAAGTTACCCGGGTAATTCAGATTTTGCCAAGGTAGCTGATTTACGTTTTTGCCAAGTTACGTGAGGATTCGGTCTCTGCCAAGTTACCCGAGTGATCAAGGTTTTTGTCAAGTTACGGTGATTCAGATTTTGCCAATCCATGTTTCGCCAAGTAACCCGAGTGTTTCAGGTTTCGTCAAAATCCGAGTTTTGCCAAATACCCAAGTGATTCAGCTTTTGACAAGTTACCCGAGGTGATGTGTGTTTTGCAAAGTTACCTGAGTGATTCCAGATCTCGCCTAGTTTCCGCGACGTCGCCAGCGAGGACGGCGAAATGTGCACGGGCCTCCCGCAGACGCGCTCGTCTCTTGGCGAGAAATTTCTCCTCCGTTTCCATCGCCGTCTGGAAGGAGGCGTACTCCTCAATCACCGACTTCAGTCTCTCCATTGCTGCCTGGAAACGGGCCTGGGTCACATCCCACTCGAACTTTGACATGGTGACGTCAGAGGATAAAGTTACATTGCCTTCTTCACGTTGAAACTTGGCCGATAACCTGTACACGAGTTAGGAGTTGAACTCTAGATGTCTAGATGAATTATCCTCGTGGAATTTAAGAGTGAAGACAAAACAGTTAATGTTGTACATGGGCATTTGATAGATGTATACCACGGGTGCATGCTGCAATCCGGCAATAGCTTGTTTAATGTGCTGACGACGTAATGAAATGAGATAAGTTGACACGATCACTTACCTGTAATGCGATTATAGTAGATTACAGGCACAAGTTCATTTCTTATCATCAAACGCGGTTGATATGCATGTAATAATACGCTAGCGATATGTAAAAGATACCTTTTTGATAAAGGGTCTGACATACGATGTACACGATCAAGCTTTGATGACTTTCAGAGGAGTTGTATTAAGTTTACTGATGTTGTCGAGGACAGTAAATAAACAAAGGTGTTTTTTTTCAGAGACGAAGTGGCGTTGTCGTCCCCTGGCTCTTTGTGATGTAATAGTACCCCGCGTGTCCAGGAGTAAAAATGCGCGCTCACCACGTGCGCGTGCGTATAAAAGAGCATTCAAAGTTGGCGCATCTACAAGCCTTCTGTTCTTAAATTTGATAAACTTTTTTAAAAATATGATTCTCGTAAATTGATTTTTTTTTGCAGATGAGAACGAATGTGATGACCCTGCACGCAATAGCTGTCAGCAGCACTGTTACAACACAATTGGCGGGTACGCATGCGCATGCAGCCCTGGTTTCATTTTGGCGCCAAACGGGAACGATTGTATTGGTATGTATGGACAATAATTCCATGTCGTCTTCATTGACGTGCATTCTTTTAAAGAGCGTACATTGAAATCGATTTAAAATGATTGTGATCTGGTGGAACCAACAGAAACAAAGCATTTGCCTATACCCAACTGCCCCACATGCACCAATAAAAGTGTCTCGTTTTGTATCTTTTCTTTGTTAACAGCTATCAAGAATTGTGGTGGGAGCTACGGAGGCACAGAAGGGTCATTCTTTTCTCCCGAACTGCCACCAGTGGGATTCAACAACACGTTAGATTGTGTCTGGCGAATTCAGGTGGATCCAGCGCTCACGGTCTCTTTCAGGTTCCGTAGAATATTTCTTCCATCGTTTTGCTTTTTTGAATTGCTTATAAAAACCCAGAGTGGATATTATATTACCATAGTTTGTTGTGAAACCTGCTGAGTGTTGTAAACTGTATAATTCGCAGCCATTGGTGGTTGGATGAACAACATATATGACACGTCATTATGACGTCATTATCACAATGGCCTGCGGGTGTTGTGCAGTAAATCATTAATTGCGACTTGCTTTAATCTTTTCCAGGGTGGAATTATTGAATTGGACATCTGACAGTCCCTGCCCAGACTACATCACTTTCCTGGAGGGCCAAGCACCGTCTGGTCCCCAAGTCCAGATCTGTAACCAAGGCGACGCACAAGATGTCTACCACACTAGCTCCGACTTGATATGGATACACTACCGCTCGCTGTGGCCGTATGAGGGCGCCTTCCACGTGGATTACTTCACGCGGGGGCGGGAGAATAGAAGTGTGGAGTGCGGAGGCGTGTTGCAGGGTCCGTGTCAGAAGTCAGAATTATATCCCAATTAAGAATAGCAACACACAATAACTCACAGTTATGCAATTCGTGACTAAGTAACGGGACCCCCTCCCCCAATATATCCCCCTTGGTCTGTCCCCTATTTTATCCGTCCTTTGTTCGTTTTTCTACTCCTGAGTTCTCTTTGATCTTCACCTACATTGGTCTGTCCCCATAATTTAATACTTTTTTTTTTCTCCCAGCCCTGCGTGCTTGTGAGTCCCTACCAGTGTTGTAGGTCTCGAGACCGGTCTCTGCTGGTTTCGGTCTCGGTCTCGGGAGCTGTGGTCTCGGTCTCGGTCCCCTTTGGTCTCGATATTTTGGCTGGTCTCGGGTCGAGACCGGCAATAATTAGCAATTACAGCTAGCTCGATCGATTACTTTGTGTTCACTTCGTTCAGTACTGTTGATAGTTAAAACATTTGCTATCCCGTAGATCATGTTGTCAAGCTTGTTAACGATCGTTATATATCGTGGTTGGTTCGGACTGCACGTTGGAAAGTCCCCAAAGTACCCCAAGCTGCAGCAGTACCAGTCACTGAAGAATCGGAACAAGTTCGGCATTTACCCGACATTTGTGTCGGGCACATAAAGCAAAGTATAACCTTGTAACAATTTATGCAATAAGGGCCTGCCATTTTCGGGGATTGTGTAGTTTAGCCCACCCCTGTGGGCGTAATCACTTGAATTTTTTGTATTCTTAAAATAAATGAGGTGCTCCAAATTAGTGACATTTTCGACCCAAACACAATTTTTCTTTTTAATTTGGGGCAGTATTTTGAAGAAAAAGTAAATGTTCCTACCTGATTTTTCAGCATTGAATTCACACACTCTTACCAGTTACCACTCACTGTTGCCATGAGAGTGTATAATGAGACTCCATTTTCTGGCAGCTCATTTGAAGTACCCCCACTATTCCTCAAAAAATAAAATCCCTGTCAGATTTTTTTTTTAATCCATATCTGGCTACCACCTCGCAACTTGTGGGTCTACATGTAGGCCTACAAGTCCATATTCCATGACGAAAATTTTAAAAGATAATTCAACATTTTCTAGCTCCCATTTTTTAAAATCAAGTACACAAGTCTTAATTGGTAGAAGTTAAGTCCTATATTTATTTTTTTTAAAAGGCGCAACGTAAAATTAAAATTGCATCTTTAAATATCCGTTAGAAGTCATAGCTGAAACCAAGGGGATACTGTGGATAGGATACGAGTTCCTTTAACAGATAAAACATCTACGTCTAACTTTTTACTTTTGTCAAGATTGGGTGTAGACAACATGTCAAAGCCCATATTTCTTAAGTGTAACTACTTCTTGCTCAAGTAAGGTGTCATGTATCAATTTGTCAACACTGCCACTGGTCAAAATTTTGTCTGTTATCTTCGTGAATAGAAAGGTTACAACTTACAACTATAATTACATGTATTTGTCTTGATTTTTATTTAGATTATTGTTATTTATTATCAGCGGTCTCGGTCTCGGTCTCGGTCTCGGACCATATCGGTCTTGGTCTCGGTCCGCCTTGAAGGGGCTGGTCTCGGTCTCGGTCTCGGTCTCGAAACTTCAGGTCTCGGTCTTGGTCTCGGTCTCGGACTATCCGGTCTCGACTACAACACTGGTCCCTACATGTTTGTTTCTTGTACCTCTGTCATTTTGCCTCTGGAGAAGATCTTGTTGAGATCGGAACGTCAGGCTGCCTTAATCTTTTAGATTAATATTTCAGGTCAATCCAGTCAGACAGCAATTTACAGCAGTCTTATTCATTTTCAGAGAACCAAATTATAGTGCAATTTAATTTAGCATTGATTATGATCATGGTAGACTGTAATAGACGAAACGACGTATCTTTATTAAAGGCCTATAGTCTAAAGACGTCGTGACGCGTGACCTAAATTTGTTGAGCAATTATGCTAGCTTCATGCATGTTGGTGGTCCATGGTCTACAAGTACAAGAGCCGTTTCTCAAACCCCGGCCTTGTCTCCGTTCCGGGTTCAGAATGCAGTTTGGCAATGGAGCAGGAGACGAAGCCAAAGACATTGTTTGAGAAAACTCACTATAGTATTATTGTTTTTCCATTAGCTGGAACTGGTATGCTACAGTCTCCTGGGTACCCGAACGCCTACCCCAACGAAGTGCACTGTGTCTGGAAGATCACCGGAAGCACCATCAGGCTTCACTTCGTGACCTTTGACCTAGAGAAGGAAGCCAGATGCTCCTTCGATTTCCTGGATATCCAAGATGGCGACCAAGAGCAGCCGCAATCAAGACATATAGGAAGGTTAATGAGCTTTTGGTATACGAACTTTTAGCCTCATTTGGCATAGATACTGAGTATACTGAGTTTTCAACAATTGCTTTGACAACAAGTAGGTTGCCCTAAAATGGAGTATTTACGCCGCCCAAAACCTGCCCCTGTTTTTAAAAACATTGTAAGCTGTGACTTTTTGACAGTATAATGACCGTCCATTGTTACGACTGTTTGGGAAGACTACATATTACTTCATAATAATAGCAAAAGCAAAGTTTAGCTGGGTTTAAATTAATACATATTCAAAAACGGACAATATATTATATTCAAATAATGGATAGAGATTCAAATCGTTTCTCTGAAAATCAAACTCTGACAGTTATGATGTCATCGTTTTCTTTCTGGATCTTTGCAGATTTTGTGGCAGCAAGATGCCACCGAAGGAATTGACGTCATCCACGGGGGAAGTCTTCATCAAATTCCAGTCGGATGCCACCGTGCGGGCCGCGGGCTTCCAGGTCGTGTTTGAGGTGCGACAGCCCCGTGTGCTGCCTGCTTCAGACACGGTGGAAAACAACACCGGCGTTTGACGTGGAACTTCCATTTTCTTGACAGTTTAAGTAACGTTTTACTTTGTACTAGTAGGTATTGTGAATTATGAAAAGAAAAGGTGCTGTATAAGTTTTCCTTCTGCGTAGAATTCGGGGTGGGGTCCAAGAATAGATAGAAATGTTTAGCTGAACTGTTTAATTTCAAATGGGTATGGTTGCCTGATTGCATTCGTTATGCTGCTAATTTCAGTTCATTATTATCTTTTTTAAAGTAACGGTCTTTTGACCTGATATAAGGAAATGTGCTTATTGTCAAATGGTGCTAATTTAATTCTAATGTTAACAATGTACTGTTTTAGTCGTATTTAAAGCGTTGTAGTCAATGATTAAATTTCTTTTAACCTATTTTTGGTGAAGTAAAGAAAACATCGACGGGTAATTTCACATTTTTTGTTTGTTGATTTTCAACGTGTAAGCGCGCACGTACGGGGGACAAGCTATTCGGTTGATTGGCCTAACTTAAGTTCTTGCGCTAAAAAAAAATTGAGAACAACTTTTTCCCGTTTAAAGCCGCATAACATCTCTAGGTAATAGCAAATTCAGATAGACATTGATGTTCTAAATGACTTAAGCCGTATAGTGCAGAATACAATGTACAATGTAAATGTATGTGAGAGCCGAGCCATGGTGATTCCGTAGTTCGTAAATACCGATAATTAACGTCAACCTTCCAAAGCGACAGAGGGCGCTGTCTATGGTGATCGCTACAACAAACAAAATGGAGACGTAAACACACGAATTTGCCTAATTCAACGGGAAAAAAAACTGCGAAATGCCTGTAAGTAGCGCTTTTACTGTGTTGTCATTTGTTGTATTTCAATTTGGCATTATAAACGCATTTTGTTCCAGTGTCCGTCTTCTTATGTAATTAATTAAAACTAAATGATGATGATTTACACAGCTGGCGAAAATGAAACGCAGTGGCTATTGTTACGGCAGCCGTAACGCATTTCCCATTTTCTATCGTTACGGTAGACTGCAACCTGGCAACTTTTATAAAAAAAAATGACAAGAAAATATAAAATTAGAAGGAAAAAAGTGAATTTGAACTTTATGAAATTCGGACTTTATTTCCCTTTTAAAAAAAATCCTCCAAAGCCTCAGGTTAGAAAAGGAAAAAAATTCGAGTGCAAAACTGAAATTCGAACCCGCAACCTCGCGGTGCAAAATCCTACCCTCTATCGGCTGAGCTGGCGCACTGCTCGATAAAACGTGGGGAAACAAATAATTATATACCTGCGTGCGTATCAAAAAAAAATCGTAGAGGGCGCTAAACAACGAGTGCCGTAACGATAGCCACTTCGAAAATGAAATGCCATTTTTGGCGTTTTGACGTCGGACGTTAGAAAATCGGGAACCATGTTAATGTAAGATTGTTTAATTTAAAGATTTTTCAGGAGAATTGCCCTATTTTTTCTGTCTTTTGATTTTGCCACCTGCCAAAATATGACTATTTATTTGCAATTGAGTTTTGGCTTAGTCTGCAAACGAGGAAATGTATTTCTTGGTTGGAAAGCTCGAGTCGAAATTGACAGCTAGAGTTGACACACACTGCACACACCATGCAATGACACAGATATGCCATCATTACTTAATTATAATATTGTATGTTGTTTGCTTGATCAGAGCCACAAACATTCAAGTGGAAAGTTACTGAGGCGGCCATTGGCGCCCCTAACACCACCAGCCACACAGCCGTCAGGATCCATCATAGGTCCCTCCAAGAAAACCCAGAATGGAAAGCATCAGAGCAGAAGCCTGCCCTCTTTGTCCAGTCTCAGCCAGGAGGACGAGGAGGACGACTTCGAGGAGGAATTAGCCTTCCCAGTTCGCAACTTCAGCCCCGTCCCGAGTGTCATACCCTCCTTGGCCTCTGATTTCCAGGAGGCCCAACGAGCCCCCCAGAACACCCCAAAGATCCCACTGAAACCCTCGCCCCAGACTCGACGCTCCCACTCTGGACCCGTCAACTCACCTCGGGTGCCCCTCAGCAGAACCGATCTACGATTTGTCTTGGACTCTCGGTACAAACCCAAGGGGACCTCAGCTGATACCTTCCGCCCGAGATCTCTTGTCCAGCCGTACAAGCCGCGCGGGCCGGATGGCTTCCCCTTCCGGACTCCCCGGAACCTACCAGAAGTCAAGAAAGAACTCTTGTACCTGGACCATGAGCACCTTAGATATCACCTCCCTCCGGACTTCACTCTGGAGGATTTTCAGGTGGAGGTCGGGGCGTACGGCAGACCGCTTCAGCGGGAAACACTGAAGAAAGCCATACTCTCCAAACAGAACTACAAAAAGCTGACAACGCTGTTTGCGTCATTTGTTGAGGAACCTGTCCAAGAAAAAGTTAACACTGTGGAATTAAAAGGTAAATTTAAAATATTCCATTTCTTAAACTATAAAAAGATACTAAGCTAAAAGGTGTCGCTGTTTAACCCATATGGTCCTGTACTGCCCCAAAGAGCCCTACAAAGCACTCTCCGTACCGCCTCAAACCCCCAAGCACTGTATGGCTTTCATGGATTTGTCATGGAATAAATACAATGTAATATACTGTAATACAAAGTAATACAATGTAATACATTGTTATACACTGTAACACAATGTAATACAAGTGCTCATGGCTTAACCCACAATCTTTTTTTCCCCATAGGTGAGGAGATCCCGGAGGTCGTACCCAGAGTACCCCAGCACCAACTCTTGATCGAGATGGCCAGCATCATCCATCAGCAGATGAGGAACATGATCAATGAGGAGATGATCGGTAGCCTACCGGGCCAGGAGACGGAGCAGTCGGCGCTGACGTCAGCTCTTATGACCCCCGCCCTCGCTGCCTTGGCATACCAACAAGCTGAAACGGCTTCCGGAAACCTGGCAGTGTTTTCTAGGTGAGTACAGACTAATCTTGTGCTTGTCAAACTTGCAGAGCTTATAAAATAAAAATCTAAGTCTTCGTCTGGAAAATAACAATTTTGTTATTTCCTTAGTTATTTTAATCCTCTATTTAATAAAATGTCTCTTTGTATTTTAGTTATTATTACATGTAATTGTGTAAATAATAGTTTTTAATTTAATAACATCACTTTTCATCAAATACCAGCCAGCCGACCCTGACAAGCTCTGTGGTTGATTGTTAAAACATCTGCACTAGTAAGCAGGTGGCTTAGGTTTGAGTCCCACTTGAGTAAGCTTGTGAAAAAAATTTTGCAAGCCCTCGGACAACACTGAATATACAGTGCTTATGTCAGTCCAGGGCAAAACCCTGTATACAATAACATCACGATGAATGTTTACTAATGTAGTTTCTTGCAAACTCCCGTGTCTAAGTTTCCCTGTTTGTTTGTTGTCACGCTGCAGGCAAGCAGAATCAACAAATGAGGTCATGTTCAACATGCCGGTCTCCAAGTACTTCCAGGGATCTCGCAGGAGCAACTCTCCTTTCAGTAAGTTCCTGACCTTCAACTTGTTGAATTGTCGCTGGCCGCCTGTGTTTTATTGGTGTGTTAACATTTCAGCCGGTGCATAAGTTAAATGACATGTGTAGCTTTGAATGACAGAATCTTACAAGCCCAATCTCAAAAAACTTCTGATTCAAAATTTTCTTTTATTGTAGACTAATCCGAGTTTCCCACATTGTGTGATTACTGGGGTGGCCTCCTATATTGTTAGTAATGATTACTGGGAATGTTGAAAACTCGTTTTGGCATTTCACCTAATCATGTTCCAACCTTAACTGATATGTTCAGAGCTTTACAGAATCACATGTGATGGGTGCTCAGGTACTGAAGTGTCCCAGTGATAGCAAATAAACTGTTGCCGTAATTTCAGAATTGAATGAGTGTAAACTTTAATGCAAAAGCTTTGTTTGTTCTTTCTTTGCAGATGAGCAAGATTCATCACAAATCACTCCATCGGAGCTGGCCATCTTGGACTGTCTGGTCAATGGCGGACTTGCTCTCAGCTTGAAGGTATCGTTCACGACAATTGCTATTCAAGTCAGGGTGAATCTATTGGGGGAATAAGGAGGTCTAACCACCCCCCCCCCCCAACCCCCGGGCCACAAAAAATAAGAAAAACGCATGGAAAAACACAGCAAATGCCCCCCTTGGAAGCTAAGCCCCCCTCTTGATACAAACCTAGGTTCTCCCCCCCCCCCTGTAAGTTGCCTGTTCAAAATGATATCACCCATCCACATTTAACCATGCTGAGCAAAGGGTTGTTAATTAGCTTTCCACCTCTGCAGGATGTTCACATCGATTTTTAACATTCTCCTTCTTAATATTTATTTTCTGCAGGCTCATTTCATCCTAGCCATGCCTGAGATTACACCACTGACAAAGACTCTGACGTATTTGAATTTATCCTTCAATGACTTCAGGGTATGTACACATATCTCAGTGTTGTGTTTTCTATTGTCCTTAATTTTTGAATCAATTTTGGTGGATATTTTTTATTAAAAGTGAAGTTGATGATTGAAAACTTGAGCAAGGTGGCAAAAACTCGGGGCAGAAAAACATTTTATCTCTGCAGCCTACCTTCCTAAAACCCCTCCTGTGAAACACTGATCTGGAGCAAATGTTGTGGATCTGCTTATCACAGAAATTTACTAAGCACTGACAGAAAATATTTGCTTAGCCGAAACCGCTTACCAGCCAAAACGTAATGTAACGTTAATTGGCTGTGACTGGTTCTCCCCTCATTTGTGCTAACTTTGCATTTATAAGCTACTTTTCTACTAAGCATCTCAGTGAATGTGGACCCTGATTTTTTTGGTTCACTCTTGCAGGTGTTTCCCTCGGAGGTCCTGACCTTGAGAAGCCTGGAGGTTCTCAAGTTACGCAACAATCCACTGAAGGAGCTGCCCTTTGACATCCACCGTTTGTCCAAACTCCGGACGTTGGTGGTGTCCTTCAATCTCATCACCTCGTTGCCGCCAAGGTAGGGGAGATGCCATCGGTCAAACAATAGACCCTTCCCGCCTGTCAATCAAACAGGTGCATGGACCAATAAGATCATGACTTTTGGTCAGGTGACCACAGGAGCTCATTCAAACTCGGTCACAATCAAATGTTGAAATGCTTACTATGCATGGAAGAGGGTCGTTTTCTTTTTCATATTGATGACTTTTTTTTTCTCCGGTCCTTTCATTGTCACAGCTTGTTCACATTGCCGCTTCAGTTTCTGGACCTGTCCTACAACAAGCTGACGTTCCTGCCCAGTGAAATAAGACACCTAAGGTAACAGACATTGGATGCTCTCTCTTAGAAACGTCTTGGAAGTTGAATGAAGAGGCAAAGTAAACATTTATGAGAATGATGTACACATTCAGAGGCATCTCAGTAACAAAGGAGGCATTATACTCGTAATTTTTCCGGCAATTGTGCATGCAATCTTTCTGCCCATGTGGTCACTTATTGGCCAATCAGCATTGACGTATTTTACTGGTATCCCGCAGGTCAACCCTGCGTGAGCTGAATGTAGAAGGCAACCAGCTACCGGCCCTGCCCTGCTCCGCCCTCAAACTGAGGAAATTACGCTACCTGAGGGTGACTAATAACTTCATGCATCCACTCTTCTGGAAAGAGAACAGCCAGAATGAACCACAGGTAGGGTTTTGGAACACAGACGCATCTGAAACGGGCTCCCAGGGCTAAGGCTTTGTCTATCGTCAGCTTGTTTCAATGTATATATTGTTTTAATGGGCTAACACCAAGTAGACTTGATCAGGATTTTAAACACTGAGGCTCAAATCCTCCAAATCATCGCACTTATGACTTCTGTACCTAAATATTTTACTTGTTCCTTTTCTGTATTGCAGAGACTGCTGGACTTGTCGTCCTTGGCTGTGAAGCAGAGTGGGTTAGACATATTCAGACCCAGCTTGCTTCCAGATTCCCTACACTCTGTGCTCAATCGGTAAGAGGGCACTGTTCAGGAATTCTGTCTAATTAGCGGTATCAAGGAGACGGCTAAGGGGGCTGCCTCACAACCCCCCCCCCCCCCCCTCTATCTCGACCTCTCTGATTTTTCAAGCTTAGCTCTTGTGGCCTGTCCAGGTTTGGGCTCTGGGGAAAGTAGGGAAGGGAGAAAATTGGTTTTTGTTTTAAAAGTTCTGCCAGGATTTATTCATTGGTGAACAGTTTGTGAAGAGGTGGTGCTTTCATTTCTTAAAGACAAGACAGTGTCACTGAAGAAGTTGGGGTAGAGGAGAGGGGTGGTAATTTGCCCCTTGCGCGCCCTACCTGAATCATGTGCCACTTCTTAGACCCCTTCTCCCCATTGTTCTAGTAGATAGACTTCCAGAATGGCGGTTAGTTTTTTTGTTCTTACCATAGTCGGTTAATACATGTCTCAATATTATCTTCTTGATTGAATTAGATCTGAAGTTGAGGTGTTAATTCTTCCTTTTTTTGACAGCTACTCTAGATGTGATTGTTGTCAGGGTCCACTGTACGGTCCAGGCCTGCGGATCATCCGGCCCTGCAGTAAGGCCTTCGGAGTGCGCAAGCTGCCCTTCATCTTCACGTCTTGCTCCCCGTACTGCCGCGACACCTTCTTGACGAGTGTAGAGTCCCTCACGCAGATGCTGTACATGGATGATGACTGATGACGACCCGAGTGTCGATTTAGACCCCCAAGCCCTGCTGCTTCTTGTGTGCTTCAGTGTCTCGGAATATTGCTTGAAAGGAAACAATTCTACAAAAGGAGGAACCCAAACACTCTGCATCTTGGAGAAGGTTCAGCCGGGGATCTTTATTCAAATAGTTTTGAATTTGTTATGTAACTTACATTGACAAATGTGTAAGGACTTAAAGAATCAGTCTAGTCTAATTAAGACTACTGATTCTTTAACTTATAAAGATTTATGTAACTATTCCATTTTATTGAACAAGACATTGTTTCAGCGTTTGATAGCCGTCCTTTTACATAATTTTGTTTAATTGCAAATTGAAAATTTTGTAAATATATTGAACTGTGTTTAAATATTTTCTTTTTATATACATGTAAGATTTGAGGCTTTGCATGGTGAAGATACTAAATAATGAAAGGTTTGCGGAAACACCATGTGCGAATAATTTCTCAACTAAGAGAATGGTTCTGAAAAGAACCAGAGGTATAAACTCGACGTTCCGGTCAGTATGCTCTGACCGTCTTCAGGAGAGTGCCTAAACTCTAAGAAAGTGAATACTTAAGTAGCAAAAGGTGAAATCAATGGAGTGTGAAGTTGCATCCTGTGAGGATGCCAAGTAGACAGGATCCCTGAGCAAGCTTATTGCCCACTGAAGTGGAACAGTAGGGTTGCAGTGTCAGTGGAGGGAGGACCTAGGGTATAGGAGACCCATCAGTCTAAGGTAGTAGCTGAGGACCTAGGGTATAGGAGACCCATCAGTCTGGAGAAGTGGGAGCCAGATGTCGTTGAGATGAAACCCGATGTCTTGCGGAACTGTGTTGTGCTTGCGGATCTCGATGGCTTCCCGTATGCGTCTTGGATGCCAGAACTGGATCGGTGCGATGAGTTCGGCCGCATCCCAATCAACTTTGTGGTCGTTGATGTGGGAATGTTTGACAATGGCCGATTTGATTTGATATGTTTGACAATGGCCGATTTGATTTGATATACATGTGTTTGTAAAACATTCGTTTGTAAATTCTTACGAATTAAAAAATCGAACAGTAAAAATTCAACCAATATGTTTAGTAACAAACACTGAAAACTCTCCGTATTTTCCCCATCATACCCCACCTGAAACTGTAATTGTCTAAAAATCTGAAAAAACTTTCCAAAAATTGGCATTTGTTTTCAAAAATTATTTGCTGTTTGACCTGAATGCAGGTCTTAACCAGTGCCACAGTTTTTTTTCCTTAGATTGCAAGATGCTCCCTTGCAAACTCGATCAAATCCTGGAACATCTTTTCCCCGACCTCAAATACCAGCGGCCAGGCTGGTCCCAACACACCATGGAAACCACCGCGGTAATGTTCCCACGTGACCGGCACGCGCGCGTCCTTGAGACGCAGCGCGTAGAACGCGCCGTGGTCCCTCAGTGGGTCGAACTCGCACGTGGCCACGAAGGTGGGCGGCAGGCCGGTCATGTTTCGCCGCAGTAACGGGCTGGCGCGCGGATCTAAGACAATCTCATCGATTTGGTCCCAGACGATGTCATCCCCCTTTAGCTCCTTGCGATGAGGAGGGGTAAGATGACCATAGTCTTGCATGTGAGGAGGTAGCAAGGTGTGGTTGACGTACTGAGCGAGTGGCGAATCTCTACGAAACTCCACAGAGGTGTGGGTGTTGTCAATAAGCGCGCGAACCACGCGATCATCCAACCTCCCCAGCAGGTAGAAACAGGTGAATTCTCCCGCCTCTTGCCAAGTCACGATTGACCCTCCTTCCCCGAAGTGTGAGATTGAGAGAAAGGTGGCAGGAGTGTGATTGTCGATAAACTGGGTGATTGGATAGATGAGAGCCTGGAGCGCCACGTCGGGATAACCTGGCTCGTCGTGTAGAATCTGAGACACGGCTGCCGCCAGCGCGCCTCCAGCGCTGTCCCCAGCCACACCGATTCGCGAACGGTCCACGTGGTAGTCCTGAGCGTGGTCCATGAACCATTTGGTCGCATTGAGGCAATCTTCGTAGGCAGCCGGGAAGGGGTGCTCTGGAGCAAGTCGGTATCTGCAGTGAGCGACAATAACGTCATGTTTTTCCTTGAAATGCTGGACATTTCAAAATAGAATCGGGGTTTTATAAGGGGAACATTCAGGCACTCATTTGCTTGGAATATTAGTCGCCCTATCGTCCTGGCAATCGATCTCTAAGCATGTGTTGGTATTAAAATGTTTAATAAAGCTCTGCCTTTTAGGCCCCCCCCCCCTTTCAAAACAACCCCGTATCAGTATTTTGTTTTTCTGATGTAACAAGTGCAGGAGGAAAACGGAGGAAATTTCTCTTTTTATAGTGACCAAGACCAAATAACTTGTGGTGTCGTTTGAGTAAAGACTGCTGATAGCAACTGTGACATTGACGGGGATTTTGTTATTAGCTATAAGCAGATTGGTACACAAAATGTTTATCAAGTTTGAGAGCCATATTGACATTGCACTTACTCGATGGATACCACCACACAGTCCAACTCCTCAGCAAAACGCCTCGTCAATTTGTCAAACATAGCTGCAGCAGAAAATTATAATAAATACAATTAATTATTGGTTTCTGTCGATAAAATAAAAAAAATGTAGAAACAATAATAATAAAAAAAGATTCCCATGGAATGTCGTTGCAACAGACTGTTGTCCCCGAATTGGAAAAGGGTAAGCGAGCATAAATGGAGTAGGTTCAAGGGGCACTACGGCCTGAACTCATGTTTTTGGTGTTTTTTTTACACAAACGTCCGCAGAATGCGAACCACTGTGCGGCAGGATTCACAACTACAGTATTTAACGGCTCGGTTTTTTTTAAGTGAGAGTCAAAATGTTGACCCCCTAAATTCGTTCTCACACTGGTTCTCTCACCAGTTTATTTAATGATGGTTGTGTGGACGTTTATATTCTACTGTTATACATGTGTATTTTCTCTCCAATTAATATAACTTCGTTTAAAACGCGTTTGAACCTCAATTGCAATGGGCGCATCCAGGCCGTTATCCCATGAAAGGTATTAACTTGCTTACCAGTACTTCCAATGACAAAAGCGCCACCGTGCATAAATACGATCGCTGGCCCAAGACCAGCCTTCCTCGTGATTAGCTCGTACAGGCGAACTTTGACTCCGTCAAAGGTTGTGACCGAGGACCGGATGTTGGAGCCCTGTACTTCCGGGTGCGGGGTTCTCATGAGAGCGGCAAGGTCGACGAAGGATCGGAAAATTTGAATGGAGTGCAAAGATGTGAAGAGAGACGCGGCGTATGCCTGCAAATGAAAAGACGGAGAGAAAAAAAAACACATGTGCTTCCAAACTTCAGTTCTTTGCCGACATTTGTTGTATACTTTTAAAGTTAATTGCTCATAATTAGCATAAAGTATATATCCTTGCTCTATGATGTAACTACATGTATAAGTAGAGGTGTGGTTAATATTTTTATACAATTGCGGTAACTTTTAATCTCAACTTATTTGTGGCCTGTCGTAAGTAAGATGAAATGAACACGCAAGTGGAACTTCGAAATATGTTTTTCAAAGGATAGGCCTACCACGTCGCTTGCAATTCGCTTTCCGGCGGCAAAGGCTCTGTATTTCCAGGGGTCGCAGAGCCCATCCGGCGTGGGGTTGTTCATGTAGTACGCTACGACTAGAATCCATGTGATGAATAGCACTGATGCAGCAGACGTCCAGAATCCAGACTGCTTGTTGGAGGCACGTCTTCGAAGAGCATGGAATATAAATGCAACAACTATGAATTTGTTTTGGTTGTGTGAAGTTCAGGTGCATCAGAAGTTACATGTATAGTTAAAATACCTACTAGACCTACCTCAGTTGATCAAAAAAAAAGTTCCATTGAAGTTTCAGGAGATGGCAGTCAATTTTGTTTGAAATTTACGAACGCGCTTTTCCACGAATCTGGAAATGTTAGAGAGATTTCCATCTCTAAAGCTAATTCTATCTCTCTGGAGCTAGTTTACAGTGAAAGAGTGGACATTGATTTAACATTATTTTATAGGGCTAATATTTTATGAAATTTGACTTCTTTTTTTTGCAAAAGCATGCATACACCAAGCTGTTTTCAAGGAAGAACTCTAACATTCACCCCTAAGGAAGACTCCCGATTACCATGGAATGATTTCAAGAATATTAGCAATCGGATCCTTGATGTCGATCCCTTACCTTTCAAAGATGCCCATGATAGCTACGGACGTAGGGCGCGGCTTAAGTATCCTGGATGAAAAATCTGAATACTGTCACGTCCGCAACACGAACGCGTAATAATCGCAGGGTCCGTTTAGCTGTGTATTTTTTTTAACAGCCACTGTACCTAAAATGCACACCTTGTGGACCTTTACCCAATAGGTTCTATGCTATCTTTATGTCCATTGTACTGGCTTTTTTGTTATGTATACAGGCAAATATCGATAACTGTGTAAAGCTGGTTCATCAGAGGACATTGTCTCGATATAGTCCTGCATGGCCTCGATCACTGAAGTCTGAGAAAGGACGTCGGATACCCGTGATTATACATGTACTGTTCAATGTGCCAAATCGGCTGAGAGGACTTCAATTATGCATAGCCTTGCTGATGCCAGGTATTACCATAGAGCAAGCTCTATGGTATTAAAAAGGTAGCTCCGTGGTATTACTACGCAGACAACCTTGCATGAGAGGACGGTATTACGTAACTCGTGAATCATCCATTCGGCAAATGAATAAAGCCATATAACATAGGATTATGGGAAGGCCGAATGCCCCATATGCTAAAACAAAATTACTATATTGCTAACACCACGTACGCCAGTTCATATCTTATTTTATGACCCAAAAAACACAATCCGCACATTTGTTTGTTTCTTGGCTCAAGTTTGGAGTTTGTTGATTTTTTACCTCGTTTTTGATGGACCCACTCGCGCAGCTGGAAGCCAGACAGTGCATGTGGTCCTCTCTCCCTATATCTCACCATAGAGGAATCATCCTTGATCTCACTGACTCGCCAACAGAATTTGACTAAAATTACAACCTTGTCCCCATGACCAAACTGGTCTCGAGGGTGGATAAGGGGGGGGGGGGTGGCAACAAGGGGCCACAAAAAACACCCAAATTTGTTTAAAGTGACGTCGCAATAAAAGCGTCTCTGATAATTCATATTCCACATTATTCTAATTCCTCTGGGCCTTGACAGCTCTACTTCAAGTGTATATCTTACAATTCATATATTCAAAACATGCACTGTAAGTCAAAATTCAAAAGGCAGTTTGCCAATTTTGTTATTTTGTCAGCAGCAGACGATCTTTTGACACGGCATACACTTGAGTGATCCCAAATTAACGATTATGGGTATCAAAATCATATTTGGATATCTATTATCGGCTCAGGTCAAGTACAGAAGAAAGGTCAATCACAGTTTTAATCCAAGATTTCTTCTGCATTTAAAACCCCTCAATGTTTACGAAGTTTGACAAAGTTCCCCGACCTCAAACTTTGGACGTTTGCGATAAATAGTTTGGCAATGAAAACCATTCTTGAACTTGATTTAAACTATAAAAGCGATATCGTGGCAGGGCCTATATAGTTGTGATCGAGGAAAAGCACCGGTGAACTGTACCCTTTTTTGGGCTAAACTTTAGACAAGAAGAATTGGTGTAAATGTTGGATCATAGAAAAGATACAAACAAGTCTACAAAGAGGAAAATGACTCCAAGAGGCCGCGGGATGTGAGTATACTAATATGATTAATGTAAACTTTAACCTATAATACTTTTACTTGACAGAAAATCAACACATTTTGTTTTCGCATACTAGGTTAAACACAAACATTCTTAGTTCAAATTCGTCTTTACTTACAATGATTCTTATTCCAGGTTATTGAAGCGATCTCCCATCAGAGCGCCTTATGTCAGCTATTGTGTGGTTCTGGTTGTCACGATGACCATGTTGCTAACAGCCTTCTACGTGAACTCACCGACGCCTAACGGCATCAAGAACCCATGGAAGTACCGGTGTTTTCTAGCCGGCAAGCGAGTCGTGGCTGATATGGTACATTTGAGTTTTGAACCGTCATTAATGGGCCTGGTTAACACAAAATTGTTTGGCAATTTAAGTATATCCGGGTCAAAAAAGGGAATAAGCACCCGTCTTCACTGCACAGACCCCATACGCCAAAACTGGCGCGGAGCAGGTACAATTAAGGCAAAGACGCAATGCGTCTTTCTGAAAGACGCATTGCGTCTTTTGGATCTGGCAACATGCCAGGGCCGTCAAAAAGAGTATTTATAGAAAATTGATCTGTCATTTTCTTTGGAATTTCACCCAGGCTAAAGTACTGTCCCTGCTAACGTCCACCTCTTACGTCAACAATTTTCGGTTCTTGATGGACATCTTCGTTCGACCGACGCCCCTGGAAATGCCTGGGTCGAACATCCGGGCTTCCGTCACAACTTTTGGCGGGGTCAAAGTTCGCCTTTATCAGCCAATCAGGAGAGAGCCCGGACGTGGGCCGGCGCTGGTCTATGCACACGGAGGGGCATTTGCAATTGGAAGTGCCGGTATGAAAATTAAATAAAAATTAAAATAATAAGGCTATAATATGCCAGAGCCGAGCAGTCGAAACGAGACAAATTGATGATGTCATTTTGACGTTTTGAACTGTTCTAATTTGTTAATTTGGCGGGTTTATCTTAAAGGTCAGTAAAAAAGGGGTCAGTTTAGAATAATTATGACAATTCCTGCCCACCATGTACGGTTTGTCACCAAAATATACCTGTAACAATATGTAAAAGAAAAGTGGTCACTCTTTGACTTCGAATCGAGGCCTATCCGATTTTATATTCTTTCCTTCTGATTTTTGTCCACAGCCTCCTTTGATCCTGTAACAAGACGCATAGCCGAAGCGTTGAACTGTACCGTCGTGTCAGTAGAGTAAGTCTTTAAAAAACAAAGACATTCTCGTTTTTTGGATTTTTTTATTATTAAGTTGATCAAGTCCTGCATGGATATTAACGGTAGTTGGCTCGATATTTAGTGACGATGTTACGATGTGTTTCCGTTCTTAGCTATCGCCTTGCTCCCGAGCACCCCTTCCCAGCCGCATTCGAGGACATCCTCAACGCCTCTAAGTGGTTCATGGACCACGCCCACGACTTTGGCGTAGACCGTTCGCGAATCGGCATCGCTGGGGACAGCGCCGGCGGCACGCTGGCCGCAGTCGTGTCACAGGAGTTGCACGACGACCCTGCCTACCCGGACTTTGCCTTCCAGGCACCCATCTACCCACTGACCCAACTCATCGACAGCCTCACCCCAGGAACGCTCCACTCCAAGCACCATTTCGGTCGGGACGGATCCATCGTGACATGGGACGAAGCCGCCATGTTTTGCAGTCTTTACTTAACAGGCGGCGAGCACGCGAGACTGCAGCTCGCCCTCATCCGCAACGTACACGTTGCCATGGAGTTCAGACGCAGTGACGCGCCGCAACTGAAGTACGTCAATCACTCCCTCCTACCTCCGCGCTTGCGCAGTTATGACTTCCTGACGCCCTCCTCAAGCCATGTCAACCACGGACATCTTTCCGAGGCGGAGGGCGTATGGAAAGAAATCAAAGACAAAGTTCTAGACCCGCGAGTCTGTCCTCTGATGAGGCATAACATGGGAGGGTTGCCGCCCACATTTGTAGCTACCTGCGAGTATGATGCCGTGAGAGACCACGGAATATTCTACGCGATGAGACTAAGAGAAGCTGGGGTACGAGTCCGTTGGGAGCATTATGATGGCGGGTTCCACGGGGTTCTGGGTCCTTCGTGGCCCTTTGAGTTCGAAGTGGGGGAACAGATGTTCCATGATTTCGGAGATTTCGCCACAGAACATCTCAAGTTAAAATCATGAATGCTTAATAGAGAGCATGCTAGTGTTGCAACTATAACACTGAAGTGTTTCATCCCGATCGAATTTCAAACGTCAGAGCATTCAAACAAAGTCGCTATTAATCGACTGATTTTATTTTTAATAAACGTTTTATCATTAAATTCTGTGATCGATGCATTGACAAATAATTGATATAAAAGGAGTGATGGGTCGTTTATCTGATCAATGAACAAGATAATTGATTGGTGATCAATTCATGCATTTATTGTATTTATAGTAAATTATTTGTGTCTTTTATTTTGCCTCATGCCTGTTTATAACACAACGATTCTGTGGCAAAGTTTAGCAGAGTTCCCTGTCGAATTGTTCGGTGTTACCCTTTGATTACCTTTGAACTTTGACGCAAAGATTACTAAAAAATAAAGGTTAACAAACTCTAGGTCGATTCAAGTTCACTGCACGCTCTGTCAGTGTGGCAATGCAACTAATACAGCTGATCTTTGAAAAAGTGGATGAAAGTCCAACGAGATATCATACGCAGTGTTCATTATATCTCGACATTGCTAACCCGGCTGGCATCTGAATTATAAGAAACAAAGATAGACAGGCCGGCTCGAGTTATCACGTCTTCATCTTTTGCCGAACACTGAAGTTTTAAACATTCTCGGATCGCATTTGCCTAATGAAGATATCCTTAAATTTTACTTGAGAAGCTCCAAAAGCGTGTATTATTCCACTATTCCAACTGTTAGTTTATACCAATGGAAAAGCGACGTAAAGTATTCCTTGCCGTGGTTGGAGTGTTACTGATTTGTCTGGTACTGGAACCCATACCTGCGGAGCTGGACAACCCGTGGTGCTTGAAGATGGCTTCAAGACTCGTCGATTATGTGAGTTGCTCATTGTTATTTCTTAGCAGATATGTTTTATCGCCGAATTTAATATTTCAAGTACATGTAGGCCTGTAGTTGAAAATGGGAATTCGTCAATTCATTAATCTCAGACTGAAATCGTTTTATGGAATGCGACCACGTCAATTTATGACGCTTTAACGTCAAGGGTCAGACTCATATGCTGCTGTGGGGGGGGGGGGATCGGCACGCCTCCACCACAGCGAGTCTGTTACCTTCCCAGCTTTGAATAATGCTGGTACCCATTTAACACCTGGGTTGAGAGGAGTAATTGAGGTAAAGTGCCTTACTCAAGGACACAACACGCATGGCCACAGCGGGGCTCGAACCCACAACCTCACGATCATGAATCCTGTGCTCTACCGCTAGACCACACGTGCCCACTGGGTGAGCTAGCTAGGCCTATATGCAGTAAGCATCCGAACAATGTCGGATAATTTAGCTAGCTGGAAACTACCGACCAATTAACAACTTCCTTGTACATTTGTCTCCAGGGGTTGTTCTACAACGAAGTTGTCCATCAGCTCGTTCCCGCCCTGCCAGCCAGTCTAGCGTTCTGGATAGAGAAATGCATATACTCTGTCATCCCAATGCTATCTGTCAATGTCACAACTGCAGACGCCGTTTTTGACGGAGTACGAGTCCGGATCTTCGATGATGACCGTCCCAGCGTGGGCGCCACACCGGGGGAGACGAAGCTTCGCCCCGCGGTCATCTTCTTCCACGGTGGTGGCTTTATGATGATGAATTTAGGTAACACTTGGCTACTTTTTAGTTTCGTACATGCGAAAAAGTCGAAATGAAATTGTTTTTACTGCTTTAAAGCCTGATGGGTAAGGCTTAGATGGCTTTTTTGACACAATGAATTAGTTGGACACAAGATGGTTTCCGTGCACAATAGTATATACTGGTGTTGTCACCATGTGGTGTCCTTACAGACCCAATATATTAATTGTCTTCATTTGTAGATTCCGTGGCCATAAGCGTGATGGGCTTGCATTCTTTGTTTGAAGAATTCAAACCGTATAATTGAATTTGTTTTAATGTCACAGATCTGTGCAATAAGTACATTTAGCCAGTTGATTCAAGATAAGTCATTAATAATATTCAAACCTCTTTGGAAATTCTTCTTCTTTTTTGGCAGATGCATACCACGGCCACACGGCACACATAGCCAGGAATTTCCAGGTGATGCTGATATCTGTCGAGTAAGTGATCAGTATGTTTAAAAATATTAAAATCAAAATGAATTCTGAATTGAAACAATATTTTTCAACCCTCAGTACCCCTTCCTTTACCTTTATTCCTCTTGGATGTAGGGCTACGATCGATATCAGATGAAACTTTATAATCTGATTATTGGTTGGTGATAATGCATTTTAAACATAATTATGTTTTTTTACGATCAGGTATCGTCTAGCACCCAAGCACCGCTTCCCAGCTGCAATAGATGACTGCACAGCAGCTACAGTCTGGTTCCTGGAGCACGCCCACGACTTCAACGTCGATCCGACCAGGGTTGCCGTCATGGGCGACAGCGCTGGAGGCAACCTGGCTGCTGCCGTGGCCCAGAGGTTGACCTTTGACCCTAAATACAAAAGCCTGCCCAAGGTGAAGCTCCAAATTCTGATCTACCCGATGCTTCAGGCTTTTGACTTCCAGACGCCTTCTTACCAGCAGAATGGAGACTACACGAGTGTGATTATGAACAGGAAGTACACGGTCATGGCTGCCGATAATTACATGAACGGAAACTCCAGTCTGGATTCTAAGATGTCAAAGAACCTCCACACCTCAGCTGATGCAAAAACATCCCCACTGGCCCAAAAGTGCCTGTCCCACGACCTCATTCCGGATGAGTTCAAACAGACTGGCTACGAAGCTCCTTCAACTAACTTGGGTGATGAGAGCATCTACAACGAGATTAAAGAGGTTCTCCTGGATCCAGACTTCGCTCCTCTCATGCGAGAAGACCTGAGAGGACTCCCAGAGGCTTACATCCTGACCGCCGAGTATGACGTCTTGAGGGATGACGGCATCATGTACGCCAAGCGTCTGGAGATGGCGGGAGTGCCAGTCGCTTGGAAGCATTATCGGCGGGGCTTCCACGGAATGTTTGGCGCCTTATTCGACTCTCCGACAGAAAAACTCGGACAGATAGATTTTGCAGAATATTTAAAGGAACATCTATGACAAAGACGTTGGTTAGTTAGAGCTTCGGTTTGACACTTGGCATTCACGAGCAATATAACACAGATCTTCATAATTATAGTATTTGTTGGAAAGGCGGGTTTTTTTATACTTTAAAAGTAGGTATAGATCATATTTTGTCAATAATTGTGCATTTCTTTCCGTTCGATTCAAGGCCAATATGTGTAAAAAAAAAAATTAAAAAAAGTAATCTTAGATACCATTTTGAAAGACCTAATTAATGGAAAGAATTTGCTGCAAGACTTTGCTGCATGCGAGGTGTATACATTTGGTTTCTTTATTTAATTAAAGATTCTATTTCTATTCAAATCACTCCCATTATATTCATCCGCGGGTCAACTTGGTAGAAACTGAAATGAACCAGCCTCAGTGGTTCGCTCAAATGCCATTGGATGGTTGTTTGTTGGTTTTCATTTGACAATCTCCATGGATATCGAACACAGACAATAAACAGCAAATTACTAATCAAGATATCAGAGGCTTTGTCGAGGATAGCACAAAAGAAGCTACCAGCACCTCAATTCCATTGTGGTCCCCTATTTAAAATGAAAATGAAAGTTGCCAGAAAACAGGGCGTTCAATTTAGAAAGGATTTATATTAAATGTACATACCTCTGTCGTCCCTTTAATCAATCACAAGTCAATCACAAGCCATTCGGTTTCAAGTTAATAAGTGACAAACTATTTTTGTTCTCCATTTCTTTACCCAGAATACATGTTTTTGGCGGCGTAAAACGGAGCTTCCCGAATCCACATCGAAAAGGCATCGCGCAGTCTTGGAAAAAAAAAATCGTACGTGATGTCACGTGACGCGTGACGTGCAGGAGATAACGCTCGAGCGCATTATAGGGTGCGCAGTCCAGATATAAAATAGAAAGACTATCGGCAGCGCGTGCATACCCCCATTCACAACCTCGTTCCCATGGGTACGAGCTTTTGCTGCGCCATGTTGTCGAGGCTGCCTCATTCACTGTGCGAATGTGCGCCATTTTTGTGGTCGCTCGTGGACGAGCAAAACATTAGAATAAAGTCATACAGCTAAACGTACATGTCCTCCAGCACATGACCTAACTCGACGCGCGTGAAGCTAGCTAGAAATGCGTACCGAGTATGTACGCACACACGTGCAACTTTCCCGTTTCGGTTACGATCATTTTATTTTCTGCAAACTTTACCTGTAAACCTGTACATTGTGCAGGCCATTTAGTCAAGAGCAAATGGTTTTCAGTAAAAGCGTTTGCTTAATTTATTTTTCATTCATACAGATGCGAGTAAATGCTGGTAGTAAATGCAAATGCCAGTTTTTATTCATACGAACTATGGTATTATTTGTATGAACGTTGTTGATATTAATTTCTCGCGATTAGCATAAATAAATTCAGTAATTTTTGCGCAGAATTGTGTGCTTTTATATTTTCAAGGTAGCCCCAACCCAACCTTAAAATATGACAAGTAAATATTTGAAATCTGAAGCATTTACTCCTTTTTATTTATATGAAACGAAGAAAACGCTATAGTGTAGCAAAAGCTAAAAAGTAAAAAGTAAATATTTTCATACTTTAGCAAATGGTTTTTAGTAAAAGCATTTGCTACTTTTCATTCATACAGATGGAAGTACATGCATAAAAATTTGTAGTAAAAGCAAATGCCATTTTTCATTCAGACGAACATGGTATCATTTGTACTCTATGAACTTTGTTAATATTAAACTTTTCGCGATTAACATTAATAAATGCAGTAATTTTTGCGCAGAATTATTTGCTTTTTAATTTCAAGGTAGGCCCAACTTAGCCATGAAAATGACAAGGAAATATTTGAAATCTGACTGGTTGAGGGGTATGTGTTTGTCCAGTTTCTTTCCCGGTTTTCCTTTCCTGTTGGTTCCCGTTGTTTCCCTTGTTGAATATTTATACTGTAAATAAACAAGTAGCACTTATTTATCAGTTGAAAAGTTACACATCATTAACACCAGTCATCAGAAATACAGGATACATAACAATTTATGGCCACATATTTGCAACTTAGGAATTTAAACAACATACAATTGGTAGATTGATGTGTGAAAAACTGCGAGACTAATTATAGAACAATCCCACATGCAAACCCCAAGACGAGCGATAAATCTTTCTAAAGAAGGGACAGCACTTGAGCACACCCACACATAATCATATAATTCATTCAGTGATCAATACAATCATTATTAACCTATAGAAACTCCATACATCAACATTTAGTCTCGCATACAAATTCACCTCTTCTGATATTGAAACAATTATGGAGGAAAATAAAGCATCGAAATGATTGAAGTACATGACATGCATTTTTCTCTACGACTGTTCCGTAAATTTATCACAAATACCTCGTTGCATTTGATCACAGGGCTCCCCCAATCTTCTTACAAAACCACTACTCGAACTACTGAATCGCACACTACAATCATAAGCAGATAAAATAAATTTATATGAAACGAACATCTTCATTATTTGTGAAAAAACAGTGATGCGAATTACCTAAAAATCAAGGACGCCTGTAAATATTAGGCAGGCACTGCTGTAGCACGCGTGGTCTCGGAGTTATTGTTGCACAATCATCAACACGGGATGCACAAAATTACGGCAAAATCAAGTCCCAACCTAAGCCTGATATTGACAAGGTGACAAAATGGAATGTTAAAGAACTCTTCTGGTGAAATCAAAGAAATCTGCTACAGCCAGATCCCCTGATGGCGAAGTGAAGGGTCCGTCCTTGGTGTTGAACATCGCGTGGAAGCCGTTCTTGTAATGCTTCCAAGTGACTGGCACTCCCGCCTGCTCCAGACGCTTGGCGTACATGATGCCGTCATCTCTCAAGACGTCATACTCGGCGGTCAGGATGTAAGCCTCTGGGAGTCCTCTCAGGTCTTCTCGCATGAGAGGAGCGAAGTCTGGATTCAAGATGACTTCTTTGATCTCCTTGTAGATGTCTTCATCCCCGAAGTCGGTTGAAGGCGCTTTGTAGCCAGCCTGCTTGAACTCATCCGGGATGAGATCGCGGGGCAGGCATTTCTTGACCAGGGGGGAATTCTTGGCTTTTACCGAAGTGTGTTGGTTAACGGACATCGGTGTCTTTAAGGAAGGCCTGTTGTTGAGATACACGGCCCAGAATTCTGCCATCATCATCTTATCGAGAACAATAGTGGTATAGTCGCCGTTCTGCTGATAGGAAGGCGTCTGGAAGTCGAAAGCCTGCAGACAAGGGTAGATCAGAACCTGCATCTTAAGCTTGGGCAGTTTCTTATACTTTGGGTCAAAGGTCAGCCTCTGGGCGACTGCAGCAGCTAGATTTCCGCCAGCACTGTCCCCCATGACAGCCACTCTGGTTGGGTCAACGTTGAGGTCTTGGAGATGTTGCAGGAATCCAACGGTTGCTGCCGTGCAGTCATCTATAGCTGCGGGGAACACGTGCTTTGGGGCAAGCCGGTACCTGCAATAATGAGGAATACAAATGATAAAAGTATAATAGTGTGCTCTCTGAAAGGTAATTTGAATCGGTCCTTGTCAGCCTATCACACTTTGGTAAACATTATGGATTCAGTTGGATAATTAGTGATGGTTCAAATCCCGTTTTTGCAAACCCTATGGTAAAAATGGCGTACGAGACATGGTTTGGACACGTCATTCTTGGAGACGACGCTTCGTGACGTCACACTTCTACGGAGTATAGGCATTTGCGTCTTTAAGAAATGAGTTAGCCATTTCCTTTATTCAAACGCTCGAATTTCTGCAAAATCTAATTTGTGAGCCTGTACATCTATGACAATGACTTTCGAAGCTCATTAGCTCTGTGCCATAAGGGAGTAAAACAAAATAGAATTCACAGTAATATACTCACTCAACAGAAATGACTACTGCACCAAGTTCTCGTGCAATTGTTGCCGTCAGAAAATGGTACATATCTGTATACATTTGATAAAAAGATAATTCCAGTCTTGGTACGTTTTCAATTCACAGTGCTTAATGGAGTATGTTTCTGGACTGTTCACGTTCTTAATCATTTTGTTTGAAACTGTCAGGATATATATCGACATTGTTGGATATCTTGTCATAAATAATTGGCATCGATATAAACCTAATCGTTAAATTATTTGGGTATATTTTCGCCCTGTTGACAACGACTAACTTGTGAAAAGATCGATCATTTAGTTTCGATCAAAAAGCGATTAGACTTTGATAAGGCCAGACTCACCCACGTTTCCCATTCTCCATCCCCCACCGTGATAGAAGACAATCGCCGGGCGTTTGGCTGCTTTCTCCCCGTCTCGTTGGTCGTCAAAGACACGCACGGGCACCCCGCCGTAAGTCGTGTCCTCGTAGGACACGTTCGGGCCACTGGACCTCATAGATTCTGCAATCTTGGGAGCAAGCCATGCGCTCAGTCTCTCAGGCATGATAGATGGTAGGCCAATAGTCTGAGAAATTGAAAGAATAATAAACTGTCCTCTTTAAGACAACGATACAGTTCAATTATTCTGGAGACATACTTTGCCTTGATTTTTACTGTTAATAACATTACCAAAAACCATGCTGTATTTTGAATATGCGATCCTTACTCTTTCTCCCGAGAACAAAAATGAAAGTCTGCAAACCATAATGGATTCACGATTAAAAATGTTTGAGGTGATATCACTTCAGGAGCGCCCTCATGCGGCAGGCAGTAGTAATTCGTTACCCTTTGAGCTTTGATAAATCTTACAATAGGCGGCGGAAACGCCTCTAGTCCTCACCGATATAGCATAGCTGTGTTTACTTACTATTGGAAAAATGTGCGTCATTAACTTTAATCTCCAGGGTATCTCAATGGCGTCAGGTATGGGTTCAAAGTACACGTAGAGAACGATCCCGACCAAGCAGGCGAGGAGTGCGGTCCTTATCATGCCCATGATTCAGCAAAGTAATGTCTCTGTCTGGTGGGAAAAAATGTTAAAGATAAAACGAAAATGATGGCTCGTGGAAACGTATAATTACGAAATCAATACACTAACGCTAACTTTTGAAATTGTGATTTCAACAGTGCAGCAGAGTCAAACTTTTTTAAAATAAGCATATTCTTTTTAAAATTAGTTAGTTATGCCGGTTTGAAATGACACGATGTGTATAATTTGCTTTGCGGTTTGTGATTCCTGTGATTTTTTTTTACTGACCACCAATACATAACTCTTCATTCACCAGGGGTAAAATAAGCTTTGAGCACTACTATTTCTCCAATGAATTCTATTACAATTAAACTCGCAGAGTCACAATCAAACCATGAGGCAATTATTCTTGTCGACACTTTAGCGTCTGCGTCTTATATACCGAAGAGTATTGGGAACGCATCAAAAGACATTAATATGAAAAAATGGTATACATCATCCTTTACATACCTATTTTTTTCACAGGTTGACCGCCAGTGGATGCGTGACCCGTTACACTGTCAATGAAATTAGGTTGGCCTACTATGATATCTTGTCTACCTGATATCGAATACTGCATCTGCTTCGTCATGCAATCATTTCACACTGATTTGATGTACCCTTACCTTCATCCACTGATGAAACGGGGCAAAGTTAAAGTACAAAGTGCACGGGATACAAAATTTGTATTTGTGATTTACCTCTGTGTATACATCAACGCATTTATGCCGGTATTGACCGTGTTTGTAAGAAGTATTCAAATAACGGGTTGGCGTTGGGTTGGCATCGTGTGATGGTCGTTGCTCATGGTCCCCCTCCTCCTCCCCCCCCCCCCCCCCCCCCCCCCCACCACCACCGGCCACCACCACTTCCTTCAAATCATCGTTTGTCACGCCTTCGCCACTCTTGCTGGACAGTAAAGTTCATTTCAATTATTCCCGATTCTGGTAATTTCTGCCGTGTTTTTATTTTTTTTATTTTTTTTTTTATCTCACCACTCACCCTACACTCATAAACGAAAACACAGAAGTGTGTATTTGCCTGCAATCGGGACCCCCTATTCTCCCTCTTTTGCTTGTACTCTTAACTTTCTAGGAAGACCTCCCATATGTTTTGTACACATCGCCAAATTGGGGACCTTCGAGAATTGGGGACTCTATTGTCCTCTATTGTTTAACGTCCCCTAAATGCAGAAACAAACTCAAAACGGTCATCGACAAAAAGGACTACCTGTTAAAACAATCAGCCACTTAATCTTTAATAACCAAAATCGTTTTGTGTAAGAAAGGCATTAGAAAGTGAAACAAACTATTTCAGATTATTCAACCCATCGCTTAGATTTCCTGCCAATCACAGCATCGGCACAATCAATATTTAAATGCTTTCTATGCTAATTTACATAGGCCTAACCACTCCCCCATCATGTCTGACTCCCAAGATCCTATCCCATTACTGAAGTAACTGAAGGGGGGGGTCATGTTCCTGGGCACTGTATTTTTTGTGCTGAAGACCTTCCCTGGCTTGTGCAACCAAACGGAAAGGTCGACCTTTCCTTAACAAAAAACAACGAAAAAGCTTTATATATACTCATCCAAAAATTGAACTTCAGTAGTGTACTATTTTTTATGTCATCACCCACTTCGTTAACATATTTATTGCGGAACTGTTTCTAAGAGCTAGGCGGCATATAAAAGCTTGACAGAAAACGAAATTTCCTCATTTTTGTAGCATTTCTCTGAGTAAGTTTAAGATTATTAATTGAAAAACTCAACTGTTAGAAGACTAAACTTGTCTAATGACTGCTTTCAGCCCCGTTTCATCTTTCACAAATATCAAACATCGATCACAGATGTTTTTTTGCAAAATTGTAGAAATCTTCAGACGCTAGCTCTGACGAAGGGGAAGACCGAAACCCGCCCTTAATGTCAAACATGGCGTGGTAACCTTTCTTGTAATGCTTCCAAGTGACTGGCACTCCCGCCTTTTCCAGACGCTTGGCGTACATGATGCCGTCATCCCTCAAGACGTCATACTCGGCGGTCAGGATGTAAGCCTCTGGGAGTCCTCTCAGGTCTTCTCGCATGAGAGGAGAGAAGTCTGGATTCAAGAGGACGTCTTTGATCTCCTTGTAGATGTCTTCATCCCCGAAGTCGGTTGAGGGCGCTTTGTAGCCAGTCTGCTTGAACTCATCCGGGATAAGATCGTGGGACAGGCATTTCTTGATCAGGGGAGATCTCTTGGCTTTTGCTGAAGTATGTTGGTTTAGGGACATCGGTGTCCGAAAGGATGGACTGAAGTTAAGATACACCGACAAAAACCAAGCCGTGTTCACCCTATTCAGGATGACAGTCTTGTAGTCTCCGTTCTGCTGGATGGAAGGCGTCTGATAGTCGAAGGCCTGCAAACAAGGGTAGATCAGAACCTGCATCTTAAGCCCGGGCAGCTTCTTATACTTCGGGTCAAAGGTCAACCTCTGGGCGACGGCAGCAGCTAGATTTCCGCCAGCACTGTCCCCCATGACAGCCACTCTGGTTGGGTCAACGTTGAGGTCTTGGAGATGTTGCAGGAATCCAACGGTTGCTGCCGTGCAGTCATCTATAGCTGCGGGAAACACGTGCTTTGGGGCAAGCCGGTACCTGCAGCATGGAGAAGTTTGAAGATGACAAAAGTCCAAGACGATTAGGTTGTTTGAGACTAAAGGGAAACTAGTTCTTATAGGAAAGGCACGTGTGATATCGTCTGGGAATATTGATAGTGTATACCACTTTGGGGATGTGGTTCGAATCCCAACTGGTACTCTCTAAATTCCAAAGAGTGAAATTAGGGACTAGACGTTTTAGTGCGTTTTACTTGAGCTCGAGTGAAACCTCGATCTTTAAGATTGAAGAAATTTCACTCTAAAACGTCTAGTCCCTAGTTTCCGACTGTGGGAGTGAATCTTCGCTCGAAAGGAGTGAATTTTTCACTCTTTAGAATTTAGAGAGTAGGTCCTTACTCCCCGTTGACTGAGCTCTTCATTATCTTAAAAGCGTCTCAACCGTTTTTACCACTCTAGTTTTCCTGCAACATCTTAAGTTACATCAAAAAATGATTCTTGGCAAGATTTGTGAATAATTATGCTAGATTCCAAGACTTCTCGGTGCATTGCAATAAACAAATTAAAATAAAAGAACAATTTTACATTTAATACTTACTCAACAGAAACGACAACCGCACCAGTTTCTCTGGCTATTTCAGACGTCAGAGCATGGTACAGATCTGTATTTCGGATAAATAACGATAACTTTCGAAAAAATCGAATATTTTGGCGTTCGTTGCTATCAAACTGCTTTTACGACCGTTTGTTGGCAATCGCCATTTTTAGTTAAAGTAAAACTTTCAAAATTACTGGAATTATAATGTTATATCAGAGTGTGTTTTTTTTTAATTATCTGATTTTGTTTTGGGCCTAGATATAAAGGAAGATCATTATTTGCTTCCACAGAGCATAACCGATTGGAACTGTTCGATGGGCTTTGTTCACGAGTCGGCCATATTAAATTGAAAGCGAGGTAAAATCTTCATTTTTTGGAACTTACGAACTAGAAATGAAAGCAATGACAGAAAGTTTATCACAAATTAATACCAGTCTGCTTTGATGAATAATTGAAATGTTTTAAACCACATTTAAAAAAAAAATTGAAGCTGAGGCTAGAATGCATAAAATAATGGTCTGGCACCATCCGGTTCAACAGTTCACAATTTACAAAATTCATTCGGGGAACACGACCAAAGGTCCATGTCGGTCAATAAATTGGCAACATTAATCCGCTGATTGGTGGTGCCACGCCCACGCGCACGATGCACGCGTTCTTTAGTTGAGGCGCGCGAGTAATTCAAAACCATTAGTCGAAGGAGTAGCGCGCGCGTAACACCCGTACCTGCGTGTAGGCGTGGTTAAGCTATGGCTTCTAAATTTGGTCGCCGGATTGAAGTCTTTTTGTATTGAAAATCATGTACGTTACTCACCCACGCGTCCCAAGATCCATCCCCCGCCGTGATAGTAGACAATCGCCGGGCGTTTGGCCGCTTTCTCCCCGTCGTGTTGGTCGTCAAAGACACGCACGGGCACCCCGCCGTAAGTCGTGTCTCTGTAGGTGACGTTCGGGCCACTGGACCTCATGGCCCCAACGAGGAAAGTATCCAACCACGTTTTCACCTCTCCCTCCGGCATGATGGACGCCAAACGAGAAGTCTGAAACATTTGAACAAAATTCGCTCGGTGATAGCTTTAAGATAGCTTTAAGACGTGTTGGTGCAGTTGTACCTACTGATAACTCTACTATCCGCTCCGTTCACAAGTACCCCCTCATCGGCAAAGAAAGTACAGCTTGGGGTGACCGACCGACGCCATCTTGCCTGGCTGGGATTTTGCAGTCAGGCAATTTTGCAGGTATCAAAATGAATTTATTGTAAGAAATTTTGTTAGAGTAGTAGGTTGCTTTTTGTTCACTTAAAACGTTAAAGGGTCCATGCGACGAATTGTTCATAGGAACACATTGATTATGGTGCAACTTTCTACTCCTATTTGACTTCCCTTTTTGGCTGATTTTATTGAAAAGTACAGTGCGCTTCTTTAAACATTTCAAACTTTCTATACTTTTCCGGACAACTGAGGGCGATGTTGCTAAATGATGTGATTTTTCAGGGAGACACTGTTCAGTAAGTTATGGGTTTTGTGTTCAAATTGTGAACTTAAATTTGCATATTGAAAACACTTGTGAGAAAAGGTTGCTCACTTGCTTACTGCCATGTACTTATACACAACAACGAATCACCAAAGAAAAGAAATTTTATTACAGCAAAATTTCAAAAATTCTGCCAACTTTCGGTGCTGAAATAACTGTAACATTGAGTTTTCTGCCTGAAATGACGTCATAGTTTTGCTGATGACTATGGAAATTGGCATTAATATAACTAAAAAAGCACCAAAATACCCTTCAAAATGGCGAAACGATAATTGAAAATAAGGTTGAATGGAAAAATTAGGTAAAAACGTGCAGTTTCAATGATAACATTACAAATATATTATTTTTTGCACGGACACTTTAATTGATGTGGTGTTTATTGTATTTAATTCCAGAAAGCAAGACATTTTGCTCAGCAACTTATATTTAACCGCCGTTTAAATTCGGCAATGATATTAAAATATAGCTTATTTGGTGTGGCTATACTTACCACTGGGAATAAGTGTGAAATTAGCTTTAATTTCCAGGGTATCTCGATGGCGTCTGGTATGGGTTCAAAGTACACGTAGAGAACGATCCCGACCAAGCAGGCGAGGAGTGCAGTCCTTATCACGGCCATGATTCAGCAAAGTGGTCACCTAGCGAGAAATGATTAAAAGTGCGATCAGAAAAGACTAGCCCGCCAGAAGGTTCCTAATTTTATTGAATTCGTGGTCGAAAGAACACAAAACTCGTCTACAGTTCCCACAGCATGATATTATATTACGTCACACGAACAGTTAGTTCTGCATTGCTTTGCATGACCCCGGCGAGGTTCGTACAGCCCTATCTATAGTGCAATAAATCGATAATGAACTTGCAGCATGCCCGCAACAAGGAAAACGTCTGGTACATTGCATAGAGCAGATGGGCTGTTAGCCGCCATACGACTGAATAACAATGGACTATATTACAAGATAATTACTGGCGAAGCAGGCTGTGTCAATCCTGTGCAAACTGTCATCAATGCAGTACGGAGGAATAAGAACACATACTGACAAACTTATTCGAAAACAAAACCAATGTTTTTGATTTCCAAATATCACATAGCCATTCTTAGAATTCCACAATATAATCCAGTGCGCTGCCTCGCCTACGTAGTACACTGCTGGTACAATACGTTCCCTGGCCCGACCCTGACCCTAACGATTTCAATTCCTGATAAAGGGATCGGCAGCAGGGCCACATACCACATGACAACCCCCGATCGACTACGGTTAACAATATGATCTCATTCACTTCTGTAAGCTGATTATCTCACAGCAACTCTAAATAATAAAGAAACCAGGTTCGTGTAAAGTGGCTTTATCTGGGCTTGATTTAGCCTTTCACCAAGGCCATCGTGGCTTAACTTGCCCGCAGCGGCGAAAAAGCGAGGCGACTGGAGATGGAGACCACACACGCGATGCCACTCGTGCGTGCTGACTAATCTTTGCTCCAGTCGCTTCGGGTCTTTGCAACCTCGCCGCTCTAAGCCACGATGGCCTTACCTTGGCGAAAGGCACGTACTGTTGTATTATTATGGTAGAAGGCCGCCGCGTGAGTTGTGCTCACGCACCAGACCTCCTTCAAGTTAATTAGTGCATTATGTGAGTCATGATCATGAGGAACATTCTGATCGCATCGTTACCCGTACTCGGGCTCATACTGTATGTGGCCCTTCTGCCCATCCCTTCAGGAATTGAAGTCCCTTGGAAGTTGAAGCTACTCACGATAGTGTTGAAGGCGGTACGTAAAAACTCTTCAAACTATTTGGTCTTGCCCAAAGGCTGTTGTTGCTGAAACTCTGCAGACTAAATCTCTCACACGTTGCAAACTTGAAAATTGCACCATTTAGATCGCGTTCAACTAGTTGCATGCACAAGTGAGAGCTTGTTATATACGAGTTAATAGTTTAACTGATCAAATAATTTCGAATGTCCTTATCACTGCCTCATATTTTTATGTGGATGTTCATGACTGTCTTGATATTGAACTGAAGAATAGTAGTTTTCAACCTAGACGTGATTGAATTTTTTTGTCTATACCATCGCAGAGTTTGTACCTTGAACCCTACACCCCGGCCACAATCAAGAACATTTTGGATAGGGAATCCAGAATAAACATGCGGACTACCGGTCCCAATGTACATTCACTGACACCGTGTTTGATGGGGTGCCAGTGCGCGTCTACGCCGATGAACAGGAGGGGGCGAACGCGCCGAAACGCCCGGCTGTCGTCTTCTATCACGGTGGGGGCTGGAGGTTCGGTCACACCGGTGAGTTCACGTATATAACGCTCAGAGCCCATTATAGCCAAAATGGAGCCCTCTGCTATTGGTCTAAAAACAACCATTTGCCAAGTTCAGAAATGTTTACCTCAGACAGTGGTTAAGTATTTTTGGCTATATCCCCGGAAGTATAAGTCAACAAATTCAAAATAATCGGTTAATATTCATAGAGTTATGACGCGCATGTGTCTTTTTGCTCGTCCCAACCATATTTATAGAGCTGCAATTTAATATAGCTCTATGGTCCCAACGCATCCTTGGAGGCTGCATAGTGCCTCTGTGAAGCAGCCAAGAATGCAGCTGACCTCAACTATTACCTCACCCGGATCGACCCGGGTTATAGCCCCATATGCCGCTCTAGCTCTGAGGCTCACCGGGGTCAGCCACCACAGAACCTGCTCGAACGTGGAGCAGAATCAGTGGTGAAACGTCACATGCATGCGTTGTTCATTCCAACTTTATTTGAAATCTAAAGGTAACCATTAACGACTTTTGAGGCTATAATTTCAGCCATTTTTTTTTGTGATTGACAGAAAAGCAATAAAACTAAGACCCTGCCCGAAACGGGCAGTTTAATTGCGTTTAATTCCTTCACAAAATTTGCAAATCAATGGCCGGGTCTTCAGCAGTGTACACAACATAATTTATTGTTATTTAATTGTTTTCTTTTGGGCAGATTTGTCCCACTCTCTGACGGCAGAGATTGCCAGAACGTTAGATGCCGTAGTCGTTTCTGTCGAGTAAGTAATGGATCGGCAAATATGTCTTGGGTATAGTGCAATTTCATTGACCAGAATGGTCTCGTGTTAAATTTTATAAAACTGATAATGGCATAATTTACGTCATTCTAATAATCCTTAGCACGTCATCATCATTATCATCAATCGTTTCAACTTACTGGCACGATATGAAAAAACAATGTGTTGAATGTTATTGTCGTTTGATGCGTGTTATCCCTTAAAAGCTTATGGCAACATTGTCTTTGCTTTGGAAGTCTCGATCGTGTGTAAAATAAGTCCTGACAGCCAACAGATTAAAGTTCTAAAATATCATACAAAAGCTAAAAAAAAAGTTTTCACTTTTAAATTTCATTTTGAAAACAACAACTACAACAAAAAGTGAAAAACGAAGCAATGCAGACAGCAGACTGTCGTTCAGATTCCATGTCGATCTTACATTCCGCAGTTATCGCCTGGCTCCTGACTTCCTCTTCCCGGCTGCCATAGATGACTGCACCATGGCAACTGTAAGCTTCCTAGGCCGTCTACAAGACCTCAACGTTGACCCAACCAGAGTGGCTGTCATGGGGGAAAGTGCTGGCGGAAATCTAGCTGCTGCCGTCGCCCAGAGGTTGACTTTTGACCCGAAGTATAAGGAGCTGCCCAAGCTTAAGATGCAGGTTCTGATCTACCCTTGTCTGCAGGCCTTCGACTTCCAGACCCTTCCTACCAGCAGAATGGAGACTATACCACGGTCGTTGTCGACAGAGTGACGATGGCTGAATGCTGGGCCGTGTATCTCAACAACAGGCCATCCTTTAAGATAAAGATGTCCGTAAACCAACATGCGTCAGCAAAGGCCAAGAGATCCACCCTGATCAAGAAATGCCTTTCCCATGATCTCATCCCGGATGAGTTCAAGCAGGCTGGCTACGAAGCACCCTCAACCGACTTCGGGGATGAAGACATCTACAAGGAGATCAAAGAAGTCCTCTCGAATCCAGACTTCGCTCCTCTCATGCGAGAAGACCTGAGAGGACTCCCAAAGGCTTACATCCTGACCGCCGAGTATGACGTCTTGAGGGATGACGGCATCATGTACGCCAAGCGTCTGGAGAAGGCGAGAGTGCCAGTCACTTGGAAGCATTACAAGAACGGCTTCCACGCGATGTTCAACACCAAGGACGGACCCTTCACTTCGCCATCAGGGGATCTGGCTTTGGCTGATTTCTTTGAATTTGCAGCGGAGAAACTTTGATGAATTTTTTAAAGCTTGTATTCTCTTCAAGCAACGAACATTTTAATGTTGATGTTTTGTAAACAAGTAAACAAGTGTGAGAATCAGAACGGGGGAGTATAGCTTTGTATCCGTTTTATGAAATTGTGACGGATGTTCAATGGGTTTCATTCGGGGAGAGGTGTTGATAATTAATCTGCTTGTGTATAGGTTTGTCAGAATGTACCAAGTTACTGAAGGAAAACGTCCAAAAGATTTGTTTCCAAGGCACCGTCCACCTAACATGCATGTATACTTCCGTCCATTTTTAAGATCGCTTCGCCCAGATTCGAGGTCTGAGGCTGTTAATTTTTTTCATGTCTTCTATTATACAAATTAAATGTCTTTTTTTTTAAGAAACATTGTTGTGCTATATTAAAATGTAATCCAACTTCGGAATGAACCTAGCTGCCACCTTTCTCTCTTTTTTTATGACTCTGAGGCACACGAATAAGGCTCATACATTACGACCGCGATAACACTTAACATTCATAATGAGAATTTATCAGTATCCCTTATTTATTGACAATGAAAAAAAAACAATTAAAAAATGGCGCTCCAGGAGAAAATGTAGCAGCACGGCCGGCCGAAAAAAACAGCGCCCCCAATATACTTCCAAAAAGCTTTATACGTACTGCATCCAGGAAAGTCTGCTCAGTCATCCGTTCACGATGTCAACAACTTTAGCTTGAATGGATTTCTGGTTTGCAAGGTGAGTGTTTGTGCCGAGTCTGTTGTCGAACCTATGACCCGTGTACCATTCACCTGCGCAACAATCACACAATACATTGTACATGTCGGGTGTATACAACTCCATGGTACAGATCAAACGTGTGTACACTCGTACCATCCGTTTTCCTTGTCCATGCATAGAGCAATAACCTACAGAGCTAGGTATGTGTAGTGCAGTAGCAAATACTGGTCACACGGAAGTTTGGACAAAAATACGGGTAGGCTTATTGCGTTAGTGACCATGCATGCGCTGCTATTATGACGGTGAGGCTGCTGTGAATTCACCGACTTTATGGCGTCGATTTAACTCTCGCCTTTACGTTACGTACATCTGTACATGAACTGACAACTGCCGTTTTACACTGACTAGCCGCGAGTGAACGTTTAGGTAAGACGGTTCAATTACATGTGATGTTTGAATCAGTATCTGTGAATGATTTTTGTTTATATCCCTCTGGTATAAATTTACGTTCCAGCGTTTGTGAATAAAATTTAAGTCACATTCCCCGTTTCTCCAAGAACTTACACAGTGATTTGGTATGAACGTACATGTACGACTGTGTTTTTTAATGTGTCTACTTTTTTTGCTGGCCTTGCCGTTACGTTGGGCCTACCTGGTCAATCATTATCCTATATTATTTTCTTTCCTCAGTTTTGAGTTTTGAGGAGACGAAATCAAGTCATGGGCCGGATCAGACATGCATTCACCGTGTGTGTGCTTGGGATAGCTCTGTACGCTGCCCTCGAACCAACGCCTGAAAATATCGAAATTCCATGGAGGTTGAAATTGTTGACTCACATTTTCAAGATCGTAAGTATCTCTCGTTTTTACGTCGGTGCTCTTTGCATAATACGAACATAAACCCTGTACAATAACTTTTGTGCTACATTAAAAGGCATCTTCTTATAATCTTAAGGAATAAATAATTTCCCAAAGAAAAAGTATCCACAGGTTAGATTATGTTTTCACACCACAGTGGAAACTTTTCTTCCCATTTTTGGTCGTAAACTGAAAACAAGGTACACCCGACTCAAAATTGAAATTACCATTCGCGAAGTCTTTTTTGACTCACCATTGTCAGTATTAAGTGTAATAATTATTTAAAGTTAATTCGATGATCTTACAGCATTGTCGCCTGTTACCCTTGGAATCGTACCTGGCAACCTTTCTCCCAGAAGGGGTAAGCACGTGGTGTACCGATGTTGTCAATGATGCCCAAAGGGCTCTTGGCCCGAACGTCACCTTCACGGACACGACCTACGGCGGGGTGCCGTGCGGGTCTTTGATGACCAACAACACGGGAGAAAGCAGCCAAACGCCCGGCGATTGTCTTCTATCACGGTGGGGGATGGACGCTTGGAGTGTTGGTAAGTCGCAACTTAGCTTTTCTTTTCATAAGTGAATTGCCGTGCGTATTGATTGGTACTCGGTGGTTTAAAAGTCTCGCTGGATTATTGTTTAACGAATGTTCTTTCCACGGTCAGAAATAAAAATTCTTTAACGGTTAGTTTTCAATGGTTACTCTGTAAAAGAAACCTTGACAGGTAAATAACTGTGCGCTTCGTTAATGTCTAGACTCTTAACGTGCTGAGATTTTTTTTACTGTCACCGCTATAGCGCGAGCGGTACCAGAAACATAATTAGCAAGTTGCTGTATACTATTAGTATTTCAGGTCGCTCTAGAGCGACTACATTTTTTTTTAGAGGTGCGTGCATGCATTAAAACAAACAACTGCCATGATCGCTATTGATATGAAAGGTTTTTCTTTTGAGGATTGCCATTAAAAATTTCATCAAGGAAAATGACTTGCTGCTGATGAGTTAGAGGCAATTTTACCCACACATGAGCCGCAGCTGTCATTGAGATTTAAGTGCGTGATTATTATCTACATCTACACAGATATGTTTCATCCTTGACGGCCGAGATCGCAAGAGAATTGAATGCAGTTGTCGTCTCCGTTGAGTAAGTAATGAACCTTCATATGTACAGTGTATACTACAGTCATTCCTGGACGAGTAATATTTTTAATCTCAAAGACGCAAAAGCTGTATGAATCGGTTCCAACAATAACAATTAAGTTGGAAACCAATATCACTTGGTGAAAAGATTCAGATGACTTGATCTGAACAGCAGCGCAAATTTGTTACCAAAAACCTGTGATTTACGTGGATTTTTCAAAGAAATAATAGATGGGGAAGATGGGCAGGAGATGGACAGATGTAAGTTTTGACGTCTTGAACTATCTTCCACAGATACCGAGTGTTGCCAGAGCACGTGTTTCCCGCAGCTATAGATGACTGCACGGCAGCAACCGTTGGATTCCTGCAACATCTCCAAGACCTAAACGTTGACCCAACCAGAGTGGCTGTCATGGGGGACAGTGCTGGCGGAAATCTAGCTGCTGCCGTCGCCCAGAGGTTGACCTTTGACCCGAAGTATAAAAAACTGCCTAAGCTTAAGATGCAGGTTCTGATCTACCCTTGTCTGCAGGCCTTCGACTTCCAGACGCCTTCCTACCAGCAGAACGGAGAACATTTTACGGTGATTCTCGACAGAGTAAGGATGGCCGAGTTCTGGGCCATGTACATCGGCAACAGGAATTATCTGAGCACTCCCATGTCTGAGAATTTACACACGTCGGTAAAAGCCAAGACATCTTCCTTAGCCAAGAAATGCCTGTCCCACGATCTCATCCCGGATGAGTTCAAGCAGGCTAGCTATAAAGAGCCTGCCACCGACTTCGGGGATGAAGACATCTTCAAGGAGATAAAAGAAGTCATCCTGGATCCAGACTTCGCTCCTCTCATGCGAGAAGACCTGAGAGGACTCCCAGAGGCTTACATCCTGACCGCCGAGTATGACGTCTTGAGAGATGACAGCATCATGTACGCCAAGCGTCTGGAGAAGGCGGGAGTGCCAGTCACTTGGAAGCATTATCCGAACGGCTTCCACTCCATGTTTAGCGGAACAAACGGAGTCTTTGGCTCTCCGTCGGCCGATCTGTCACTAGCAGATTTTATTAAATTCACCAGAAAGCGCCTTTGACATTCTTCTGAAAAGATGGAAATCAGGGATGAATCGAAGATGCTTTATTTTTATAGTGTTAGTGGTGCCGTGTCTGTCAAGGCTCGGGTGGTTTGGTGAAATAAAGTAAAAAAATATTTTACTGGTCTATTCAGGGAAAGTTTGCAAGAATAAAGTAAAGTCATGTATTTGTAAAACTGATGATGGTGATCTTCTTTGAAATTTTTAAGCCATTGTTGTCGGAGTCACTCATAATATGATTTAAAACATAAAGATCAATGTAATTATGTTTTGTTTATTTTTGGTTAATACCCTTTAAAAAGTTTAATACATCGAACATGTATACAGTTGGATTTGGGCTGAAAGTGTATTGATTTTAACTCAAGATAAACATTTAAAAACAAAGACAACCAGTATATATTCACCTCTTTGTTCGTTGTGAGTTTTGTCTGTTTACCGAGAAATTCACTTGTAAACTTTAAGATCCAGGAAAATTCACTTTGCATATCAGTTCAAGAAAGTAGTTTAATCGGTCGTTGAGCTGTCTCACTATCAATCATTCGATTCTTTTCAGAACCTCAAACACTCAACAAAGAGATAGTATAAGGTAAACTTAAACTCTTATTATAACTCTCTTGAAAATCAAACATTCAAATCTTATCCACTATCAGTTCGCACATAAAATAGTAATCGTCAATTCGGTAGGTGTTCTACTCAACACCTACACAACTATTGACGACTTGAACTAAGACTTCTCTGACTCACTCCCGCACATAGAGCTATATTAAATATATATAATTTATATAGCTAGATGCTCTCTCATTGTTTACCTAGTCTTGCCAGGGGCCGGCTATGAAGTTCATTGTTCTCTCTATGGACCAATCCAAGCATATGGGTCAATGTACACTCACGATGACGATGCCCAGTAACCGTCGAGGAGCGGTTGTTTTGTACCGGTACCGACAACAATTATTTTTTTGCAACCAAGTAAAGTCAATGACCATAATGCACATGCGTCAGTTGGTAAACGAAATGGTTCTCGGGCTGAGCTTCCCTTACTTTTTTTTATTCCTCCAGAGCCAATGAGAAGAAAAGGGTGAAATATATTTTATCGATCATCAACACTTGATTTAGGCCTACACATAATTTATTGAAGACAAATCACTTGGGGGGGGGGGAATAATGACAAATTTTCCCCACGAATCGAACCTGGAACTTGCACAATAATAAACCACCGATTATACGCAGCACATAAACTATAAGATTAAGATTAAGATTATTTATTCGTCATGCATTAAAAAGACAAATACATGCATTTTTTTCCTAATGTAAAAGTTATTAAACACTTAAAAATGTAAAAAGACAAAATGACGACCATAAAAAAACGGTATAGCACAGCATCCACATACAATATCGACCCCGTTGTGAGATGCACGTGAGTAAAACACATAACAACTTCAGATACAAGAACTGAAGAGATATGAGATATTCTGGTCACGCGATATGTTTCACGTGTGTGTATTTCGTCAATGACTATACTGAGGTGCAAAAAAATATTAACGGCGCGTATCGACAATACATGGCGCAGGGTACTGCCGCCATTACATACAGTGCGCATCGACCTTGTGCCCCGATAGGTCTGTGTGTGCTTACAGTGTGTGGCGTGTATACAAGCACACGGTGATACGAATAGGAGAGAGGTTTTTTGTCCATCTACAGCGATCAAGTTTTCAATTTGAAATATATTTGAATCGTACAATCATGGCGGTAAGCGAGTTGCTTGGTCTGGTTCTCGCCTCTGTGGTGTGTCTGATAGCATACATGGTTTATATCGAACCGTTCCCCAATGACGTAGCCGACAGCCCATGGAGGGTCAGACTGGCTTCGTACAGAGTCATGTTCGTAAGTACACATCGTATTTGTTGAAGGCCATGTTTACGTGAGGTTGGGAATGGAAAATATACGTAGAGACAATTAAACATAGCACTTAGGCCACGAATTGGTTGAAATGAGGTAGGGTTTAAAGGGCTCATGCAATACAGTTTTTAAATGCCAGTCCTTGAATGCACCTTCGATGTTCCATTTAGGCCTAACCTCAATTTCTATTTGCCTTTTGCCTTTTTTTAAAGGTTTTTTGGAGCCTTTTTTTGTTTTTTATGCTAATGTCATTCCGGGCAGAAACCTCAATGTTACGATTATTTCAGCACAAAAAGTTGCTAGAATTTTGGATATTTTGCAGTCTTAAATTTTCTTTTCTTTGGTGATTCGTCGGTTTGGTGGCAGTCGGCCAATGATCAACCCTTCCTCACAAATGTTTTCAAAGATTTGTTTGGGATAACAATTTTAGCAGGAGACCCGTAAACTGATCAGTGCCTTCCCTCAGATGACCGCAAAAGCATGGACTTTTTTTAATATTTAAAAAAGTGCACTTTTCAATAAAATTAAACAACATGGGATGTCAAATAGTTTTCATACATCCTCACTCTGATCTCTAATTTTCACTGTTTTGTAATAAAAGATTTTGTGGTTGTTCCCGATTTCAAATGTCAATTGGAATGTTAAAGTCATGTTAAAGTCATTGTTAAATATTATAATGTCAATTTTAAAAGCGACACTTTTTGAAAAATCATTCAATCATTTTGTACCGTCCAATAGACAATCAAAACATTTTGGGATCAGCTGTGTGGTTGTTTAGTTACAACCACAATCTCTAGTTTTTTTCTTCTTTTTGTAGAAGTTTATGTCTACCCCGTTGGTACCCACGAGAATCAACAACTGGCTAGAGGAGCGATACAGAGCGAACAAGCGGGCAATCTCGCCGAGAGTACCGTACACAGACACGGTGCTTGACGGGGTACCAGTCCGGATATTTGCCGATGAGCAAACCGGAGGGAAGACCGATACACGGCCGGCCATCGTCTTCTATCACGGCGGTGGCTGGGTCATGGGTAGCCCTGGTGAGCTTTTGATGACGCTTTAATGGTAGACTGGTCCCTGCCCCTATAAAATATGGGGACCGGTAGCCAGTTAGCATTTAAGTCCATTGATCTGATCACCTTTGCGCGTGCGCAGTATGATTTTTTTAATTTGTTTTGAAAATGGTGTTCACAGCTTTGCAAATGGATGACAGTTGAACACATGGCCATCAAAAACTGATCGACTCTTTCCATTACCAGTACTAGGCAAAATCGCCATGCAGTGTCTTCACAAAATTCCTTTCAATCAGTTCATCTGCGTCGTTTCAAATACCGAAAAGTAGTGTCCCTCTCTTTATTGATATCGCCGGAGACAGTTTCTAATTCAGCCGAAAATCGAAGCTCATCACCACACAAAATTGCACATTACATGTATATGGCCTTTTGGTGTAGCCTTGTTGCCATTTGCATAAACAAAAGATGGCGCTTCGTCACCACTTTCTAAGACTCCTATTGGAGGAAAACTCGCGTGCGCGTTCTGGTTATTTTATTCAAGTCGTTTAATACGGTTTATTCACAGATATGTATCATCCATTGACGTCGCAGTTGGCACAGGAACTGAATGCTGTGGTGCTTTCAGTCGAGTAAGTTGGCGAGTATTTCGTGTAGGTATTCACACAACCACCACCACAACAACAGAGCATACTGTTCGAAACGTCGAGTTAACCCAACATGTTCTCTTCAGAACCACATATACATGTACTCACAAAAGAGATTTTTCCACATGGTGTTACTGCAAACCTCTCACTTATTAACAACAAATGTGTTCTCCAATTAAGAGATCCCAAAATAACTCAATAAAAAAGTCAACTAGTAGGTGATATCAGCATCACCAATACGGTACTATATTTTTCTACCACAGTTACCGACTGGCGCCCAAATATCCGTTTCCCGCGCCGCTAGACGACTGCACAGTTGCTACGGTCTGGTTCCTGAAGCACCTGAGCGATTACAACGTCGACCCTACTAGGATTGCTGTAATGGGAGACAGTTCAGGTGGAAATCTAGCTGCAGCGGTGGCACAACGCCTGACCTTTGACCCAGAGTACCGTGATTTGCCCAAGCCTAAGCTACAAGTCTTGATCTATTCACCCTTGCAAGCCTTCGACTTTAACACCCCCTCCTACCAAAGGAATGGCAACTACTGGGTTCAGCTCAACAAGCCCCTCATGACCATGATGTGGAGCAAGTACCTTGGCAGAGATGTGGGGCCGGCGATGAAGACTAACAAGCACACCTCTTCGGCCGCAAAAACATCCCCACTGGCCCACAAGTGCCTGTCCCACGACCTCATCCCGGACGAGTTCAAACAGACTGGCTACGAAGCTCCTTCAACTAACTTCGGTGATGAGAGCATCTACAACGAGATCAAAGAGGTTCTCCTGGATCCAGACTTCGCTCCTCTCATGCGAGAAGACCTGAGAGGACTCCCAGAGGCTTACATCCTGACCGCCGAGTATGACGTCTTGAGGGATGACGGCATCATGTACGCCAAGCGTCTGGAGAAGGCGGGAGTGCCAGTTACACTGAAGGATTATCTAAGAGGTTTCCATGGTATGTTCGGCACCGGGCCCAGTTGCCCGTTAGTTTGCACACCTATGGTCGAAGAGAGCTTCTGGCATTTCATTGCGTACGCAAAGGAACGTCTTTGAATTGATTATCTTCATTTATACTTAATTATCACTAGCTCTTCTTATCGATGGCTTCTTTGAGATTCCGGGATGTATAATTCTCCAGGTGGGTTTTAAAATAATTATGTTGGCTTAAATTAAACATGTTTAGAATATTGATGGATAGTGTTTAGCCAATGAACATTGATGTTAAGGAATTTTGAATCGGACATCGACACGTAATATTTAGCTTAAATGTGTTAACAAAGTGATAGCAAGATTGTGTTTAATTGATCATCGCAGATTTTAGAGTGGTACTGGTGTACATGTAATGTTTAGTAACTGAACTAGATAACGCAGATGTAGGGTTCCAATATTGAAAGTAAAGTTCAGTGCGTGAAATCGCGTAACTGCATTCGGCTGAATGATAACGTGACCCAGACGCTGATTTAAGGCGCAATTCAAAACATGACTCCTCAGCAAATTTTAAATTGAAAACGAGATCCTAGAAGTTTGTTTTCTCGGAATATACAGCATTTACTGAGCTGAAACTTCGTCAGGTTAGTTGCTAAGCACCATTCTTTAGATTTTGAGCACTTAACTTGCTTCCAAACAAAAAAATCACAAATGATAGATACTGTACTCTATATTCACCTCAGGCCTAGGCCTATGTAGTAAAGCCTATTACTTAATTAGCGATGTTGTTTCACACTGTATATAGAACAATATACTATGAAGAATGTTACTGAAATAGTTTTAAAATGTTGCTTAACAATTGCGCATCAATCCCATTTATCGTTTTGTATTGTATTTGTAATGTACCGTATTGTCTGAGTGTTGTCATTTGAATACAGGGCCCCTATATGTAAAACAGTTTTACACTGGGCATAATACCCTGGATAACGAAATATAATAAATAAATAAATACATTATCTATACCGTCACTATGTCAAACGCCAACTAACCCGGGGGTGCACGGGCGTGAAATTCATTGTTTTATCTATGGATTGGTCAATGTACATTACTGATCCCAGCGACGGTCAAGTGAGTACCGATAATAGCCGGCAAGCGCAGCACTAGCAACAGTCACTAGCTGCAACCTTGAATGCGCATGGACCTTGTGCCCGATATCGCAACCTCGTCTCCGGGGCTTACTTTATTTCCACCCTGGTTTCCAAATATGGTAGTCCTGGATTTGAAACTTGCCTCCTGTATCCTGATTCGATACCGCAATTAGCAAGTATTATTGATTTATATCGTGTACTTGGTGTAGTTATCTCCAACGCGTATTACGTATGCTAACGTTCGCTGTGAATAAATATTACGTCCCGTCCACCTAAAAAAACAATGCCCTTTTTCCATTTTGCAAAACAATATGATACTGCATATTGGCTGGATATGATTGAAACATTTAAACTTTGAAAATCAAAATGTGTTTTCATAACTCACGCCGCGACGAATTTTTTCTTTTTTTACCCGGATCGCATACTAAAAAACAAACGCTGATGTAAAGCTAAGGCAGGCAACCGATTGTTCCTCATTTGCATACGTATCCAACACATTTGGATATGCAAATGATCCAATACCAGGGTGAGAGAGTGGGTATCGGTGGGAGCGTACTGCTTGACGCCATGGAAACAAGGTTGGCCGATATTGTGATAGGTCTATTGACAATGTGCTGAGTCACAGGTGGCTTTGTATAAACCTAAGGGTCCAAAATTCACGAAATTGTTCGCTGTTGATTTAAGTATTAACGTACGATAGCTTGAGCTTTTGGGATTTTTTTTTACAGGATCAGACTGTGCAGTGGTGCTACGTGTGAATGGTTTGACCTTATTGTCAAACAATAGGACGTGGTTGAGCAGTTTGTGGTATACATGTAGGCCCCTATAGAAGAAAACTTAGATACGGAATTAGTTTTGATCCAGCCAGAGCGATCAAGTATTCAATTTGAAGTTTGAATCGTTCGTTTTGAAAGTTGATTCGTACAATCATGGCGAGAAGGAGGCGAAGTCCGTGGCTTGGTCTGGTTCTCGCCTCTGTGGTGCCTTGTCTGATAGCATACGTGGTTTATACCGAACCGTTCCCCCATGACGTGGCCGACAGCCCATGGACGATCAGACTGGCTGCGTATAGCGTGATGATCGTAAGTACATGTACAAATCATAATTGTTAAAGGCCAAGGTTATTTGAGAGTGGGAATGGGTGGCAAATGTGTGAAAAGACAAACAAAGCCTCGGGCCAGGAATTTGTGAAAACGAGGGAGGTTTTAATTTAACATCCATAAATACCTGAGACAGTTTAGCCATTCCTATTGGTCGAGAGCTTGACAAGTAAGTGGCCAGTTTTGAACGAATGATAAAGACCGGCTGGCTGGTCTTCAACACTTTTCCAGCGTCGCATGAAATTTGGACTCCTATGAAATCCGGTGCCTTTTACCGTTTAATTGGTTGAACGTTCACACTCCTTACGTAGGCATGCGCAACACTACACTACAAGTGAGTCAGCATTTCATAGTCCTAAATTCACAACACACCGGCACAGCAGCGTTCTGCGCCACATCGCGAAGTACGCGCGACGCGCGCACCAATCTCCCTACGAGGAGATTTTTATAAGGAGAAATAATAATTTTGGACTATTTTGATTTTTGGACCGAAAATTGTGAAAAAAAAAACATTTTCCGAAAAGGTATTTATGAATATGTTCGGCGAGGGTACGGGTAATAAGACTCCAACGGGTCTTATACATAGTGTTTAAAACCGGCTAGGCACACATTTTTGCCATTCCCTTATTTGTGTAGTGGTGCTGATGGATCGGTAGTTGTACGATAATGGTGGAAGGGACTTGGGCAATGCTTTCAATAATCCAAAACCACAATGACAATTCACTGTCATTGCAAATAAATCAAATTTATTTCAAATTCACGTTAAAAAAATGTTTCCTTAATATAAATGTGAATAACTGATTAATGCACTCTTTCATTTCCAAATATGAAAATGTGCTCTATTCTGTTGAAATTCACTCCGACTGAATTTAGTGACAAAACTATTTACATAATAAAGAAAAACTAATTAAATATTTCTTAGATCGAGTTTCACACGAGTTACAATTGGAGTGGTTTTATCTTCACTATAAATTGTCTGTTCCCGAACTCTAGCTAACATAATTAAGAGATTTTTTGTTGTTTTTTTGTAGAAGTTTATGGCGACCCCGTTGATACCTACGCGGATTAACGACTGGCTTGACGAGCGATACAGAGCAAACCAGCGGGCAGCCGGGTTTGGGTACCGAGACGAGCTGTTTGACGGGGTACAAGTCCGGATACTTAACGCGCATCCGGCGGGAGGAAAGACCGATAAGCGGCCGGCCATCGTCTTCTATCACGGCGGAGGGTGGATCATGGGTGACACTGGTGAGTCTTTGATGACGCTATAACGCGTAACAACCTCATTCCCAGGGTATCGTCAGTACGCGCCCACCATTACCGCTCTCTCATCCTGGTATTGGATCATTTGCATATCCAACAATTTTGGATACGTGTGCAAAATAAGGAATAGTAGGTGCCTGCCTGCCTGTGTGTTGCATTAGCGGTTTTTGTATGCAGTGTCTGGGGTAAAAAACATAATCAATTCGTGCCATGAGGTACGAAAACACGATTGTTTTCGAAGTTAAAATGTTACAATCTTATCAAGTAATGAACAGTATCACATTTCAAATGAGCAAATTGGAAAGGAAAGGATTATTTTTGAGAAGGTGTGGACGTAATGATTACAATGAACATGAGGGACACGTAATTCACGTTGAAAATAACTAAGTACACGATATAAATCCATTACTTACCAACTCCGGTATCGAATCGGGTTTATTCACAGATATGTACCACCCATTGACGTCGCAGTTGGCAAAGGAACTGAATGCTGTGGTGCTTTCAGTCGAGTAAGTTGCATGGCGAGTATCACGTGTATTTAAGTTGGGGTGATGATCTACGTGTATTGTGTATTCAATTTCGGTAGGCCTAATATTCTTAATTACATTCCGATTCCAAGTAACAAACAGCATTAACAACATTAACAACCACAGCAACAACAACAGCAGTAACAAATATACTGCATGCGGGTTCTCAAAACAAATTTCCCCAAAATAGCACTACAAATAACTGTATGTCAACTATAATACATGTACGTATCTAGTAATGAGTGACATAGGCATCAGCAATATACTGGTCGTATTTTTTCTGCCTTAGATACAGACTGGCGCCCCAAAACCCGTTTCCCGCACCGCTAGACGACTGCACAGTTGCTACGGTCTGGTTCCTGAAGCACCTCAGCAAATACAGTGTCGATCCTACCAGGGTTGCCTTAATGGGCGACAGCGCCGGAGGGAACCTGGCTGCAGTGGTGGCACAACGTTTGACCTTTGACCCAGAGTACCGAGATCTGCCCAAGCCTAAGCTGCAAGTCTTAATCTATCCAGCCTTGCAAGCCTTCGACTTTAACACCCCCTCCTACCAAAGGAATGGCAACTACTGGGTGCTGCTCAACAAGCCCCTGATGACCATGGTGTGGGACAGTTACCTTCGTGGCAAAGATGCCGGGCCGAATTTGCAAGACGCAATGCAGGCAAACATGCACACCTCTGCGGCCGCAAAAAGGTCCCCACTAGCCCAAAAGTGCCTGTCCCACGATCTCATCCCGTTTAAGCAGGCTGACTACAAAGTGCCCTCCACCGACATAGGGGATGAAGACATCTACAATGAGATCAAAGACGTCCTCTTGAATCCAGACTTCGCTCCTCTCATGCGAGAAGACCTGAGAGGTCTGCCAGAGGCTTACATCCTGACAGCCGGGTACGACGTCTTGAGGGATGACGGCATCATGTACGCCAAGCGTCTTGAGAAGGCGGGAGTGCCAGTAACACTGAAGGATTATCGACGAGGTTTCCATGGTATGTTCGGCACCGGGCCCAGTTGCCCGTTAGTTTGCACACCTATGGTCGAAGAGAGCTTCTGGCATTTCATTGCGTACGCAAAGCAACGTCTTTGAATGGATTGTCTTTATCAGTGGTTTACTTAACTTGATTCTAGCTCTTCTCATCAGTGTTTTTTTTTTTCACTTTCCGTAATTTAGAGTTGTTGGCCTTTATCAGACTCTGTAGTAAGTACTCCACAAAGCTAATATCGTACCTTTTCATTCTTCTTTGCCGCTCAAGCTTTGTGTGATTTTATATCTATTGTTTTATTGCTGCCTAACAATAAACACCTTTCCTAACACTTTCTTGATGTCAGTTTGTAAACATGTTTAAATATTAAACATGTTTAGAGTTTTGATGGATAGTGTTTAATAGCCATTGTGGTTTAGGAATTGGCCTAAACAACACATTAGTGATAACAATATTGTGTTTAATTGCTAAACGCAGGTTGTAGCTCCCGTATAATGATTAGTAACTAAACTATAGATAACGCACAAGTAGGATTCCAATATTGAAAGTAAAAACCTTTTAACGTTTAGAAGTGCATTCGCGCTCTTGTTTAGTAGTCTCGCTTTTTACTCAAATGCAGTAATGTATATGAATATAAAATACAATTTATACACCATTTGCGCAATGGTTAAACTTTGTAAGTGCATGATTTGTTAACGTTTCGTCGTTTGTGTTTATATTGAATACCTGTTAATATTGGAAATCTGCATATGACATCAACTATAGCATTTTCCTAGCGACATATTTCCCGGCCTTCAACTGGAAGTTATAAGGCGAACCCGCTTGCTTGACTAAGCATGCCGTGCAACTGGTTTGTACACTGCAAAAACTGTAGTGTTAATTTAACACCATTCGGTATCTATATAGGACAACACCAGTAAAATTTAACACCAGATGGTCCTATATAGATACCAACAGTGTAAATTTAACACTGCAGTTTTTGCAGTGTATGAGCGTTAAAGCATCCGTGGTTAAAGCATCATCCATGGCGAGACAGACCTTGATTGACGAGTGTAAATTTGCTGTCTAGTCTCTTATCTACACGAGATTTATACACGAGATTGTGATTGTTAAATAATAATATTCTACATGATAGGCAACCTCGTCCCCAGTGCTTACTTTATTTCCAACCGCATTTCCAATAGTAAACCCTGGATAGGAAACTTTCTTCCTGTATCCTGATTGGATACCGCAATTGGCTAGTAATGGATATTTATCGTGTACTTGGTGCTATTATTCACAACGTGCAGTACGTGTTTTCGCGATCATTCGTCCACGCCTTCTCGAAAATACCAATTTCCTTTCCAATTTGCTCATATTAATATGAATTATGATACTGCATGTTGTCTCGATAAGATCGTAACAGTTTGATTTCAAAAATCGTGTTTTCGTAACTCACGCCGTGCTCGCGCTGCTACGAATTGACTCTGTTTTGACCCCAGACACCGCATACAAAAACAAACGCTAATGTGTAACGCATATACAGGCACCAGACTGTTCCTCATTTGCATACGTGTTCAAAAATCTTGCACATGCAAATGATCCAATACCAGGGTGAGAGAGCAGGTAGTGATTGGCGCGTACTGTTCGACACCCTGGGGACGAGGTTGCATGATAGGATATACCTTCTCTATGTCAACGCCAATTATTGAACTGAGGGGGCAGGTGTACGGGGCGTGCATAACTCGTTGATTGTCTTTGACACACCAGGCCAAGTAAAGAAATAAACTAGTTTCTCGTCTCCGCCCGCTTCTTCTTTTTTCCTCTGGCCTCCTTTAGTTCTCTAATTGTGTCGTTAATCAACCATTTCCAATACATTTGTCCCTTTATGTTTCAATCGTATTCCTCCATGATTTGTGCCCAGCAAAATTGTAGCTGTGTATGACAGTTCAAAATCAGGAAGAAGTCATCCGCCATCTTGGGTAAAAAAAGGCCGCATTTTTTTTAACCCCGGACTAGAAACTTGTTTCACCTAATAATTATTGAAGCGCAGTTCACAATTAAATGAGTCTGATACCTAATCCAACTATCAGCTGATGAAGCACAATTTCCCAGGGCACCAATGCAACCAGTGGGAGCAGCTATATATAGCCGACACGTACTGAACTTGGCACACAATGTTCATGGACATACATGTGTATGGACACACATGTACATGTTCAAGTATAATGTTGTATGCAAGTACATGTAGGCCTACATGTACATGTATTTGACCTTGAATGACAAATCAAATTTTTAAAATCGAAATAGGGGTGGCTGGGTTGGTCAACAAAATTTGGGGAAAAAATCCAAATTTAAAAACATTTTTGAATGGCCCCTAATAAGTTTTCTGTCCTGGTTTATTAGCTAGGGTTTTTATTTACATATAGTACTGAATGTAGACGCCTACGTACGTATAAGCGCAACGTGTAGACGACCCGGAACTTGATATGTGTTTCCTCATGTTTCTTCTCTGCAAAAAGTCTAAAGCGAAAAATATTTTGCATGTATACAAAAAAGACTTTAATACATGTAAATTCATACATAATTATACCAATTATAAGGAAGAAGACAATAAACGCGCTTTTTTTTTTGCGATTAGTTTCAAATCCGTCAAATAATAGCAATTACATAACAAAATTGTCTACAAGGCCAAAAGCATAATACGCAAGGCCATCGTACATAATGATAACGCCGATCGCACGTACGGTTGTTGAACATATTAATTGTTCATCCTATGACCCCCTGAGATCCGAACAACTTGAAGCAAACATGGCGCGGTTAATTGTGGCAGTTATTGTCGTCGTAGCGGCGGTGGCGGCGTACGTGGTTCTGGAACCCGTGCCCGACGATGTGGGCGAGAGGCCCTGGGCCGTGAAAATGGAGTCATTCCGTAGGACTTGGGTGAGTTTGGAGTAATATCGTGTCCAATATAGGTTGCAAAAACAAGCAATTTGGCCGTACTATCAAGGGGGCGTGTAAGGTACAAAGTCACATCAAACTGCTACGTGTACCATTGCATACCGTTTTACAGCGTGACTTAATGGAAATATATACAATTCACCATTTATAAATTTGGGGACATAATTCAGCATGAACGATAAACACGTGGACAATTAGGGGAACACATTAATTAAAGTGAGTTTAATTTGGAACTGGAATGACTCGCTGACTGAACGTCGCATTTGGGCCGGGCAGTGCTATCATATAGGATTACCCCGTACCGCCAATGAATGGGTCAAATTCTGCCCATTGTGTACTGTGTAGACCAGATGAATGAATTACACTCGGCCATATACTAAATTGAAAGCGAGGTAAATTCTTCATTTTTGTATAACTTGTGAGTAGAAATAAAAGCAATGAAATAACAGTTCAAATTATACTAGTCTGCTCTGATGAATAAATAAAAATTGTGATTAAGCATACCTGATGTTTTAAGCCGCATTTTGAAAGGAAACATTTGAAAGTGAGGCTTTTAACGCTCTCCAATCATAAATAGTCTGGCAGCATCTCATTCAACACTTTACAATTTATAAAATAAATTCAGGGAACACGATCGAAAATGGCTTCCTATTGAATAATGTCTATAGGTTTGTCTTGTCTTGTTCTTGCACTTTAAAGAAACGCCATCTAAAATGGTGGACACCGACTGGTTTGAACCAGTGGCTAGAGGAAAAATCTGCCGCAGCATCACGGGCAGCCGGGCCGCGAGTACCGTATGGAGAAGCGGTGTTTGACCGGGTACCCGTCCGAATATTTGCCGATGAGCCAGCGGGAGCGAAGAAGGCTAAACGGCCGGCCATCGTCTACTATCACGGCGGAGGGTTTATAAGGGGCAGCGTGGGTGAGTGGGAGTATACCGGACTATTTTGAAAACTGGAGGATGAAGTCCTGATCGATAAATGTTTTCTAAGGGGTGTTTGTTTAAACTGATTGCTCGTTTAAATTGATTCTTTCACGGGTAGCTCAGCAGTACTAATTTTTGACAACCATCATTCAATAATGAAACGAAGTTGAACGTATGGCACATGAATTAATTTCCAATAACCAACTAATTATCCATGAAGTCACAAATGTCAGGCTTTTTAAGAAATTCTGGCTAATCATCTGAAATTCTCGATGCATACGAAGTTTTTAAAGAAGTCTCCCCGTCATACAGAAAACTGTTTGGGTCTTCGAGCCCCGCCCAGAGGACGCGCTTTTCGTTGTAATCAACAGTGAGGAATACCTTGGAAATAGAAATATAATCCTTTGACTCCGTATCGAAGTATATCAAAGATGTTATTGGCACTTTTTGAAATTTAAACCTGCATCTTTTCTACCTTCAGATAACCACCATCCCGTAACGGCCTTGCTGGCAAGAGATCTGAATGCTGTTGTGGTGTCTGTCGAGTAAGTTAAGTCCCGCCCCAAGACATAACATTACACATCCATAATGACACGATATTTGTTTCTTTTTATAATCCACCCGCAGAGGTTTTTTAAAGATCAAGGGATGTGATTTTTTTGGCGTTAATTTTATTTTCCAGTTACCTTTTGTCGCCAAAGTATCCTTTCCCGGCTGCGATAGACGACTGCACCGCTGCAACAGTCTGGTTCCTGAATCATCTCAGGGACTTCAACGTCGATCCTGCAAGAATCGCCCTCATGGGCGATAGTGCTGGAGGGAACCTGGCTGCAGCTGTGTCGCAGAGGTTCACCTTCGACCCCAAGTACCGCGACCTCCCCAAGATCAAGCTTCAGGCGCTTCTCTATCCGTGCCTTCAGGCGTTTGACTTCCAAACGCCATCTTACCAGCAATATGGCGACTTCAAGACACTGTTGCTAGACAGGCCGCTCATGACGTTTATGTGGGACTCGTATCTCCGTGGTAACAAGGCGAGCTACCGTGAAGCGATGCGCATCAACAACCACACCTCCGCGGCCGCTAAGAGGTCCCCGCTTGTCAAGAAGTGCCTGTCCCACGATCTCATCCCGGACGAGTTCAAGCAGACTGGCTACGAAGCCCCTGCAACTAACTTCGGAGATAAGAGTATCTACAACGAGATTAAAGAGGTTCTCCTGGATCCAGACTACGCTCCTCTCATGCGAGAAGACCTGAGAGGACTCCCAGAGGCTTACATCATCACCGTCAAGTATGATATCTTGAGAGATGACGGCATCATGTACGCTAAACGTCTTGAGAAGGCCGGAGTACCAGTCACTTGGAAGCATTACAAGAAAGGTTTTCATGGCATGTTCACCAGCGAGGAGGACCTTCCAACAGTCACAACACCACCAGGCACCCAGTGTGTTTCTGATTTTCTTAAGTTTGCACGAAAAAATCTATAAACACATTGGCCAGAATCATGAAAATTAAGACTAAATTATTCTAATATTAAGATCGTTAATTATTAGCCCAAATCTTCATAACGTTATACAGAACCCAATTACAAAAAGGGTGTATGGTTTTGCTAAACCCCGATAATGGTCATATTTCATTCAAAAGTAAAGCGAATTTAATGACGTCCACACTATGGTTTCAATATAATGTTACACTAACTTTCCAAAATTGGTTTTCATATATCAACTTCTCAAGTTATTGTCAAATTTTTGATAATTTTCTTTTGGAGGAATTAAGGACTAGGCCTACAACATACGGGAAATTCAATTTTACCAATCAAGTTTCTTAATTCACTTACGTTCAAAATCTGAAGGCAGTGCAAAAGATGAATGTAACATTCCTGTTATGATTGCAACATTGCAAACTCTCAGTAGTATGAATTTCATCATCAAATTTGAGACGCAGAGAATGCTTCGTCAATTTTCTTCCAACAATGATGTTTTGATCGTCTGTTGCCAAGAACTCGTTGTATGATCAAGGGTGGATCCGGGGGGGGGGGCAAAGGGGGCCATGCCCCCCCCCCCCCAAAAAAAAAACGAAACCATTTTAATTTTTTTTTATGTGACATCGCAATAAAGGCAGGCAATGAGTACACCACCATCTTTTCCTCAAAAAAACATTGGTTAAAGTGGTCAGAAATTGCCTCAGATCGCACCAAAGAGCATCTAGAATCCAAAAAATTGTCGGGGCCCTTAAGCGGGCCCCGAACCCCACGCCGTAATTTTTTTGACCCACTTTTTGGGAGGACCAAATTTTTTTTTGGCCCCCCCCAAAAATTGTGTTCTGGATCCGCCCTTGTGTATGATAATTTTGTTGATCGAAGTGTAAAACTCTTGCAATAATTTTGTTCGCATGGACAATTTTACTTGTTATATTGTTGTGACGGCCTACTGATCGAGAAGCAGTTCTTTGACTTTGCAGCTTCGTTTAAATTAATGTGTCATCTGTATAATTTCAGAAGAATTTTTTATCCGAATTGTACGTTTTTTATAAAAATCGAACTTTATTTTTTCTATACAAGAATAAGCAATAAAAACCAAGAATATCACCTTCTATTGCCATTGTGGTATATACGGATTTTTATTTTTTATTTTTTTTTTGCTGTGAAATTGTAGAAAAATTAGCGAAACACAGTTTTAGTGATATAAATATTTGACATGGTGTTAGCTCATATCCAAATGTGAAAACCGAATCTGGACGTAGACAATACATTTTGCGCAATATTTGAGGATAGTCTGGGTATATATAGATCACCAGTGTACATGTAGTTATGTTTTCTTCCCAACAGAAATGGGGAAGTAAAGTTCATGGATCAATGATCAAGTGCGCTATCAGACATCTAGGCCTACTATAGCAACGCAGTTCGACTGTTGAATGGTTCACTATCTGCAGTATGTTTGACCTGTGATTCAGTGCCAAGTATGAGTGGAACATAACGACAGATGGTGTACTTTGTGCTGCACGGATCCGTGTAGCGCATTCAAACAACGTTACTTCAAGCATAGCTGCATTATTGCACGGACACAGCACTCACTAAACGCGGAACTAGAAGGTAAAAAAGAAACATGGCGCGTTGCATGTTAGCGGTTCTAGTGGTCGCTGTGGCAGTTGCGGCGTACCTGGCGCTGCTACCGGTACCTGAGGATGTAGCTGATAGTCCATGGACGATAAAAGTTGCAGCATTCAAATTGAGATTCGTGAGTGTGTTAAAGATAATGAGGCTACTTTGGTATATAGGTCTAGTCATGAGAATAAACATGTTAATAATTAAATTATCATTGGGTACTTTGCCGCACCTATATCGTATGGGTTTCTCTTTGCTTATAATAATAACCCTTTTCCTGTAAAACTTTACCAAATGGCCTATCCCTATATATTCTTCCTTGGCCGCAAAATTCTGCTAAATATTCACTTCAATTTTTTAACTAGTAAACTGTTTTAAATCAAATTTAATGTTAATACTTTTTTCTAGTCAATTTTCTGGAAGCTTGTTCTACCCACCGGCATCAACGACTGGCTGGACGAGCGATCCAGAGCAAATGCACGGGCAGCCGGGCCGCGCGTACCGTACACAGACACGGTATTTGACCGGGTACCGGTCCGGATATTTGCCGATGAGCCAGCGGGAGGGAAGACCGATAAACGGCCGGCCATCGTCTACTATCACGGCGGAGGGTGGATACGAGGAAGCGTAGGTAAGCAGTGTACAAGGGAGTCTGGCACATGGGCCGTCAAATAATAGGAACATCGTGTACAAAAACACTCTTGACAGCTAACCCCCCTCAGCTACCCCCCCCCCCCCCGGGCCTTCTAGATCCAAATCTGGCTCCACCTCTGGCATGGGTTGCATTTCTATCGGTCTCTCATCGGCATTTATGTTCATTATCAACTACCTAATACTCCATGTTCTTCCTCACCAGATAGTTACCATCCTGTCACGGCGCTAATGGCGAGAAATCTTAACTTGGTCGTTGTCTCTGTCGAGTAAGTTGTCAACATTCTTTGATGTGACAAAATGTGCACCAAACATGGATCATACACACTTTGCTTTAAAAATGTCTTTTCATTGTTTTGGTTTTAGCTATATCTGTCAAAATGAGTTATGTCAATCGAGGGAGATCCTTTAATAATTACCTAAGAATGAGGCGATATACGAGTCTCTGGCTTTGGTCTAGGTTTTGGCACTTAAAACCAAGTGTGAACATGTTGACGTTCGACGGAGCCGTAGCTCTGGGTTGCCTTTTACGTGCACGGCAAGCTTGGTATACATGTACTTTGGCGTCATGTCACATGCATGCAAACCATAATTGATGGAATTGTTCGCATTGATCTACAGGTATCGTTTGGCGCCCAAATATCCATTTCCCACGCCGCTAGACGACTGTTCAGCTGCTACAGTCTGGTTCCTGAAGCACCTCGGCGACTTCAACGTCGATCCTGCCAGGATTGCTGTCATGGGCGATAGTGCTGGAGGGAACCTGGCTGCAGCGATGGCACAACGATTCACCTTTGACCCACAGTATCGAGATCTGCCCAAGCCTAAGCTGCAAGTCTTGATCTATCCAGCCTTGCAAGCCTTTGACTTCTACACGACGTCTTTCCAGCAACTTGGGGACCTCAAGACATTGATATTAGACCGACTTTACGTGGCCTATGCATGGGATCTGTACGGTCGCGGTAAGAAGGGGCAAGGTAGCTCCTTGAAGGCGATGATGCATAACAATCACACATCATCTGCTGCCAAAAAATCGGCCTTAGTCAAAAAATGCCTTTCCCATGATCTCATCCCGGATGAGTTCAAACAGACTGGTTACGAGGTACCCTCAACCGACTTCGGGGATGAAGACATCTACAAGGAGATCAAAGACGTCCTCTTGAATCCAGACTTCGCTCCTCTCATGCGAGAAGACCTGAGAGGACTCCCAGAGGCTTACATCCTGACCGCCGAGTATGACGTCTTGAGAGATGACGGCATCATGTACGCCAAGCGACTGGAGAAGGCCGGAGTGCCGGTCACTTGGAAGCATTACAAGAAAGGTTACCACGGCATGTTCAGTCTAGACAACCATCCATTGCCTTCTTCTCCAGTGGGCGACAAAAGTGTCTCTGATTTTATTCAATTTGCGAGTGAGAATCTTTAAGAGTGTCTGTCTTTCGTGGTAATCACCCACATTGTTCATGAAAATAAATACTCAGTTATGAATACATAATTTTGTTTTATTGAAACAAAAAACACATGAACGGCCAATTTTTTATCCGCAGTGTAGCTTTGAAAACGTTATCAAATAACAATTTCATCAGATTCTTTATAGATTTTTATTCTCTTTAGTATGATACTGAAATATAATCTTGAACCTAGGCATTCATTCTGGACGCAACCTATTTGCTGAAATGATTTGGAAAAGTACAATAATATGTTTTAAGTATTGATGTCCTTCATTCAGAAATAAAATGTTCTTTGGAAAAACAATTCTTGGAGGCAGGCGCGTAGCCATGGTTTTGTTTGCCCGTTTCAAAGACAGGATTTTCGTTCCGGTTAACCCACTTTCAAGTTCCGATTTCGCTTCTACTGCGTCCCGATTTTGCTTTTAAAAAAATAATCTCGTTGTTTCTGCCACTCTGCCCCCCCCCCCCCGGCCAAGGCCCTCCCCTCCTTCGGTCGCGCGTTGGTTTTTAGTGCGTAATAAAGGCCAACATGTACATGTGCACACCCAATCACGATTGGTTTGAGCTTCATCTTGGGTCTTGCTGCTTCCCATGTAAATTAACCTGTGAAAGAGACATACATAATTCAGTTGACTTTACTTCCGAAGAAAAACAAATTGGGAGGAATATTATTGGACCCGACAGTCTTGGTTACATTTTGCAATGGCGTTGGAGAATGTGTTTAAATAAAGATGTTTCAGGACTTCCTCTTGACTTCCTCGAAATTTGTCACATTTTCCACCCCCTTCAAAAAATAAACTAATATATAAATAAAAAAGGAAAGAAAGAGTGAAAGATGCAATTCGTTTTTACGGTCTGTTAATTTTAACTTCGCCTGTCCAGCTGGTGGCGCTATACATCTTGTACTGCAAGTTGTATAGCGCCATCAAGAGTTAGGCTAATTGATTTTTATCATCGGCGCTGCGGCGGATTCGGATTTCACCTCGACTCAGTTCTAGATTTTATGATCGAAATCTCTCCTTCTTGCAATGGGTTTTCGATATGTTGTGCGACAGGCGAAGCCCGCGGACTGTGGCGATATCTTGAGACTGATCAAAGAACTGGCCGAGTATGAAGGAGAAAATCCCGACCAAGTTGTCAAAAACACCGAACAAGGTAAAGTTATGTCGTGTAGTTTGCAGGCTACAAAACAAATGCACGAACGTCAACAAAACTTGGGGGGGGGGGGGCCGCCGGGGGGGGGGGGAGAGCTAAACGCTTGGGATGGGGGAGTTATTCCTCCGTGATATGATGATTTAGTGAAAAACGGATGAGGGCCAGACCTAAAAGTAAGGCAATGCCAGCCAACATCAAAGTACTCGCACTGCCACTACTCCTAGAACTATGAGGCTCCACATAGTGGAGCCTCATAGGTTCAGAACCCCGGATAATTGTTGTCAGCACAAAACACTAATTAAGTACAAAAACGTCCATCCCAACCAAGCTATTTCCCACAGAACCGCTGCACAGTTTGCCCCTAAACTCCGTACAATACCTCATGACATACTCACGTTATGTGCACCCAACAAACATCGGTGGATTCTGTCTGTTTTCGGCAAAAATGATGAAAAATATGCCCTTTCCGCACTGAGCCAACCTAACACTTGAAACGAGCACGCGCGCAGAATGATCGCAGTCATTTTCGGTTCGATCGCTCGGAGCGCGCCGCGGGGGGTACGTATTTGCACTTGTACGCATGCGCATACTATCGTTCCGCTCCTACACCATACCCCCCGCGGCGCGCTCCGAGCGATCGAACCGAAAATGACTGCGATCATTCTGCGCGCGTGCTCGTTTCAAGTGTTAGGTTGGCTCAGTGCGGAAAGGGCATATTTTTCATCATTTTTGCCGAAAACAGACAGAATCCACCGATGTTTGTTGGGTGCACATAACGTGAGTATGTCATGAGGTATTGTACGGAGTTTAGGGGCAAACTGTGCAGCGGTTCTGTGGGAAAAAGCTTGGTTGGGATGGACGTTTTTGTACTTAATTAGTGTTTTGTGCTGACAACAATTTTCCGGGGTTCTGAACCTATGAGGCTCCACTACGTGGAGCCTCATAGTTCTAGGAGTACACTGCCACTGCATTCCTTCATGGTCGCTGCTTTGTTTGCCACGTACATATTCTGGCGATCGTGTATCGGGCGCCGCAGGCCCAGTTCCTATATATAAGGGAACAAAATCCACTTTTAAATTATTTGACTTTACCAAACTAGTTGGTGACATTAAGAACATACAAGTATGCCATAGATAGAGAGGGCAGGGTTTTGAATTTTTTAGGGAACTTTGGGGTAAACTGACGATGACAACGACAAAAAGCAACAAAAATAAAGATGACGATCACTGCACAATGCACAGTGAATGCGTATAAAGCATGAATCGCTTGACAACAACCGTAAACCGCATAGGAAAATCGTAATTTCTACCCCAAGAAACTGTTCCAAAAGAAAAATTAAAAAAATGCGTCATTAAATTGAGAGAAATCTGCTTTAGGTTGAAAAGATCATTTTTTAGTAATAAAAAACAACCTTGACTCTAATTAAATTGATACTAAACAGGGGCCCTACACTACAAGATCGCCCATAATATTCTAAACATAAAGGATTTGAGTAACATTAGTGGACATTTTCGTAGAATTTTGTTACATAATTAAATTGGAAAAGTTTCTCAATCTCAGTCCCTTCAAAGTAGTCGGACACAAGATTTGTGCAGTTGGATTCTCCCCTGGTTGAAAATGCCCCGTCTTACCTCTTAGTAATTTGTAAAGTCAACATTTGGTTGTGTTTATTCATTATTGACTAAAAGTTGTGAAATGGAGCACACTTATTAAATGCATATTTTGCATGATTTAAAATATTATTACCTCCACCCAACCCCACTCCAACCCCCCCCCCCCCCCCACCTCCACCTCCCCACCCCACCCCTTTGTTGATTGATGTGCTATTTTATATTTACTGAATCAGGATATAAAAATTGTAAAACAGCCTTTGTGACCTTTCAAATTAAGATTTAGACCCATACTGTTTGATTAGTCTTAGTCTATCCTCATCATTCATGTGCAGATATGCAGAATGACAGTTTTGGTGACCAAGCCTTCTTTCACTGTCTCGTTGCCGTGGCAACCGATGATGACATACCCCCTGGTGACTGTGGTGAGGCAGGGAGGGGTACTGTGGTAGCGTATGCCATGTACTTCTATGCTTACAGTGCCTGGGTAGGCCGGCTGATGTATTTGGAAGACCTATATATTAAGCCAACTCACAGAGGTAATAAGGAGAGGTGTTGTGAACCCGTTTTGACCATTTCATGAAACGTCCCCATCCAGTCTTTGAGTCATTCATCTTTCCCTTCAAACCTAACGGGTTCATTTCCGCACATCTGCAGATAACCATAAAATGACACGGGGAATAACCTCTTCTCATTCAATAACTAAACTCTCATGGCAAAGTTGCACAACAAACCTTCCCTTTTCCTCTAAGTTTGACAACTACTGTTTGTAACAAAAATAACGGCAGATGTCTTGCACTATAATTTTTTTCAAGTGGCATCATGCCCCATTGACAGCCTTGGGACGTTCTTTAAAACCTCTGCGATCTTCATGGAGTATAAGGTTCATGCCCCAAGGATCCCTTTAAGAAAGACAGAAGATTTTTCAACCATACTACCCAAGCGCTGTATGCACAGATCCACATGTGGCATGTTCCCAGCATGGACCCCCCTCATCGTCTCATCCATCAGTCCATGTTGTTCTTCATCGGTAGTCTTACTTCAAGACTGGGGTTTGAATTTATTTCCCCAATGCAGGGGATCCCCGACAAGCACGATAAAGCCATCACGGCCGTAGAGGTAACTGTCAACAAGATCTAAGGAACTTTGGCGGCGCTACCCGGGAAATTCTGAGCATACATGTACCTCTTACATGTTCACTAGCTTGAATACAGTGTACTAGAGGTACATGCTTGGCATTTGCAGTCTTGATCCAAGTCTGAGTCCATTCTTTGACAGAGACGACCTCATCAGTTGCCTCACCTACAAGTCAGAGACGGACAGATTGGTCTCCAAAACTGTCTTGTGTTGTAAACCTGTGTTGTGAAGGAAGAGAGTAAAGAATCGAGTGGGTGTAGCTCAGATATAGACAAAGGCTCAACCACCTGCTTTATCCTGTTTCAGCAATGTATTATACGGCATCAGTTTCCTCAGACAAAAAATCCTCACTGCCTGGGCCGAATAAAAAAAACAAACATGTTTAGCATCCTGCCTTTTTGGAAAAAAGGAAGGAGGGGGGCCCTTTTTTTCCCCTTTTTTTCCTGCCCTTTTTTTCCCCCCCTCCAAAATGGCCGCCCAACCGGGCTATTTTTCAAGATGGCCGCCAGCTTTTTTTTTAATGGCTGCCATTGGACTCAGGAAATGACATACCAGCTAGATGGGCTACATGGGCTAGATGCAACAGACAAAGAGGCCAAAATGTTGTTACTGTTTAAAATTGATTATTTTTTTTTTTTTTTTTTATTTTTACAAGGAGGCAGCCTCCAAAAAGGGTAAGCGGGTGGGGACGCTAAACATGTTTGTTTTTTATTTGGCCTTTTATTGATTTTGATCTTCAATGACTTTCTTCATTGAGGATGCTGTCTATATGGCTTTGAGATTTACCGACGTGCCAAATGGATTTTACTCATCAGGTTTGAGAAATGATAGCTTCGGGGATCACGCCTTCTTCCACTGTCTTGTCGGTGAGGCAGTTGACGAGGAGGAACCCACAGTTAAAGGAACCACGGTGGCGTATGCCATGTATTTCTGTGCATACAGCACCTGGATAGGAAGGTTGCTGTACCTAGAAGATCTGTTTATTCAGCCATCACATAGAGGTGAAGAAGACAGGCTTTAGGAGTTGTGAACTTTGATCACAAAATGAGCCACAAAATGTGCAAATTGCTATATTTCAATGGGACAAAGCAAAAATTTGAAAAGGTGCTTGATTTGTTTTGTTTTAGTTTGTTTTAAGGTTAACCACAATCCATAACTTCCCCTTCACCTTCTCGCCCCACCCCCTTTTTTTCGGGGGGGGGGAGTTCTATCAAACATCTATAAACACTTGTAACCCTTTTCATTTGCTGGAAACCATCATCTGATCTTGAATCATTCAAAATCTATCTAACATTCACTGGCCAGTAAACCAATGATTTTTACAGGTTAAGGGGTAGGTACTTAAAGTTGTTTAAACCATTTAGAGTCTGTCACATTTCACTGGAAGCATGGCCTGGAAAGTCATGTCAACTCATTTGCTTAACTGCGCACAGGGGCTTGTCGCTGTCCATTGGTCTTTCAAGTCACCACTAAGAATTGCACTTCAATCTATTGCTTAAATATTGTCATGTTTACCTGTTCTCCCCTTCCAGTCCCTCCGTTTAATTGCTGTGCTTGTTTCTTTGTTGATGTTTTTTTTTTTTGACACAGGGAAAGGTTTAGGAAAAGCAATGGTTTGCAAGGTTGCACAGGTAAGCACACGTTGTACAGAGTGAGTCACAATGATCTGGACTCAAGTTCACCATTTTTTTGGTGGCAAATAGAGTTAGTATATTGAAAAAAAACTGAGTGTTTCATTCAATGAATGGTTATTACCTTGTCTTCCACAGGAATTTTGAAATTTTCAAATTAGTGGCTGTGGTGAGGAGTTATGCCATTTTCATTGAAGTGGCTCATTTTCCATTCTGCACATGGAATTGGTTTTGCCCTTTTTAAATGTGTCAATAACGTCAAGTGAGTCAGACACCATGGTATAGTACTGCTTCACATCAGTACACGATTTCAATACATTTGTTGAACCAAGGAACTGTGGTCAAAGTGTTTTTTAGTGTGTGTTCTTTGCTAGCGCTTTTCTTCAAAATGGTACAAAGGATATACATGAAACTTTCACCAAATACATGTATGTCCACAATAACAGCCTATAACATCTCTCATTTGCACCTGTTTTGATAATTGCTACATATTTTTTAATATTTTCTTTAATTTGGGTCCAGATCATTCTGACTCGCCCTGTTCTGTTAAGTAGAGTAATTACGAGAGTCTGTTAATGATTGGAGTAAAGTCAATGGACGAGTGGACAATTTTAAGTCATAGAATACACTTGCATTTTTAAATTATCACTCTGGACTTTGTGACAGTTGTCAAGGTACACTGTTATTAAAAGTTAACGGGCACTTGTTTTGAGTTTGAGAATTATCAGCACTTTGCTAGCTATTTCAGGGGGAGGGTAATTATTTTTGGTCTATTTTTATAAATTGAGATTCTGATGAACTTGTCTTGCAGATAGGAGCTGAAAAAGGCTGCAAGGGCATGCAGTGGATTGTGCAGGAATCCAACGCGAGTGCTCGCCAATTTTATGACCGGCTGAACGCCGTTGACATGACGGAGAACGATGGCTGGCGGGTCATAGGGTCCAGGGGCGAGAATTTCACCAACCTCGCCAATTCCTTACAGAATCCAGTCTCCAAAAACAACAACATCACTTTTCTGTGATGATGTCAGGAATGTAATTGAGTCTATCACAAGTCCTCAAGTCCTAGTTCAAATCAAAAGCTATTCAGATGAGCTTTGACAAAGGCATTCTTTTGTTATTGTTCATCCACTTTTTCTTGTCACTTGTGATTTACTTGTGACTGGACTTGTGATGGACTCGACTACATCCCGAGTTGATTTTTCGACAAGATAGTGTCAAATTAGTGCTGCAACCCTAGCCCTGCATGCTACTTGCATTATGTTAAAGGTAGGGTAGATCATTTGCAGCTACCAAAAAAAGTAACAAACGAAATTATTTTTTGAAAGCATACTTGGTTTAAAGATGGGGATGGCAATAAACTCGCTGTGAAATTATTCTTTCTGCCATGCTGTCATTTTGAAGAAAACAATAAAAGGCCATTTCCAAAAATGTGTCAAGTGACACATTTTTGGAAATTTCCGTTAGTAGTTTGTGATTCCACAATGCACAAATGACAAATGATGTACCCTACCTTTAATGTCTGCGTGCAGTGGACTCTCGTTTGATGAGAAGTGTCCAGTCTTTCAGATTGGGTCATGTTTTGAATGTGCCATAATAGTGGTGTACCCTATACATGGAGGGAGGCATGATTATTCAATGTGAGAAAAGAAAGCTGATAGTAAATTATCCTTGATTCATCTAAGCAATATTTGAATTATTCACTGATTTGCAAGAGTAGTGAACAATTCTTCAGGCATGCAACTTTTCCTCGGATCTGCTGATTTCCTCGTTTTTTACTTCTCATGAATGCCATTACAAATTGAAAAACACTGTACAAAGCCTTGTGTGGTTTGGAATTCCCTCGGTTTTTTTTTCTAAATTCCCAGTTGCATGCCTGATTCTTAACTTTTGCAATTTTGCAAATTGAGGCATTCTTGAGACAATTTCTTTTGGGGTGTACATCTATTGCAACTGTTTTTATGTTTTGTAAATGTGGCTGTTCACTGTTTATTTGAATCGGATCATTTCAATATGACCTCCAGAGAATCTTTCGGACACCAAGTTGAAAGTTCACTCACACTAAGACCAATCGGAGTTAACAGGGTAGGTCGGTTTTTAAGAGCTGTATCAGCCAGAGATATAAACGAGTTGAGCACTGATCAATAATTAGTCAGATCATAGGTAACCCAGGGTGACTTATATGATGATATATATAGCTTCTCATTAAAGGGAAATTACAACATTTGCAAACATCAAAAAATAAAACTACCAAATCATTTTGAAATACCTTGCTGGACTGTTAGTGAATGACAGTGTAAAGCATCCTGTAAAATCATGGCACCTGGTATACTGTCATTTTCAAGAAAAGTGGTATATTTGTATCAATTTCCAACGCTGATCGGCCGATCAGCGTTGGAAAAAACTGGCTTTTTTTCAAATACTGGCCCCAATTGACCATCGCACTTGTTTGCAATCGATTACAAACCTATGAACGGGTACGAGCCAGCTAGACTGGTTCCCTGGCCTTACAATTCCCCAATGTATGTAAACTGCTCTGTTTCTTCTTATATGGAGTCAGGGAACCAGACTACAGGAAAATGATTGTTTTTCTTGGTTTTTATGGCATTTTCGAACCCAAAACCTCAAAAAAAGTCAGTGTAACTATATTTGCTATATATTTCCAACCCCCCAATTCCATCCATTTCTGAAAATTTCAGCAAACACAAATGATGTATATTCCCTTTAAGGATTGGACGACTTGTGATGACTTATGATGTCTTTAATAATATGATTGATTGATTTGTGAAGTCTTATGATGACTTGTGATTGATTTGTGACAGTTTTATCATAACTCTGGTGATAAAAATTGCAATTTTTTTTGTAAATATATATAAGAAACAATTACATAGAGAACCTTCAGGCTCTCAAGATTACAAGAAAAACTGTACCAATGCTCAAATTAATGTTTTCTTTCATAGTATTTACACAATTATTTACTGGTTTTATGTAATGGAGTTTATCTTTAATAAAATATTTTATAAGGAAATCCCATTTTTGAGAGAACTGTGCGAATTGTGTTGCAAGGGTTTGCCTAGCTCCGTAATCATTGCATATAATGCCCATCACGATGCCTATGATAACATTATTTGTTAAACAGCCTCATCAAAGTTATAGCCTACAATACATGATCGAGTACGGTCTGTCCAGGTAGTAATTTGCATAATTCTGGCCGATCAGAGTCAAGTTAGGAGATTTGGAGGGGAAAAAAGTCATGGTTTGTTTAAGAGCATACTGCATTAGGCTCAGAAATTATTCCACTACTGCATCAATTTGAAAGAAAAAAGGCATAATGTTGCCTCATTTGCTTCAAATTATTAATTTAAAAAAATGTACCACCATTGAATCAAAAGGTTGCAACACTGTACAATCTCATACTTTTATTGGCTGTAGAGAGAGATGGAGGCTTTTGACGGGACTAAATTTGACATAATTATCTGCAATTACAGGCCTACAGTACAGAACCCTGAACCATTCCTCCATGCCTGAACCCAGTGACGTAGACATGGGGGAGGGGCACGTCTTCCCCCATTGGAGGTCCGTCATTGGAGGTCCTTACCCCCCCCCCTTAAAATCTTGAATTGTGCACAAACAATATATCGGATGCCGTCAGTACCCCCCCCCCCCCCCACCCCCCTTGAAAAATGGTGCACACCAGCTGGTGCCCCGGAGCTGGTTTTTGATTTCGGAACATGCATGTATGTACAATGTATACTGTTTTATATTTAGCGTTCGGGAATCAACTTTACAACATAAACAGGACAGCTGTTTACGTGACAATTTCTGAACATGTCTCGCCCAATATGCGACAAGTGCGTGCAAAAGCTGAATCTGCCTTCTCCATTGGCTGAATTTCCGCTCAATTCTTGCCGTCTTGTGTTGGAATGGAGTGAGTGATGGCGTCCACTCGGTACACCGTTCGGAAGGGCCAGCCGGAAGACTGCAAACACATCGTGAGATTATTGAAAGAACATGCCACAAGTGCGATCAGCAACACGGAAGAAGGTATGTATTGTCAGATTTTTGCTGTATCCTAACATGGCGCGGCCCCCAACGTGGCGCACTTTGATTTTTCGCCTGTAGCGCCTACCTAGAGCAAAAGTTTTAACTGAAATTTCACAGAAAGCGACATTTCATCAAGATCTAAACACTCCCGTTCATAAAACGTGAGTTTATTTATCCGTTACAAAGTTAAAAGAAAAATTTATTTTGGCATGATTTTCCGATTTTATTTTCAAGTGCGAAGTGAACCCTTTGAAAAATTCTTTCAAATTCGAGATTTATTCTAAGTGCGCCACGTTAGGGAACACTCCGCGAATTTGTGCCCAATTTCTGGATGCCACCGTTTTTTAATTTCGGATTAAATTTTATGAAACTGAAATCGTTCACAGAGTTTAAATAGCACGCATTAATAAGGTAAAAGTACCAGTATTTTACTGCATGAATTTGAGGTTTGTCAACAAAGAGGTTTGGCAACACTACACAAGGAAACTTGGGTAAGCTTCGAAGTGCGCCACGTTAAGGAACACGACTGTACGGTACGTACACTTCGTAAGCAGATATGGGTTGACAACAGCCCATTCGTATTCCTCCATGATCAGCCCACCCTTACCAAAATTTCCAATTCATTCCAATCGAAACCCAATTGGAACGAATTGGGTTTAATTGGTATTGAGTTGGTTTTAATTGGTTTGAGTTGGAGTGCTCATTCCCAATTGGAAAAAACGTCATGGACCAACTCAATTTGTCTGAAAACCCAACTGATGTACGATGGTCTTAATTGGTTTCAGTTTGAAACTATTGGAATTGGGTTTCCCCAATTGGAATCTTATCTTATAATGTCATTCCCAATTGGAATCCCATTTAACGTTCCATTTCCAATTGGAATCCCGTCAAATCTTTTCATTCCCAATTGGAATCCAGTCCAATCGTTTTCCAATAATCCCGTCTATCATTTCATTTCCAATTGGAATCAATTAAGTCCAATCGTTTCATTTCCAATTGGAATTCCATCTATCATTTCATTCCCAATTGGACCGCACTTTAGGTGAACATTTGTTGTTGCTCTTTTGTTCTTATAATGTTTACAGGATGAAAGGGCAGGTCAATGGCATTAAAAACCTTTTTTAATTTTTGAAATGGCACCTTCCGTTGCGGAGATACGAACGTTTTTGTTTGACTTTTTGTCAATGACAAAGGAGTCCAATGTCAAATGTCAATCTTTTTATTTTCTTTCTCAAAGGGAATATACATCATTTGCTTTTGCTGTAATTTTCAGAAATGGATGGAATTGGGGGGTTGGAAATATATATCAAATATAGTTACACTGACTTTTTTGAGGTTTTGGGTCGAAAATGCTATAAAAACCAAGAAAAACAATCATTTTCCTGTAGTCTGGTTCTCTGACTCCATATAAGAAGAAACAGAGCAGTTTACGTACATTGGGGAATTGTAAGGTCAGGGAACCAGTCTAGCTAGCTTGTACCCGTTCATAGGTGTGTAATCGATTGCAAACAAGTGCGATGGTCAATTGGGGCCAGTATTTGAAAAAAAGCCAACGCTGGTCGGCCGACCAGCGTTGAAAATTATAACTATGCAGTTTTTCTAGTATATATTTTCCTGCTCAGTCTTGCAATTGACTTTGTATTTCGTTAATCTTTCAGAAATTTGAGATAATTAACACACTGTTATAATGCAACTCAAAATAATTATAATATACAGGACTACATGTAATTGTCGCACAGATTTTTCATATTATTCAGGGAATTACTTTAATTAAGGGAATTATTGTTGTTAATGTATTTTTTACTCTGTTGGACGGTTTGTAATCAAATTTGGTATACTTCTTTTAATTGGATAGTTGTATTTTTGGGAGACATGTGTTTTTACCAAGTAATCTGAATAAATAAAGTATTATTCCATCCTGTATGCTCATTGTCTCTGTCCCTTTGCCAGATTCATGCTATTGTGTCTCATTCAGTGCACATCACTGGAGTTCGTTTCATTCCCTTTAACGCGTTTCTATCATTCCGTTCCCCCTGTGAGCGTCCTTCGTTTGTCTTCTAAGGCCAAAAAAGTCTCCGGTTTCTGGTATGGAGCTTGCCCAAAAAGGTGCGGCGACGCGGCTTTTTTTTTTTTTTTTACTTGATTTTTTTGCTTCAAATGTCGGCTGATGACTGCAAATGGTGCCCGACTAAACTTAGTGATTATATGGGAGTCCAGAGAGGCCACATAAAGCTTATTCTCGACCATAACCCAATCTAAAAACACGTTAAAATTGTGCAGCAGCATGATTCCAGTCAAACCAGTGAGTTTGGCTGTTTTGAGACATCATCTTTCATTGAAAAAAAAACGTTTTCATTTTGCCGACGCGCATGGCAACGGCGACGCGCGCATACCAGAAACCGGAGACTTTTTTTTGGCCTTAGGATGCAGCCTCATACAAGCAACCCGTCGGCTGGCTCCTTAGGCCGAATAACAAAAAAAACATGTTTCTCGTCCGGGTGTTTGAAAAAAAAGGAGGAAGCGGGGCTTTTAATTTTTTGTCATGTTTTATTTTCAATGAAATAATTTTTAAAAAATGAATAACATAATATAATACATTTGCGGGGTGAATATACAAGAGAGGTCACCCACTGAAAAAAAGCGCTCTCTCTTGCCTACAATATTTCAAGAAAAGGCGTATATGGACCTTATAGGTAGCAGTCATCAAGGCAATACATTTGTCTTGCTGTGACATACCAGAAATAAACCTTTTAAGCAGTCATTGTTACTGAATTAAAATAACGAAGGCTGCCCTGTAAGATGGCCGCTATACGCATAAAGTCTACCCATTAGGTCTAAGAAATACGAAGGCTGCTCAAGTTTAAGGAATAAGTCAATCTGGCATGAAATGTCATCATGGCCTACGTCAAAGTGAAAATGCACAAAACGCTGCTCTGTCCCATAAATTCAAAACTTTTATTTTTCGATTCATTGACATTCAACGATTGTATTCAAAAATGCTATCAAAAGCTTGGAAAACACAACGACTATCCTCTATCAATACAATTTCTGTAGAAATATGACTATGCAGTTTTTCTAGTATATATTTTTCAGCTCAGTCTTGCAATTGACTTTGTATTTCGTTAATCTTTCAGAAATTTAAGATAATTAACACACTGTTATAATGCAACTCAAAATGATTATAATATACACGACTACATGTAATTGTCGCACAGATTTTTCATATTATTCAGGGAATTATTTTAATTAAGGAAATTATTGTTGTTAATGTATTTTTACTCTGTTGGACGGTTTTTAATCAAATTTGGTAAACTACTTTTAATTGGATAGTTGTATTTTCGGGAGACATGTGTTTTTACCAATTAATCTGAATAAATAAAGTATTATTCCATCCTTTATGCTCATTGTCTCTGTCCCTTTGCCAGATTCATGCTATTGTGTCTCATTCAGTGCACATCACTGGAGTTCGTTTCATTCCCTTTAACGCGTTTCTATCATTCCGTTCCCCCTGTGAGCGTCCTTCGTTTGTCTTCTAAGGCCAAAAAAAGTCTCCGGTTTCTGGTATGGAGCTTGCCCAAAAAATGGTGCGGCGACGAGGCTTTTTTTTTTTTTTCTTGATTTTTTTTGCTTCAAATGTCGGCTGATGACTGCAAATGGTGCCCGACTAAACTTAGTGCAAATATATGGGAGTCCAGAGAGGCCACATAAAGCTTATTCTCGACCATAACCCAATCTAAAAACACGTTAAAATTGTGCAGCAGCATGATTCCAGTCAAACCAGTGAGTTTGGCGGTTTTGAGACATCATCTTTCATTGAAAAAAAAACGTTTTCATTTTGCCGACGCGCATGGCAACGGCGACGCGCGCATACCAGAAACCGGAGACTTTTTTTTGGCCTTAGGATGCAGCCTCATACAAGCAACCCGTCGGCTGGCTCCTTAGGCCGAATAACAAAAAAAACATGTTTCTCGTCCGGGTGTTTGAAAAAAAAGGAGGAAGCGGGGCTTTTAATTTTTTGTCATGTTTTATTTTCAATGAAATAATTTTTAAAAAATGAATAACATAATATAATACATTTGCGGGGTGAATATACAAGAGAGGTCACCCACTGAAAAAAAGCGCTCTCTCTTGCCTACAATATTTCAAGAAAAGGCGTATATGGACCTTATAGGTAGCAGTCATCAAGGCAATACATTTGTCTTGCTGTGACATACCAGAAATAAACCTTTTAAGCAGTCATTGTTACTGAATTAAAATAACGAAGGATGCCCTGTAAGATGGCCGCTATACGCATAAAGTCTACCCATTAGGTCTAAGAAATACGAAGGCTGCTCAAGTTTAAGGAATAAGTCAATCTGGCATGAAATGTCATCATGGCCTACGTCAAAGTGAAAATGCACAAAACGCTGCTCTGTCCCATAAATTCAAAACTTTTATTTTTCGATTCATTGACATTCAACGATTGTATTCAAAAATGCTATCAAAAGCTTGGAAAACACAACGACTATCCTCTATCAATACAATTTCTGTAGAAATATGACTATGCAGTTTTTCTAGTATATATTTTTCAGCTCAGTCTTGCAATTGACTTTGTATTTCGTTAATCTTTCAGAAATTTAAGATAATTAACACACTGTTATAATGCAACTCAAAATGATTATAATATACACGACTACATGTAATTGTCGCACAGATTTTTCATATTATTCAGGGAATTATTTTAATTAAGGAAATTATTGTTGTTAATGTATTTTTACTCTGTTGGACGGTTTTTAATCAAATTTGGTAAACTACTTTTAATTGGATAGTTGTATTTTCGGGAGACATGTGTTTTTACCAATTAATCTGAATAAATAAAGTATTATTCCATCCTTTATGCTCATTGTCTCTGTCCCTTTGCCAGATTCATGCTATTGTGTCTCATTCAGTGCACATCACTGGAGTTCGTTTCATTCCCTTTAACGCGTTTCTATCATTCCGTTCCCCCTGTGAGCGTCCTTCGTTTGTCTTCTAAGGCCAAAAAAAGTCTCCGGTTTCTGGTATGGAGCTTGCCCAAAAAATGGTGCGGCGACGCGGCTTTTTTTTTTTTTTCTTGATTTTTTTTGCTTCAAATGTCGGCTGATGACTGCAAATGGTGCCCGACTAAACTTAGTGCAAATATATGGGAGTCCAGAGAGGCCACATAAAGCTTATTCTCGACCATAACCCAATCTAAAAACACGTTAAAATTGTGCAGCAGCATGATTCCAGTCAAACCAGTGAGTTTGGCGGTTTTGAGACATCATCTTTTATTTAAAAAAAAAAACGTTTTCATTTTGCCGACGCGCATGGCTACGGCGACGCGCGCGAATACCAGAAACCGGAGACCTTTTTTTTGGCCTTATATCAAAAATGTCAAAATAATTACTTGGAATCTCAACACAACGCTTCACGACCTTATTTTCTACAATTAATTACTGTACGAGCTGGGTAGTATATCGTGACGTCATTATTACGTCATAAAGTACCCTTGCTGCATCCTACCCTATTTTTGATCGTAACACATTGGCAAAGCTTTGGTGAAAAAATGGTGCTTTTAAGATGCCTCACTTTTCCGCTTATCTTTGGAACAAGTTTAAACATATTTATGATACTATAAATAATCAATTACAAAAACTCTTTTGGTATAGAATTCGAACTTTTCTCTCGAACTTAAAAACAACATCTCACAATACCACATACTGTTTGCATGTTAAAACAAAGTGTCAATGTGACTTCCCAAAATCCATGATTTTAGCAAAAAAAACAGGTCTTTTGACCAAAAAGGTTTTTTTTTTACCCAAAAAATCACCCTTAACTATATTCCATCCCCATGACATACCACTCAAATGAAAGATCTTGTTGTCCACTTTAATTTGATACCACATGTGTTGTTGTGATGCTTGTAGTTCTGAAGATTATTATCAATTTATATTTTCATGTAATAATTAGCTGATGACGTCTTAATAACGTCATACATGCCCTTCCCATCATCCAATTTTTTGCGTCCGTCTTTTTTTCGAAAAGGTATACCATGGAGATGCTTTGGTGAAAAAAATGTGCTTTTGTCCACTGTGTCACGATTTTTTTCACTAAGGTACCTCACTATGTGGTCTGTGGGTCTATGGGCCCATAGGATTGCACAGCTAAGAGATTGACCAATCAACATTTACTGCTCCAAAGGACCGCCCACTTCAAACAACTGCTTGTTAGGCCAAAAAAAAAAGTCGGTCTCTGGTCAGCGCGCGCGTCGATTTTAATCATGCGCGTCAATTTTTTTTTCCAAAATGTTCCGCGGTAGCTCCAACAGCGCCCTCTATTGCCGCACCTCAATTTTTTTTACCAAAGAGCACCAAGGAATGGGAAATTACACCAAGGCAAATGATCGAGAGCACCAAGGCAAATTATGGAGGACACCAATGTACATGAGGACACCAAGAAAAGCAAAATAGTACCCCACCTTGTCTGTACAATCCAAGCTTGAAGAAAAAAAAAAAGCCGCGTCCCCGCGTCAATTCCGGAACTTTGGACTGACCAGAGACCGAATTTTTTTTTTGGCCTAACTACGGTATGTTCTTGCATATGGACACACACAAAAGGAAATACAGAAAAGCCCTATGTTCTGTTCATCGAACAGACAGCTCTAGTTTGATGTAGACTTCTTGGGCTAGGTGGTGGGGCCATAATATCCCATACTTCTGGGTGGGGAATGCCAACGGCGACCCCCCCCCCCGATTATATTTATCCGAGTGTGTAGATTTTTAGCATATCCAGTCAAACCCTGATAATAAGAGCACTGTTAAATACAACATCTCCTCATAACAAGGACAATTTTAGGTCCCAAGTCTTTGTTTTTCTTTGTTTGCCATTACTGATAATATAAGATAATTTGTTGAGTCCCAATGACCTTGTTATAAAGGTGTTCGACTAGTGGCCACCAAAGTCACACTTATTCATCCGGCAAGATATACTGCTTGATCTTATACCAAGAACCATTTTAAGTAATTCAACGTTACCACCATGTTTAAAACGTGCATGTACTTGTGTACTATGTGCACGCGAACGAGCATGGGCGTCGCGGGGGGGGGGGGGGAGAGGGGGCGCAATGAAACGGAAAAATTCAAAAAGGAAAAAGAGGTGCGAAGCCATATTGCTGTTAATTTGATGAGGGGGTAGGGCACGCTCGGAAAAATTATAAATTGAGAATATAATGAAAAGGTTAAGGAATCTTGGGGAAAAATTTGCTTTGCCCCCCCCCCCCTGGAAAAATTCCTGGCGACGCCCATGCAAACGAGTTAAATTTTGTGAGCAGTACCCCCTCACCCCCCCCCCTCCCAAACAGTAGCTTCCACCCCCCCCCCCCCCGGATTAACACCTTTGGGTTTAAGTAGCTGACTGCAGCTGATCTTTTCACCACATAGACCTGCAAAATGACAGCTTTGGAGATGAGCCCCTCTACCACTTTTTTGTTGTGGAGGCCATGAATGATGGCACGGATGCGAAGGAGAACGCAGCAGCTGAGATAGTGGGCTTCTCTGCCTACTTCTTCTCCTACTCCGCATGGACGGGACGGATGATCGACATGGATGAGCTGTATGTCCAGGACTCCCACAGAGGTATTGACTTTTGCAGACAGCAGCCATATTTGAGGGTGTTCTTTTTTTGTTATTCTGATTCAGAGGCAATTACAAGACCATGTAGAACAGATACACACACATTAAATTAAGGTCTAAAGCCAGTAAGTGTAGATGTGAGATTTACATGTTGAAATGTTTAAAAATGAAAAACCGATAAACAAAATTGAAAATCCGTTGTCAAATTCTCTCAAACATTTAAAGGGAATCCAAACATTATCAATGTGACTTGGTATTCACAACATTTGCTGTCACGATCGATTTGTCTACATTAATTTTCAAGTTCATCTTATTTTTTCTTTCGTTATTTGCTTTGGTCTTTGAATAGAAATCGAAATCCATTATATAACCTGCACTATTCGAAAATCTTAAAAATCCATAGCATGTTTGTAACAGTTGTAAGATTTTGAAGGGTTCAGTCAGAATTAAGGGGGGGGGGGGGTAGCAGGGGCCACCCCACCCAAAACAGGTGTAATTTTCCTTGGGGAGGGGTAATTAAAGGTGTCTCTAAATTGATGCAACTACAAATTTGTGAAAACTTAACCCCAAACTGCCCTGAATCCTTCAAAATCCTCTTTGCCAAAGTGGAGGAATTTGGGGGATTGAGGTTACATGGCAAAAGTATGTTACTGATTTCGTAGGATGCACTTTGTCAAGGTCTTGGGCAGGACCTTGTGTTTTTGCTCAGCCATGCATAAATATAGGCCTGGATTATGCTTGAAATCCTCTGTACTGCTCCAGGATGTCACAGGCCAAGCCTCAACATATTGACAGTCACTGCCGCAGGATTTTGCAGGATTCAGGCAGTGGTTACCCCTTCCCGGACCATGTTCAAGAATAATGGAGGAATTTGCAGGATTGAGGCTTTATGCTATTTTTCTATGAGGCCAATTGGAGGGTTTTGCAGGATTAAGGCTACATCCTAGCAAAAAGGCCTAGGGAGTTATAACAGAGAAATAAGAACTCCCCACTCCACAACATTAGTTCTACATGCCCCATTGGATTTAGTAAAAGAATAATTGATGGAGCATGTTTACAACAATTTTTACTCAAGAAGTTCTGATGGGTTGACTGATTATTTTCCCCTTTTTCCAACAGGCAAAGGTCTTGGGAAGGCGTTGATGGCAAAAGTTGCAAAGGTGAGTTGTGTGTGATATCTCTTGCGTTTTGTCATCTGAGTGGTAAACAAAAGAACTTAAAACTTATTTTCACCTTTAAAAAAAGTCTGTATTATTTATTGTCTTGCATCAAATTGATGTTTACTGTTTGATTATGTAACAGTTGGATGAGTGCCAGAAAAAACCTTATAAGGAGTTTTTTTTTATTTGTCTTCCAAACTGGTGATTGCCACCTAGTTTCAAGTTTCAAAGTTGAGAGTAGATTTTAAAATTTTAACATTTATTTTTGACAGGGGCACACCCGGTACACAACTTTTGTCTCCCTGCCCACCCTCGAAAAAACGATAAAGTGAGAATATGCTTCAGAAAGTACAAGGATTTTTTTTGGGGGGGGTGAATGTGCTTTGCCCCCCCCCCCAAAAAAAAAAAACACCTGCCGACGCCAATGACTGCATTTTATTAGTATGAAATCAACTTGAAATTTCTGACAGGATTTTTGAGCCATTACCCTTTTTCTAAACTACAGGTTGGAGTCGAGAACAAATGTATTGGCATGGACTGGATCCTAGGGGGTTCAAACAAAAGTGCCTGGCCCTTCTACAATCATCTCAAATCCATCGATATGTCCGCACACTTTGGTTGGAGATTTATGACAGTAAGCGGAGAAAACTTTGCTCAACTCGTCAACTCTGAAATCAAACCAGGTTTGAATATCCAATTTCAATAATTGATGTAACTTTTTATTTTTATTGTTAAAGATGCTTCCCCCGACGGCCGTGATTTTTTTTTTAAATTTCATCCCGAAAAATAGATTCCTTCTATAAATTGCTATTTTTCTAGCAGTACAAAAGTTATTCACCTTTGAGACATCGACTGAAAAAAATCAGCCGATCATAAATATCATAAATGTATCATTTTTTATTATTCAGAAATCAGGAATTTCCATTTGTCATTATGGAAATATAAATTATTTGTTTTCAACTTTGATCCCCACCAAGGATAAAGCAATGTGTTTACCGATGTTTTTTTGTTTTTAAAATAATTAATTATGGATCCTTTAATATTTTATAAGTAGCTTAAGAATAGACAGTCCAATAGATAGAACAGAAAAAACAAAACACAGAACACGTTTTGTTGCTTGTCGCTAAAAATTGAACCGTAAATTCTGCTTTTCTATTCAACTTTGCTTTGTTTGGAATTGTTCCATACACAACTTAAACTCTCAAATTTCCAATTTCACTGAAAAGGGCAGATGAAAGTTGGTTTTTGACAATATTTTTTGTTGCCAAAATTTTTTTTTTATTGAATCAGCCAGCATCTTACAATGACACATTCTTTAGTAAATTCTGCCTGTTTGTCAAAACTGGTAGTTTGTTTCTGTAGACAAACAAAAACCGCCTGTGAAATATTTATGAAATCACACGAAAGCCAGCAGTTTCTATCACAAGGCCTAAATTCCTTGTAAAAATAATTGTTCTCACAAATTGATTGTCAATTAAATATTATAGTTTTATTTGCTCTATTACCGTGAAAATTTAATTTTTTAAAATAAATTGTTATAGAACATTGTAATGGACTGTTTAAAGTTAGCACATTGACGTTTCCTTTTACTGCTGTTTTGTGGGAACATTAACAATGTAGAAATAAATTGCAAAACCATGGATCGGTATGGCAAGTTAAACATGTTAGTATGTCGCACTATTTCTCCGATGCGTCTGTCTTTAAATTTAGTTGTATAATAGTTTTAAAACCCAATCTTTTGAAGAAGCAAATTTAGTATTGGAACCACGTTCAAGAAATGCCTTTCAAAATTTAATGGCATAAAAGTTTCATAAAATGAAATCGCGTCGAACTTGCAGGAAAGATGCCTAAGGGACTCATAGAACACATTCAAATTCAATTTCTGCAAATATGTGTTTTCCCAAATTTAGAAGAAAATTTCAAAGAAATGTGGGGTAAAATAACTCAATATGTTATTTTTTTTGCAATAAAATCGAGGATTTGTGCCAAAATCTTCATATACTGACTGTTAGACTATTGATTGATGCTCCTCTTACATCCAAAGGAATTTCTGCATTGTTTAAAGAAGACTCTATTTTGGCCAAACAAAATGCAAGACTAACCCCTAGCATTTTTTTTTAATTTATTTTTATTTAAAAATCTGTCAGTCTACATTTCAGCAATGACTTCTGACGGGCATGACATCCCCAGCAAAAAAAGTTCCTGGATCCACCCCTGCCCCTTCCCCAGGAAATGTGTTAGTTACCATGGTTTTCACGGGTTTAAAAGAATAAGGGCACCCCAACTGTAACATCTCAAACACTTCACACTCGCCCCCCCCCCCCCACCCCAACTCCCCGACCCCAATTCCGCCAATTAGTGAGAGCCCTGACCATGCCGCCTCCCAGTCGTCCACAGATGCTCTAAAAAATAAACTTTGAAAATCGCATAAATAAGTCCCCAGCTTTTAATTATGCACAAAACAGTTGAAGATACAAGCTAAAAGAACATAATTTCAAGACGGGAGGCGTTTGTATACGGAACAAATGTACGCATTTTTATCGTCCGCTCGTATTTTTTTTACAAGAGTCCTTCGTCCAATCAAATTGGCTAGATTGGTGAGAAGACGTCGCGTACATACTTTTGACCAATGAGAGACAGGCCACGCGAGCCACGCGTGCTACGTCACGGATATTCCCTCGGACGCCCTCCTGTCAAAAAAAATAGGGCCATTTTTATAGAAAATTGGTAACTACTCCATCTGGAAGTATTACTTCAATTTCTTTTTCTAATTTACAATTTCCATTCACGATGATTTTGTTTGTATAGTGTTTAAATTATGTCTGAAGGGGAAAAAAACTAGTGTGCGGAGAAATATACAACGAGCAATTTGGCCAAAGGCGCCGCATAGACCCTTGGCCACCAGCCTGTGGTATAAAACGGATTTTTTTTTCACTGCCATATCATTACGCAATGGAAAATTCCCGAGAGCGGAGCGGGGTCAACGGACACTGGGCAGCTCGCAATGTCTTCCCGCTATTTTTGGTCAGTCACAAAAAATGCCTCAAACTTCACCAGCAAAGTCTGAGACCTAAACCTGCAAGTCGACCGTCCAGCTTCAAGCCAGCAACGCGGAAACTCGTACATCATACCATGGAGTCTTCATGTGCGCGAAAAAATGTCGAATTTGCACGCTTGGAGTCTGGCAAGTCGACCAGAAAACCGGCCCCATGTGCGGGGGCCACTGCAACGTTTTGACGGCGCTGACATGTTGCAGCGTCGTCGTCACCAATACTGAAAAAACTGACTTGAACTTTGCTGTAGGCCTATAGAACTTGTTATAAAAACTTGTGTTTTACAAAACTGAACTGGACTTAGCAACTGCATTCCTTTGAATGCTCATTTTGTGCTGAACTGCACATGACATTTTTGTGAACTCATAATTTTGTCGAATGATCTGAATGACGTTTTTGGGAAATACTGAAGTCAAGCTTTTGGAGTTCGTCGGGGTAAGTCCAACTTTAAATAAGGAACTATCGAGGTGAGTGAAAAATCGTCTCCTAGTCCTCCGGTCACACAGAAAAATCGACTCAATATTCTGCATTTTGAGCAATAGTACATACCTGATATTTTTGAAATGTCATTCCTGTCTGCATTTTAAACCTCAATTTGACGTAAAACAACCAGAAAATCTCTCATTTTGGTCCTTAAATTGCATTTATTTCAAACCACTTCTAATAACGGTAAGCACGAGGTAGTGCATTTGGTACACGAGGTTGTCTTTTAAACGGTTGAATTTTGTACGATAAAAGTCTGTAAATGTTCTATTAAAATCGCTAATTTAATTACCTAAATTTCAGGATAAGCATGATACATGTGTGTTGTTGCCAACAAAATGGCGTCTATTTTGATTCTCTTACAAGGGTTTGCATAGCTGAATGTCTCGGTGCGTTGAAATTCCATTCCTGTAGGCGAAAGCCCTTTTGATTTAGAGTAATTTGCATATGAATACCTGCCACTGTGTTTGTCAAAAATTCATAGAGCCGCCTTTACATGACATGCCTTTTGGTGCATTGCGCATTTTACACGGGTTTCATTGCGAGCTAGTGGGGCGAGTCATACACGTGAGCCGCTCGTGGCAGGCGCAGTGGGCGTGGTCATATAGATTCACGGTGATCTTATTGGTCGAATAGTTGAAAGGACGCGCGCGCGGTATGCGGCCAGGTGCACCGTATTTGCTGCGCTTTCAAAGACATTCCAGCGAGGGGCTTTTAGGGGTTTATTCGAAAGTTGGAGTGAACCGGTTTCTGTTTTCATTAGAGAGGGAGGTTCCTTGGAATTAAGTTTGCATTTGCCGTTATAATTGTATAAAATGACCGGTTTAAAGACTTACTTCTGAGAAGAAAAAGTTTCGAGCTTTTATTTAATTATTTAATGATGAGCCATGAAATCGAGGATTTGACAACGGAGCCAACGGATGTTACCATGAAACTTAATTTATTTAATGCAACCACATCATTTAGAGTGTTATCGGGCGGCATTCCAATGGACCAAAATACATTTTATGGACAATGTATCCACGGATCTCGGGTTTTTTTTAACAAATTGCTGAGAGTATACTTTACACCATTAACTTTATCAGGGTATTCCTTGTATATAATATTTATTATGATTGTATAAACTTAAATTTTAAAAGTTAGCCGACGGAATTATTTGAAGCTCATACGAATTGGAGGTGACCTGCTGATAAGGACAATGATGACCGTAATTCGACGTTTGGAAGAAGGAAAATAAGGCAAATTTATGATTGTATTAAATAAATGAATACGATTAAGGTTAAGGTTTAGGATTAAGGCGGGGTGGGTGGGGTGTAGGCACATGGCGCGCGTAGGCAGCCGAGCACACCAGCAGCAGCGTAAGGGAGCTTGACCTGGCACAGCCATGGTGTAAAAATTAACTTCATAAAAATATTTTAACAAAACAAACAATTACACAGTTAAAAAGAATTGACCTTTTCTAGTCGGAGTAAATTCAGCAGGCAAATCTTAGCTTGATGCTTAAACAAAAATAATCAACGGTATTCAATTAAATCGTATCAAGGTAGTGTATTGCAATGGAAAAAAAATAGGATTCTTTTTTTATATCAAATTACAGAGCTCTAAGGTTACATGGGTCGGCATCCGTCATTTATTAAATAGGAGGATATTTTGGGGTAGTTTTTCGCTATGTTATAATTGTACTTGTGATATCGTCTTCCCGAGAAAGTGTTCACGGGTTGGCGATATCTTTTATAGGGTGAGATGTCGTCTTCCCGAGAAAAAAAATATTTCTCGGGTTGATGATAATCTTTTAGGGTGAGATATCGTCGTCCCGAGATAATGTGTCATCACGGGTTGATGATATCTTTTAGGGTGAGATGTTGTCTTCTCGAGAAAATAGTTATTTCTCGGGTCGATGATATTTTGTAGGTGATATATCCTCTTCCCGAGAAAGAAAATATTTGTCGGGTTGAAGATAGTCCTTTTAGGTGAGATGTCGTCTTCTCGAGAAAAGATGTTTCTCGGGTCGGTGATATCTTGTTTAGGTGATATCCTCTTCCCAAGAAAGAAAATATTTCTCGGGTTGAAGATTTCTTTTAGGTGAGATGTCATCTTTTCGAGAAAAAAATATTTCTCGGGTTGATGATGTCTTTAGGATAGATATCGTCTTCTCGAGATAATGTCATCACGGGTTGGTGATATCTTTCGGGTGAGATGTTATCTTCTCGAGAAAGTTAAATATTTCTCGGGTTGATGATATCTTGTAGCTTATCGTCTTCCAGAGATGATTTTTCACTGGTCGACGATATGTTTTTCCCCGATACCAAATCAATTAATTTATGAATTTAAAACAGACGATACATGCCTACCTTCTGAGAAAAAAAAAGGTGATCTTTATCAACTCTAACTAAAATCCGGAGATCTGTAAAATATAATTATTGTTAAAAAAAAAGAAAATTTTTCTTAATAAAAATCATAAAAACAGCTTTTCCAAAATCACATTAACTTAATAAACAAAATGAAAATATCAATCAAGTTTTAAATCTTAAATTAAGAAAAATGCAATAAGGTTTTTCTTTTTTAAAGGGAAATCAATGAAAAAGATTAAGGCAAAGATAATGATAATGGAGCTAAATAAAAATATAAATCATGAAAGTGGATAGAGAGCAAATGGTAATAATATAATAAAAATTAATTAATAAAAATTTATTTAGGGAGCTTTAGCGTACTGCAAAAAGCGATGCAAAAGCAGCTTGCAAGACGATTAGGAACTTTGGGAATTGGGAGGGAACGAAATATGTTAACTTGTTTACCAACGTTTTCACCCTGACAATGCCTGGTGCATTGACCATAATAACGCAAGTTGGAATGCGAAAATAGAAGAATCAACGAAGCAGACGGACCCATGGAGATGTTACATCAACAGAAATCAGTTTTTAATCGACTTATTTTGTGTATAAAGACAAAGGAATTACCTTAAAAAAGTGATGGTGTAAAGTTGTTCAGTATGCTGCATTCTTTTAGAAATATTCGCCAAATTGTTGCGTTGGGTAGTGTCTATTGGAATACCGCCCTCTAGGGGTTAAATTATACTATTGAGAAAGGCGACACCCTTGATGGGTGCAACTATTGAGAAGGACGATACCCTTGATGGGTGCTACCGAGAGAGACGACACCCTTGATGGGTGCTACTAATTGTAAAAGACGATACCCTTGATGGGTGTTTCCGAGAAAGACTCTATATTAACACAACACCCTTGATGGGTGCCTACTATTGAGAAGGACGACACCCTTGATGGGTGCTACTATTGAGAAGGACGACACCCTTGATGGGTGCTACTATTGAGAAAGATGATACCCTTGATGGGTGCTGCCAAGAAAGACTCTATTATTTATTAACACAACACCCTTGATGGGTGCCTACTATTGAGAAGGACGACACCCTTGATGGGTGCTACTATTGAGAAGGACGACACCCTTGATGGGTGCTACTATTGAGAAGGACGACACCCTTGATGGGTGCTACTATTGAGAAAGATGATACCCTTGATGGGTGCTACCGAGAAAGACAACACCCTTGATGGGTGATCGCCAACAAATTAATTCAATTTAGAATTATAAATGTATAATGTATTGTTTATAAATGGATAATGTTTTGTAAAGAAGACAAAGAGGGTCAATGATAATATTTCTCCAAGGAACCTCAATCTCTGTTGTCAAACATTTGTCCGATATTTGTAAAGAAGAAAATAAGACGATGGATATCGACCTCCGGGTAAGGGTTAATCAAATAAATTAATCGTTCGTTATACGATTACGAATTCGAGAACGAAAATAGAAATCAGAAAAAAAGGCTGTCAATCATTTTGTCCGATCTGCGTTTGGCGAAAAAAATAAGACGTTTGACATCGACCTCCGGTTATAAGGATTAAAGCAAAACAAAAGCAGACAAAATTATGTACAAGAGTACGAGTACTAAACCGCGGAGAAAATATTGTTTGTGCGAAATATAGAGTGGCCAAGTGTAGTATTTTTTTTTTTGATCTCCGTTCGATTGAAAATGACTCAAAAAGATTACATGTATAAATTAAAAGGTGAAAATCCTAATGGGTAGTAAATCAACGAAGAGAAATTATTATAGCAGAACCGTGGCGTAAAATTAATTGATTGTCAATCATTAATTTGCCATATGTTTGTGTATTAATTTGCCATATGTTTGTGTATGAAATAAGTAAGACATGGATATCGACCAATTATAGTTATGGATTAAAACAACAAATGTATCGTTCGTTAAAAATTACGAGTTCGTATGGAGAGTACGTACTAAACCGCGGAGAAAATTATGTTAGTGCGAAATTATAGTGTGGCCAAGTGTATTATTTTTAATTGATCTCTGTTCGATTGAAAATGACTTTCAAAAAGATTACATGTATAAATTAAAAGGTGAAAATCCTAGAGGGTAGTAAATCAGCGAAGAGAAATTATTACAGCAGAACCGTGCCATACAAACAATTGATTGTCAATAATTAATATGCCATATGTTTGTGTATTAATTTGCCATATGTTTGTGTATGACGTAAATAAGACGATGGATATCGACAAATTAAAGTGATGGATTAAAACAACAAATTATCGTTCGTTAAAAATTACGAGTTCTGTTGAGTTGTGAGTCGAACCGTGAAATCGAAGGCATTGCAACTAGTTGTCGATCATTTTGTCCGATGTAGGTAGAAAATAAGACGGTAAATCTCGATCTGCTGGCTAGTATGGATTAAAACACCAATTGTATTATTCGTTAAGAATTGCAGGTTCATGTTGAGTTCCGTTTGTAACAATTCGTTAAGGCATTGTGTACGCATTTAACTTTACTTAATTTCAGTCGCGTCTATCATCCGTTTGCTCGTCATCTACATTGAAACTTACTGTGAAAAAATCCTAGGGCCATGTGTACAAAATGATCATCGCCGTGTTTTCTTGTGTTTTCTTCTGAACTTATGTGGAAGGTTTTTAACATTATTCTGGGCCCATGTGTGAACCTATCTTACTTTTCATAAGATGGATATCTTACTTTGTCTTTGCCAACATTCTTTCTAATTTATTTTGCAAAATTATTTTAGGGACATGTGGATTAAAACAACAAATGTATCGTTCGTTAAAAATTACGAGTTCGTGTTGAGAGTACGAGCACTAAACCGCGGAGAAAATAATGTTTGTGCGAAATTATAGTGTGGCCAAGTGTATTTTTGTTTAATTGATCTCCGTTCGATTGAAAATGACTTTCAAAAAGATGACATATATAAATTAAAAGGTGAAAATCCTAGAGGGTAGTAAATCCACGAAGAGAAATTATCACATCAGAACAGTGGCATAAAAACAATTGATTGTCAATAAATAATGGCCATATGTTTGTGTATTAATTTGCCATATGTTTGTGTATGACGTAAATAAGACGGTGGATATCGACCAATGTTAGTTATGGATTAAAGCAACAAATGCATCGTTCGTTAAAAATTACGAGTTCGTGTTGAGAGTACGAGTGCTAAACCGCGGAGAAAATAATGTTTGTGTGAAATTATAGTGTTATTAATTTTTATAGAAATTATTAATTTGCCATATGTTTGTGTATTGATTTGCCATATGTTTGTGTATAAATTTGCCATATGTTTGTGTATAAATTTGCCATATGTTTGTGCATGACGTAAATAAGACATGGATATCGAAAAATATTATAGTTATGGATTAAAACAACAAATTATCGTTTGTTAAAGATTACGAGTTCGTGTTGAGTTTGAGTGGAACCGTGAAATCGAAGGCATTGCAACTAGTTGTCAATCATTTGTCCGATGTAGGTAGAAAATAAGACGGTAAATATCGATCTGCTGGCTAGTATGGATTAAAACAAAATTTTGTATTACTAAGAACTGCAGGTTCGTGTTGAGTTCCGTTTGTAACAAATCGTTAAGGCCATGTGTACGCATCTAACTTTTCTAAATTTCAATCGCGTCTATCATCCGTTTTCTCGCCATCTACATCAAAACTTATTGTTTAAAAAATCCTGCGCCATGTGTACAAATTTTCATCGCCGTGTTTTCTTGTGTTTTCTTCTGTACTTATGTGACAGGTTTTAACATGATTCTAGGGCCATGTGAACCTATCTTACTTTTCATAAGATGGATATCTTACTTTGTCTTTGCCAAAATTCGTAATTTATTTTGCAAAATTATTTTAGGGCCATGTGGTGTTAAGATCATATCTGTTCTGTAGAAATACCTCAAAAAGTCGGACGTGTTATTTTCTTGAAAACTGTTTGCGCATTCATCCCGTCTTGAGTGCAAATCATTGTGAAAAATGCTCTAGGGCCATGTGTTAAGCATCCATAGGTATTTTGATGCTTAAAATAACTCGAATTTAAGTTGTATTATTCACTCTACTTGTGAAATACACTAGGGCCATGTTTACAAATTTAAACTTTGTTCGTCTGTTTGGTAACAATTTCGTCAACTACGTCATGCCCATCTGTCAAAACTTCGAGATTTATTGTGCAAACAAAATGTTTTACATGTATAGGGGTCATGTGCATTTCTTATGGATTCCTTGAAACATGTAACAGTCGTTGAACGCAATCTGAATAATGGTTTTTAATGATTCCACATTATTATTCCGTGACATGAAATAGTCTCTGATCCTCATTGCCGAAATGTGTCTTATTGACATAGATTATTGTTTATGATTTATTCTTTCATAATATTCGATTCGCAAAGATCGGTAATTGCCTTTTGTGTTAGCGCCATGGTGTCAATGTTGTTTATTGTAAATCAGGTGTAATGACACCTGTTAGGTCGTGACGCCTTGTAATCGCTTTGTAAAGTCACAAGTGTATATAGCCTGAATTAACAGAGTGAAATTATACATCAACTGATTTTTGTAACACCCACAACGCCAGTGGAGGTTGATCGATTGTTACTTTTCAATCATAATATGGTTTCAATGATTCCATAAAACTATTATTTCGCGACATAGTACAGTCTCTAATTCTCACCGAAATGTGTCTCTTTGCCGTAGATAATTGTGATTTAGTCTTGCATAAAATCCGATTGGCAAAGATCGGTAATAGCCTTTTGTGTTAAGGCCATGGTGACACTGTTGCACATGTAAATCAGGTGCAATGACACCTGTTGCATATGTAAATCAGGTGCAATGACACCTGTTGCATATGTAAATCAGGTGCAATGACACCTGTTACGTCTGACACACCTTGTAATCGCTTTGTAAAGTGTAGCCTGAATCAGGCTACAGAGTGAAACAATAGGCATCCATTTATTTGTTTTTACACCCACAACACCAGTTGAGGTTTTGATGGATAGTACTTTCCAATTCTGATAAGTCCGATCGCAGCAGGTCGGCAATATTGCTTCCCTTAAAACAGGTGCGCGTTGCTTTCTGCAAATTGGAATTATCATCTTCGCGACCAGTAGGTCTCAACCCTCAAAATAATGATCTATAAAAGTAAGTTTTCTTTCTCTACGGTTGAATCCATTACAGTGGTCAGGTAAGGGCCACTAATTGGATTATCTTCATCTTGTATGCAAGATACTTTGCATCATGTTAGGCCAAGAGACTAAAACTAAGTTTTCATTTTGTCTGATTGTATCATTATAGCAGTGGTAGGACCATAATCCATTGCAGTGGTCAGGTGAGGGCCACTAATTGGATTATTTTTATCATCTGTACTTTGCAGCCAGTTAGGCCTATATACCTTAACTAAGTTTCTTTTTCTATGATTGTGTCATTGATTGTGTCATTGATTGTATCATAGTGGTCAGGTAAGGACCATTAATATACGATTTCCTTCTCTTTATACAACAGCACCGGTCACAAATTTGACCAAGAAACCACTGTACAGTGTACTAACAAATCTAGCTCCGCTAGGAAGATTCTTTTATTTTCAGCAACTTGCATTTAGATTAGGAGGACCAGCATGCAAACCAGAGTGCTCATATCAGGAACCGGAAGCAGGGACGAGGAACAACGGATGACTGATGACGACCCTGCTTATTGGGCAACCCATTACTGATTTCTCAGGTAAAAATATAAATGGAACTTGCCTTTTGAAAAATGTCTTAGGATGATTCAAATGGTGATTTATGTATCTGATAAGTACTGATATTTTTTTAAAATAAAATCTAGAGGAAAATGAAATTAATTTGAAAGAATAATGACTTTCACAAATTTCAGTAAACAATTTTACAAATCAATGAATACAAAAGAAGAGCAAAGGGCGCATAATTGTCATTCCCCCACACATTTTCTTATATGAGCTCCTTTTCATCCTCTGGTAGAGATGACGGTCTGCAAGGTGAGACGTCATTCCTGACGAAGATACGATCACTTCTGAATCCCAAGGAACCGGAAGCAGGGGGAAGACCGACGGAAGGACTGAAGGCCCTGCTTGTATAGCAAGTCTTCACCATTTCTTGAGGTAATTTAGCAAAAGGAATAAGATGTATTCTTCATTAGTTTTCATTCTCAATTTTTGTGTTGGTTTTCGGAAAGTGGCATATCCATATTTAATAAAAGATCTTCTCAATCTGATAGTTGGTTATGCTTCGAATATGAAAACTATGTAATATATTAGGTATACATTTTTCTTTTGTCTTTGCAGATTCCTCTTGCTTAATAGCAGCACAGACGATGATGATACAGTTCACCAGGACACGAACACGAATTTGAGCAACACTCGACTGAGTTTTACAACGGCCATCTCCTGAAACTTCCCATACGATTCTCTTAACTATTTTTGTAAACGGAACAGCGCCTTCCTGAAATATCACAGCTATAATGCCCTCTGTTAAGAAAAACATGGGCAATTTCAAATGTTAACTACTTGACATCCGTTGTTGGTTAATTTTTATTAAAAGTGCCATTGTTGGCTTAACAGAATTGGTGTTTTTTCTTCTAAAAGCAGCTTGCGCACACTTTTTCTAAGCCGAATTATAATATTAGCGTTCGAGTACTGTAGTGCTGTATGGGGAGGAACGTACTCGACGAGAATTATCAACAAATGTTTTAAAAGTGCCGCATGAATGATCCTGAAAATGTACCTCCTTCACTTCTTCAGCAGATACGTTTCCTAGACTAAACTGGGTAACATTTTCCGAAAGAGTTAAGTCTAAAAAGGCTGGGGAGTTTTGCTTTCAAAATCCTGAACAAAATAACTGCTTTGTAATTATAACAACCTTTTCGCACCCCAGTTTTTCTTGCGTGAAATATTCCCACAACTAAAATTGAAAGTCACTTTCGCCAAAAAAAGGAATTGTTTTGTCAGAAGCTTCGCACTTCGCTGTGAGTGGTACAATTATATGGAATACTATGCACAAATAACTGAGAATTATAGATTCCCAGGTGGGCCAATTCAGAACTATACTTAAAGCCATCAGCCACCGATATTTCTGCCACTAACGTGCAATTTCAATATGCGCTGAAAACCGCTGATCTACGGAGTTATAAACTTGGTTGCCACGGTAATTTGGAGCCGGATGGGAATTTCCCCGTGTTTTTCCCAAAAGGGTTTTCGCGGGGTTTTCGCCCATCCCGTGATCAGCAAATAGAGCATTATACTGGAATGTTTAGTTATATTGGTGTAAATATTTTCTATATTTTAGGATTTTTTTGTCATAGATTTTACCTTTTTTAAGCCAGAAATCCATTGGTAACATTGTTCTTGCTTTTAAAATAAATAAATATGGATCATTTAATATTAGTTACTCATTAATAGACAGTTCAATAGATAGAACACATTAAAGGAAACACCGGACACGTTTGCTACTTGTCACAAAAGAAATTGTACAACAGATTTTGCTTTATTTCATTAACTTTGCTGTTATTTATGGTTTGCATTGTCAATGTAATTGAAGTAGAAACTGTGCCGTGTTGAGAATTGTTTCATGCACAACTCAAGTTCTCTAATTTTCAATTTCTCAAAACTTCAATTTCACTGAAAAGGGCAGATTATGTTAACTGTAAAAAAAAAAATACGACTTCATGAACCATAATGATGTTTTCTTTTGCAAAACAATTCCTGAATTGGTCAGCATACAGTGACACATTCTAAAAACAAAATTTGGCTGTACACTGTATATCAAAAATGGTAGTTTCTTTCTTAAAAACACACAAAAAACGGCCTATGGAATGTTTATGAAATCACACGAAAGCCAGCAGTTTTTACCACAAGGCTTAAAATTACTGCCTCAATAATTCCTTGGAAAAATTATTATTATTATAAATTGATTGCCAGTTAAATAATATAGTTTATTTGCTCTATTACGGTAAAATCTTAAGTGTAAACATAAATTGTTAGGTACATTGTAAAGGACTGTTTAATGTTTGTAAACTGTTTCCTTTTACAGCAGTTTTGTGGGGGAGGGGGGGGGGGAATGCAGAAATAAATTACAAAACCATGGAATGACAAGTTAAACATTGTTACACTATTTCTTTTAAAACCCAATCTTGCGGAAAAAGCAAATAATAGGCCTAGTCTTCAAAGCACTTTGAAGAAATGCCTTGAAAACTTAACACGCTCAATTCCCAGCGGAGCTAAGTCCAAGATAATATATCCCTTAGAAAATGATTGAGAAGTTGTTTAAGTATAAAGTATAAGTATCAAGCATCCCGCTAATAAATTCAACCAGCGTGCTGACCAACCAGAGCCCAAGTCCCAATTTCATACCAAGACCCAAAGCCACCACCCCTCAGCTTCCAACTCTCTCTGGAGACTAAGTCAGAACAACCTAATGGTTTTAATTATCAGAATCCTTACTTTTAGCACGAAAACCCAGTAGTGTAGGGGTTAGAGCACAGGACTACCTGTCCAAAGGTTCCAGGTTCTACCCCCAACCATGCACAATTTTGTCAAAAAAGTTAGTACACATTTTTTTATAAAGTCTAAAAGTTCCTCGGGACGGACCCAGGATCTGGACCAGGGACATTCCGGCTCGAATCCTGAGCTCGTCCTACCGGGATAACAGCTCTTGTTAAAATGTGCGTTCGAACCTTATACATTAACTTTAGGTTAACATAATGTTAAAACAAACAGTTACCCATAAGCAATCAGTATATTACCATGTTATGAATATTGAAAACATGCAAATGAGGTGAAAAAAGGAGGCCAGTATTTCTGAGGTATTTTTTCAGCAGGGCCATGTACATTTTTATTTAAACAGTCGGAGATGACATAAACCACTCCAATTGAAAACGAAAGAAATGTGGATTTTAAAGTAACAGGACACATGAATCTAGGTTTTAGTTTCACTTTTATCAATTTATGCAAAAGACGAATTGAGCAGGTTTTTTTTTAAAGATAACATATGTCCATCGTTAGGCAGGTAAATAAATAAAGTACTGTAAGGAAATGTTGGCTAAGTCCAAAACCATATCATAGAATGGAAAAAAATGGCAGGAAATTGTCAACATAAAGTAAAAATCAATTAAAATACAACATCTATTCAAAGGAAAAAAGGCAACATATTTTTATTTCTAAACTGAAATTTGCTAAAATAAAGTATGGACGAAAAGTAAACTGTATACATATTTTACTTTTTTTCAGTTTTGTAAATTATTTACAATGTTTTAACAAGGCACGTAAATAAAAACAAGTTCAGCACTAACAAATTTAAATTCAAGACGTCTGGAATTTTCCTTTGCTTGAGTAGGGAAAAATATCAAAATGAAAAGTTCAAAGTAAATTTTGAAATTTTGAATTTAAACATAATAACCCAGTAAAGTATTACTTTGATTGCTAGTTATTAAACAGTAAAAAAAAATCTCAAAATTTTCAGATTAAACTGCAACCTGAGATAATGCGTTAGTATTCAGCGAAATGGGTACATCAAATGATTTCGGTGAATGTATTTAAAATTTGAAATTTTGATATTTGAATTTTTGTTTCTAATTTCCGTGTTGTGTGGAAATTCATATGGACAAATTAGCAAGGAGTTTCAATTTTATTTTTTTTTTGGCTTGTTTATAGGGACAGATACTGTTAGCAAATTCGTTATTAAAAGGTATTCCAATTTTTTTTATGAATTCACTAAAGCATCTCTTACAAAAAGGCACATCATTTTGCGGACAGCAAAAAACTTTCATTTGTGGAAATTCAGATCAAGTTGAGCATGCTTTGAAAACCAGTACAGGATGCAACAATGTTTTTTCCAAAAATAGCCCAAAATATGAATACATTAATTATGTGAAACAATGTACCAAAAAATGTACAAAAAATACAATGTTACAAAATTTTGATCACTGATTCCATGTGAGTAAACTTTGGATAAGAAGCCACACCAGGCAATTTTGGCGCAAAATTCAGGGGGAAAATGAGATAAAGTTCATATCTATTCATTTATTTAATCACACCTTTCATTTTTTTTAATCGCACCTTTATTTTGAGAATAAAAAGACATATTTAGCATTTGTGTCATTTTACTCTTTTTGACGGCACATAAACAAACTGATGACTACTGACTACAATTACAATGGATTGTATTCTGAGGTCAACCTGGGATCACCCTGAGGTCAACCCAGACTTGACTTACCAGGGCCCAATTTCACGGTGCTGCTAACCTTTTAGGGTTAAGTCTACCTGGGTTTAGTGATACTCGGAACCTAACTAGGGTTTAGCGAATGAAATTGCAAGTTTTGAGAAATAAAAAAAGGCAAAAATGTTTCATCTTTTAAATGTTTAGTAAAATCAACCAATAACCAATCGCATTAAAACCAAAGCAAAACAGACGACCAAAACGTTTGTACACACACTACACAAGTGCTTCTTATTAGTACATTTTACATACACAGTACTTTTCAGTATCTTTGGTTTTGTGCTCGATAAGATTCCTCTGTACAAAAATCTCCAATGAGTGGAATGTCAACTCCATTTGCACTTCAGCGAGAAACTGTATCTACTCCGTTCTTATTCTTCTTGACAGCCAACACACATGTTGGTTGCATTCTCTCAAGACATTCTGCGGATAATCCTTTACCTTTCTGATTTGACGAAACTCAAATTCTGCAAAAATGGAATAGATAATTCTCTGTCTTTCTCAAACGCAACGCCCATTTTTTTTGCCAGCAAACTGCATTCATGTATATTTATGCACTGGAGAAGCATTTTACTGACGGATGCAGAAGTTCCTGGATCTTGAAATTTCACGGCTGTTCAGATTGGCCGCTTGAAGCAGTTTGTGCCTTGCAGGTTGGTGGGTAGGGGGAGGAGGCGCGGTGGGAGAAACAGCCTGTCATGTCTTGCCATTCTTTCCCCAGAGGTCGGGTCAGTGGAATGAGTTGCAGTTGTGGTCACCAATTGGACTTTGCCTGGAGAAATGAAATTATAAAAAAATTGAAATAACGTGAAAAATATTAATTTTACAGTTGCAACATGTAATAAATCTTTCTTTGCGAGTTTGTGTTTCACTTGTGATTTATTACAATTTGAAATAAAAAGCTTTATACTCTCGGTGTGATCTCTTTCCAAGATTTTAACATTGTTTAACGTCTTGGTTACAGCGGCGTAGCTTTGGGGGGGGGGGGGCCACACGCCCCCATAAATATTTGATTTTATGGAGGTTGGGTGTCCGGTGAAAAAAACTGTCTACCTTTCAGCACAGAAATTTTTGGGTGCCCCCCCCCCCCCCCCAGGATGAGAACCCTGGCTACACCGCTGATTGGTTATTATTATAAACTTCAGCCCTATCGACACAGACATTCACAAATGAAACGAAAGTAAACATAGTGATGGAAAGTTCAGCTGGAAAGTTCAATTGTTCCAGTGATCGCAGGTTAATTAAAAAAATATGCTGGCAAAATGTTTTTCTTCTCGTTCATACATCAGTAGAAATATGACATTGAAAACAAAGCAAAAAATTCCCAGCTTATATCACAACCATTTTGGCTACTTACTTGCTGCCGTACTCTGTGAGTCGTTGCCGGATCTTCTTAAACTGGTTGTGCTTTTGCTCCAGCGCCAAGATCTCGGAGAGCATGGAGCTGACTGTTGCAAAGCATGTCTTAGGGTCTTCTATGCTGACGGGGGTTTGAGTGGGTAGAGGTAGGCCCTGATAGACAGCTTGAGTTGCACAGGCGTCTGTATAGCATGGAACAACCGACAGGAACAATAAGACTTTCGTTCTTGTACTGGCCCAAACACTATATGGTCTTATGGTTTCATCAGGAAATAAATACAATGTGATACAATGTACTACAATGTGATACAATGTAATACAATGTGATACAATGTAATACAATGTGATACAATGTAATACAATGTGATACAATGTAATACAATTTGGTACAAGTACTCCAGTACGTACCTTGTAGTGAATGGAGTTTCTGTAGGTGGGCCATGAAGAGACAGTGTATCCGTTCCAACTCTCTGTCTGGGTCGATGTCTAGGCAAATGCTTAACGGCAGACCACTGAAAACAAAAATAAATAAATAAAAAAATTAAAAATAATCTGAACAGATTCATTTCAAGAATTACTATTCGAGCCAAAAAAAATGACCAGTAAAACAAAATGAATCCAAAATACAGAAAAGTAAGACGTGGTAGGGACAGTGACGATATTTAAACAAAACCTTACCCAGTGACTTGTGTACATCCCTGTGCAGTTTCTGCTGTAGCCTTGCAACTGTCAAAATAAAGGGAAGAGTAAGATGACGTAAGGGTGGAGCAGGACCTAGTGGTTAGGGTTTATAACTCGTGATACAAGTTTGAAGATTGAAGCCAGCTTTAATGAGAGTGTACAAAAAATACATGTGCCACTGGCAATCTGTTAAAGAGGCCAGAAGGGAGGGATGTTAAAAGGAGCAAATCCACCAAAGCTTTTTAGGCCAAAAAAAAAAGGTCTTCGGTTTCTGGTATGGAGCTTGCATCAAAAGTTCCCCCCCCCCCTTTTTTGTTCTTCAAATGGCGGCTGATGATTGCAAATGGTGCCTGACTAAATTTAGTGCAAAATATATGGAAGCCCAGAGAGGCCACATAAAGCTTATAGTCGATCGTAACCCCATCTAAAAACATGTGAAATTGTGTAGCAGCAGGATTCCTGTCAAACCAGTGAGTTTGGTCAATTAGAGACATCTTACATTGAAAAAAAAACTTTTTAATTGTGCCGACACGCATGGCTACGGCGACATTTGCGCAGACCAGAAACCGGAACCTTTTTTTTTCGGCCTTATGTACCCCTCGCCCCTCCCTCTAATGCCGTGTTCCAATCGCGTTGTGTTTATCGTGTTTACTAATTCACTGGTTGTATTATAGCGTGCCTATCGCCTGGAAACTCATATTCACCAATGGTGAACTAGAAACGGAATTTTCTTCTCAATTTTACGACTAGGCAAAAATATTAGCAGGGTCAATGTGCATGAAGGCCTGTGGGCATGCGTGTTGGTGTGTAGCATTAGAATGCAAGCCACTCATGAACTAGGAGTAATTCACAATGAACACAATGCGATTGGAATGCAGCATAACTCGCGATCCCCACAACTTGTGAACAGCGCCACCTATGGTCAGATGGCATCTAGTCTCATCCATTATGAGCCATGTTTTTCCTCCCCCTTCTACTGACTAAACATCTAGTGCCCCCTCCCCCCCTGACTTTTGGATCTGCGCATGCTAGAAGCAGTTGCCGTTTAATTGCATCAATGGACATGGCCCTTTTTTTGGGGGGGGGGAGGTTTAACAAATCTCGTTCTCACCAGATCCAATGTCCGTTCTTGAAGGCAGCCGGGTGGTAGTAATGCAAACGGTTCTTGTTTGTCTTGCAGATGTTGAACAGAATATCCAACCTGCAAATTCAGATGACAATTAGTCCTGAATTCCCTGAGCATTATGCGTATCAACATTATGCATCTGTAGGTGTCCTTTACACAATGGTTGTCGTGATCATGCCAAAACAATACCATCTATTGTTCCTGTAAGAGGTCCGTAGGGACTGTTGGATATTTACCATTCTTTCTCCTCTACGCAGTTGTTGGCCTGAATGTATAGCGCCCTCTCTGGTTGAACGACCTGGAACATCTGCACAGAAACAAATCAGTTGTATGAGCATTACAAATGAAAGGTTACTGTGAGAAAATGTTAAGTTCATTGGGCAAAGTTGCACTTGATCGGTGCAGTTAACCGGGATGCAGTTGTGTACATCACAAGTACATCACAAGTCCAGTCACAAATAAATCACAAGTCTATTCACAAGTCCAGTCAAAAGTAACATTGGATGAACAATAACAAAGGAATGCCTTTGTCATCCCTGGCAGTCAATGATGATGAACTAAACGACAATATCAATAACTATTTGTAAGCTCATCGTTAGATAATTTGAACAATTATAATAAATAATGCGATCTCGAAAAGGTCATGGTAAGGTCTCAACTACAACACCGATGTAGCCTGCTTTAGACCAAGTTGGTGACCTAGCCAGGTTCGTGTACAGCTAAGTACAAACTCAATGCTCCTCGGCTTTAAAGAATGTATGTGGCATGTGCGTGAGCGTGGTTCCACCTCAGTTCACTTTTTTTTTGCCAAATCAGTTGATGATTTTGCCAATTTATTTGAGGTAATTTAAGTATCAAGTGGATTATCAATCAGCTGGCTTACAAATTGCATCTGGAACGAATCCTCTTCAAGTCTCTCCACAGCAAGAATGTTGTTGACGGAGATTACACACAACGGCTTGCTTTCTGTAAACGGCAAACAGAGAAAGAAGCAGAAAGAAAGGCAAAGTCAAAGGAAAATTGTGCTGGAAAGTGAAAAAGAAGCATTCCCTAAAACATGGGAAAGGTTGCTTCACAAAATGTTGTACAGACCAGGGGCCAATTTCATAGAGCTGCTGAAGCACAAAATTTGCTTAAGCACAAAAACGTCTTGCTTAATAAAATCAGGTTACCGGCCAAAACTCCATGCGATTGTTATGCTAAGTTAACAACAGCTAAATACCAGTCACAAGCAATGTACATCACATGGATTTTTGGCCGGTAACCTAATTTTACTAAGCAATGTTTTTTCGTGCTTAAGCAAATTTTCTGCTTGAGCAGCTCTATGAAATTGGGCCCTACTTTATCAATGTGTGAAGAACAGAGGATCATTTTCATTCACAAGTGATAAATAACAGGTAGTTTCAAGACCTTCTGTACATAATGAAAGATAAAGACACCTGGCGTGGCGTTATGAACGAGATCTCGGTTGCGTCCGCTAGATAATGATGATGATTGATTATTACTTTTTGTTTCAAACACCTCATGGATGCACATAAGGATGAATACAGCAATCCCTCAAGCCCATACCTTTCGTTTTACTGTAAGTCAACTCATGGTTGGTGAGCTGGAACCACCTCCTTTTGAAGTTCTTCAGACCGAATCCCAGGAACTTCTTCCTGCCCTGAGCTCGCTTGATCATAACCCTGCAAGGGGACGGAAGAATGATCACAGGGTAACAAAAAGTTTATCCTGTGCTTGTAGTTGTACTTATATAAATCCACTGGAAAGTGGTCAATTGTGTACATGATAATAAAAAGAACTGAAAAATATTTCTGTCTTGGTACTTGACTCGACTACATGTATGCAACTGGTATTGAAAAAAATTGTGATGCACGAAAAAAACTATTTGGTCCTCAAGAACAGCATATGGTCCTCATAACGAGTACTTTGTTTAAATAAGGAGTAATAGCGAGATATTTGTTTATCGATTTCATAGCTGCAAACAAAACGTCACAAGTCAATCACAAGTCCATCACAAGTCATCACAAATCCTCAAAACTCATCCAAGTCAATCACAAGTCATCAAGTCAAGGAACCACCAAACAGTAGGCCAACTCACCCTTCCTTTAATGTGATCGGTGCCTCGATCGCCTTGACTTGGGCCTGACTGGTCGATGATATCACCTCAAGGAACTACATTAAAAAAATCCCAATTAAATATTGCAAAAGCTGTCAATACTCAATAAGAAAAAAGTTAATTCTAGTATTTTAATCTCCAACTCTCAGGTTAGCAGAGTTGCGAATGTAAGCACAGAGCCATAAAATTGAGCCCAAGTAAAAAGTTTATGGGTAACAAACTTACAAACGATTGACCAAGCACCCGCAACCTCATGTGAAATACTCTACTGCATGGATTCTAGACTCGCGTACCTTTTTGATTCCGTCCATGTGAGCCTCATTCAGAATGTGCAGATACAGTGGACTCATGTACTCCTCCTTCCAGTTCACATTACTCTGTAAAACACACAAGAAGAAGAAGAAATCACCCCATGATTGACTCCAAATCGTTGAGGGATATTCTGCTAATTAACCCAAATCGCACTGGGATTATTTTGACAGTGACCGGACCCAGGCGCGGGATTGCTTTTTACGAACCTCAATGCCAGACAGGTTCAGGCCGTCATCTGCGGGTAGCACACCCTGATATTTCCGGCCTTGCTCACTACGAGCGGGTCGCTGACAGATATTTCCAGCCTTGCTCGTTGCGTGTTTATCCGTCATCCGTTCCAAATACAGCAAAACCTTTGCATGTATACATGTCACCGCAGTGGACTGGTGGTTAAGGGTTCCTTCTAGAAATTCTGTGTGTGGGGTTAAACTGTATGACCCACTGTGATATGAACAATGTAGGTGTGGTGTGTGTGTCCATGAGCAAGATACTTCACATATATCCTTTTCAAAAAGTGGGTGCTCTCTGGGTATGTCTAAGGGTACTGTTTGTTATTCCATGGTGCTTTTTTTTAGACCAATCCCAGTTTTTGGTGGTTACTTGGGTTGCTGTCCACCATTACATGGTATACTTACCAGTTTGTCAGGGTTGACATGGTTACCAATCGTCTGAATCGCCTTGGAAACCATCTTGAGCGTTCTCGACGTTTGTTCATCCTGTGTTGCAAAAATGACAACAAACATAATTTTGTAAATGCAACATTTAAGTGGAAGCTGTTGGCCCTGTTTTGAAATATAAAAACACCATCCAAAAACCTTCAAGTACCAAGTGTCAATTTTTTTCAAAATAATACTGAATTCTTTAAATTTGTTAAAATATTTTTGAATATTTGACAAGCAGGAAAGATAAGGTTGGAATCACACAATGTGTTGCTTAGCAACACTTTATATATTTTATTTTATTTCTGGTAATGAAACCAAGGATTCCTCAAAAGTGTCCTATAAGGCACTGTAGCCCGAAAGCCTGATGAAACCTGTAGAGAGGAGACAGTGAGAAGAAATGACAGTTTTAGAGGTGGGAGGAAAAGCCCAGAAGAATATTCTGGGGAAAAACCCACGGAATCAGGTAGGGACTGAAAACCCAATCAACATATTGGCCCAGGCGGGATTCAAACCCGGGTCACAGCGGTGGAAGGCGAGGAAAGTCAAACTGACTCCCCTGACTCCTGTAACTGTGGTCAAAATGATGTTTTTTCTTGCTCACCGGATTATCTGTTCTGAGGTGGAAGAGCGTTGGCGAGAGAATGGCAGGAGCGAAGAATCTTAGAAACACAAAGCCACTGACGGCCGAGTATTTGACATCAGGGTCCTCTGGAATGAGAACAGCAAAATCATTTCTTTATTTATTCCGTAAATCCTATAAACAAACATTACAATAGCCAGTATTAAAGAACGCTCATAAAGAATCTGTGATGTCTATAATTGCTCCATTAGCAATAAGAAGGCTAAGAGGTTTATTCTTGAAGAGTGTGTATGCTGTTTGTACCTGGGAATCTTTTCTGGGCTGCTTCTTTGATGGCGTAGAAGCACTCACAGAGGGCAGTGGGGCAACCCATGGCGGAGTCGACAATGGCCTGGTAGGCTTTCTCCACATACTGACGAAGATTAGCCTGCAGAGGAAACAGAAGTGATGTCACAACAATGTGACTTCAGGCTTGTGATGGATTTGTGATGGACTAGTGATGGACTAGTAGTGGACTTGTGATGGGTCTGTGATGGTCTTGTAATGGACTTGTGATGGTCTTGTGATGGACTTGTGATGGACTTGTGATGGTCTTGTGATGGACTTGTGATGGTCTTGTGATGGACTTGTGATGGACTTGTGATGGTCTTGTAATGGACTTGTAATGGACTCCATTTCATTATTTGGTTTGGATCTAAATTTTGGACAACTTGTTTCAAACTGACCAAGTTTGTTTCCAAACTGTCGCCGTCTTTCAGCTTGGAAGGATCAATCTCACAAGGCTTGCGCTCATCGTAGATGTTCTCCAGCAGATCCCGTAAGGTGTCGTAGAGGTAGTGTAGTCCCTCCATCCTCATGAACTCATCAATGCACTTGGAGGCCAAGGAATTGCCCCGGAAGATGGTGTTGGGATCGCTGAAAAAGGCAAGAGCAAGGAGAAAATGGTTGTTAGTACCTTTAGGTTGCTAGGAGTGGGGGATATCCGAGTGCGCCGTCAAGTTGTATTGTCTATATTCTACATACTTGGGAGAAGAATAAAAAAAAAATTCCATCCCAAAGAACCCAGGAAGTTTCCATGCAGTTAAAAAAAAGGGGGGTACTTGTACTATCAAATGATCACAGGAATGAAAAAAAAAATCTCACACAAAAAAACCGTCTCCAAACAACCACATGACAGTTTCGACTTGTGCAAACTTCACTAGAAAAGTGAAGGGTTTATCTCACAAAAAGGTAGAAATCAAACATCAAAAGCGTTGAATCGTAATCTGAAATTCACACCACGGCATTCTACAGACTCGGGAGAACAGCAAACATTGCCAAAGTTCTGGGTTTTCCTCTTTTTTTGGTTTTAAAATATAAAAAACTAATTTCCTGCGGGCTAAGCATGAAATTCAATAGTTCAACCTTGCACAGGATTCAGTTCATTTCTAAGTCTTTAAGCCTTGGGAGGGTGACAACTCTTCACAACACTGCGACAAAATAATCTGATTTTTTTTAAGGCTCCGACTCCTTAGACTAATGAAAACATGTAGCACCAAGACCCTTGAGACTCAGGAGGCAAACCCACGCGTTGCGGAGATCGCCACCCGGGGCACCCCAATGCTTTCATTGATGTGCGTGGGCTTAGCACAACCCAGGGAACTGAAACGCAGCAGCCAAATTTTCTTTTTTCCTCTTGTTTTTTTCCAGCTCTTTTTTTTTTAGATCTTTTCACAGAGGGTCCAAATCTCTTTCCGGTAAAACCCCTCTCCGTTTTCTAAGATTTTTCCGGACTCCTCCAAAATCAGGGGTGAGATACGAGGGAAATGAACAATCCATGAAATAGTCGGCAGAGAGTTTGAGGGTCGCTGAGGGCCCAGAGCAACGTAGGGTCTGTGATATATCTTAAAATACCACTTTCATTTGTTCAACATGTATATGAACTTTTATATAATATTGGTAAAAATACCGCTACGGTAAAACCTCAGGAATTCCAGCTTCCGAAAGGGATTCTTTAAAAATCCTGAAATCGGGAAAAAATCCTGACAAATCTCAGCCCTGAACATACACGTACGCTACTGCGCATGGAACCAATCCTACCTTATAAAGTTTTTGTTCTTAATCATTCTTGTGGCTATTGTCTCCAATATCACGTACTACAGTGGCTAGACTCTGTCTTCCTTACTCCTACAAAATCCTAAAACTCCCCTTCAGAATCCTTTCAGACCTCATGACTGATTTTGAGGGATCGCGGATGGTTTGGGATACACAGCTTCAGACTGGAAAGAGTCCCATCTGTTCATGTGATGCTAGTCAGAAGCTATACATTTACACAGTAGATACTGTCCGTGAATGTTTTGTTTGACCTTACATGTACAGTTTCCTTTTTGTTTTGTCCTCATCACCATGAGAGAGAGTTCTATCACCGTGGGCGGTTAATTAGAAAATGGCCTCAGCTGGCAAGGATATTGTTTCCAAGAACATCTAACAAATAATTGGACTGCTCCCTAAATGACAAGAAAGGTCCTCAAGGATCTGTTGTTAAGGATTTTCATAAGATGGGGAAATTGCACATTTTCTTTGGAGAGCCATTATTTCCCTGGGGGTTAAATTGTATTTTTAAAAAACACCTCATTTTCTTGTCTGACATAGCCTTGTGAGCACGACGATTACATTGTCCCACAGCGTGAGGCTTGGATAATTACTCTTTATCCTTGTTTCCAAATAATGGTCAACAAGCACGGTAGAGTCGTGTTAAATCACAAGAACATTTACAAAGTATTCTTGCTTCCATGCTTTTCAAACTGTCTTTCATGAGCCGCCATTTTGCACATATGACTGATGATGAGCATTTGAATAATGTAAATGCAGTTTTTTTTTAGGATCTCTTAGCTCGTTAATTACGACTTAAAATTCTGCAGCTTAAAACAACATTTCTTTGTACCCACTTAGAATGTAAATACTCATTTGGTAAGACCGTGACGATTATTGGCTTGCTAGAATTTATAAAACCCACAGAGGTTTTGAATAAATTTGCAAGAATAAAGGGTTTGTGAAAAACATTTTACGCTGCTTCGTACAAGTGCATTATCAGGGATTAGTCTTTGTGGTCGCTTCCCACGTCACTGAAATACTGACTGACTGTCACTTGTGAACTGGGCAGTTCTATCGTATAGGTTCACCCAATAGCACCAATGAATGGGGTCAATCCGGCCGATTGTGTAGACAAGACGCATGAAACAGACTTCCTGTGAATAGCCATTCAGAATCAACTCAACAGAATTTTGTGAGTTATAGGATCAGTTTTACTAGCCATGCCTTGTCTTTTTCATCGTAAGTTAAAAGATAAATGCCTCTTTAATCAAGATAAATGCCTCTTTAATCCAGATAAATGCATGTCTAACCTTGTGTCTGAGACCTCATGATGAGCTAGCGACTTGATCAGCGGGACGACCGCGTTGTGATAGTAGAATAGTCTCATCAGGGGCCGAGCTGCGTCCACTTTGTCTTTAACGAGGTCCCCCAGGATTTCGACGGCGCTGGCGGAGGTGGGCTGAAAGACGATCCAAAGGAGAGAAAAGTCCTTTAGCTATGGAAGGATTACTTTATTTAAGAATTACCTCCATTCATGCTATCATAGTTATATGTAATCTTCACTGCGTCAAGTGCTTTGAGCAATCCCAATGGAAATTGGACAGTGTTGCGTACAAGTGGAACAAGATCGCCTCTGAGCTTTGTGAGAGAAAGCGGGAGGGAGCAAAACCATCTTGAAAGGTTTTTTTTTAACAAGACGTAAATGTTAATGTTGGGTTACCCCTTCACTGATACTCGTTTGTATAATATACTGTACACATGCATACTCAGGATTAGATAAGTTGTGGTAAAATAAAGAACAGACTTGAAATTTTAAGGATTCGTGTGACAAAAAAAGATCACACTTGCAACACACATCTTTGAAACATGGACTTAGAAATGACACGTACAAGCGACAACATATGTTTTAAAATGTAACATGTTTAACCCATCACAAACAGAACACATATTCCTCATTTTGTCAGAGCAGGCTAGATGTATCTTAAAGTACTCGGGTAACAGTAACAGACTCAAAAGTACACAAACACGCCTAGCGGCAAGATTTAAGGAAAAAAAGAGGCAAACAATTCACCTCGATCTCTGGAGATCTTAGCAGAATGTCCCTGAGCGTTCCATAGTACTGTGACGGCAAGACGTGATCTTGTTGATAATTGATGCGGACTCTTAGTGAACCGAGCTCCACGCGGCTCTGTTTGCTGTTCTCCCGAGGCTTTAGAAAGTACCTGGATGTCCAGATTTCAAATAATGAGGAACAGAAGCAGCAGGGTGTTACAGATTTTTTCCCCCGAGCTAATTTGAACCGTCTTCATGAGAATCGAGTAGCACACAAAACAGGATTTGTGAAGAAATCATCTCTCTCTGTGGGAACCAATTCTTTTTTCAAGAACGTCAGAAAAAAATTAAAAAGTTGGATTATGAAGCAAGATGGACTACAGCCCTGAGAAAGACCCTTTGCACTCAACATGTGCATTGTTTAAATGCAAGTCTGCCCTGAACAAGGCTAAAAGCCACTCATGTAAAGGGCTACAACAGAAATAAAAAGAGTTACTACAACTGCTCAATGGGGGAAGGGGGCAATAAGGCACAACTGGGCCCAATTTTATAGCACTGCTTTAATATCCTTAGCAAAAAATCCCTGCTTGCTGTAGCAGCAAATTCCTTGCTTAAGTTAAGCGTATTTCACAGGTTAGGGAGGAATGTTGGCTTCTGCGCATGCGTACATCCGGTAGCCAAGGATTCTGTGCTTACAGAGTTCGCACAGAATTTTGCTGCTAGCGCTGTTAGCACAAATTGGTGATCATAAGCACGGAACTGTGTGGTTAGCAGAGCCATGAATTGGGCCCAGGCCTAGCTGACAAACTCAGACTGAACTTGACAGGAATGGCAATCAATCTTTTACTAACAACCCCTCCAACTGACAAATTACTGGCAGTGTGTGCTGGAGACTGAAGCAGCTGACTTTCCTTGCCAAGTTCATTAACAAAACCAAAACTATCGTCCGTTACTTAATAACATTACTCTCAAATCATTTATAAAACTCTAGATGCATTTACTCTGTACTACCAAGCTGTAGTAACTAAGGTTTCTATTAATCAAGGTAAAACCATGGTAACCCTTACCACGCTTTATGAACCCCGCTTGAGAGATTGATTGCCGCTAGCGTCAACCGCACCTCGCCGATAAAGACGCCCTCGCCTAGCGACGCTGAATTCCACATGGCAATTCTTGGAAGAAAAAATCACAAATTGAAGAATATTTAACAGATTAGTTGTATACGCAATAGTTAGTAATTTCTTACTTGATATTTGCCTCTGTTGCCTTGCTGTATATGTACAGTATTGTGTATTTTTTATTTATATATATATTTTCTTTTTGGCTTTACGTTTTTAAAAACCTAACTTACCAAAAATAAGTGATCTCTTTAAATGTTCAATCTATAGTCTAATATTTTGCAAATTGCTGCGTATAAATCAATTCAAAAGAAAAAATTGCAAATCCTACTTTATCTACAGTGCATCATCGAAAACTCAGCATGAACAGACATTGTCAAGTAGTATTTCGTTTAAATTCGTATCGACATTATTTTGGGGAAGGGGACAGGGACAAGTGCACCAAAAACATTAAAATAATTTCTAATCTTCAGAATAATTTATTCTGACTCTGGAAACAGGTGTAAGGCGATTCCCAACCGTACCTCCTCCCAAGAAAAACAAATGGGTTTTCTATGAAGAGACTGGTCGCAATGACAGACACCAGCCCAGCAAACTCCGCAATACGACTCGCCATATTGACGCAATTGATTCGCCGAGCAGACAAACGAAACACAGCGAAATCACACGGGCCCCAGTAACAACAAGACGGAGATAAAAAAACAACATTCTCTGGCAGTTTAGAACAAACACATCAAACTGGGAAACACGAAGGAATGGACAGGCAATAGCTGGGAGCTGAAAGCATAATTTTTGTTTTTCTAGATAGATTTTTTTGAAGGGATGGTATGGGGACCTACTTTAGGTCGTGTTTATTGGCCTCATCTTCGAAGCTGTAGTTGGTCTTGGTGTCTGCTGCACTGCTGGTCTTGGGAAGCTGCAGAAGGAGAACGAAAAAGAAAAAAAAGAGAAAAAAGAACAGAACTATAAATATTTATAATGACGCTTCACTGTTTTTGCATGTACCTCCGGCTGATTTCGAGAAAGAATGTGGACCTGCATAAGATTAACATAACAAATTGGTTCTGCTTATACATTTATTGCTAAATACTGAAAAATTCTGCGGATACAGGGTAGAAAAACTGGAGTACTAAAAACACAGAAAATGCTTGAACAATACTCAAATACTATATAAATATGTAAATAAACAATTCCTTGAATAAATTGAACCAAACTCATTGTCATGTAATGAACTGCTTTAATAATGCATTCAGTTTCAGAATGGTGTAATTTCATGCATTTTATGTGTACCCGAAGTCATAACTCTTGTAAAAAAAGTAGTGTATCCATTCAATTCTGGACTATTTAATAAACAAAATATTGTCACTCACATGTTAATTTCAGTTTCAAAAAGCAATTCAAATATAAAATGCAATCTACTCGATAACAGTTATCATGGCTATATTGATCCAGAAAAGCCAGTCTCCACGTTTTAAAATTTTATAATTTTGTGGTTCCCAATGCTGGTTCACGTACATCACCTTATTAAAGAAAGTCGCGTTGATAACGAGCCCTGATGATAACGAGTCACAATGATAACGATAACGACAAAAATAAAAGAAATAATAAGGACTGAACAATTGAGCCTGCTGAGTGTTTGTACGTTGTATCTACAATTGAAAATGCCCTCCTCACAGCAAACTGACGGCTCATTGTAATAGTAATTAACAACACGTACATGTAGATGTAACTGTACATGTACGTGTACAAAAGTAACTCACACACAATTTTGACCTACTCTAAACCCAAAGATCATCTGTTGTCAAACTTTTTGTTTTGTTTCCTTTTCACTAGTGTGCACTTAAAATATAAGCTCATCAACTATGTGATTAACGTGTTTCGGCGCACAAGTACACTGCACATAATCATCCGCAACAAAAATTGACTGGTGTATTAACCCGATTGCACCGTGCTGCGGAAAGCGTACATTTGACCTCAAAAAAATACCCCACATCCAATCCACGTTGCCATAGAAATATATCTTTGCTTAATTTGTCCTGCGGGCACTTAAGAGAAAGCAATAATTTTGCCATTAAATTGGTTGAGTGCGTGCAACGGCACGGCTTCCACCTAAAAAAAAAAAAAAAATCTGGAGATTCGAGATATCAGCAGGATGTCCCGCTAATAAAAATCCTTGAGAACTGTCTTTAATTTTGATAGAGTGGTGACCATTTGGCACAAGACCACTTGATTAATTCGTCGGGTGGGCAAATAAACAAGAGGCGACGATTCGGGATGAGCTTGTCGTTGGAATTGTCGGGGGAAAAGGCTTGGTCATTATATACAAACGACGCCCTGTCAGTTTAAATTAAGAGACTATACTGATTCTGGCTTTCTTGCTTCATATTAATTCATTCCATCGTTAGTTTATAAATGCCAAAGTTTCTGCACTTCAACAAACAAGTTTCTGAAATGGAATTTAGAAGCAAATAATCCATTAGATTACATTTGCAGTAAATGTAGATGGAAGATTAAAAACTAACAAAACTGTAGCTGCGCCGTTTATTTATTCTGCAATCCTTCTGTCTTCTGCAATGTACGTAAAGCGAAGGCAATTTTGAAACAATATCCTTTCAAGCTGTAGGCTGTGAGTACGAGTACCCACTCAGTGTCGAAAATGCCCGACATCGCTGTCAATTTGGGGCAATTTGGGACAATTCTCAATGGCTGATTACATTCATGAATAAACACACGTGAACAAGCAAGTTATTAAAGTGATCATACTTCAACACATTTTCCTATTCCACTCCTGTCTAGAAGCGCAGAATGTAATTCAGGAAAAGGCAACTGGCCTATTTCACTTTACTTTCATTGTCAGGTCAAAGCACACCTCAAGTTTCTTAAAAGCACTGAGTTTCACATGTAACAGATAATGGCATGCTTAAAGAGAAATTTAAATGAAAATGTCACAAAGCAGGCTTTAATTGAGACTACATGGCCCATAGGTTGTTTTTTAGACATCCTTTTGAGTAACTACATGTATCTGTGTCCAACTTAATTTCGACAACGTCGATGTTGTACGATTCATGAAATATAAACTGGCCTCGACGTAAGAATACTCAACAGCAATATATGACAACCCACTCTGAACAATTCTGCAGCGCCGTATCATTCGCACAACTGGCCAACTGATCCAGAGATTTGCCGGCCAAGCAAAATCTCCGGATATCAAATGAAAGTATCACTTTCACTTTGGCAGATGGCTGAAATCATTAGGCTTGTCAAAACAACATGCTACACTTTCACTTGTTACTACAGTAAATGTAAAGGCAAAAAGACAGCAAGTGGAATGACACCATTCAACATGAGATTTCAAACCGAAATTGAATCTTTCATGCACGCTTTTGTCAAAAAAAATTCAAAAATGTTCAGATGACTACAAGTAAATGTATGAGTACACGTATTGTCGATGTTTTCACAAAGTGACAAAAACCTGAAAAATCGATAATTTTTTTTATTTTTGAGTTTTGCTGGCCATTTTATTACATTTGACACAAAGAACAATTATACCAAGTTTCAAAACAAAATAGGCATACTGTTTACTTTCTTAATTATCATAAACAAACATTTAACAAAAAGCCTGAAAAGTTGTTGTGTTGATGCATTGCAAAAACTGAGCATCATGTCTTCCAGTTTCTAAAACCATAAAACCAACCTCAAATTGAAAGGATTCATCGAAGCGAGGATCCACCGTTTTCCTTCGGACTTTCGTCCTTTTGGTTTCATTTCTGTTGAAGGAAACAGAAACACAAATACTGGCTCATTTCATTTTCTCCGAACATTTTCACAAAAGAGTAGTTTTCAATGCCTCATATTGTCACAACTCGCAAATTTTTAGAACTTCAAGCCAAAACTCATTTGACAATTTTTTTCCTTCTTCCTAACAGCCCCAGGCTGCCAATCCGTCTTACCAACAAAAGAATTTTCCAGTGGCTGACGGGCCTTGCAGACACAAAGAGTTTCCTGAATGCCGACGTTAAACACACTTGCCGACGTGTAGGGAATACAAGTGCCAAGCCAACATGTTATACATGTACATTCCTACAAAAACATTCATGTGCTGAATGCGAGTTTGCTATTAAATCCCATAAGGATTATAGGATTTATCTTAGCAATAATTGCTCCCTTATAGTTACATCGACACATTCTCAGAATTGAGTGGGAGCCACAACATTTTCTCATTAAAAGGAGCTTATGTGAGTCTCTGACCTCTTCTGTCGTCATCCCCCCCCCCCCCCCAAGAGAAACGAAATTCAACTGATCAGAGCCACTTGGGACCAACAGTATACCCCAGACAAAACCACATCAAATCAGAATGTCCCATTCAATTCAGGAAATGATATTGTTTCTCATCAAACATGAGACATTCAGCTTGATATCATGATTACTACCGAAGCAGGATGAGAAACATTGCAGATGGGGGGGGGGGGGGGTGGAAAAATTTGATAGCCAGGTCTCATCATTTCCAACACAAACTGACAGGGACATGGAGATTAATCTCGCTAAAAACAACAGACGAGGATAAGGGACTGGGAAACGATGCCTGATGTTTCTTATGATACCCGATCATCCGGCCGGGAGGCAGAAACACGATACCTGGGTGGTAAAAATGCACGCGCCTTGCACTGCAACTCTGGCGGGACTGGGCGGAAAGGAATTGTAATCGGTATATAGCAGATAATGTGTCGAGGCAAGGGTAATAATGGTTGCAATGGAAAACGGATATGTGGCATTAAGTTGGCAATCGGTGTATGTTTTCTAACTTACTGCTGAAGACATTTCCAGTTACCACTTAATACAGGCCTGTAATTTTTTTTAAAGTTGAGATCTGAAAAGGATGTTAAATGAAGCCACATTCCCATCCGTCATGGACAGGCTTACTGTCTGTGCATTAAATGCTGCAATACACGCACTGGAAGTACACGTAAGGTCCTTAGCATGAATTGCGGAGGCCTATGTTTCACACCAATGTACCGTCAAATAAAACGGACTTACCTAAAAGTGACTGTTGCATACGGATCGCACTGGTTGTGGATTATAGTCAGTCCGTTCCCTTCCAGAACTCTGCAGAGGAATCACAGGTTTACAGAAATATAAACTACTAGGGGAAAAAATCTACAAGTGGTTCTTAAACAAGGATGAAAACATGCAAAATATATATTTTGGAGTAATTTTTTGCTCCAGTTGTTTATCGAGCAATGATATGGAAAAATATTTTCTTTTAGCCCCGCCAACAAAAAAACATTTCTGACTCTGATCTTGTTTTAAAATTATACAAAGTTTTAAAAATAACACACTTAGTTTTGTCCATGACATTGGACATGAAGACCTGTGGGTAAGGTCACTTCTTTTCCTGCCAATGACAGAAATTGTATTTTAAAACAATTTTCTATGACCAAGGTCTGTTTATATTTGGTTTTGCCCAACGCCAACGTGGTTTAAAAATAATATATAAGGTGGATCCAAAAAAACGAAACCGAGATATTATTGTTAATTGGAACAGAAGTAGGGCACAATTGTGAATCAAAGGGAGATATCTTCTGTTAGGGTTGAATCTCCTCTTTAAAATGACACCCTGGTCAAGTCATTACATTCACGGTTGACTGAGCAGTGACCAATTTTATGAAAGGGTCTATTTAGAGAATTGTGCCACTTTTAATGGTGAAATCTCTTTTTTTCCCCACCTGCCTTAATTTGCAACCATAGCCTTTCACTCTGTGACAATTGACACAACAAAACCACAATTGAAAAGTGGCGCAATTCTCTAAATAGACCCTTTCATAAAATTGGTCACTGCTCAGTCAACGGTGAATAAAATGACATGATCAGGGTGTCATTTTAAAGAGGAGATTCAACCCCAACAGAAGATATCTCCCTTTGATTCACATGTGCCCTACTTCTGTGTTCCAGTTAGCAGAAATATATTGGTTTCGTCCATTTTTATGTTTAATTTTACTAGCAAAGTATGCAGAGTGTTTAGCAGAGACACACACTTTCAATTTCTGTTTTGTGCTCAATTTGGAATGGCGGCCTTGCCGCATGTTATCATAGCTCATATCATATTATTACAAGTACAACTTTTGTTTAATTTCAAAACGGAACAGATTTATGTTTATATTTAATAAGTGCATGCAGGTCAAGTACTGTGTATGTACCGGTATAAGTACAACAAACCTTGTACAATTAATACGCAGAGTAAGAATGGTTTAGATGTTTTGTTTCCTGGCAAAATTGTCAAATGAATAGCCAAGCTTATGTAACTTGGAATGATTTATTTAGTTTTAGAGAGGTCTGGAAAAGGCATTATGTTACCATTAGGAAAAAAATTAATTCTTTACAAATTCCTTGAAAATTTGTTGTACAAGCTTAACAAATCCGGCCAGCAGACAGGTGGTAAGACAAGTAGAAAGAAACTTTCTGAAAGAAAAATTAAATCAAATATTGAGACTACACCCAAATGAAATTTGACACCACTAATTTCATTCAGAAGCCCTACTTTTCTGAGAAATATTTGTCTGAGATTCCTGGATTCAATGCTGGCTTTAAATTCTGTCAAATACTTTTCCATTTTGTCATGTTTTTGCAGCTACAGCCGAGTACGATTGCATTTTCAAGTCTTCAATATAAAACTGCATGTCAATGAACCCATGTCACTTCACTTCTCCGCGATTCGGACATGCCCCTCAATTTCGATCGGCCATCCACACGAACCAAGACAGAAACCTGACACCAAAATCTCTGCTTGTGCCTGACGGGTGCTCCAGACCTTGGAATGCCATATCATTATCAGCAGCGTCAGCTACCCAAACATTCAAGAGGAAATCCAACACAAAAAAACTGCAGAGAAAGTAAATCGCAAACCTCCCCCTCCCCCACCCGCCCTCATCTCACAGAAGCCCACTCTGACTTTAACCAGCGGAAGAAGTGGAAGGGGTAATGAACATCAATACATATCTCTCTCCGATGAAACAGGCTCAGACAAGCAGAAACAAACCCTTGTGGTCTCTTGTCAACATCAGCTTTGGCAAATCGCAAAAATTGTTGAGTGAGATCACAATTACATGTGTGCGAGGCTTCCGTTTGGAGTCAAGAACATTTTCCGTGGGTGGGTTTTTCCTTTTTTTTTTACTCAACACCGTTGGTATGCCTACACATATCAAGGGGTCGGGCTGCGATGAAAAACCACATTCATGATCAAATACTGAATATGAAGTGAGAACAAATGTTTAACTATTAAATAGTAATTTTTAATATACATTATCACCGCTATACTATAAAGTGCAAAAGGTGTGTGTTCACGAGTTGATCGTCAGACAGTTGATCACCCGCGAAGTGGGTGACAGGCGGTGAAGCCGTCACCGCAAGTAGCAGGTGAGGTGAAGCCTTGTTGAATACATTATTGCAAAATCATCCACCATATAACACCAGCAATTTCATGTTTTTTTAATAGCAATGTGCCCCCCCCCCCAACAAAAAACCTGTCTGTCCTACTTTGCTGAAGACCAGGTGTTACTACACACTGTTCACACTTTGACATTTTATTTACTTTGACATTTCATCCATTTTACATTTGAAAAAAAAGGGGCAAAATAAAGTTCGAGAAATGTCACAATCCAAATTACACTTTGAAATACTTGACTGTACATGTACATGTACCGGTATAACCTCCAATTATTTAAGATTTTTTAACCTTTTTATGGCTTGTCCCAGATTTCAATTTCTTGTCAACAAAATATCCATCCAAGCCCCTAAAACAACAACCCAAACACCCCATAGTTCTGAAGTTCCAGACGTGAGTATAAAAAAAAAGTTCACAGGCAGAGAAGCGTGCGATTGAAAAATTGATCCCCGTAACAGCTTCAAGCTCTCGGACAAACCATCCAATCAGCATACAAGCAATCAGGCACAGAGGGAGTGTGCGTAAACTGTCGACCAAAGACACAAACACCCACATCAAACAAATTAATATGTAAAGCACACCTGCCTGTGAGTGTTGTAGAGCATGGGGGGGGGGAAAGAAAGATACATCCCTTGGCAATTTTTCCAAATTGAAGACCGGATCTGTTTCGCGGGACAAATACCTGTAACTTAAAACGCCTGGACAGCCGTCCAGGGAATTACCAGTAGAACAAGGAAAATAACTGGAATCCTGGACTAAAAGCCGATAAGCATCTGTGTAAATATTTCAAAGTTTAATTTCCGTTTCTTCGGCATTTCTGGTTTTTTATCTTTCAGTGTGTTCGGGCTTTTCTTTAGTATTTTGTTGCCAGAGTAGCGCAACAGTTTAATGCAGTTTTCGGAAGTCCACTCAGAGAACATACTTTGTATGCAAAATGAAATCTGCTGGAGAATATGTATCGAATTCCTGTGACACTTTCATTCCATGTGTTCAAGTGACTCAATCACAACTTGACAGAAGTCGATGAAAGACCACTATTCGAACTACAAAACAGATGCTGTAGGGGGGATTTTGGAACAAGAAGAAAATGCACATGCCACATATTAAGTCCATTATTCAGGTGCCAGTACACTAACGTTTTGTCCTTTTTTGTCAGGGTACCGGTATTTTTCATTGCCAACAAATCCTTTGTTGGGCTTGGAAAACGGACTTTTTACCCCTTCGTCTTTATAGAACACTCAGATGGCAACATGCCTTCTCTCCTTGATAAATTGATGCTTCAAGCGACATATACCAAATTTGTGAAAATACTAGTCAGCAGAATTATCAACTGAGCAAATTTCAGCCGGGGACCAGTCACAATCAATGTGTATATCATGCAGTTTTGGCTGGTAACCTCATCTTCGCTAAGCAAATAGTGCTATGAGCTTCTCCAGGGTTTTAGGGTAACTCACCTTACGGTTAGTTTGTTGAGTGACGCTCCGTCGCCTCCCAATACCTCGTTCGTCCTCACCTCGACCTGAACTTGCCCCTATCATAAAACAAAACAAATCCGAAGGAAAAAAAATCAAATATTAATAACTAAAGTGTTGACTCAGCTGATAAGGTTGCCATGGAAACCAACAGCTCCCGTTTAATCTTCTCTCCGGACGAGACAAACGATTGGAATGTGTCCGGGGGAAAAAAATTCTAGCTTCCGCAGTAGGTGTGAAATTTAATTGAATTGAGGGTGGCCGGTAAACACCGCATATTTGCACTGGTAGTCCGTATTTGTGTACACTGTTATTAAATACACGTTTGCTGTCTATCACAATCTGGCTTATTACACCTCCTTAACTTATGTTCATGTACATCCACGTGTGTGAAATCACAATTCTATACGTGTATTTAAATGAGTTTTGTTTAAGGAATATCACAGCAGTGGCGTAGCACGGTCATTTTTATTGGGGGCGGGGGGGGGGGGGGAATTTCTTGAAAAGGGCACTTGCACATCAATGGTGAAATGTAGACACTTGGCCTCCGTAAAATCAAAAGGGGGGGCGCCTGGGGCTGGCTGGTACCATCTGTCGGTAGGGGCGCTGTTCAAAACCAACGATTAGGCACACTAACACTAGTAACAGTCTCTATATGGTGCTTTTCAGGGCAATACATGCGTGAATTTCTTTTGAAAAAGGCTCCCGGAATGGCAGATAGCACAAAAAAAGGAACCAATTTGTTTTAAAAAAGGGCACTTGTTCAGAAAAAAGGGCACTTCTTAAAAAAAAGGGTACTCTTTACAAATTATTGGGGGGGGGGGGGTTAAACGCTGGTGAAAAAAAGGGCATTCCCCCGCCCTTACTCCTTTGTTTGGACAAAGTACTTTCCAGCCAAAATGCTGCATGTTGTACGCATGTTCCTAGTTACAGATTTGTTGCAAAGACAACCATTGCAATGGAAAATAACAGTACACTGTATGCTATCAAGTTTCCCACATCCCTTTTCACACCCGCAATACAAGATCACACATCTGAACCAGTGGCGTTTACATCATTTATTATCTAAAAAGTCCTGTATAATAAAAAAAAAATTGCTGAGTGGGCCTAGCAAAGCAATTCATGCATGTAGCAAACTGACAAAGTGTCAACTGAATACGCAATGGCGCTACAATCTAGTAATTACGTTCAAAGATTTTCAACACCTGAGGGTTTTTCGCGACCCTGTCCAACTTGACTCGTTTGACACCTGTGACTAAAGATACAATTACAATTTCTAATTAAAAGCGAGAAAAGATCCATTGCGTTATAATGTGAAGTAACTTTCTTTTCTTCCCACTGACAGGGATACTTCTGATTTCACTCGAGGGCAATTTAGGGATATATAGCAGGGCAGTTTGGTGACGGGGATATTAAAACTGGATAAGCATGTTGAAAATTGATGGACAATAACAGGGACATAGAATTCAAATGGGATTATCTTTCAAATGTAATCTGAACAATTTTTTGGTTTCAAATATTTAGCAGGAGAGACAAAAGGAAAGTAGTTTTCCTTTGAGGGTTTTTTCAGGGATTAAAATTCCAATGGTTCACTGGGCTGTTTTGTACTTAAGAAAAGTATAAGTTGCGTCATTATTTGTGCCGCAAGTCAAATATTTTTAATGGTCATAACTTAACGGATTGGTCTACTGGCCATAGGAATGCCATAGAAACGGACCTCATCGGTGTAACCTACATAAACTTCGGAGTCTGTGTCGACGGCCTGGAGAGGGAACCATTGATCCTTTCCATGGTATCTGTGTAGATCGTCTCTCCTCAGCGCTACTTTACCGACAACGCTGTCCGACCGCTTCATCCAGTCCTTCTCATGGATGAAGAAAGAGAGCTGACGGAACTCACGGGGAACGTCAAAGGTGGTTTCCTCGGCCCAAAAGGGACTGTCGACAGAAAAACAAAGAAATATAAACAGGGATTGACAAGATTTATAAGCTTTACAGTGAAGTTCAGAGTGTGACATTCAACACACAAATAGGAAAAGTAATTTGCATTTCCTAATTTTGTTATGTTTTTTTAAAACAAAAAAATTCAAAAAAATAAAATATATATTTGGACTGACCAATTGTTACAAGTGACACACGGAAAGGTTACCACAACAAAATTGTAGCTAGAATCAGCTAAAATAAACGTTGCATTCATTATGCAATTTCAAAGATGAAATTTGTTTAGAAATGTAAAAATAATATAAAAGTCACATAAGTCAATAATAAAAAAAGTCTTTTTTAAATAACAAAATAGCCTAAAACAAACGTGATGGTTTTTTTTTTAACCAGATATGGCCCATGCCAAATTTAACCCTTTTAAAATCATCAAAGTACAGACGTTTTTGGTCGCACAATATCCAACCATAAGGGCCATTGATATCTGATACTGTGCCCATAAAAACAAAGATGTCAACATAAAATCTGTCGCGCCTGAAATGATAAAGCGCAGAGCAGTGGTTATTGATTGTAGCACTTAGAACAGAACTACTGAACTGACCTCTGAACACTTGCTGGCTAATGTTACAGATATCAAGTATTTGTATGTGTCACCAATAACAGTGGGTCATGGGTTCGAGTCCCACTCGAACAAGCTTGTGACTTTTACCTGACCACAAACCACTCAAAGCATTACAACAGCTACATTTCACGAAGAGCGTTGAAGAAAAATACTGTGTGTAAATGAAGAAAGGGTAACGGAAATATGGAAAGGGTCAAATCAAGGACGAAACATGACTATCACAATTTTGTTCTGGATGTGTAACCCAGGGCACTGATGGAAGCATCAGTTACACCTTGCGATGATATGAAAAATAAACACAGAGGAGACGACAGATTGTGTGTTATTTCTGGATCATATTAGACAGCCGATACATATGTTCCTGTGCTTCCGTTGACAGCGGAAGTACGACGAAGGTAGTTGGAGGGAAAGCTGATTAGTCTGAAATCCAAAACCCAGCATCCGTCAGCTTTGCATATTGGGTGGACTCCAGGTCATGTTTAAAAAATTCATTAAATTGCCAGGATGAAAAGAAATTAACGTTGAGGCACAATTCCAGCTATGTACTTGCCAACCAGTTAAAGCACTGACTACAATATACACATTCATCATATTTGAGCTTTTAGATGGAATTATTGATGCTACTTCCCCCCCAAAAAAATTCAGTTGCATCTTCTGAGCGTTCCCAAACTATTTCCGGCTGTTGGAATTTGACACTAGTAGGTGGCGCTATTCGTTATTACAACGTGCGTACTTAATGCATGTATGCAATTTTGTTATTCACATCATTTGCACAGTTCAAAGTTCAACGTCATTCAAGAATTGCTTGGTTGCTGATTTTTTCCTCAAATATTTGAACCTTTTTTTTTTAACTAACGATTATTTTTTTGTTCAACACAAAAATGCGGGGGCATGGGGATGGCGATTAATTCTAGGCCTCACCTTCCCAGTGAAGGGGGGAGGGGGAGGGGGTGGAAGGGGGTTTAGTAAGAAGTATGAAAGTAATATTATATTTGAGAAGCTAGTAGGACTGTAAACATGAAGTTTTTACAAGCATTGGGTTTAGTGACGTTCTATTTGCTTCAACTCATGTGCTGGAGTACCCAAGCTGTCTGTGTAAATACAAACCTAGGAGATTTCCCCCAGTGCAAATACTCATCATAAACTGTAATTCCTTGCACATCCTCCGCAAACATTTTAACCCATTCCTGTCCCCATGGATACGTGACTGTTGAAGCTTTTCCAGTGGCCTTTGCAAACTTGGTGTTCAGTATTAACCTGTCTGTTTTCTTAGTTGAGTAAATGGTAGAAGTCATATGAATTGAGTATTGACAGCTCAGAGATTTTTCTCGCTAAAAAACGTGGTGCTCGTTAACACAGAACAATGTACATTAAGCAATGTTTTATTCTTCGTTCAGAATACTTTCTGGTTCAACGTCAGCTATTTTGTTGAAAGGTTTAGAAAAGTTGTTCTGTTTTTGGCTGCATTGTTCGGAGAACAGACAGAATGGAGACAAAGGTACAATGTCGGCCCGCAATGATTACATTGTATTTGGTTATTTGGGTAATTGATTGTTTTGTTGGTTATTTGTTTACATAAATTTGTCGATTCAATTTTAAACCCAACCTCCCCCCAAACCATCCCAAATCCAACTGCATGTTTTGTTTGACTGTTGGAGTGAGTTCTGTACGTACTACCGGTAGTAAACTGATTATGCTTTACATGGTATAGGCATACATGTACCACCATAATCAGAGTCCAACAGTGTGGGTGTTGATGAGTCTACCGTATGGTGTTGGATTTTGCAACAGTGAGGAAGGTTCCTAGTAAATCACTCAAGGTGGCTAGGGTATCAAAACCACTTGATAAAAATAAAGGCTTCCTTTCAGGAGATGTAAAGAAAACAGTCAAAAACTTTCTTTTCTTCAAAGTATTACGGATTTGATTGATGGTAACTGAAGCCAAAAACAAATGATACTTGACGGAAAAAAGAAATTACTGTATTTACACCCTCATCGCCCACTCTTGAATTTTCAGTCTGTCTATAGACTGTACTAATCTCTTGCAAGAAATACTCCATGTACACATGTACCGTAGTCCACTGCAATTATTCGGACAGTGTATTACAATATTTATCCAGTGCATTTACCGAGACTTGAAGCACTCTCCGGGTTCGCCATGGCAACCAGAGTGGTTACTGGTTCGGGGTCATTTTCTGAGAGGGTGGACAGTCGGTGTGGCATAGGCACTGGAGAGCCTGTGCCATTACAATTTTGTTTCTCATTAGGAGAATGATACTCGAAAGGATATGACAATTTGAAAAATGCTGATGTAGAATTGTCAACCCCCCCCCCCCTCCCTGAATTGCGGAAATGCATTTATATACATAATGCACATGTATGGGATGAACAGTAGCCTGTGTATAAAAAATAACAAACAAACAAAAAATTCAAGAGCTCACTCTGAGTTTTCAAAGGTTTTCAATGTTTACAATGTGGACTTTAATATGTAAAATTTACATTGTACATGTCAAGTACAAAAAAAGGAAATATCTCTATTACAGTGCTACATGTACATGTACATTGTACATGTACAATGTGCATGTACCGGTACATAGAGAAAAATAAATATTTGAAAAAAACGTGGCCATCGCAAATTGGTTAGCTTTCTCCCAACTTTTTGATGTGTCACAATCTCTCTCAGAAGCCTGTTGGATGTACATTGTGAGTTCTAGTAAAAAAAAACCAGGAAGCAAAGTCTAAGGCAGAAATATGTCCCCAAGCAGTTTTTATTAAACTCAGACCAGGGTATTGTGAAATTCATTCCAGAATTTTTTTTTTACATATTTATAATCCATTATATCAATTAAAAATACTTTGCCTCAAAGACAAAACCCCCAAGCATGTAACCTCCTTGCTGCACTGCAATCCCACAGAGAGAAGACCATCTTTCCTGATCCCTCAATTTATCAATCTGTCAACGGACGACAGCAACCAGGTACATCCAATGTTTGCCGAGCCCTACAATTAATAAAACGCCGCGGAATCAATGAGGCAAAGCATCATCGGCCATTGGAAAATCTTCGTCCGGGTCGCAGCGTAGCTAAATGCCGACTTTTTAAGTGCTCAGTTGAAGCCTCGAGGGGAATTGATGCGAGCTGCTGATTTCGACACCCCCCCCCCCCCCATTTCTTTCTCGGTTCTTGCCGGACTTTGAGCTCAACAACAGTTTGCCGCTATTATTTCAAGTCAGCCGGCTTTCGGCTGAGATAAGGGGGTGAAGGGTGCGTGGGCGGATTGCATGGGGTTTGCAATCAGGATGATGGATTATCAATAATTATTACTGGATTTTTGTCCTTTCCAATTGATATTTCTATATATTGTCGAACATGTTAATACATAACTTTCTGCAATAAGCATCCATTTACATTTAAATGCTTGTGCTAGTAAGGCCGAAAATGCAGCCAGAAAATTCCCTGCGAGCACTGCTTCAACTTATTTTCATCATTCATACTGATCTACAGTGCTATGCAGTTCTGCTTCATTTTGTACGGTACCGGTACATGTACCGTATACACGTACATGTACTTGGACATGTACTAGTACCGGGTATGTAGAATATTTTTGCTATAAAACCCAACAGCATTAGTTGTTGGAACGAGTGATGCACTGCAAGAAAAGACACAAATTCTAAAATTCTACCCATAATTGTAAGTACATGTACCGGATACAATGTATACGTTGCCAAAGAGGAATGTAATTCTTTACAGACATATTTTATTAAATTAATAATCCTAGAGTCTGTATTCAGCAGGTGGATCAGGCAAGTTCAGGAAAACATTGAATTTTATTTCCATTTCAAGGAGCAAAACCGGCGACTTGCAAGGGCAGATCCAGTGAGGTTACTGCAGTGCTGGGGGAGGGGAGGGGGTGCCTGGGGGCAGAATGGCTCTCTCAAGTGAAAAACTGCCTTATTTGAGAAATGTTTGGTCACTGCCGGGGAGGGGCGCCCCTTCGCACCCTCTGGATCCACCACTGATTTGCAAAATTTATAAGAAAAACTGATTTTTGATTCTGGCTAGATACGCTCATGCTTGTCTCATTACCGATTGTTATTGACACTAATAGGGTAGCTGAGGAGGCTGTCCACTGAACTCTTCCAGACAGAGATCAGAAAAGATAAATGGACATGGCGAGATGTTATCAAAGAGTCATAAAAAGAAAGAGTCTCTCTTGAGAGTAGGAGTCTGTGATTCAGAATAAATAGTGAGTGGTGATGTTCGGGATGCGTACATGTACAATGTACGTCTGCCTAATATAATCTGCCAGTGCGTTGTACCCAAGGTGGGGAATAATTGAATTACGCTGCGTATTGTCTGACAGGAATCCTCTCACTTGGACCTTCTCGCGACAGCTTCATCCATAATTCCATATCATGTATACACTGACTTGAATGATGCACGAACACATGAAAAATCGGGAACCACAAACTCACAAATCAAAACTAAACTCTTCATTTTGTGATTTTTTTTTTCTTTGCGGGATTTCTCCATACTGCTGCTTTCAGTCACCTCAGGCAACACATTGCGGCAACACAATTGAAACGTCAAATTGACAAGACAGACAGTTGCAGGGGAACTGATACCGATAGTGTGATTTCTCAATGCTAAGAGCTTTTGAGGGAACCTTTTCTTTTGGAGGATTTTCAAATGCAGAATTGAGATGCTTGAAAAAAGAAATGAAGAAATGGCTACGAGCATGTCAATTTGGTAGCAAACAAAACAAAATAAACAAAAACCCCAAAATAAGACTAACAATACAGCAAGCCTAGGTAGTAAAGATGGAGGCTGACCCACACCAACTGGTCAGACGGGTCTAGGTGGTCATCTGAGTCACATTGTTGGGCCAAGGTGAACTTTGAGCAGGTGTAATTCACAAGTGACAGTCAGTCAGTCAATCAATTAAAAAAGGACCAGGCTGGTACTCTTGTCCCAGCAAAAATTAACAACTCTTCATGACACTATTAATTTGCCAATTGTAAGCAATTTGCTTCATTTCTAAGGAGTTTGCCTGGAAAATTTAGTTTAATTTTGACCAGACTTGTGACTCCTCAACAGAATCTAAAATTGATTCCAAGGTATGTCGCTCAATTTAAACATTCGATGCGAAATCATCGCACCACCGTCCTAAGCATGCTTTCAGCTTCTTTGCATCGACATCATCAGCATCATCTGCTCATCCCATATGGACGACACTCCCAGAGAGCAAGGGGATGAATCGTCCAAGATCTTATTACAGCAATCAAGACAGGAAATATGCATGGTTTCCACGATACCCGGAACCACGTGAATAAAGGGAAAAAAGCCGCGCCGTTGCCGTAAAAAGCGGTCAGATACCCCACCCCAGGGAAATTCAGGATTCTACAGGAACTGCAATCTTGAGACAAACAACAGGGCAATGCATTTCACCGAGATGTAAATAGGAAACTAATACACGGATATGGTGAAACTGACTGAGATTTCACACGCAGTCATATGCATGGTGCTTCTTTGTAATTTTGGCAACTGTTTCTAGAAAAAGGGTTTGGTGAAATCAATCATATTTATTTCAAATCTCTGCAAGACAGCATCTGTATCCTATGACCACACTATCCATTTTTTTCGAAAACAAGCATGACATAGTGACCTGGTCAAGCGGTTTACAGTACACTTTTTCTGCGGTTAGTTTACATCGTGAATTGATGCGCACCTCAAGTCTAAATGCACTAACCAATCCAGAATGGTTGTCAAAATCTGCAAACGTGACCGTTGACAGCAAACAAGGATTGAGGTCAAATACGAGGGGGTGGGGAAGGGGGGGGGTTGACAAAATCAAACAAAAGCTCTAGCTTCTTAGGTTTCCAGTGCACCTGGGAAGCTGTATTGGTTACGTACGTATGTCGTCAACAGCCCGACCCTCAACAATTTCATGGAAAAAAAGTCAGAAAATCCTGCCCTGATTTTTAAGCCTGTGTGTTTTTACCCCCTTTTGGCACAATAATTAAATACTTTTTTTTTTTATCGTAATTGTATGAGGGTTCCTTTTTTGCTCAAACCCACATACAGCTCCCGGCTAGATTTTCAATTAGCGGCGAGGTCCGGACACATTTTGTGTCCATCTGCCCTTTTGCACGTAAATTCTCAAGAGAAATCGTGTTTATCACAAATGCATGTCGGCATTGCTTTTGTGGCCCATTGTCTGTGCCGTCACCTCTATACACATGCGTGTCTTTATACATGTACATGTATGTGACAATCTCTAGTTTTCTCCCCTCTGTTTTTTTCCCTCAAAACGTTAAGAAGGGTTTTTTTTGTCAGAGGGAAGTAATAAACCTTTTTGTGAAATCTGACTGTTGGTTTGTAACATTTCAGCGTTTAATTCTTTCTGGTAATGAAAACAAGTATTCTTTGGAAGTTGTTGTAGTAGTGTTGTTTTTGTAATGTACTATGCCGGTAGTCAGGGTGCATGACCAACATGGCCGAAGATTACTCTCACCCACCATTGCGTCTTTTCCTTCACCCCAGTGCGGTAGACTTCTTCCTGATCAAGTCGCACCGTGCAGCTACAATCTTTGGCAGACGTCAGGTTTTTAGCTTCACCTGAAATTAGACCAGAAATTGTTGATTTATTAATAACTAGGATTACGAAATAAAATCAGGACAATTCAAATAACCAAGGCTCAAAATTCAGTTCAAAATCAACTTTTTTCAGTACTTTTAGCATTTAAACATTGCACTGGGCACCTTTCTGGAAAATGAAAATCGTGATTCAGTTCTTAAGAACAAGAACTTTTAAGAGCTAGAATTTTCCTTCGACTTGATCTTTTTTTTAAACACACATTGCCACTGTTTGGATTACTGCATCTAATTTAAAATTATGTACATACAGGTGTGCACATGTTTGGATTTCATGAGGTTCAGTGCATAATGTTCATGCCCACACAATGTTGCACTGCGCATCTACAGTACAATGCAGAAAAACTGTACAATATAAATACTGGTAAATTAAAGTAAACACACTAGTTTAGAATAAACTGAATTGCCGCAACTCCAGCTGTTGCGCTATTGCAGGATTTCTGTATTATATGGATGCAGCTACACCTGAACAAATTTGATCAAGATGAAATAGAAAAGTCAGGATAAGCTTATCAGAAAGATAGGACTTGTATCGTGTTTGCCAATACAAACATTTTACTTTCATTATGAATCAGACTTAACATGTACAGTGAAATCTTGATGAGTCAAACCTCAAGGGAGCAGGTTCAAAATTTGACTTTTAAAAGCAGAGTTTTGAGTTAAGCAGGGTTGTATCATCATAATACTGAAGGCAATGGATTCTTTGTTTGACTAAACAGTTGTTCTGAGTCATCAGAGTTTGACTTATTGACATTTCACTGTATATGAAAAGTAATTTGCCGCCCATTAAACTGTCAAATTAGTGCAAGTTGCCGTTGCAGTGCATTAAAATTTTGTAAGTTTCCGCCTGGTTACGGTTTAAAAAAGTGGCGCAAACTTTTGAAAATATCACAGTTCAGTTGTCTTTGGCCAAGGAAAGCGGCTCCCTCGGTGCCTGAAAATACTGAAAAACATTTCTGAATTTGTTATGAAAGACTCCGTTTTATAAACACATATACCCACAAAGTCTTTTAAACGCTCCTGTACGTACACAGCAGACGAGAAATACATGTAGGAACCCAAATGAGTTGGACATTTGCCTCAAGTGAGTAAAGTTCGTTATCCAAAACCCTTTCAGGAAAATGGCCCGATTGTCCCTCGACAAACAGGTTTTGTTGATGCCCCTCATCTTTTTTCTTTTCTTTTTTCTTTTTGTTTTGACGGAGGTGACATCTAGTCTGACATTTCAGTTGCTAGGCGAGTAACAACAGACACTGATTGTACGACGAGTGGTCTATTGTGAGTTGCGCTATCAACCCTAACCAGAACAAACTGAACCCCACTTGACATTTTACCTAACACCAGAATCAATGCCTGTATTTCTCCACCAGAATCACAAAAACCATGCAACAATGTATGAGTAAGGCAAAGTGAGTGGTTTCAAATACGTGTCAGGCAAATGCTACACACCCAGAATGATCTAGAAGTGGCGTCGACTGCCTACTTAAACGTGAGAGTATATTGAACTTAAACAAAGTTGAGGGCATTATTTAATTCATTGCAGATGACAATTGACGAAGGACCACCTAAACTTTTCCTGACAACCATGGCTTTTAACTGAGATGGCATGTAACGTGCCAATCTCGCACGCAGGTGGTAAGCGCGCACTCAGTACTGCATTGACCAATAGGATTTTCAAATGACGCACGCTTCGTACTGAGAACGCGCCATGTAACATGGGATTGAGCATGGTGCAACTTTAGTCATGGCAATCTTAGGTTTGGTCAACTAAATTTACTATGGACTCCATACCAGAAAGAACACACCCAGTAAAATGGGAGGCTGTTTTAAGTTTTTGTACATGCATACAGTACATCGTACCGTACTATGTGTACAAGTACTTGTACAGTGGTAGATTTGAGGGAGGGGGGTGTTGCAACTCCCCAACCCACCCCACAAAACTTGTAAAGTGGTGGATCTGAGGAGGGTGTTGGGGTGTTGCAACTCCCCCCCCCCCCCTTCCCCGTTTAGCCGCTGAATAATGTTACAAAACCTACCTACCGGTAATAAAATGGGGCCACAAATAATAAATGGAATGCTCAAGTTCCTAAATTAATTGCCTTAGCATGCAGCAGGAGAAAGCATCGTAGATTTCAAGAAATGTCCAGGGGGCATACTCCCCAATCAAGCCCTGCTTGCAGAGCGTGCCTTTAGCATGTCTTCACTCAACCCCCCCCCCCTTCTTCTTAGCACCCCCTCCCTCCTAGCACCCCTCCCTTACCAGATTTAAAGCTAGATCCGCCCCTGATGTAACTTTATTTATGATGATGGACAAAGTACATGATGTGCATCACATGAAAAAAAAGCTTTTCTGGGCTAATCATTCATGTCATTGAAATTCTGGAGTTGATATCTCCCCACCCCAACGTCCCTTCCTCTGGGGGGTGGGGGGTACAAACATTGCATAGCTTCGCCAACGCTAGTGGGCAAAAATGTGTGAACCACTGAATGCATAATGAAAGCAAAGCTGTGAAGTGAATATTGAATGTGTTTCAAATTAAAGGGTCAAAATGATGATACGGCTGTCTACTTTTGAATAATTTAGTATTTGATTACTGGAAACTACGTTGGCCTGAATATTCGGATTTTCAAATTTGCCCAGCTGGAACTGCGTACTGCGCTGGTAAAAAGTTGCACAAAGAGTGTGCCGGTCAACATTTGTGTGCTGCGATCGATATGGGGCACTGGAGTGTTCTGCAGTAGGCCAAAGTATTTTAAAACTGTAAAAGGGCTTAAATACAACTTATATAACCTGCTACAAGGATGTGAATAATGACCTGCCGTCAACAAAAAAGTTAGTCGACAAAAGAGAGGCACCTGACAATAAAGCGCCACAACTTTACAATAATAATATAACATCACAGTCGTGTGTACTGTGTGCATATTTCTTTCTTTTTTATATTCAAACCGGCAAAGAGCTTTTTGAATATTTGGTTGATGTTTTATATTCGGGGAAAGATTTCCATATGCGAAGTTCACTCAACACCCTGTCTACAAACCCTATGAGATTGGACTGAAAAATTCTAAGTGTTTTCTAAGAAAATGCTTGTATTTTCTCACTGCTCAAATTGACTTTGATGACATGAAATTGCTATCTGGGGGCTTGTTAGTCAATACAGAGGAAAATTAGTGAACTTCATATATGGAAATCTTTCCATATTCGGTACCATCGGGGCAGCCCTAAGCTATACTCTGCTGAAGAATCTACCGGTACATGTACAGGGCACATGATGACACATGTACATGTACATGTACATGTACATGTACATGTACACACACTGACAAGGCCACCTTCAAAGCCACTGTGCACACTATTGTACAAAGCAACTGCCCTGCGACGGATTAGCTGTACAATAGCTAGCACAATGCTTTCGCCAGGGACTTAACCTTCGCCATAGAATTGATAGCGTACCAGGATTTGTCTACACGCAGACTAATACTGCAACTTCAATTCTGTGAGTTCAAACTTTTTTTCGAAGCTGGGGCAAATTTGTTTGACAACTGCATTGGTTGAAAACTTGTCATATGATGTGCATATTGTATGCAATAAATTGACACCAATGGTAACACATCAGACACATGCTGCACCACTCCATCAGCACAGTAACCCGCACCTGTTTCCTACATTGTATCTTTTTTAGCAGTTCAAGTTTCCATAAATAATCAAAATATCGGGTGAGGGGGAGGCAAATGGAACATCTCAGGGTACCTGCATATCAAGCTGGTTTACCTGGTACATTGTATTGTGTTGTGTAACGGACAGCAAACCCATGTACATGTAGGTGGAATATTGTGCATACATGTTCAAAATGTACATGTAGATTAGAAAATTGTTAATTTATGTATATCGTAGGCAGGAAACTGAACAAAACAAATACATTTATTCAACACGGAAATCATGACCGTACACTAAACATGTACCACCATACTGAAATTTGTATCCTTGTGGAGACATTTCTTTGTTCTCAAGTACTAAAGTTTTCGAGTTTGATTTTCTTATTTTAACCAGAATTAATTTCCTTGGCTGAAATTCGGACTAAAACTCTACCATTTGCGACAGATCAACATACCTTGGAAATTCCTAGTTTTTGAGTAAAATCCATATCTACTTCGTGAAAACCTTGTGGAGACGTATTCATCTATAGAAATTGTCCTGTGGAGACGTATACAATCTTTTGTTCCCTATTGTGTGTATGTCTCCAGAGGGCACGGTGTATCAGATCCGGTACACATGTATCATGCCTGTAGGCCTACTGAATAAATTGTAGTTTGGCTTTGTTGCTCAAAATAGACAAGGAAGACTAAAAATATTTGTTTCCCTTAATTGTTTTCCCATACTGTACATGTCAGATGTATAACTTAGAAATGTAGATACTTTGCTGATATTTTTGTTTAGGGGGGGTTTAAACTTTGGTGAAACTTGAGAAGGAAAAACACAATAACCTAGAATTTCAAGTAGGTTTGCTCTTGAGAATAAATATTATCAATGGGTTGTTTATTTTTAGGAGTAATAACTAAATATATGCATACATGTACATCTAGCCTGCGTTTTCCCTCTTATGATGTTAACATATGAGACGAGGAAATCACATTCCGTCCTCGCCCAGCAAGGAAACGTGTGGTGTTTGCGCGTGTCCAGGAAAATATTTGCTTTGAAATCCAAAGCCTGCTCCCAGGGTAAGAGATATTCCCGGCCTACCTGATGTCTGGAGGAGTCCCTTGCCAACTGGGACATACCCGGGAGGATGGACAAACTTCTTAAGTGTTAAGATCAATACGGCGGCGATGTCATTAGCCTAGAATGTGTGCAGACTCCAACTTCAGGATATAAAGAGGCACTGCGGCCATGATTTTTTTTTATTGTTTCAAATATTAGAACAGCGGAGCTAGGAAAATTACAAATGGAAAATGTGTAATAAGTTCTA